TACCAGCCTCCTGTACCTAGTTTATTATTTACCTTAATATATATATTTTTTTTTTTACTATTACTTTTATTTATATTACGTACTATCTAGTCCTAGGTTTCCGCCACTATTTGGCTCCTTTAGCTCCCATGCTCTAGTACTGCCCCTCCACAATATATATAAAAATCTTACTAAGTATAAAATAAAATAAAAGGGTTATAAAAAATAAAAAATAGGTAATTTTTTTTTAAAGTATTATATAGACCTATGGATAATAGTAAACTATTATATTTTTTATTTAATAAATAATTATTAGTAAATTATTTATAGGTATATTATCTTTTTTTAATATAATATAAAACCCCTTATTTTAAGATATAGTAATTTAGTTAAAGTATTAAATTTTATTAATATAATAAATTAAAAAGTGGTGCTTAATATTTTTTTAAGCCACTAATTCTTAATATAATTTATAAGATTATGCTAATTATACTTTTTATACTAAGTATAAACTTAAAGCTAGTTATTTTAAAAGGCCTTTTTTAATACTTAATAAAAATACCTTGCTAAGCAAAGCTTTATTAAAGCCTATTTATTATTTACCTTTTAAAGTAAAGTATGCTAATTAATAAAATTAGGCGGCTTTAATATAGCCTTAGCTTATATTTTAGTAGTAATTTTTTTTTACCCTAGCTATAATATTATTTATAATATACTATTAATAAAATATATGCTTTAATAAAAAAAACATGTTATTAAAGGTGTTTAAAAGCGCTATATTATAATTAGTTAAAATAGTTAAAAGCCTATTTATTCTAGTACTAAACCTAAAGGGCTTAATAAAGTAATAAAAATAAGCGCTTTTAATATTATTTAACACTTATATATATAACTTTTTATTCTTTTTACTTAAAAAAACAAAGCTAACATAAAATATTTTATTTATAGTTATTATTTTAATAATATTTAATAGTAAAAGGCTGTACTTATTTATTTTATATATATAATTTATAAAAAAAATAAACAGGAATTACTTTAATAGCTTAATAGTTTACTTATATATAAAAAAAAGGTAGTATAGCTTATTATTTATTAAGTAATAATAATTAAATATTTATATTATAAAATTATTAAAAAATATAAGTAATACTTATACAGGTATTTTACTAGCAAGCTAATACTTAAAAAAAGTATATTAATAATTTTAAATATTTTTTAACTAAATAAGGCACCTAAAAATCTTATAATATAAATAGCTTAAAATAATACATGTTAAAATACTAAGCTTAATTACTTAATTAATTTACACCTAGTATTAAAGTATTTATTACTATTAATATTATACCTAAGTACTAGGTAATATAGGCCTATAATTATAACTTATATTATAAGTTTAAAAGTATTAATAGCTATTATTTATATAAAGGCATATTATATAATAAAACAGGTAGCCTAGCTTTTTAATAAAAGTAAATTAGTACTTAAAAATATCCCTATTTTTATTATTTTTTTTTATTATACCTAGAGCTATAGAGCCCTTTATAGTAAAAACCTTTATTATATTTAAAATTATAAAAAGCTTTAGCGCAAAGCCCTTTATAATTATATTTTTTTAATTTTTTATTATTTTTAGCGCTATAAAGGGCTTTATAATTATAAAAAGCTTTATATTAAAGCTTTTTATAACTTTAGGTATAATAAAGGCCTTTACTATAAAGCCCTTTATAATTATGTTTTTTTTAAGCTAGTTAATAATATGCCTTAGGTGTATAATAACCTTTAAAGTTATATTAAAATATTACTTTTTTTATTTTTAATTAAAAAATAGTAATAAAATAAAGGTTATTTTTTATATATTATTAAATAAAGTATAGCGTGGTTTCCTTATTAAAATAAAAATTATTAGGTAAAAAAGGTAGGAGTTTAGCACTAGTAACAAGCTTATTAATATTAGTTAATAAATTAAGGGTATTCTAAACTTTTTTATTAAAATTAAAATTATAAAATTTTACTACTATAACAAGTTTTATAGCTACAGCGGGTTGCTTAGGTTAAAAATTTATATTAAAAAAAAAAATATATAAATATTTATCGCGCAGGAGTTTTAAAGTTTTAAAAATTAGGAGTTTTAAATAGCTTTACCTTTACTAGTTAATTTACCAGGCGGAGGTTACGCCGCGGCGGCGTGAAGGAGTATTATTATTTTATTACTAAAGGGGGGGGTGTACGTAGTTACCAGGCGCCTTCCTAATCGGGACATCTTACTTAGGCGTTGCTTACGTTAGACACAGCCTAGGGGGGTAGATCTAGTCATCTGGGGGGTGTACGGAGTGACACCCCTCGGTGACTAATTCAAGTCTTTATCGGATGAGATGGGGAGCTAGGGTCATCCTGCTTGATTGTTGCACTGCATGTGTTGATCAAGTATACCCTAGGTTTGGTTGTAAACCCTCGATATGGCCTGCTGCACAGACAACCAACAGGGTAATTCAGGTGAGGTGCATCGCATAGTGGGGAGGATGGATGTAACCTGTATTCTATACCATAGAGATACTTTGTTATGCATCCAACTTTGCCGCTAACTGTGCACATTGTTATCGCCAGCAACCTGACCTGCTTCGGTATCCATCCATATCGATAGGCCCGTCAACGTACTACCTCTTAGAATCTTCTCTCCACGTGTAAGTTCGCTCGCAGCAAATCAACCTGCAGATAGCATGGCAGCGCATAAGAAAAGGCTGAACGACTTGTCCCGCGTAGGTTTGCTTACAGCGTGAATTGCCGCCATCCATGAGCAATAATAAAGAGAGAGGCAAATCAATAAGTTCTTGTCTTTTGTAGCCGCTCATGATCTCTTCCTCAGCTCCCTCCTCATCCTCCTTCAGCTTCTTACCTTCTGCCTGCTGACGTTCTCCCGCCTCTCAATCCTACCTTGTCACACATCCACGAATTTCAACAGGTCGTCTACTATACCGATCGCCTGCCTGCTCCCACGGTATAGCACACGCACTCTCAGCGACCCACCGACCAGAGCTCTTTCAACCTAGTTCCAACGACATCAGCACACCAGAACAATCCCCCAGAGCCCAACGACTACATTGCAACAAATTGCTGAGCCATCATCGCCGCCCTCACCACCCCCCTTCTCATCGCAGCGCATCCACACGGCTCCTTTCTCCTCGCATTCGCCCTCTCCTCCGGCCGGGGGCCTCACAACATACATCTCACGACACAAAGACCCAAATGGCAGCTGCTACGACGACTCGATTCCTCGAAGACAACAGTCGAAGGTTCCGGTCCCGCGCATGAGCAATCTAGATCGCCGCCAGGGAGGGTCTTGTTCGCTGCACCTCAGCCAACAGGCAAGCGACGCCTGCAAGACGTACAGTGGTAAGCGGCTATGTCGGGTCTGGTTGAGCATCAGCAGCCGAGCGCGGTCGTGGCGGCTCCGTGGGCGACATGGTGGACAGAGTGCCAACGCGACTGGGGGCCATAGATCCGTCGTCTAGAGCGCAATCGCTAGGAGGCGGCTCGGGCAGGTCATTCCTGATGGCGTCGGACTTGGACACGGTGAGATTGACGGGCGGTGCAGGTGAGAATGGCGTTCCCGTCTAGGGCAGTACTCCAGCTGACTGGGACTGATCAGGTGGCGGGTGGAAAGGTGTGTCTAAGACACCTGGAGAGAGACGAGGATTGTGTCCTGGGTGGGAACCGAAAGCGACTCTACGGTTCGCCTCTGACCACCTGGGCATGCTACTGCGAGACTACGGCAGTGGTACCAATCTGTTCAGGTTGCTGCACAGGCTGAAGGGGAGTAGCAACCCGATATAGGTGCCACGTCATCAGGGAGGCGATCGGTGGGCAAAGTCCTAAGGAAATGCATTGGATCTTCCTCACGTCTCCAGCTACGGACAACTACACGGCGATAGGTATGTACCATGCCTACCGGCTTGCTGAGCTGGAGGTCAATCCGCTTCCCCTATGTCGGGAGACCAGCCAGCCTTTCTCCCCAGTTCAGAGCAACCAGCCTCGAATACGGGTATTCTCTAGCCCAACTGCCTTGGTCTTTGTCTGTTCATCCACTGGTTTACCTGTCGGGTGTCTGGCGCGGGGCTTTTTGGTCAGTTCCAAATAGCATGAGCCCGTGACAAAGAGCCTGTAAAGGATTGGAGAGCCCGGGTGATCTTTCTTTATCCCTCAAGTGTGGATGGATACCTACTTACCCTTGGCATACTAGAGTCACAGTGACTACGGTAGATGGCTGGTGATACCTAAACTCTCTTTTACCTGTCCACAGCAGTCCAGGAGAGAGAGCCTGGGCGCAGCCGGTTTTTATTCTCTTCCGGCCCGCGTTTGGATAGAATAGCAGAGTATGTCTGCGCCGCATTCATCAGACAAAGACGGCAGCGATGTCAAGAAATTCTGATGGCCGTGTCCGGCGGAGAGTGTTCCCGGGAGGACTGTGCCCAGGTATCCCGAGCATCATATGCTCCCTGCACGTAGGGCGCGCTCGATGATGGACATAATAGTCTACGAGCCGCGGTATTGAGTTATCGAGGCGGATACTATATCGATTTTGGCTTCAAGTGCGAGGGATCAAGAGCGAGGATTATTCGGGTTCGACTCGGTGCCTCGATGCGAGGGCAGATTCTTCAGGTAGCGAGGGCGAGGACGAGGGTGAGGGACCTCGAGGTCAACAGTGGACCTCGATGCGAGGCCACAATATCGAGAGCGTGCCGAGTCGAGTCCGAGTCGAGAGGACAATGCGGGAAAGATCAATAATGATACTGGCTGTGATATCCATGGATCCGATTGATAGACCTAGACCATTGCTCTACTTTGAGACCGTGTCCGACCACGGAATGTCGACTCGTCCATCTACATACTTTTCTTTCATGGAATATGCCATGTGATAACGAAATGTAAAAGTGCATGGTATCATTGACTCGCTATAACCCATAATAAAATAAACCGCAATGCAAAAATCAGACCCAATCAAAAAAAAAAAACCGAAGCAACAGCTACTCCTCCTCAGGCTGGACCTGCTCGGCCATCAGCAACATGGGCAGATGCACCGCCTCATACGAGACCTTCATGCCGGACTTGAGCTGCTGGGTGTGCTCGGTAATGGACTGGCGGCGGAGGATGAGCTCGCCGCCAAAGTCGGAGGTGATGTAGCCGAAGCCCTGGGCGTCGTTGTACCACTTGATGGTGCCGGTTTGGCGGTTGGCGGTTGAGTTGACGGCGGCGGGCATTTTGGTTTGGGTTTGAGGATTTGGTTGGGCTGGTTTTGTTAGTTATTTGAATCATAAAAGAGATATGGTGGGGCGTACCGTGAGCCAGAGTAGAGGTAGAAGAAGTGGTAGAAGAGGACTTGGTATGCAGCGGCAGAGAGACAAAGGTAGACGGATTTGACATGGACTCCTTCTTTCTCTTCCACGGTCCCAGACAGTCGTGAGCCGTCTGGTATTTATAAAGGATTCAGGATGATATCATCCGGTTCTTCCCGGTCCTCGGCAAAGACTCGGAGCGCTGACGAGATGGTTACAGATTCGCATTCCCCGCGGGTTGGCATCTCTGTAACCAGTGGGGAAAAGCCAGGGCATTGCATTGGCTGTCTTTTCCGCCGTGATGTAATGATCGACTCGCCTGATCTCCAATTCCCCAGCGTCGCCGTTGTTCGTGAATCATGATCAGCCCATGGACTTATCAGCGTACGGGGTTCTCTAGCCGTTATCGAAGGATCGATAAGATTGCTGTTTTCACAGAGAGGCATGCGAGCATCTGCCCATCTTTACGAAAATTCCCGGGTGGAAAAGATAGAGATCACTCCATCAGTCCGGACCGGTGTGTGCCGCGGATGAGGCATTTTCTCCCGCATGTGTCTGCTTTCTGCAGGAGAGGGGAACCGGTCCGGTCATGAACAATGGGCAGATGGACGCATTGACTGTGCAGAATTGGCTGTGGTCAGACCTATTCGAGGGCGTGGTGGCCGGATCCGGTGGGCTCACGTGCGCATGCCATCAGAAGCTTCCACCATTCCAGCAGCCAGCTTGGCCAGGCCAACCCCCGGACGACTCGTGGCGAGGCTTTTCTCATTGGCAGCCCGGGCAGGAACCATCATATTCATGCGGGGAAGGCTACCAGAGCTCCCGTATCGTACCCGGCTCCATATCAAGAGTTCAAGAGTAAACCCTACAGGTCCTGCATCAATCCCACAACAAGAGCGATACCAATAAGACACCGAGCCTGGATTTGTGGCATGATGCTTTCTGATGACTGCTATAAGAGTAGTGTCTTATTTTTGGTCGCCCACCGGGGTTTGGTTAGACCTCGTATTATTCATGCTAGAGAACTAGGACCGGACCACTCGGGTGCTCGCTTCGAGGCTCGTACTAGTCACGAAGCCTGAGCATATCAGGATTCAGCAGCCATCTCGAATCGGATGGCCAAGTGGACGCCTGGAATACTGGATTGCAAATCGGCAGAGGAAGTGGCTGATGCCCAAGGTCACAAGTCGGGCCGGGATAACGCGGCGATGACTTTGCGTGGTGCCAGTAGAGGTCAGGAATGTTGACATTCTTCAAGACCTCTTGGACGACGATACTGTCGAGGAGACAGTGTACCTAGTGTTGATGATGGCGGATTGGTCTCTACAGATTGATGCCTCACCAGTCAGGCATTAAGGCCGTGTGGCAATCAATGCCCGGTCCCGTCCCGTGACCAGCCTCCCTTATCGGTCCCCAGCAGCACACCTCTCCCCATCCCCAACACCCACATCCTCAGCAACAACCGCCAAAATGGGCGGTGATCTGAACCTCAAGAAGTAAGCACCTCCCTCACTCACTCCAACAAAAGCCCCACTAACCCAACCGCCCAGATCATGGCACCCCTCCCTCCTCCGCAACCAAGAGCGCGTATGGTCCGAAGAAAAGCGCGCCCTGGAAGAACGCAAACGCATCGACCAACTCCGCCGCGAGCGCGATGAGGAGCGCCAAATCCAAGAACTGCAGAGGCTGCAGGAAAGCGCGGGCGGGACGCGCCAGCTCCAGCGCGTCGACTGGATGTACCAGGAGCCGTCGAGCGCGTCGGGCCACTACGCCGAGGAGATGGAGGGGTATTTACTGGGGAAGAGGCGGATCGACGGGATCCTGCTGAAGAATGACGAGAGCAAGAAGCTTGAGAAGGGGGCTGCGGCGGGGCCTGGTTCTGCGACGGGTGCTGGTGCGGGTGCGGGTGCGCTTCCGCCGGTCGTGCATAATACGCGCGATACGATGGTGAAGGTCATGGCGGATCCGTTGCTGGAGATTAAGAAGCGCGAGCAGGCGGCGTACGAGACGATGGTTAAGGAGTCGGTGAGGCGGCGGGAGCGGGAGGAGGGGAGGGAGAGGGAGAATCGAGACCGAGACCGAGACCGGGATCGAGATCGCGAGAGGAGTCACCGGCGCAGACGGGATAGCGGCGATGATTCGCATCGGTCGAGTCATCGGCGTCGACACCGCTCGAGGTCGAGGTCGAGATCGAGGTCGCCGCGCGAAGACAGAGATCGTCGTCATAGGGATCGAGACCACGATCGTAGGAGTCGTCGGGACCGGGACCGGGACCGCGACCGCGGTGGAGAGCGGGAGGAGAGAGGTGATAGAGTCCATCACTCGAGCAGTCGTCGGGGTAGAGACCGTGACGAGCGGTACGATCGGGCAGCGCGCAGGTCCGCCTCCCCTCGATCTGACCGCCGCCGGGACGGACGAGACCAAGAACAAGACTACCGACGGGACAGATACAGCCGCGACGACCGCCGAGATACTCGACCCCCGCGAGACAGAGACACAGACTCCTTCGGCCGAGACCGACCTCGCGACCGGGCACCAAACACCCGCACTGGAGACGCAGCCGCAGCCGCAGAACAGCATGCTCAGGACCTGGAAGAGCAGCGCCAGCGCCGACTCGCCGAGATGCAGTCGAATGCTCAGGACATGGAATCCACGCGCCGGCAACGCGTCGCCGAGGTCACGGCCATTGAAGAGAAGCAGCGCCAGGAGGATGATAAGCGGCGGACAGACCGCGGCCAGTTCATGTCGGGCTTGCATCGGCAGCTGCAGGAGGATAGTCTGGATGAGCGGATTCGGCGGAGTCGGGGTGCGTTGGCGAAGGATGAAGATTGAGTCCTGCCTACGGCCTTTCATATGTTCTTCTGTATTATTTTACGGCATTTACATCTAGACAGATTGAGATGGCATCTACTCGACCTAACAACCGTGACTTAACGTCTAGCATCCACAACAGAGTAGTTCCATGTAGTCGATTTAGCCTCCTTGAGGCGGATGGGTAGGGAAACCATATTAGGGAATATATCAATTCTCCAAGAGGTACAAGAGCCTCTAGAAACATCGCTAAAACAATTGCAAGTTACAAATACAAAGCTAAGCTAGAATGCCCCATCCAAATCACATCACAGCAACAGAAGCTCCCCCGTGGCCGCTCCACCCGCCAGATGCGGTTGATATGCCTGCTGCTGGCTCTGATTGACAACATACTGCGTTTGAAGCGCACCACCGCCTCCAAACCCGCCGTCTTCGCGCCCGCCCAAATCCAACGCGGCCATTTGCTGCGTTCCTACAGCGACGCTGTTGAAGTAGTTATCTGCGGCGTTGACCGCGGCGCTCGTGTTTCCTGCTGCAGTCGTAGCGGATCCATTGACTGCCGCTGCCGATGCGGCAGTGGGCGATGTAACGGGGTTCGGACCTGCAGGCGGAGTTTGAAACTGCCAGTTGCTCGAGCTGTAGTCTTCGACGGGTTTCTGGAGTGCCGGACTGTACTGGAGACGGCGGGTGCGTGCGGACCTAAATACCTGCTGGACTGGCTTGAGGTAGACTGTTGCGAGAGTGCCGACATTAAGGCAAAGTTCTTCAAGGGTGCGGTCGTCGAGCTTTTCGCTCTCGGCGGAGATAGGTGGTTTCTGGCCCATGACGACTTGGCGGGCCGTCGTTGGGTCTGACGACAGAAGACGCCAGTACATGTATCCTCGGTCGCGGAGATCCGGGTCGTCTGTTTCCTCGGTGCACCACTTGAGCACTTGCGGGACGAGCTGCTGGCCCTTTGTTGGGCGCTGGATAAACAGCTTCACGGTTGCTGTCAAGAGTGCGAGCTGCACTTCAATCGTCTCGTCGTGGAAGGTGGCAAGATAGTCTTGCAGGAGGTCGGCCGAGTTCTCGATGCGGTCAGCATACTGGCCGATGATCCAGATGACGGCGGCCTTGGCTTCTGGCTCGTCCAGGTCGTCGATGTTCTGGATAACCTGGCCAATAATGCTTTCGTACTGGTTGGGGTATTTGCGGAAGATATTCCGGATCACGACGGTTGCCTCCTGCACGATATATGGAATTTTGGCGTTTACCAAGTCCAAAAGGCAATCAATACACTGCTTAGCCGCCGACTCGATCTTGATGGCGAGTTTCCCAATTGCCCGGACGGCCTTGCGGACAAAGTGGACATCGATCTCGGTTGCGTATCTGAAGAATTAGCAATGCTCATATCAAGGACGGAACGTCTTACTCTCTCAGTTCTGCCAGCACAACCGAGATGTTTTCCTTGGTGGTCAACATGAAGATCAACTCGAGCTTCGTGACCTTGACGTAGATGGGGTCATTGTAGTTGCAGAAAAAGACGCGAATATCATTTCGCAGAACTTCCGGCCGCTTCTGTAGGATAAGAATTGCGTTACGGAGGACAAGATATTGCACCTCTGGCGGTTTTGACAGAAGTGTCACGAGAGGTGGTGATAGCTTCTTGGAAAGTGATGTGAGATGCCGCTCTTCGCCAATGTAGTTCATGAGGTAGAGGATGACACGGATAGAGGTGAGGACGACGGCGGAGTTCTGGTGGGAGAGTCGAGGAGCTATACGTTCCGCTAATAGGAGGGCTTCAGCGGAATCTTGTGGAACATAGGACATAAGCGCTTCTAGAATGTAGGATTGGCCCCATCTGCACGAGGTTAGTTATAGACAGGGTAAGGATTGGGTTTTCGTACTCTGAGCAGTCTGGTAGGATGGAAACCAGTTTCGACGCACTCGAATAATCGATCGTCAAGGATATCGTTTCACTCCGACCCCAGATGTCCACCAATGAAGCCAGGACGCTAGATACGACCGTCGGGTTTTCATCCTTCAGCATCGCATTCAGTCGGTCGATTAAATCGGATGCCTCCACCATCTTCCTATCGTGCTCGTAAAGTTTGGCGACGCAGAAAGCGGCGGTCTTGCGGACGTACGGGTCCAGATCCCCCATCAAACTCTTCAGCGGCTGGACGGTGGCCTCGACATACTCTCGGACGTGAATGTACGCAATTGTTCGAAGCGCCAATGCGCGGACTAGAGGATTCGTCGCTTCCATATCCTGCGGGTGTTAGCCTTAACCAGTTGACCAGGGCGAGTGCCGTACATTGACCAATATCGGAAGTGCCTTTAGTGCAATCTCAGGCTTCATCCTCGAGTAGTTGACAAGGAACAGAAAGCACCTAGACAATGGTCAACATCCCACCGCATCTCCATACCATCCATCCAAACATACATCTTCTTGATCTCCAAACTCGGCAAATTCATACAGTCGATGATGTCCGGAAACAAAGCAATCATGTCGTTGTTACTCATGGTCATGTTGGCGACGATCTTCTTCAACGCGATCTTCTTGGCCGAGTAATTCTTGTCTTTCTTGCCGCCGCTGTTCAGTTCCTGCCGGAGCTCGGCGACTTTGCCCTGTGGAGTGCGAACCCATGGTGGTGAGCTAGTGTATATATGAGGCGCGATAAACATGGAGACAATAACTAATGTGTGCTGGGGTGATGGGAATGCAGAACGCAAAGTACCCACGCCGCATTATAAGCAAAGCAAAGAAAGAGGGGTATCAAGACCAAGGAAAGAGCAAAGCTAGTTCGCGGACAAGGTCATGAGGCGACTGGCATAGAGGGGGGCAGCGATAAACCATCGCGCGACTAGGAAAACCAATGCGACAGCAGTATAAAATTCCCACGTACCCTAGCGAACAGCTTTGCATCGCCCCCGCCAGAACTCATGGTGGCTGATATAGCTTCACGGCAGCGAATCGGACAGTCTTTACGGTTCTTGGGGGATGCCCGGTATGGTTCGCGTGGCTCCTGGATGGTCGTATCACAGATGACTCGCTATGGTCAAGACCTCAATGTAGCGGATGGCTTCGAAGCGACTCCTTAGCTAGCACGGTGCTTCGAGAAGTCCATGCCTTGAATGGTGACGGATTTAGACTGGAGGCCCGAAACGGTCAGCGTGGCACAAACGAGCGCTGATGCAGGCGGCAAGCTCACCTAGACGAAGCGATTCAACACTACCCTTCAATTGCGAGCGTGAAATAACTGAAATCATATAGCGACCGAGAGAATAGGAGTTCGAGGGCTGTGAATCAGGAGTGGACCGGGCGCCGCCAACTCCGCGCCCTTTGTGGAGAATCTTTTGCTTCCTGATTTTCCAGGCGTTGATCCAACTTCCTCCGCTGTCATCCCGCTGCGCCTAGCTGAGCTCCCTTGAGCTCTCGATCACAATACCCCCATCCTGAATACAAGCTCCATCACAATGGCCACCTCGCAGGCTCTTCCTCCCCTTCCACCCCCAAAATGGGTCGTCGACCTCAACTCCCCGTTACCGCGTCCGTCAGTCTCGACCTCTAGCATCCCCGACCCGCCCGGCTTCTCGCGCAAGGCTGGTAAAGGCGTACGCAACCCGCACATCTGTACATCTCACACAAATCAACGTACTGACTTTGCTTTCAGCGCTCAGAAAAGTCCTCCGCCCCCTCCGCCCCATCCAAGCCCGCCGAGACCGATACGCTGAAGCTCAAGAAGGCCTGGGAAATCGCCCTTGCGCCGTCGAAGCAGATTCCCATGAACGCAATCATGATGTACATGTCCGGAAATAGTCTACAGATCTTCAGCATCATGATGGTCTTCATGCTGTTCAAGGGCCCGATCCAGGGCCTGATCAACACCAATAATGTGTTTGCCAAGTTCGAGTCGGAGACCTTGCGGGGCAAGCTGCTCGGTGTGAAGGCTATGTACGTCCTAATGCAGTTTGTGCTGCTGGGGCTGGGGGTGTGGAAGGTTAACGCTATGGGTCTTTTGCCGTATGTTCTTGGTCCTATTCCTAGGGGTAAGGCTGGCTTGCTAATATGTGATGACAGGACTACGAGGTCGGATTGGCTGGCTTGGGAATCGGAACGGCAACCTTTGGAAACAGTTCGCTTTGCTTTTGGCTGAAGCTTCGATGTATTGCTCGACGCGCAGAGTATCTGGGGCGGATGATTTACGTAAACAAGAACATTGAGTGCGCAATTCGCTTCTAATATAATACTATGTCTTCGTAAGAATAGAATGTATCGTACATCAACGGATGGACAAACTCGCTAATCTCACTGAAACGCTTTGCGGCAGGCGTCTGCGAAGATCTGGCAAAACTGCCACACCTCTTCGTACGTGTTGTACAAGGGCGCGGGTGCAACCCTAATAACATCTGGTTTCCTCTCGTCGATCACAACCGCGTGCTCTTCCAACGTCTCAAGAACACTGTCTAGCAGACCTGGTGCCAGGCGGAGGCTGAGCTGAGCGCCGCGTTCTGACGGATTCGACGGGGTGATGATAGAGAAGGGCTTCTCAGAAAGCCCATCAAGAGGAGATTTTAGGAGGAGGTGCTCGAGGTATCCTGTGAGACTGAGCGACTTTTGGCGGATCTCAGCCATGGAGGTTCGGTTGAACAATTCCAGTGAGGCTGCGACGGCGTTTAGGTCCAAGACGGAAGGATTGGACAACTGGTACCCTGCTGCGCCGGCCTGAGGGACGAATTCTAGACAGTCAGCACAACTCGGCAGTGCTCCAGGACCGGTTACATACTATTGTCCATGAGGAATCGAGTAGCTTTGTCTCCCCCCCACCAGCCAGAAAGTCGGGGTCGGAATGATTCCAGTTCCCCATCGCCTTTACTCGTCTTCACCTCTCCATGTCTCTCATGCACGAAGATCCCAGCCATCCCGCCTGGGCCGCTGTTGAGGTATTTGTAGTTGCACCACGCAGCAAAGTCCACATTCCACTCATGCAATTTCAGGTCAACATTGCCCGCTGCGTGCGCACAGTCCCACCCAACCACGATGCCGTTAGACTGGGCATGTGCGGTGATCCTTTCAATGTCGAAGTACTGACCAGTATAGTACTGGACAGCAGAAAGAAGAAGTAAAGATGTGCTCGAAGCATGCTCATCGATAACCCGAAGTATATGGTCAGTTTCGAGAATCGGATGTTCAGGGTCTTGTGGTTCAACAAGGACCATAGCATCCTTTGGCTGAAGGTTATGGTGCCGGATCTGAGACTCGACAGCATACTAACAAGACCGAGTTAGCGTTGTCCGGCTTCACGCTCCAGAAACCTACATGATCACTTGGGAAAGCCTTCCCCTCAATGATGATCTTATACCTCTCCGCAGTCGGCCGGTAGAAGCTAGACATGAGTAGGTGCAAGTTTGCTGTTAAGCTGCCCATAACTGCCACTTCACTCTGCAGCGCTCCAACAACAGGAGCCATGAGCTTTGCACCCGCTGAGTCGACATCAACAAACGGAGGCAGCAGTTCGTCCTCGTGGTGGACAAAATGCCCGGTAACACCTTTGATGGCCCATGTCCGCAGGTAATACTCAATGTATTTCTTGGTATTGCGCGGTTGGAGGCCTAGCGAGTTTCCACAGAGGTAGATACAACGGGCGTCCGAGCCATCAGAGACAGAAGCTAGCAGGGTCAGCGGCGTACTCCGGTAGAACAGAGGGTCACCCGCCTTCAGAGGGCTCTAACGTTTTCCTCTTGAGGTCCTTTGCCGAAGGTATAATGAACTCTTCTCGGAAGTGACTCAGAGGGTCTTGGGAGTCTAGAGATGCCGCGTATTCCCTTGTGAAGGCCCGGATATCGTCCTTGTACGGGAGTGGCGGCCCATTCTTGATCTGCTGAAGATGGAGTCTGGAACCCATTTCGAAGACTACCTCAGTAAGTATACAGGTTTGCCTTGGTTGAAGTAACTATATTTTCAAGGCAACCCGCCTGAAAGAAAGTCAAGCCCCGCGATATCATCGGTACTATCGTAGCGTACCCCGCCTCAGATAACCAGATTTCTAAGCACGTCTCCGCCATTGCTCGCTTACTGAAGCCCAATAATACCTGTCCTGAGGCTCACATATGCTAATTATCCATATCACTGTTTGAACAAGGACAAGATGTTACTGTTGCGCAAAGATGAGTATGCATAAAGGTCCATGCATGGATTAGTAATATGACTTCATCCTCGGGAAATTTATTCTGCCGCCGCTCACCGTTTCCATTCCACCCAATCATATTAAGTGGATTGCTCCCTCGCGATGCGAATTGTATGATTATAAAGCCTCCAAGGTAGTTGTCGGCTCAACACCATTCAAGCACTTGCCCATCACATATCAAAATGTCTCGACCAGCGTTATCAACAGCCACTCGCCGGATATCCCGTGCTCGTCCCGCCCACTCTGCGATCTCGTCGCCCGTCTCATGTCCGAGTCGGACACCGGGCTTCTCCGCATCTTTTTGCCATGCTTCATACCGAACACCGGCGGCCTCAATAGCGACGTCTACATCGATCTCACCCGTGTCGGCCCGAATTACTAGACCTAGGACTCCGAAATGGCATTTGAATCGCGCCGAACCCCGGTCAGCGTTCTCCTCCACAGCTTTAACCTCCGCCGCGCAAGTCACGCAGAACCCGAGGACGGGTGAGGATGGAAACACACTTATGGTGCAGATCTCAGAGCGAGCCGCGAATGTACGTTTGAGAGTCCCATGCGAGTTTGTTTCAGTACCGTTGCGTTGGTCGGCGCATACTCCGATATGGGCGTGGCAAGGGTACGGCTGGGATGCTGCGGGATGACATGGACACATGGGACCGTTTGAAATGGAACTTGGGAAAGCGCTCCCAGTACAAACCTCGTGCTCAGCGACTACCAAGTACATACGACCACAGGGTGTGGAGAACAGGGCTTCCCGTCCGCTCAGCCGTACTTAAGCCACACGCCGGCTGGTTAGTAGTATGGTGGGTGACCACATGCGAATCCCAGCTGTTGTATGTTTTTGCTTTTTGTTTTTTGCTCATCGTGCTTAGTCTCAACTCTACTTACCACTTACACATGCTAACCATGTACCGCAGCGCCTCCGCCAAATAACAGACCCAACCTCCTCTCCCTCCGCCACCAAAGACGAGAACCCCTACCACCACCTCCGCATCACCGTTACCAGCGGCGGCTGCCACGGCTTTCAGTACCTAATGTCTCTTGAGCCGGCATCCAAGATCGACGCCGAGGAGGACACGATATTCGAGGCTGAGCCTTCGGCGGAGGGGTCTTCTGATGCTGGCAACGGTAGCGCCAAGGTCGTTATGGACGAGCCCTCTCTGGAGCTTTTGTCTGGGAGTACGGTTGACTATACGACTGAGTTGATTGGGAGCCAGTTTAAGATTGTGGATAACCCACGCGCGACGAGCAGTTGTGGGTGTGGGACGAGTTTCGACGTTGTTGACTAGGAAGAGCATACTATGGTCATATTATGCTGGATTGTATGTTTGGTAGGGTAATCTTCACTCTTGTATAGATAAATGTACGTCCAATATAGCAGGATAGATGAGAAATTAGTCACAAATAATGCTGCACAAACCAACTTACATGCTAACGGCCATTAGATTTAATTTTTGATTGACTATTCACTGTTCTCTCTCTACATATCGGGTCTTCTAACAAACCCTATTTTATGCGCTGCACAGACAGGAGTGCACAACACAGCAGGACATATCACATATCGAACAACCAAAGAAAATAAACGTGGAATCAACTTATGCAAATAAATAGTAACCCTACTGAAGAAGACCTCAAAATAGCCCTCACAGATCCTTTTGTCACTCCAACCAGCCCCGGCCCCTAGGTAATGAAGGGCCCAGAGCGCGAAAACCACCATGCAATAAATGGGACTGAGCCTGAGAGAAGGGCATGGTATCGGCGAGACAAGACACTTTCGTCTATGTCAAGGGATGCCCTCTCCTTGTTTAGTATGCGATAGACCGTTTGGCCCGGCCACGCATGAGGTATACCGTAAGTCGTGTACCGGCAGGTAGCCGTCTATTTGAGCACCTTTAGACACTCCGCAAACGAGTAAGAGCTAACTCGCTTAGTAGACGCGAGCAAGGTTCCTCAGGTACCAGTCGACAAGGCGACGACCGGCCTTGGTCTCGCTGACGTGGATGAGATCCTTCTCAAGGGCGTAGTCAAGGTCGTTGGCGCTGACGGTCTCGCCCTCCAACAAGCCTCCCTCGACCCAGCGGATCTGGCGGCTGCGCTGCTTGTTGATGAGGAGCCAAGAGCGGAGCTTCTCGGGCTCGACCTCAAGGAAGCCAGCGAGCTTCTGCAGATCCATTGTTGTGTAGAGCTTCAGGTATGACCGGATGGTAGGGTTGTAGAGCGTGTTCTTGACCTCGTCCATGAAGATGGCGGTGTGGTGGTCGACGGGGTCGACGTTGACAGCGGGGTTGTCGAAGTCGGGGGGAGTGGGGCTGATGAACTTGGGGCAGGCGGAGCGGAAGAGCTCCTCGAACAGAGGGAGGGCGTCGGGGCCGCCCTGCTGGAGGCGGTGGAGCTGCTCGCCGTACTTCTCACGGAGGGCGGAGTGGATGGTGTCGTCGAGGCGGGTGGGGTGGAGGGCAACGCAAATGGCAATCAGAGCGTACATCTGGTCGTTCTTCTTGGCAATGGCGTCGTAGCTGTTGCCGCCCTTCTGGAAGTTCTTGGTCCGGGAGACGTAGACGAGGATGTGGCTGAACATGCGAATGGCGTCGCCGTAGCGGCGGGTCATCATGTAGGAGAAACCAACGTAATAGTAGGTGGTGAAGTGGGCGGCCATGACACGGGCGAACATTGCCTTCTTGTTCATCTCGATGTCGTCGAGGGTCTTGAGGGCGAGGGTGAAGTCACCAAGCAAGCAGTGGACGCGGAGAAGGCCAATGATGGAGAAGTATCCAAGCATCTTGTACAGCGGGCGGGAGCCATACTCTCCGGCGAACGCAGCGGGGTCCTCGCCACGCTTCATAGCAGCCAGTTGTTCGTTGATCTGGGACTTCTGGATGAGGGAGTAAAGCACGTTGAGAACCGAGTAGCATCCCCAGGTGTTCGGGTTCTCGCGGAGGAGCTGGGCTTCCTCCTCGTTGGAGCCGCTGCGGGCGACACGGTTACGATAGCGGCAGAACGATTCGAACTGGTAAATGAACTCATCGATAACATCCCATGCCCAGTAATACTGTTCGAAACCAATGTTAGCAAATCATTTTGGAAAATCAGCCCCGCCGGCACACAAAGAGCTTGTCCCCTGGGCAGCAGGTGCAAATCCAGGTGGAATGCATGAAACACAGGAAAAGTCCACATACAGAAGGAACCTCGAGCTCGACGGGCCCATCCGAGTTCAGGATGTAGTGGAAAAGACTGCAGTAGTTGTCATAGCTCGCAAACTTGGTCTCGAGCGTGGCCTGGTACTCAAGAGGAGTCGCGGCAGCAGCCAGCTGTGCTTGAAGGTCCTGCGTCTGCGAAGCACCCCCAAGCGATGTGGTCCGATCCAGCTCACTCATGCCATCATCGAAGTTGACCTGCTCGCGGTAGTCGTTGACAAGCGCCTCCTCCTCGACATCGGACTCGTCGTTCAGGTTGGGGTGCGCATTGGCGCGCTCGTCGTAGGACATGTTGGGCAGAAAAGTCGATCGAACGGCGACTATGAGCTTGTCCTGGAATTTGGCGACAGCAGAGGGGTGGAGGGCGCGGAGGTCGACTGGCGTGACTCGGCGTTTCGGTGTGGGATTTCGACCGTTCGGCGGTATCGAATTTTGAGGGTTTTCGCTTGGACGATTTGTGCTTATCTTATCTATGCACAAGCCGCTGCTGAGTCAGCTATACACCTTTGGTCAAGTATACCTACACCAAACAGTCAACGTCATCGACAACAGGAGGCAATTGCTGACAATGCTATACGATGAGTTGTCTCAGCTCTAGAGGGTTCCAAGTCCGGTACCATAGGACGGCAGCCCCGGAGGCGAATAGATCGTCGAGTAAGGGCCGGCATTGAGAATATATACTGTCTGTCTACCCAGAGTTATATTCCATACCTAGCTGAACAACTTTCTCTGGTCTAAGGATGATGGGCGCAGCTACAAAATGACTCAGTACTTTCAGCTCTAAGAAGATGATGGCAACTTCAGCCTGTACAGAATAGCCAACCGGTATATGGAGTGAACCTTGACGGCGACGCCTCAAATACACGAGCGAAACCAGGCATGTTTTCTAAGAGCCCGTAGACCGGCAGGGACTTCCCTACCAATAGCTGAGAAAGCTGATGGAATGGTGCAGGGATGTGGTGTTTTCATGGTTACAAAGTCGGCCTGTGTCTATTAGCTTTTGCACATCGCATTAAGGTATAGACCAATTAGATGTGCCTAGGAGCTCACCACTAAAAGACACTCAGTACTTCCACTTCCCCCAAGTAATATCTCCACTCCATGTATCAACATTCGAAAAACCATTGGTTGCTCTTTAACAAGTTCTGACAGTGTCTGGCATTATTTAGCTTACAAAGTTACAGGAAATAATTTGGTTAATGCAATATTTCACGAGGACCAGTTTTGCCATCGAGCTAGCAGGATTGCAAGCATCCCTCAAAAGCCCCCCGAACCTGTATAGACATCACCTGGGCATTGCATTCATCCTTCTTAGACATCTTGATGAGCGTTCTAGATATAGAGTTATCTGCAGAGGCGTGGAAGTGAAGCTTAAGCAATGGTGGAGTTACCATGACAGCTCCTGGCTGGCCTGTTGCACGCTTCGGATCACTTTTCCGCAACTCAACCATGACCTTCAGAAAGGGACCTCAGCTCGCCATGAAGAACTCTAAAGTCAAGTCTCAAAGCTGTCACGCTCCGTCCTAGGGGATCTCGCTCCTCTTCCATCCCTGCTGTTCATAGGGTCGACTGGCAATTTATTGCGTTCACACAGGAAGGTCCACCGCTTCGTGTACGTCTCCTCGTGTCGAAAGTTGTTGATGGAAAGGAGTTTTTTTGCGCCAAACTTGGAATTTCGATGATTCGGCGGTCTGTCTGCCCGCTCAAACTGTGAAACATTGTTGGCAAGTGCGATCATCATCACGTAAACCGACTGTTGATTGGCTCTACCCCCATCGAGTTGACTATAGGATGCCCTTGCCTGAACATCGTCGTTGCTTCGGTAGCTTTTCGGCCGGCTAATCGTCACGGTCAGCGTTCGGCTAGCTTCATGCTTCATGGCCCAACAAAATCCACGTCACATCAGCTATAATCGGACCGTGTCAATATCTCCGTTGCCGTTCGCCTCCCAATATGCCATTCCATACGTTTATCTCCATACCAACAAGACACATTAACGCAACCCTTACGAAGAGTCTGAATTTCGACGGTCAGCTGTCCCGGCGAAGTCGAACGGCGATGACAGATTCGAGTCACGGAAAAAGGCATCTATCTCGCATTTCGTGGCTTTGGCGACCGGGAATCTCAGACTGAAAGACGTGAGGAAGTCATCAAGCTCATTGAAGGCGTTGTAGGCCAATTCGTCATTCAGAAATGGAAGAAGGGTTAAGGCGCTGCACTTCGCGGGCCCAAACATGAGACTTGGCGTCAGTTGCAGTTCATAATGCTCGCGGTATACCTGGAGGTAGTGAGCAACCTGAATTGCAGCACGGATCCGGGCCATTTTGGCTTGTTCGATGGCTGAGGGTTCAATCGACGTCTCGAAGTTCCGTTGCTCTGAGAGAAAGTCAAAAAGCTTGATGATAACTTGGTTGCATTTGACACTGCCAGAAGAAGTTAGATGCAGCTAACGACTAGTGTTAGTGGCTCTTACTGCAGAAAGAGTACTTGGGGGACGGGTGGCGTTTCGGTGATCACCACTCTATCGAGGAACGCTTGAAGGCGTCCATGCAATCCATCGGCTTCTTTGCACATCTCATCGATGCTCATGCTCAAATCAAACGCCTTCTCAAAGAAAAGGTCCTGCATCTCCACGACGGTTTCAGTGAGGTCGACCAGTCTAATCATCACATCGCGAAGAAGAGCCGGCTTCCTGAGGAGTTCTACATCGCTCGAGCGAGAGTGATATGGCACCCAAACCATGTCTCTTTCATGATGAGCTATTTGGTCCAATGATAGCCTGGGTACTCCTAGATTCGCTGACTTGCGAGATTCCAGGGATAACTGCCTGCTCAGCCAGTTAGCATGAATTACGCTACTCGAGCACGATGACCATACGAGTTCAATACGAAGAGACTCCAGGCGGTCCGCGCACTGGAATGCCTGATACGATCTGGCAATCGGTCCCAATTACCATGTCCTGATTTTGGTAGATTGAATAGGCCAATGTCTTGCCCAAGCTGCACGGCCTGTCTGATATAAAGCCAACTAGCATTATCCTTTCCCTGGAGATTCAAACTGGAATAAATCATCAGCATTTAACGCAAGCCCCAATGCAGCATTACAATGCCTTCGCAGAGAACTCACTAATGACTCATTAACGCCAGAGCCTGAATGTTGGCTAACGAGGGCCGACCTTCTTCGGCTTTCCAGCGGATCTCGGCTTCTTCAAAAAAGTGCTGGCCTCGAGAAGCTACATCACCAGGAACAGCGTACACTTCAGGATAAGGCGAGTATGTCTTGCAAACGTCAGCAAGACTCGAAAGGGATGGATCGCAATGAATGGATGTCGAGGTAACTTACGCTGGCCACCGCTAGAATGCTATTCACCAGAGCAGGGCAGCAGAGTTCTGAGCTCAAATCACCCGCGCTCATATCGCGCAGAAACATCTCCTGGTCAACTACCTGCATGAGGGGGTGGTCCCATGTGAAGTATAAAGATACCAACCCAGAGATGAGGTGGTCGTCGTTTGAGACGTTAGTCCAAGGCTTGCACGGTACCTGGAACAAAGGACTATCACATAGCCCCTCCACGCTTATCCGGGAGTCCTTGCGGGCCTCGCTGGCGTCCATTGCAGTATCTTCAATGGGTAAGCCTTCGGCGGAAGCTGCTTGGATGATCATGGCAATGTCCTTCTCCATGTTTTCAACGTCACCACCATTCCGTATTGTTTCGAGAACTCGGTAAACCTTTTCATCGTTGGCCGTGCGCAGGTATCTCAAGAGATCCCACAACAACTTTTGGTAGCGTTCCAGGTCGCCTTGTGCCTTTTGTGCAGCAATCTTCCGTCTCATGTCAGCGTGTTCGTTAAAAACGCAGTTACCATTAGTGGCCTCGCATGCTTTGCATGGAGCCGGTCGTCCAGTGCACTATGTTCAAAAGCAAGAACCGTTAGCTAGGCACAGCGAATCGGGAACGTGGTGACAGGGTTCGGGAGGGGGTCCGGGATCAAGGTTCCCTGGGTCCTCGAATACTACCTTTCTCTTGGCTTGCTTGCAGGGAAGACACGCACTAGAACTCTTCTTGTTCTTCGTCAAGGGCCGAATCTCACGCAACGGCCCGGGACCGGGAGCGATTGAGGCGAGCTGTTTGTCTTTGCCGCTGGGAAAAGCCATCTCCATCAATTGCAGCACGGATATGGAAATGAGAAGAAAAACCAAGCCGCCGAAAGATATACAAGGGTCAAGTAAAAAACTCCGGCAGTAAGAGGCGCTGAGAACTATAAGGCGTGACGCCAATGTTTTCGGAGGGAAAGCTTCGTGAACGCATGGAGGTCCTCGCCACCGTCGCTCTCGCGTTCGATCAGCTCATCTGCACACGGTCGACTTGTGGCACGCGAAAATTCGTCACGATAGAGGCTGATGTTACGGAATGGAAGAAGCTCGCTTCAAGACACTCTCCTCTGTGGAAGGGGCTGGGAAATGAGGAGAAGGGAGGAGAAAGATCGGAATGGAAAGGTGAGTCGGCGGTATGACGAGACGGTACCCTTGATTATGGAGGTGTCGCGTTCAGCGTCGGTGTGTGCGAAGGGCACGAGTCCTGAAAAAGAGTATTGACTGTTAGATATAGGAAAGGCCGATTCTCAACGGAAAAAGAAGCCTCGAAGGGGCAACAGAAAAACGGGGTCCCCTCCATAGAGCGGAAGCCAACAAGGGTGGGAACCCGGAATCCATGATCGAAAATGACAGCCCCGGGCCCTTGGAAAATAATTCCAGACAAGCAAACTCGCATGGGGCTCAGAAGCACCGACGCATACCTACTCTGGTTATGGATGAGCAGGTGGAGCAATTCGAAGGGGAGCAGAAGTGGATGGGGACTGAGCAGACGCGGTGGTGTGCAGGCTGAAGGCAAGGTCGGGGTGCTCTGTGAGCACCCTTCCAATTATGTCATTCGCTGAAAGCATCGTCGGCGGCCAGGGAGCTCCAGGGAGCTCTGGGACTACCGGGAGACTGATTTCATGCTGATGCTGATACGCAGCGATAGCCTCAGCGACTGAAGTCTCGACCGCTGGGCCTTGGCTCTCTCTCTAGCTCACGCGCCCCCGTGACAACATCTATGCCTGCTACGCGCGCACTCTGATCTAACGGCGCCCGTCCCCCTCCGATCTGCGACTTCTCCCAAATGTCAAGAACAGAGACAGACTGGGGAATTGTGGCGAGTGGCCAAACCCAGGAAATCTCACGACAAGAGCCAACGCTCGTGAGGGGATTCCAGCGAATCAATCACACGGTCGATCGACGGTTCCCGGGCTGTCAGGAATAACAGGCGATCTCGTCACAGCAGCCTGGGGCCCGGGCACGCAACTACCGTGCCCTCCGGCGAAGACATACAAAGTACAACAGTACAGAGTCTGGGAAACAACGTTGGCGGGAAAGCCATCCCAATCATCTAGGCCTATCAGAGACCGTCTGGACGTTACTACTCTCGTTATTAGCAGGGGCAGTCTCATCTGTAGCTCGATGGCTGGGCTTTCTCCCACGGCCGGACGCTGAGAAAAAGGATGCGAAATCCATGAACTGTGGATCAGGACAATTGATATATGTAATTACGGCCTTGACTACCGAGCGAGTCGCCTGAGCGCTTCGGGAGATGGACATTCAGCCATCTGGTACAGGGCATACCAAATCCGCTCGCTATTGGGTGGGTATTTTCGGATCGGAATATTGATGCAAGCGTCCTAAGGTCCCTAGACAGGGCTCCAAATTTCGACTTCCTATTGTTACTCTCCTATGTACCATGCCCATCGAGGCTTACCACGTTGTCGGTAGGAACGGTTCCAGGCAGGGCCCGACCTGGTCTACCAATCTTGGAGACTCTCAGTATCAAAACTCAACGGTGGCTCGGGACCCCACAGCGTCTTGTCGGACGGTCCATATGGAGCTCGGAAGTCTGATCAAGCCACTAGTTTGGTGCTATGGCCCATTGCAATAGGTTGGATCTGGCTTCCTTGGATATATTTTCCAGGTGTTTCGGCCCGCACATTCCACGGTCCATGGCTCGCCACTGCTTGAGATGCTCGGTAGTCTATACCGACCATAGTCGAATTGTCCTCCTGCCTCATGCATGTGTGTGAAACACTCTCGAAGGAATCGCACATCTTAAATATCCGGTTGAATCCACGAGTCCGTCTTCATCGAACCTAGAATGCGAATAATTCCGAGGAACCGGCCGTTGCCATGGCCATGCTTAGTCATATCCATGCGTTCACCTGCCATATGCTATGCTTAGTCATATCTATGCTGTCATACTGCCAAGAATTAGAGCCTGAAATTCCAGGTATATATCATTAATGTCAGTGCAGCATTAGACCCTGCTTACTCACTATCAGCATTCTATGCACTGCATTCGTTCCTGGGCCAATCTCGGCTATCCACGGCCAGACGAGGGGCAAAATGGAGATTCAACAAAAAAATCATCATGAAAGTCTTCCAAGAGATTATTAACCTGTAGTTGGCCATTTCTTTGACTAGATTTCTTCCTCTCACAGCCCGACGTTCTCTTATCTCTGCTGTATACCATCACCCCTTTCGAACCCTCAATTGCGGCTGGAGCGAAGTCGGCGCTCCATTGACTCTTTCCTATCGTGACTCATATCCGAGGTCGCATCCGGTCTATAACTATTCACCATAACCCGCTTTATATCAACTTCTATACTTTCACTCTATCAATTCGCATTACATATAACCATGGGCTCCATTGAAACTATCCCGGCCGAGCTCGACGCCTCCGTCGTCAAGATCACTCGCTCCACCGAGCTCCGCCATGTACCTCTTCCCGGCTCCTCCGAGGAGCTCAGTCATTCGTACTGCACCGACCACATGGTTACCGCGCGCTGGACCGCCGCCGGTGGTTGGGAGACACCCGAAGTGAAGCCTTTCCAGAACCTCAGCATCCCCCCGACCGCGTCATGCCTGCACTACGCCACCGAGTGCTTCGAGGGCATGAAGGTATACCGCGGCTACGACGGCAAGCTGCGCATCTTCCGGCCAGACCTAAACGGTGAGCGTCTGTCTAACAGCGCCATCAGAGCTTCCCTGCCGAGCTTCCGCTACCAGGAGCTCAAGGCTCTCATTGCCAAGCTGATGCAGATTGACGGCTTGCGTATGTCCTCCCCGCTACTTTTCGCATCGCAAGCGTCAAGCTAACATACTCAGGCTGGCTTCCCAAGTCCCAACCGGGGCGCTTCCTCTACCTCCGCCCTACCCTCATCGGCTCCGGCACCCAGCTCGGCGTTCAAGCTCCCGCCGAGGCCCTCCTCTTCATCATCGCTGTCCCCTGGCCCGACCCGGCCTCCCGACTCAAGGTTGTCCCCGGCGAAGCCCTCGGACTGAAGCTTCTCGCATCTACACCCGACACTATCCGCGCCTGGCCCGGTGGCTTCGGCTACGCCAAGCTCGGTGCCAACTACGGTCCGTCTCTCGCAGCGCACGGAAAGGCGCAGGCGCAGGGCTTCGACCAGGTCCTGTGGCTGTTCGGTGAAGACCGCCAGGTTACCGAGGCCGGCGCTAGCAACTTCTTTATCGTTTGGGAGAATGCGGAGACTGGCAAGCGCGAGCTTGTGACTGCGCCACTGGAGAACCAGCTTATTCTTCCTGGTGTGACGAGGCGCAGCGTTCTGGAGCTTGCTCGGTCAAGGCTGAACCAGACTGTTGGTGATTTGGGCGCCGTTGAGGTTGTTGAGAAGACGTTCACAATCGGCGACGTCGAGGCGGCGTGGAAGGAGGGCAGAGTTGTCGAGGCCTTTGTTTGCGGAACTGCCGTATGTTTATCCTTTCCCCTTTCTCTTCGTTTTCTTGATTTCACGAGGTCTAACATGGTTACAGTTCTTCATCACCCCTGTTAAGCTGATTCGCAACGGCAATGTCGACATTCCGCTGCTCAAGCCCGGCCAGACTGCGGGCTACGCTGCCCAGATCAAGTCATGGCTTGAGGCGATCATGTACGGCAAGGAGGGCGCCGAGAACCACGAGTGGGCGTACCTCATCGAGAATGAGAGCGAGAAATAGACAATACCTTAGATACAACGATAGACGGATATTTGTATAAACCCAAAGACTATGATAAATTAATGCACAAATAACGAGCTTCCCTGGTTTCTGGGTATCATCTCCAAAAATACATGCCAATATATCATCAATACGTTCCATCCAAGTCCACAACAACAGGCGCATACTCCTCTTCATCATCATGATCAACCATCTCCAACTCCACCTCCTCCCCATCCTCCAACTGCACCATCCCCTTCCTCAACACCGCATCCCGATCCATCTCCCAATCATACTCTTCCCTCACCCACTCCTCCAACCTCCCAAACTCTCTCTTAACCGGTGACTCCCCGCTCTCATCCTCAAGAACCTCATACATCGCCGTCCGAAACCCCCTCAGCAATTTCCGCAGGAATTCCGCTCCTTCCGCGCCCCCTTCACTACCCAGCTGGTCAAAGAGCCCACCCTCCACATCATCAGCACGCTTCAGTTGCGTGAGCAGCAGGCTTAACACCTCGGCGATGAAGGATGCCCGGTCTACAATGGCAGAGCGGCAGGTCAGGATCAGCCGCAAGAGGCGCTTCCATTGTTGTAAACAGGAATAGTTCATGAGCGTCAGGCCCATCAAGAAGGTGAATTGGAGTTCACCGAGGATCTGAGCTTCGCCTTCGGCGATGTCGTTCGTGGCTAGCGGATTTGGACGCGGCTGAGACGATTCGAAGCCGTGGATGATCTCGCCCAGCGCCCACGATTTATCGCGCGCTGCCTCGGTCCTCTCGCGGCCAATTGCGCCCTCCCGCCATGTCATCTTCAGATCAACAGGGAGGAACGAGAATTGCCGCTCGCTATAGTCTTCGGGCCGTTCTTGACTCTGGCCCCCAGTCGCAGCCGCAGCTGCAGTATCAGACCCAACTCCACCCTCCGGCCGCACACCCGAATCAAGACCAGGGATATCATCATCATCCTGCCTCGCCGTGCTTCCCGACGTAACAACCCATCTCGGCCTCCCCTCCCAATCCACCCCAGGGTCCCCAGTAATCCGACTCAGCAGCCGCGGCGACACCCGATTCGTCAACGCCTTCCATTCCGCCCTTCCCTCTTCCTCTTCCTCCTCATCTATACTCCCAGCCCCAGCCCTAGAAGCACCAGGACCGCTCTTCTGCAGAGCCCCCTCGGCAGCCGCGACCGCCGCAGCAGGCACGCGACTCCGATACGCCCACAACCCACCCAATCCCCAAACACCCCCGATATTAGCCCTAAGCCGCATCCCCTCGCCTGCGTGCTGGGCCCCCAGCGGCTCCAGGGCCTCAATGTTGTCGTTCCATCGCCAGACGAGTATATCTTGCGCATTCCCAGTTCCGGACGCGTCAATGTAGAACCACCCGCCAACGCGCAAACTCAACCCCTCCGTCGTACCCGTATACAGAAAGTGCCATCCGGGCGGGAGATCGCGGATCCCGTGAAAATTCGGCGTCGATGTGAAGGTAATCAGGTCGATGCCGACGAGGGTCTTTGGTGGGAGGTGCGGGGTTAGCAGGGTTGGTGTTGGCGTGAGCGCTGACATTGTTGCAGTGTAATGGTTGAGCAGTGATTGCTAGTTGGGATTCGGAGGTTAATTATCGTGGTTGCGCGACGGTCATTTCGTTTGGTATTGTCTTGCGACTTGATGTTTTGTGTTCGGGTTGAGCTTTTCGGTGGTGGAATTGGAGAGTGCGGGGAGATTGAAGATTTCGGATCTTGACGTCAATGCCGGAGGACAGTAGGTACCTATTGGGATAAATGCAAGAACAGCTGGAGAGGTCTAGAGGTCCGGCAAAGGTGTATTTCGATCCCTTGCTCAAACTTCATAGGTCAACGACGCTGATTTGTTCGTTGTATCACATATAAGCGCGAGGTTTACTCTGGTGAGTTGATATATATTTCGGAAGCTTAGAGACCTCGCGGACCACTGCCTCGCTTCTTACATAGATATGCCTACTCAACTGAACACTAAAGATATATCTCTTTGCACTAATGCTCTGTGAGAGTTTGCAAAGCGCTAGGACGCCTGGATTTATATGCAAACATACGCTCGTATTTGATTGTGGCAGCAGTTTTACGGTAATTACTGGGACACTCAATGCATTATATGCAACTCCGTCATATCGTTACGCATCGTTTGTAGGTATGTACAAGATAACGGCCGCTAAAGAGCAGGACATGGACCCCGGAAGAACGAACAAATAAGAACATAAGAAATCCAAAAAAGGAACTCCTCGAGAACCTAGCCAGCCACCCAGAACTTCAACAGACCTTGCTCCATTCACTAACACGAGAAATAGTAACTGGATCGACAAGCTGGGAGAAACGTATATTGTAAGGATAACGGAGGCAGAGATTGACGCAGGTGATAAGATGAATAAATAGTCAGCGTACTACTCCGATGCTTGTGAAGAGCTCGCTTCCGAATCGGAGTCAGTCTCTGGCTGTTCATCTAGCACCACACGCCGCATCACGCTCTTGTCGAAAAGATCGAGAGCGAAGCGTCGGGCAGGCAGGCGGAAGTGGTGACTTTCAATGATGCTTAATGTCTTGCTGAAGAGGTGGACCTGGTGGAACCGGTCAGGGTCCTTGGCTTTGATGCTGTAATGCAACTGTCAGCCTCAAATATAGACCATATGCTTGTCATGCTTACCTATGAAGATCCGCTGCCGCTCTCTTGGACAAAACGGTATTGCCCATATCGGCGACAAGCTTCAGGATCTTTTCGTTAACAGGGTCAGGATCCAACGTGGCTGCTTTGAGCTTCTCTTGAGACGTGCGCTTCGCTTCTGCGGGTCGGGAATAGGACGGGAAATCGACCTGAAATCCTATGTCAGCACGAGTTTCCCAGGGGTGAGTACTTCGTTGTACCAAAAACAGCTTGCCAAAGTCCGTAGGAAGACATAGGCCGAGCGAATTTCCCTTTTGATCAATAGCAGAGTCCCACCCGGCTTGTCTTAGAACCTCCAGGCCATGTTGGCTGCGTGATATTAAGCCCAAGACAAAAAAGGCAGTCCCTCTCATTGTCAAGACCTCTGCGCACTCAGCGACCTTCACAATATCCTGGACAAGCTCTAGGCTTAAGAACGGGGCACCTAGCTCCATCGAGCCAACATTGCCCACTGCCCAGAGGCAACCCTTGACTTTGAGAAGAGTCTCATTGTCCTCTTCGTTAAGTTGGAAATCAGAGATAGTTGCAGCGAATTCGTAGAAATGCCCTGACTGCTCCAAAAGCTTGCAGCCCTCTGCTGTCCGAGCCAATTCTCTGTAAAAGTGTGGAGGTACTAGGCCAAAATCTTGGAGATCTACCAGGTCCTCCGGCACTAAACTATTTCTTCGAGGTTGATCAACATAGGCCCGTGATAAAGCGGCCTCGACAAGGCTGACGTATGCATCGTTCCGTCCTAGGAACCAATCATCCATCTCCTGCGTGATATAGTCGAGTCCATCTAGATAATGATAGCCCACTGAAGTCGACAAGAAGCGCAGGAGCAAAGGAGCGCCGATTTCACCCAAGTGGTCCAGAGACGGGCGACATTTGACCACAATTTCGAGATAGTTGCGCTGATTGCATGCTTCTTCTAAAATCTTCACTGCTACTTGGCAGACGGCAACATCGGGATCATACAACTGAGTAACAAGGAGCTTGATAACCCAGTCTGCATTACCAATTGCTGCGGACGATTGCAGAGGCACATTCCCCACAGTATATTTTCGGAGGAGTCTTGTTCCGAAAATTCGAATTTCTTTAGATCCAGTAGTAAGAGCTTTGGATAGCATAACCTGAAGATGGCTTCCTTGAGTGTAGTCCATGTTTCCAAGGAGTGTTTGTATCAGGTCGTCACGATCTCGGAGCTCGATAATATGATAGAACATATTGAGCATGTGCCACCGTTCCATCATAGCGAGCCCATTGGCGTCGGCGCTCAGGGTTCCCAGCATGGCGAAGTAGCCGCCACTCAGCGTATTGGCCATCTGCTCCCGCGAGAACAAAGGCGCAGAAGATGTCAGACCACTCATGTGGTCCACCTGGGCAAGACATTCGGCAACCTGTCGCAGGAACTTGTTTTCGGCCAGATATCTCGTGCCTTCTGTCGTCTGCACCAGACAGCGCATTAAGGCGCAACCAGTGCGAACATATCGCTGATTTGGTTTCGTATTCGGAAGTACCGAGAATCTATATTTGAAGGGACGATAGAAGCCCATGAGACGTTTCATGAACTTGGATCCCTTGATCGCTTCGTCCAACCTCTTGGGGTTTGAAAGGGGGCCTTCCACAATACGATGAATCAAGTCCCACTTCCACTTGAGATAGTTGACAGTATTCAAGACATGTGTCTCCAAGATTGCGTTGCGGAAAGTTGTCTCATCCATCGCCGGGCTCAGTTTGTCTTTGTTTTGATCACCAGAGAGAAGAGAGGCGGATATATCAACGTCGACGCTATATCTTCCGGCTCCATTGGCGAGACCGCCGAGAGATCGAGCTAGTGTTCTGTTGATGCTTTCTATTTGATAAATAGTAGACGTCGATACGTCATGGTTTTCAACATCAAAGGTAATCGCGGGCGAGATCAGATGCGGGAGAACCTGGAGCTTCGCACTGACGTTTGAGGGTAAGGAATGGTGGGCCAGCTTTAGAACTTCTGTTAACAGCAGGGTCGCTTTTCGCCTGAGCGACAAGTCTTCTTCCTCTTCGATGAGATCACAGAGCGCCTGCGCATTGTTAGTACACGTAAGTCAGCCACTGAGGGGCGTAATACCTTGGACAAGCCAGCATCAATCAAGGCGGCGAGAATAAGAGTAGAAAAGTGCGCAGTCAAGTCAAACTGGCTTTCACTGCTGTCAAAAAAGTTCCGCAGTTGCCTTGTGTCAGACTCCGACCTCAGGTTTGCAACTCTACCGTATGTTGTAAGTCGTCGTCCAGCGAGAAATGAAGAGGACCACGATGGCGGCTTAATCCTCAGAGCATCGAACAGAAGTTCCATAATAAGATCCCTTGCCTGCGGGTCTGGATAATGTAATGACTCTAGAAGTGACCTCAGAGGCTTTGCCCTATTTTTTCCCAGGATCACTAACCCTGGCCATGTCTTTAACATTGCGGAGATTGCCTTTGCTGATGATTTTAGACGTCCATTGCGAATGTTGTCCGACAACGAGTCTGTGAATGGCGCGAGGACAGCCTCGAGTTCGCACCCTCCCCGTAAATGCATCCTGCTGTGAGGGGTGTCGAGCACATGCAGGAAGCATGTTATCAAGCTCTCCGACGCACCAAACGTTCCTTCTGATAAAGCGTCATGTAACGGGGAGAACCCACCCGCGTACGATATCAACTGAGGGTCTCTCACCAGGATTTCGGCGAGGGTCATAAGTGAGATGTTTCGGAGGCGGTCATCATGATGCTCAGCAACAGAGACAATTGTCCGGACAACAGCACGCGAAATCTCCTTTACACCGTCTTTGACATCGAGGAACGCCCGCACGAACTTCAAGGCCTGCTCACGTTCGAGATTTGCTTTGCTCTCTTTGACCAACGACAGTATCACAAGCTCATCCGTGTGAAGGGAACGAATCATCTGAAGCGATTTCCGGTCTGCAATAGCATACCGAGTCAACCGATAGCCAGCTGCGACTACTTCCTTGCTGTCGCTTAGAAGCATAACTTGAACACGCAAACCGAAAACTGACCAAGCAAGATCATACTTCAGAGTAGGATGCCGCCTGAAAAGTTCCACCAAACTGTTTGCACGCTCAACATAGTAATCAGGTGACATCAACTCGATTTCGAGGGCCTGGAGGGTCTCCGCTAGCACATAAGTCGGTGACTCCATCTCCGCCTCGATATCATCCAACCGCTCACCATCGGACATATTAGCACGGGACGGCGACCGTATCGAAGGCCCCTGGAAAAGGCCAGACAGACGGCTCCGAGGAGGGGTTGAAGGCGCCTGCGCACGTAATTGTTCCTCCTCAAGTTCATGATGTAGTTCCGCGAGCTTGCGGTTCGACGATGTCAACTCTGACTCTGCCCTCAATCTTTGGTCCCTTGTTTGTTTCGGGTTCTTCGTCAACAACACTTCCAGCATATTCTCCGTCCCAGTCTTGATCTTCAGCTCCTTAGCAATCCTATCCCGTATTGCTGCCTGGCGGTCCTCCGAAGTCGGCAGCTCGTCATAGTCGATGCTGCTGGGTCTTCGTACGTAGTCGGGCCGTACATCAGCTCGCGGGGTCGTACTCCGAGAAGATTTCATGCTCTTGAGCTCAGCACTGAAGCTGCCGGGCCCTGCTGTGGAAGGAGCCAGCGACGACACCCGCGGACCTATGCTCGCGCTGCCTCCAGACTCGGAGCGACGATTCCTCGCAGGTCTCGATGAAGCAGGCCCGGGCCAGCTACCATCCACGAGTCCGTCATCCTGGCTAGATAAGGAGCGCCCATCGCCGGCGGCTCGGTGCTGGATCGACGTCCCAGAGAAATTCGAGTTGTATCCGGACGCCATGGGGCTCCATCTAGCCGCAAGCGAGGCGTCTCTATCACCTTTCGCGTATGAAATAAGGAATAACGAGTCGCATTGGGTTCACGACGGAGTATCGGCAGCACGCAGCGCGGGCGATAGTTGGCAAGGGCAGGGGCCCTCGTTCGAGTTGTTGTCGCGGTTGCTTGAAGGGAGGGGGATAGCGGCGTGGATAGCGGAGGGAGCGCTAATCGAATCGGAAGTCGAAAGTCACACGTAACACAGGAACCAGAGAGAAGCGATCGGGCGGGAGTCAATCATCCATGAGTGCTTTCTTTAACAAGACAACTTTCTGTCGCTGCATATCTTGCTGTTGGTTTCGGTACGCGGGCGTAGTCAACCTGGGGCTGCTGACTAACCAAGCATCGACATTCATCGATGGACATGTCCAGTGGACATATGTCATGTGAGCGTTTTAAACGCTTATGTGAGCATCACCCTTAAAACATAAGTAAAAAAAATACCAAGCTAGGTAAGTTAGTAATAAACATATAATTAACCTTAATTAACTAATCTTATATAATTAATATAATCTTACCTTTTTAATAATTTTATATTAATTAAAGTTTAATATTAATATTATTAATTAATTACTAACTACTTATTAAGTACTAATTTAATATACTATTAGCTATAAAAAATATTTTTAATAATATAATAATTAAATACCTAATCCCGCGCGGTATAAAAAAAAACTAGGTAATAAAATAAAAATAATTAAAATAAGTATAAAGTGCTTATAAAGCACTTATAAAGTGCTTACTAACCTAGTATATAAATAAAATAATTATATATTTTTAATAAATACCAGGGAACATGACCGCGCTTTAAGGTTATTAAAAGTTAAGTATATTAATAATTTTTTAAAGTATTCTTAGTTATATATTAATAAATATACCTATATTATACTTATAAGTGGTTAATTAAGGGAAAAACTAGCAGGACTAGTTAAAAATATAAGTACTTATTAATTATTAATAAAGCGCTTGCTAAATAATAGCTAATTATTTAGCCTAAATTTAATATATAAAGTATTAATTTAAAAAAAGCAAGCCTAGTTAAATAATTTTTTATTTTTTTTTTAATACTTGCTGTTATAAAATTAATTATTTATACTTTAAAATAAATACTTATAAGTATTTAAACCCTAGGCTAAGGTATTATTATTATACTTATATTATTAATAAAATATAAAAGTAAATTATATAGTATAAGTAGTTTATACCTAGTATAAAAAAAAACCTAAATAAGTAAAATATTAAAAGGTAAGTTATTACTTACTAGGCACTTAGTAATTACTTAGTAACTACTTACTTATTACTTACTAATAATAACTAGCTATTATTATATAAAAGTTTAACTTTTTAATAAATAAAATACATGTTTTAAGCCTTTTTTAAGCTACAAGCTAGTATTTTATTAAAGGTAATAAATAGTAAGTACTTACTAGCTACTTGGTAATTACTTACTAATAAGTTAAAATATAAATAGTAGCTTTACCCCTTATATTACCTATATTAATAATATAGGGGCTTTTTAAATAAAGCACTTTTAATAAAATATTACTATAATATTTTTTAATTTAAAGCTTTTAAAATACTTTTTTAATAAAAATAGGGAGCCTTTATAAAAAAAGTGTGGGGTTATTAAGCCTTTATAATCCTAAAAAAATTTTTATAATAAATACTTATATAATACTTAGTTACTGCTTAGCAAGCAGTTATTAACTACTAGTAGGTAAAAATTATTTTTAAGGCTTTAATAAAATAGAAATTTTATTATATAAAGTTTACTTTTTTACCTTTATACCTATAAATTTTAAGCAATATTTATATATAGTTTTTAACTTATATAATATATATAAACATTTTCCACCTGCCCTAGTAAAAACCCTAAAAAAGATTATAAAAAACCTAGATTAACTAGTAAAATAAATAAATAATTTAGTATAAATAACTAGTAAGTACTTGCCTAATATTTATTAATTACTTATTAAGTACTTATCCCTACCTAGGCTAATTCCTTTGTAACCCTTAACTTAAGGCTTATTACTAAAAAATAGGGTTTTTATACTTGCTAAACTTTATTTAAGTTTTAGTAATAAAAATAAAGTTACTATAATTTTTTAAAAGTAGTGCTTATTATTTTATCCCCAGGGGCAGGATATTAATAGCTTAATTTACTTATATAAAGTTAATAAAAAAGTTAATATAAGTACTTAGTAGCTGCTTAGCAAGCGCTTGTTAACTACCTAAAAATATATTTAAAAATATTTTTATAATACTTAGGATATTATAATTTTTTATAAATACTTAAATAGTATATACTTGCTTTTTAAGCTATACTTATTTAAGATTAATATATTTTATAAGCAAATCCAGGGTAAAAAAATAAATAAGGTTTTATTTATTATATTTTTTATAAACTAGTATAAAAGTAAGTTTTAATTACTTAATAAGTGCTTAATAAACGCTTGCTAACTACTTACTTTACTTATAATTATTATTTTTTTACATGTTTTTACTAGCCTAAAAATAACCAAGGGGTATTATTTATTATTTAAACAAGCTTTTATTTTAATTTAAAAAATAATAAAAAAGCTAGTTTTATTTAACCACCTTTATAGCTCCGGAATTTATGGTCTAGTTATAAATATAAATAATAAATAATATATAAGTTAGCACTTGCAAAGTATTTTTTAAGTATTTATTAATTACTTAGGTTTTAGCTAGTATTTTTATAATATTAATTTAAAAAAGTATAATATTATATAGTAACTTAAGTAAATTCTTATTTTTTATTATATATATTTTTAGTATAATATTCTTAAGGCTATTAGTACTTAGGCTTATAAAAGTAACTTATAAAATTAAATAATAAGCTTGCTAAGGTATAAGTTTAAAAAAAATTATAATAATTTAATTAATTACTTAATTAATAAGTTATTAAGCACTTGCCAAGTGCTTATTAATTACTTATTTAGTACTTACTAATTTTTTTATAAAATATAAAAGTAAAATAGTTTATAACTAGGCTATATAAAAAAAAACTAGGTTATTAAAGCAAGCCTAAATAAGGCCTACTTAAAAATTAAGCTAAAGTACTTTAACTTACTACGTACTTATACTAATATAGTTAAGTAATTTTATTAAAAGTTTTATACTTTAGGCAAGTAGCTTATATTAATATAAGCCCTAAAAAAGTAAGTACTTGCCTAGTAGTTATTAAGCGCTTATTAATTATATAAAATTAAATTTATAGCTTTATAAAACTTAATAAAAATAATATTATTTAGTATAAAAATTTTACAAAGTATGGCCTTTACCATGGGTATAATACTTTAAAAATAAAGAATAATTATTTAAAAAATATAAAAAATTAATAAATAAGTAAGGTTAAGGGGCAACTATTTATTAAGCACTTGCTAATTAATTAAAAAAAATATAAAAGTATTAATACTAGCTTGCTAAGGCCTTAAATACTTTATTAATATAGGGGGTATTTAAAAAGGCTACCTTAAAGTTAGGCAAGGCTTTTAAAAAAAGGTAAAATTAATTATATTAGTACCACCTTTTTTAGCACCTAGTATATAAAATAATAAGTATAATACCTTATTTTTTATTACTTACTAAGTGCTTACCAAGTGCTAGGCCCTTGTAACATGTTATTTTAATTATATAACCCTTTTAAAATTTTATTATTAAAAGGCAGGAGCTTAAGCTATAATAACTAAAGGTATAAATTAAGGCGCAGGATAAAAATATATAAGTAAAGTAATTAGTTAATAAAAGGGTAAAGCTTAAGCTTATCCTAAAATATAAATAAATTTAAAAAAAATAAATATATTTATTATTTAATAACTACTTAGTAGCCACTAGTAAAGTACTTATAAATTTTTAGTTATACTAGGGGCAGCCTACTTTTAATATATATATTAACTTAAGTAGATAATATATTATAGTTAGCCTTATAAAGGACTATAAGAATTTTAAAAATATAGGTTATTTAATAATAAATATATAAATTATTTAATTTACTTTTTATAAACTAATATATATATATAAAATATATAAATAATATTTTATATTAAAAAAAAGTAAGTAAATAATTAGCAAGTAGCTAGTAAGTGCTTAGCCTAACCCCCTTATTTAATATTTACTTATATATATTATTAAGTTTAATATTAATTTTATAACCTAGTAGTTAGCAAGCACTTGTAAAGTAGTTTTTAAAAAAATTAATATATTATATTTTAAAGCTAGTTTAAAACTGCTCCGCGCCTAGTTAGCTAGTATATTAAGTAATAAAAAAAAGTTTTTAAAAAATAAAGGCAAAATAAAAATAACTAGTGGTTACTAAGCACTTAAAAAGCACTTAGTAAGTAATTTAGTTTAATATTATAATATAATAAAAAAAATAAAAAGCCTAAATAAAAAAACCTAGCGCTTGCCAAGCAGTTACTAAGTAATTAACTAATAATTAAAATTTAATTATTACTAGCTATATTAAAAAATTTCTTATTATTATTATTATACGCGTTTTATTATAATTAATAAGTAATTAATAAATAATTAATAAATACCTATTTTAAGATTAGTTAGCTCGCGGTTTATTTTTTTAAAAAAGGGGTTTTATTATAAAATAAGTTAATAAGTAATTAGTAAGTAATTAGTAAGTACTTATTTTTAGGTTTATTTTTTTTTACTTTTTATTTAACTTTTTTTTAAAGCTAGTTTTAATAATAGGTTATAAATAATTAATAATTAATAAGTGCTTAAAAAATAGTTAGCTAGCACTTACCTACTTTTTTTATTATTAATTATTTAAATACATGCTTTTATACAAGTAAAAAAGCGGGAAAAAAGGGTTTTTTATAAGTAATTAATAAGTAATTAGCAAGTAGTTAAAAGGGTACTTACCTTTTTCTTTTTTTTTTTAGTAAGGGTATTGCGGCGGGCTAATACTTAAAATTAAAAAGTAAGTAATTAATAAATAATTAAAAAGCACTTATACAAGAAATTAAATTTTTATAATTAAAAAAGGTAAAATTTTTACAGGGTTTTTTTAGGTTTTAATAGCATGCCTTAAAATTATTATAGGTAATATATAGTACCTTATAGCCTATTTTTTTAACTTTTTTTTTATATTTATAATATAAGTTTTTAAGTAGTTAGCAAGTAATTAATAAGTAATTAATAAATACTTATAGTACCCTTCGCGTTGCAAGGAAGGGGGGGCTTTAAAAGTTTTTTATTAATAATAAAAAAAGCTAATTACTAGGTAACTACTTATAAACTACTTGTAGTAATATTAGTAAAAGAAAAAAAAAAAATATTATTAAAAAAAAACTTAAAAAATATTAGGGGAATTAGCAGTAACTAAGTAATTAATAAATAATTAATAAGCACTTATTAACTACCTAGGTAATATTTTTAGTAATTATATTACTACCTTTTAACTTTTTAATATTTAAACTATAATTACAAACATGCAATTTAAGGTTATGTTTTTTTTTAAAAAATTATAAAAATAAGTAGTTAGTAAGTAATTAATAAGTAATTACTAAGTATTTATAATAATAAACATATAATCCTTTACATGGTAAAACTTTTTTTTAAAGTAAATAATAATATAGCTATTTTCTCCCTGTAATTAACCAAGTAGTTAGTAAGTAATTAATAAATAATTAAATAAAAAAATATAAAAATTAAAAAATTATAAAGTTTATAGCTTTAAACTTAAGTAGTTAGTAAGTAATTTAAAAGCACTTGTTAAGTAATTTATAATAAAATAAGTAAAAAATAAAAATAAACTTAAAAAATTAATTTTTTAATAAATAAAAAATTAAGTAATTAGTAAGTAGTTTAAAAGCGCTTATTAAGTAATTTATAATAAAGTAAATAAAAAATAGGAATAAACTTAAAAAATTAATTTTTTAATAAGTAAAAAATTAAGTAGTTAACAAGTAATTTAAAAGTGCTTGTTAAGTAATTTATAGTAAGGTAAGTAAAAGGTAAAAGTAAACTTAAAAAATTTATTTTTTAATAAAATAAAAAAAAAGGGTAAATACCAAGCCCTTTATAAATATTTAAAAAGCACTTAAAAAAAAAAAGTAACTTATAGTTTTATAAGGCAGGTATTATATTTTTTTTTTAAGCCGTGTTTAAGGTACTATTAGTACTACTTTTAAAGTAGTAAATAAGTAGTTAAAATATATTAAAAAGTAACTTAACTAGTTTTTAAAGGCTTAAAAAGTAATTAATACTTATAACTTTATTAAGCTAACTTATTATTTATAATATTAGTAAAGCTTTAATAATACTAAAATATTATAAAAAAAATAAAAAAGGTTAAATACGCGGTAAAAAATTTTTAATATTTATAGGTTATGTAACCACCAAGACTTAAAGATTACGTAATAAAGGCTCATGTGAGCGTTCAGAATAGCCCAGGTCACCTCAACCCTCACATGTCCACAGCGCGATCAACATGTTTACTATTTGAGTACTACTGTAATGTACAATCCGTAGTTGACAGAGAATATCTAATCTGGAAACTTATCCATATTACCCTACAGTCCGGGTGTCTGCTGCGAGGGCTCTCCAAACCTGATTTCCTCCTATATGTCGAGCTTAATGCAGAGCAATCGTGTATGAACTGCAATTATCTAGGGTTCATACTGGCATTCAACTATGCTACATGTGTGCGTACTCTGCCATTATGGATTCTCATTGCTAGTCTTCTCCAGAATCGTCTTCATCATCTCATTACCAAGTTTGACGGCATCCGGGAACCGCGGAGCAAAGTACTTCTGGATTCTCTCAAATCGGTCACGGTAGGATTCGAAGTCACCAAATGAAACACAGTCAGACCAAGCCTGTAAAAAGTTGACCAGTTAGCATATACTAGATGTCTCGACAAGCGCAAGAAGATCGAGCAAGACTTACGCGAGCCGCAAATGTAAATTCGAGGTCGTCAGACCGGAACATCTTGTCATCGATTGCTGTGTCCAGCGCCTCGTCGAGCAGGTCTGGGTTGCGAAATAGGTATTCTGTGACCCCGAGCCACAACCGGAAGAGCTGTCCAAGTCAGCCAGAATGTCCTGTGTATCGTTGGGTTAGAAGACAATAAGGACAACTAACCGGTGTCGAGCAGATCATATGGTCGTAAGGCACAATGCCCAATTTCGACCAGCAGTCCACGATGGCCAGCAAACTGAGGTGGTTATTCGGCGGCGGCGGAGACGTCTCACGAGTACCATTTGACAGCGAAAACCGATCAAGGACCTCGTCGCTGAGCAGCAGGTCCTGTTTCTCCGTGCCCTCCCTAAACACCGCCGCACCCGCCGCCCTAACCCGGCGCTTGAGTTCATCCCGCTTGCCCTCGATCATGAGCTTGTAGAGCTCCGTCACGGACTCCGCGTACTGGCGTATTTGCTTCTTAGCGGCTGGATTGAGGATCGCCAGGCCGGCGTAGACGTGCCATTTGTTTGAGTAGATGCGCAGGGTGATGTTGATCTTGACGTTCTCGATCCCGCCAACCCAACGCGAGATTTCCCACGGAAATTGTTGGTTTGCTTGCCATGCTGTTCCCATGCTTAGGAAGGCCGCGTGTGTGACGGCCTGGGTATCTGCTGTGATACGGTCGTGCATCTCGCCACTAAGGTAGACATACTTCGAGTTGAAGGACGACAGGACATCCTCGACGAATCGGAGACTCGAGTCTTTTGCGCGGTGCTGGATGAGGACCTGGAACTGGGTTACCCTGGCTAACTCTGAGAAAGATCATCCGATATACACACCAATGGCTGGCCTTTTGGATTCACGTTGGGGCCATGCAGAGAGTGGCATGAGATGATCTCTACATCCTGGGGAAGATGCTTATCGAAGGCTGCCAGCTCGGGGGCTTTGCACGATGTTTGACCACCAACGATGGCGCCGACCTTCGTTGCTTTTTTGCGGCGGTTAGCTGTAGGCCTGACTGGTTATAGCATAGGTAGGACATACAAGGCCCATACTCTGCAACTACCCTGTCGATGACACCGGCCTCTACGCTGTAAAGTATGAAATCGCTAATCCTTGACACAAGATGTCCATTCGGATATATTGTTACGCCACTCTAGACATACAATGAGTTTAGGGACAGACAGCGTGAGCTGCGAGTCGAAGACGTACTTGAGCTTCAAATTCTTGCTTCAATTTATTAAAACTATCGGGCTTGTCACATGCATTTATCCTTAAGAGTTAGTACGGATGTTAGTTACCAAGTACAGTAGAGCACGTTATGCGGTCGTCCTAAGATAGAAAGTTAGCACGAGACCCAGACCGAGCAACGAGGAATCATGTAACGGTAAGGCAATGAAGAGTTCAGACAAAGATAGTAAGGTAGCGAGGTTTTTACATCATCGACGGCCTGCCAGCTCACCAAACACCAGAATGGTGCGAAATGGCTATACTGACAGACCATGCTCGAGCCAAATGCACTCGGGTCATCATATAAAGAAAGCGAGGGAACAGACGGGAGAAGGCTTACCGAAAGATTGATGAAACCGCCTCGCAGAGACAAACCAGAGAGATCATTACCTCCAACCTGCGGCGCTCAACCGCTGGGCGTACATCTTGCCCATGTCTCCCATCCCAATGATGCCAATGGAGGCGGTTTCCTTCGTGAACCCCATATTGCAAAATGATGTGCTTCGACAGAAACTGTCCTGAGAGTTTTCGAGCTAGAATTTCAGACAAGGTGTGCGCAGAGCCTGCTGCTTCGTTGACAATGAAGTGTCACGACAAAGCAACTTTCGAGTCAACAAAAGAAATTTTAAATAGTAGTAAGAGACTGCCCGTTGACCGCCCGCCGGCCCGACAGCTACGCCGATGTCCCGGCTGCCTCAGGCTTGAAAAGCCTCTCGCTTGACCTGGTCACCAGCCAATCATAGACTGCCTATCGCTTGTAGGGCACACGGAACTCCACCAGAGATTTTCTTGTATCTCCAGAGCGGCACGACAACGACTTCTTCCTTTCTCTCCATATTCCATCCCACATCAGCAAGTCGACAAAATGGCTCCCAAGACCAAGGCCCCCGCTAAGGAGAACGTCACTCTCGGCCCCCTCGCCGGTGATGGTATGCGCCCGTTATTTGCAATCGCAACCCATGTTTTCTTCAGAGTTCTAATAGACATGTTTTGGCAGGCAAGCTCGTCTTCGGCGTTGCCCGTATCTTCGCCTCTTTCAACGACACCTTCGTCCACGTTACCGATCTCTCGTACGTCTTTTTGATACCCGCGACCTGAAAACGGACGCCGAAAAGATTTGCGAACAGGATAACTAACGGTCTGATAGCGGTCGCGAAACCATCTGCCGTGTCACCGGTGGTATGAAGGTCAAGGCTGACCGTGACGAGTCCTCCCCCTACGCTGCCATGTTGGCTGCCCAGGACGTCGCCGCCCGCTGCAAGGAGCTCGGTATCAACGCCCTCCACATCAAGATCCGTGCTACCGGTGGTACGTACTTCACATACTCAACCTCGACCAGAAGAACAGGAATAAATACTGATCGCCCTCGCTATAGGTAACGGCACCAAGACCCCCGGTCCCGGTGCCCAGTCTGCCCTCCGTGCCCTTGCCCGTTCCGGCATGCGCATTGGCCGCATTGAGGACGTCACCCCTACTCCTTCCGACTCTACTCGTCGCAAGGGTGGTCGCCGTGGTCGTCGTCTGTAGGTATGTGCGAGTCTACAGCGCGCATTTGCTTGCCTCTTTTCTTCGACTGTCAGGGTATGTTATGTCTTGTGGTCGGTCTGGGGGCATGAATTTGCTAGCTAGGCTTCTCACCTGCTGAATGTGGATGGAATAAACGCGAAGAACGGCAATCCTGCCTGGTCTTCAATTTATCATGTCCGAAATATGATATAAAAGTTCAGTTCGCTGGATGTGTTTTCTGTCTTCTGTTGTAGGCATTGTCCTCGTGTAGGCTTTCTTCGTTTAGCCGTACTATCGGTTTGTACTCGCATCTCAACTAATGGCTGAGCCTACGCCTCGCGTCTTGAGCTTTATAAATCTACTACTATGACTGGCGATGATTCTGCCGTGTGCTTACATAATTCCTCACCCCCGCGGCCCAGGTAGCCGTTCCCGGAGTATTTATAGCCCAGGCCAAGGTAGCTCAGCTGTTGACACCATCTCCTTACTTCAGCAGCATGAAGTAACGACTTGTGCCTGAATATGCATATAACGTCACTTTGCACATAACCTGTCTATATATTAATTTGTCCATACATACAACCAATACCACTGCCTTCCATGGAGGATAATTCTCCGCAATCTCCGTCGCACGGAGACAACCCTGGCTCACAGTCCCCCTCCTCCCGCTGTACGACACCGTCATCCACATTCTCAGAATCGCCGATAGACGAAGTAATCAATGTGACCCCGGATACCGTTGCTCGCTTGGTTCAATGCTCTCGCTGCTCGCTTCCATTCCGGATGCCCCTACGACTTCCGTGCGGAGATTCAATATGTCGCGCGTGCTTACCGCCGATACAGCAGAGGACGGGTGTTTCGTACCCTGCGATCGAGGAACGAAAACAGGGCTTCACATGCTACCGGGTTGGAGGGGAATGCGGTGCCGATCATTGCCTTGGGGACTGTGGGACCGATGTCCTTTTGACGAGGCTTGTCGAGGTGTTCGATGAGATTTTAGGGACTGACTCGAATACGACGAGCGAAGGAGATGTTGGGCAAACAATCACATGGAGTAAGACTCTGTCAGGCGAAGGGGAGCTGGCGCTGGCGCAGAGCGCGGAAATCGGTCCGGATCCCCTGAAGGGCGTCTTTGTCTTGGTCAAAGGCGGTCGATTGAGTTATGATGCGCATGGCATCTGCTATCATCAACCTGACAGAATTACCTGCTACACGAGATTTTCCCGAACACTTGACAAACTTCGAGCGGCGGTGCGCAATGAGCTAGACTGTCAAGTCTGCTATGCACTGATCATCGACCCATTGACGACGCCCTGCGGTCATACTTTCTGTCGCAGCTGCGTATCTATGGCTCTTTCTCATAGCAACTTATGCCCCATATGTCGTCGAAAACTGAACATGTCTTTATCGGTTCGATCAGAGCAAGTCAACAAGAGGCTATCGGACATCGTCCAGACCCTTCTACCGGAAGAAGTAACTTCGCGACGAGCAGACCTTGCCTCTGATATTGATGCGGTCGGAGATGCAAAGCTTCCGCTTGCTGTAGTCTCACTTGCATTTCCAACCATGCCCATTGGACTGCATATTTTTGAGCCTCGGTACCGCCTCATGATTCAAAGGGTCATGGAGAGCAGAAGCCGAAAGTTTGGCATGGTCATGCCCAACCGACGAGGTCGACTTCAACAGGGACTAGGGAGGGCACCCTTTATGCAATACGGAACTATATTGTCCATCAACCGCCATGAACTGCTCCCTGACGGAAGAAGCCTACTTATTGCCACTGGAACATCACGCTTCAAGGTCGTCAGCTGGGACCTGGTCGATGGCTATCACGTGGGAAAGATTCAACGCGTTGACGATGTCTCGATATCCGAAGAGGAAACCCAGGAATCGAGAGAGACGGCTGCTATCGAATCCGCAAGTCGCACTAGGGACGTGCCGATAGAATCCATGTCAACACAGCAGCTCTACCAGTTAGTGCTAGACTTCGTGCTCAAAGAGCGCAGGCAAGGTGCGCCATGGTTACACCCTCGTGTCCTGCTGGCTTATGGAGCATTGCCGACCGACCCTGCTCTGTTTCCTTGGTGGTTCGCGACTGTCCTGCCGAAGTGGGAGGAGGAGAAATACACCTTGTTAGCCACGACGACAGTCAGACAAAGGCTAAAGATTACCGCAGGATGGGTCAAGACACTGGAGTCTCGACAGTGGTATGTAACCTGCACGAATTCGAAGCCGGAAGGGAGTGATCAGACTGGCGTCAATGATATTGACCTCGTTCTCATTCTAGGTTTTCCCGGGGCCGTCCACCGATAGCTGCTGTCTTATGACTAGCCGTCCCTCTCCTCGTCTTCACCATCATCTCTTGGGTCGTGGGGCCTGGGACGGATACTTCGGGGTCTCACGTCGTCACATCATTTGGGCCATTCCCCATGTCCGTCTCAATAACGTTTGGGCCGGCCGGGGCAGTTTCTCATTTCAACGGCCCGGGTTTAATTGCGACAGATGGCTCGGATACGTATCTATCCCAAACCCTAGTGCTGGGTCTTTTTCTAGCCATATTCGCGACACAGATGGCTGCCAATATCGTCCAAGTAGTAAGGTCGAGGCGGCCGGCAAGAGTAGAAAGCACCCAAGCGCGGAGGCAGCAGCCCCAGCTACCGGTGGAGGTACAAGATGAGACTGGGGGAGGACAAGGTCAAGACACAAATCCAGTTGATATAAATCCTGGATGACACGTCTGAGTAATTTGTCAATACAAATATAGGTACGGGCTGGTACTGATAGTTCGGTCGATCGCAGCCCGGGGCGCTGCATAGATCAACTTAACAAAATTAACCAGCATGTCATCCTCGGAGCCAGGCGCTTGAGGGCCGCAGTGGACTCGGTTCTCAGACGACGACAGCCAAGGTAGGATGGCGTGCTCGGATCCAAGATGTCGCGCGAGCTATCAAAATATGACCCAGCGCGTCCTTCCGATGAAGCTCCCGCTCGCGAGTCGGGAGTCTCGCGAGTCGCTCAAACCCTGCCGAGATGTGGAGTCGGTCACGAGTCGTCGGCGATGCCAGTTAAGATAGGCTCGTGGGTCCGAAGGCAGTTCATGTACAGTTAGGGTGACAAGCCTAGTTAGATAAGAAGAGGACGCACACTCATTCGTCGATGCTCTAAGAGTCGGCGCTAACCCGTAGTCAACTGTCACTCGACAGCTTACCCCGTTAGTCGCTTTATCGATGGGAACCACGGGCGAATCACTGGGACGCGCCAGCACGGATTCTGATGGAAGAGAGGCGTAACGGCTGTACCGGAAGCCAGCCTCATCCAGTTCCAGACATCTGATGCCACGACAACGGTTATGCAGTGATTTCCATTGGCGGTCACACCATCGTCCAGATGCGACAAACGATTGGAGCGGCGGTCTCACATATTGTTTGCTCGTTGACTGGTTGCGATAGGTCCTCTTCTTCACGTAGTATTGCTAGGATCATCAAAGTCGCTTGAGGAAGGACAGGAGGGATGCCGTTCTGAAGTTGCAAGTCGTTGCAAGCCGATGGGTCTGGTGAGCGGTTCGGTGCCATCTGGGATTGCGGGGTCTTATCAGATCTGTAGATCTCGGTGGGGACGGGGGGCAATCCCTGGCGAGAGTCTCAAGCTACCGAATATGTAGATGCTGTTGGGAATTGGATCCTGGAGGCAGGAGTGGATAGCCAGATTGCGAGAGCTAAGCTGCAGGGAGGAGCTGCAGAGGAAAAGAGCCAGAAGGACCGTGGTCGAAGAGGAAAAAGCAAAACAGCGTTAAGGCGACGATCGCAGTTGCAGCGGCAAACGTGGGGAGTGGTCTTTCGTCCATGGTCGCTTCCTCTCTTCTCCTCTCTTCCGTCAACTTCTTTGGGTAAGACCGTTATTCCTACCCTTCTTTACATCCTTTGCTAACAAGGCTCAGAATCAGCCGCAATGTCATCATCTCTTGGTTCCGGGGTTCTACCCCCGGTGTCTCTGTCCCAAAGGTGAGAACCTCATTTACCTCTCTTATCTGCTCTCTATGCCACTTCGACCATGGCCTGATACGATTCGATCTATCAAATCGTTACCGATCGCTTACATCTATTAAATCCTCACAGGCCAAATGCAGTGAGTGATATCTATCACCTTCAGCTTTATACCTCTATCTCATCCGTCTCGCCAGAATATGCCTTCGAAATCAGATTTCGTGACTATTTCCAATGCGGAATATCAACGTCTGGTCAGTCACCGATCGATAACTTCAGTGTTACACCCAAGCTGACTGCTATCCAACGCGAGCAACAGCTTGAAACCGCGCGCCACTTCAGTACGTGTTATCAGTTTCCAACACCGGGCGTCATTAACAGCCGACAGCAAAGCTCAAGGATTCGCTCATGAGCGGAGGGCTATCTCGCGAAACCCTTGATGTAGGGACTTGCTTGCCTAGGCGCATACCTTCCCCGGCTAAATTCTCAGATAATCCTTTACGGGGCGCCGCCCTCTCCATCAGAGACCCATGAGAATGGTAAAGGGGACGTTGCCAGAAACCACGTCCCGCAGTCAAATGGTAACTCAAAAACGTTTGTTGCGAAACCACATCAGAACCATGGAAGCTTCGCAACGGATCTCGACGACGACGGTGACGATGACGATGACGAGGGTGCCCTGACGGATTCTCACACAGGTGAGAAGGACGATTACGGAGAGTCTTCGGGGAGCGCATCGTCCTCGCCCCAAGCCGAACAACGCACCGTGTTGATCCGAGGTCTCCCCGACAAGGCTACTCATCGCGATATTGTGGACGCTGTAAAGGGCGGCGCCATCCTGCATATCTATGTTTGGGCCAGGGATCACACAGCAAGTGTCTCGTTCGTGGAGGAATACGCTGCTCAGGAATTCTTGGACTATTCAAGGATATATGGGTTGTATGTGGCTGAGAAAAGAGTGAGTACTGCACCCCATCAAAGATAGCCGGACACTCACGTTGCCCTATCAGGTGGAGGTCTTATGGAATGACCGCCAGTTCTACCTTCCGCCGTTTGTTCGATCCAAGATCTACAATGGAGCTTCGCGGAATCTGGTCATCTACAACGTCAACCCGAATATTACTGAAGGACACATCAGAAAAGATATGGAACACATCCACAACCTGATTGTGATCTCGGTCAAGTTCAAAAATGGCAACGCCTACATATCAACGAACTCTGTGCACAATGCTCTATTTGCGCGCTCCTGCATGATGTCTCGCCTGACCTATAAAGGAATGAAGATCGCCTTCTTTCCCGACGAATGCGCGGAACCACTGGCAAAGATACCCGCTAACCCTAAAAGGGACGCTCCAGCTGCGAAGAAGCCCGCTTCCTTGCCTAACAGATTTCACCTTCTCTCTGTTGATGGATCGGAAGATGAGGAAGGCGAAGAAGTTGCACTGGGAGTCAGTCTCAACGGCGATGCCCGCTGGGCCGTGCCCGCTTGAATACTCATTGTTTGAGCCTCATAATAACCCCGAAGACGAGGCCTTCGATCTTGGTGACACCAATGAGGCCACGGAGTCACTCTTTTCATTCTTTTGCCCTCATCGACGTCTTGTCTTCTTCGATTGTTGACAAGTCTTACATCTTGATGTAATTCATCTTATTCCATTCGCGATATTTAGTGGGGATTGGGGAGATTGTTCACAAGCATAGTGGAGAGATCGCAGCGCGGGGAAACGGCGGCAGGGAGACTTCTTTCAGCGATATGTACTAATATAACTCTATTCAGCGTATTCGTGCCACCATAGGTAGCCTGTACTCGGCCACGGCCGTGTAGATGTATTAGGGATGTTCGTTTCATAAGATGGGTGTTCCATGAAGAGCACATTATGGCGTCTGGGCCCAGATCCCCAATCACAGTAAGCACATAGTTGAAGAACGGAAACTGGGTGATATTGCATATTCCTGGCCTATACTAAATCCAGTCGAGACAGAGCCAGTGTTGCACCATTATTCCACCCCCACTGCAACAGTCAAAAAGGTTGTACATGATCCCCCGACTGCCCAGCAGGATGCGACATCGTCATCCCTGCATCCCAGGGGTCCCAACACACCTCACCAAGCACAGACACGGCACAAGCTTCCCTCCATCATCTTTCTTTCCCTTGCGATACCCAGCATTGAAACCGTGAAGAAAAAAAATTCTTGATATTCTTTTTTTAATTCCGAGACAAGAGAAGACAGGATAGATAACAGAAACCGCTCCGCGCCCACCGAACCATCCGCAAAAAGACGAGACGCTTAACGGTAGGATTTCTGGTACCTGGCGCGGGCACCGCGACCACCGAACTTCTTGGGCTCGGCGCGGCGGTTGTCGGCAACGAGGAGTGTGCGGTCGTACTGAACGAAAGCCTGCTTCAGCTGGTTCTTGGAGTGCTCGTCGACGTACTTCTGGTAGTAGGCGACGAGGGACTTGGCGATGGCCTGGCGGATGGCGTAGACCTGGGAGGTGTGACCACCACCGGTGACGCGGACGCGGATGTCGACACCGGCAAACTTGTCAGCACCGACGATGAGGACGGGCTCGTAGGCCTATTTCGATTCATGTTAGGAGAGTTCGTTCGAGGTGTTGCGGGGTGGGTGCGGGTGTACCTTGAAGCGGAGGATCTCAGGCTGGACGAGCTGGAGGGGCTGGCCGTTGACCTTGATGAGACCCTTGCCTTGCTGTGCGGTTGTTAGCTGCGTTGTTCCTTTCAAGCCGTGTGTGGTATTCGTTTGCAAAATCAGATCGCGTACGGGCCGGGGTCGAGTTTCGGGTGCAAAATCTGTGCGGCGTGCGTTGGGTGTCGTCCAGCGATGGTGATCGTTCCCCGTGTCTTCGTCATTTTCCACCTCTTCCTCCCCTGAACGTAATCCGTCCTCGATTCCTGTTTCACGCATCCAAGGACCATACCGAACCGTAGTCGACCCGACTCAATCCCGCACGCACATAACCCGACCAGATTCCGAAAACAAAACTCGTGCGATGGCGATGGCGATGGCGATGGCGATGACGACGCGATATCCAAGTGTAGACGTGTACGAAAAACGAAAAGCAATCTCTCATACCTTGCAGTGGGCGACAGCGGTGGCTAAACAAATCGAATGCGATCAGCCTCAATTCACAACTTTTTATCGATCCGTCTCCCAAGGCCAGACTTACCCGTCTTCTTCTTGCCGAAGCATTGCACACTCGGGACGGAAGCCATGGTGAATATATGGCCCTTGTCGGTGTCGAAAGGGGAGTGTGCTGGGTGGATTTGGTGGGATGAAGTTGTCGTCGACGTCTTGCACACTTCTTTCGATTGGGATTGATGGGGACACAATGTTCCGTGCGGGTGACTTCGCTTAGTCTCGCGCTAGGCGGAATCGGGGCGGGCATGGTAGGGCTTGCGGGCTGCTCACGTGATGTCTGGGCCTGAGCCCGGGGTATGGTTCATCCGGCCCCGGGCAGACTCCGCGGCCGCAGGTTTGGTTTAGTTGTGCTGGTGCAGTGCTCCATTAACAAGTCGAGTTACGGCATTGCGATTAGACCTGGACCAGTCAGGTTGATACGGATTCGAGATGTCGCAGACCGTTGGGAAGGTATGTAGTACACCCACAAGTCCCCTGAGCGTTCATCCTCCGCCGCCTCCGCACTTGCAGCCGCAAAAAGTTCCCTGCTAACAAACCATACAGACCCGTCTTGCCTACTCCCGAGTATGGCACCACGTTGACGTCGGCACAGACGGCCGCAGTCTCGGTCGCCTTGCCTCCTCGATCGCCCTCATCCTTATGGGCAAGAACAAGCCAATCTATGATCCGTCCACGGACTGCGGCGACTACGTTGTCGCCGTCGGCTGCCACGACCTCCGCACAACCGGCAAGAAGCGGTTCCAGAAGCAGTACTATACGCACACCACTCGTCCCGGTAGTCTGCGCAGCATGACAATGGACAAGATGTTTGAGAAGTGGGGTGGAGGTGAGGTTCTGCGACGTGCCGTGAGGGGGATGTTGCCGAAGAACCGGCTGCGGGACAAGCGATTGGCGAGGCTCAAGAGTAGGTTTCCTCTCCTACTTCAATTATGATTTCCTTATGATGGGTAACTAACTGGGCGCAGCATTCGAGGGTCTTGACCACCCGTATAAGGACAATATCGTCCGTATTGGGACTCCCTCGAAGATTGGAGAGATCCCGGAAGTGAAGGCGGCTTTCCAGGAGGCCAAGGTCTCGCAGTAAGGCGGCTTCGGTGTGACTGTTTTGGTTTGATTGCTCGACTAGATACCAGCGGCATATACTGTATTCTATGTATCACTTTTGTATGATATTTCTAGCGCATGGTTGGGAGTTAATGTTCAATTGTTTTTCAATTGCCGTTTTCAGTTTGCTCTCCCCGCCGGATGTCTCCATATTATTCTCCAGAGCATGAGGCCTAGTAGGGTACTTGAAATACTGAATAGTACTTTGTATGTAGAAGTAAATGGTATTCCCTGTCCCGCTATGTACAATCCTAACTCCGTCGTAATGTATACAAAAAGTCTAGTCTATAGCCATCTATAGCTTAGCCTTGGACTGACGGCCGACAGTGCACTTGATCAGTCCATTAGGGTTTGTCTGAGGAGCGAACACCTCGGCGTCCTTGCCAGTGTTCTTGAGGCCCTTGTGCCAGCTCAGATCTAGGCCACGGTCGTCAGCGAAATAAGTACAAATGAGGAATACGCATATACTCACCAACTTCAAAGTAATGCTTATTGGGCAACGAGTACTCCACCGTCTCGACCAGCGGCTGGTGCGCCAGAATCTGCTCACCCATCTTATACATGGTAGCCTGGACACTGGCACTCTCCTCCTCGGCAAAGGTCTTGAGGGTGATATTCCGCGCCGCCTCCCAAGTATCATCGAACTTGGGGATATTCGCCCGGACCTCGTCCAGGCCGGAGAACCTCTTCCACGCCCACGTCGCCTCAACATCGGTGCTGAGAATACGGTCCCAGACCTCGGGAAGAGTGGTGTACTCGTCTCGGACGAAGCCCCAGAACTGTGAGCCCGTGCTCTTGAGCACAGTGAGCTTGTTGATGGAAGACTTGATGTCGATACCGGCGCCCTCGGTCACGTCAACCTGTACATTGCGCGTCTCCTCGCTGTCACGGACGAACGAGTGGGGGTGCGGCTTGCCATCGACGTTGAGGCGGGTCCAGCGGTGCGTGATGATGTTGGTGTGCGCGACATGGATGTGCTTGTACTTGTTGATGAAATGGGTGCCCAGGATGGAGCCAAAGAGCTCGGGGGGTGTGATGGGGTTCTGCTTGGCCAGAATATAGATAGTGTTTTTGATAGAGTCTGTCGCGACGACGACGCTGTTGTCGGCTTTGGTGTACCTAGTAGATCTATATTAGCTTTGCTTCGGTGTATGGCATGAAGGAAGGCACGTAGGCTTACGAGGTGTCAATTTCACCCTCCAGAAGCACGCAGACGGTCATCTCAACAACGGTCTGGACCCCTGTCTTCTCATCACGGTGGACTTTGTAGACTCGGACATTGTCCTTGCCATAGCGGGCAGCGGCAACGGTAGACATGGCGATGAGCGTTGGGGATAACAAGAAACGACAAGGAAATCTAAGCAGTCTAGTCGGAAATAATAGCTTCACGGGCAGACCGCCGTCTTTAAAGAAGCCGGGACAGGAAATCTGCGACGGATGGCCTGATGGAGAGCATCGGCCACCTCCGATGGCCGCAACAATGGCCGGCCGCAGCCCTCCCAGCTTTATCTTATCAGCCCGGTCAACGCCATCCAGACCAAACCCCGAACACAAAGAATGTTGGTCCGGATGCAGCTCAGCGCCTTTATTATTGTACGTTATTAGTACAAAGTACTACTACCGCGGGACTGTCCCTTCCATCACCCTCTTCTTCGGATTCCGCTTCAGCAGATCCTGCCTCTGCGCTTCGTCCTCGCTAATATCGTCTAGGTTCGTTTCCACCTTGCTCAGCGCTTCTTTCACCTCCGCCTCCGAGTTCTCATGCCCCGCCGTCGCAACAGCCAGAATCTCCTTCTCGAGCCCCTGCACAACCCTCCACTCGATCCCCGCCTCCGTCAACATCCTACACCCCTCCGACTCCCCCACAAACGTGGTCGGCTCCTTTACCCCGAAATAGACCTTCTCGATCCCCCTGCGCCCATTTTGTCTCGTTTGTATAATCCGCTGTACGCAAGGTAGGTTTCCCGATAGGCGCTTCCCGCACGGCTCCATCGTTACGTAGAGGACTAGTTTTCGGCCTGGTGTGTCGGGGAGGACTTCTGACACGCGCTCGTCTGGGACTGAGTGCGTGGAGGCGTATTTTGATAGAAGGCACTGTTCCGCGTGGGTATTACCCGGTAGTTCCATTGTGTAGCCTGTTGCGAGGGTCTCATCCTGTGCGGTCATAATGTCGCCGTCTTCGCGGGAGACGAGGAGAGCGCCGACACGGAAGTTTGTGGGGAGCGAAGGGGCTTGTTCGGCGAGGTTGAGGCATTTGTGAAGGTATTGAAGGTGTGGAGAGCGCATCTTGAATAAGAAAGAGAGTAACGATAGCTTGGTGGTGAGTTGGAGAGCTAGAGCCCGGGGTTTTATAGTAGTGGTGGGGAACTGATGTCAGTTGTTTGAACCTTAGCGGCGATCTCTTCCTCGGATTCTGTAGCAGTACGTAGACTACATTCCTTTTCGAAGCTCAAGAAAATCAAAATATCCTTATGATGCAAAATATCGGCTAGAAAAATTGAAAAACTGACCATGGTCCAGTCAGCACGGCCCCCATGGCTCCTTGGAGCACGCTCCTCAACCGTCTTTATCGTAGCCACGGTTTGGATTTCTTCATTCACAGTATGTCAATCCCAAAATGATCCGATGCCTTGCTAATGATAGTTACAGGGCTACTTTCTCTATGCAATGGTGTGGACAACTAAGCCAGCTTCTGCCAGCGCGATTGACATGGCATCTAGGTTGTCCCCATCCTCCCAACAGCCCTAGTCGAGCGCGCGCATGTCCCATATCAAGACCGTAAGTCTCTCCCTCTTCTCACCACCACATGCTAATCAATAGCAGGTGAGTACTGGGTAAGTCTCCTCCTAATGAGCGAGGCTCTAACCGCCTTCCTCTGCTGTCCACTCTTCGGGTACCTTATCGACATCGCACCGACCCGTCGCCTTCCGTACCTGCTAGGCCTGCTCTTCCTCGGCGCCTCAATGGGCCTCCTCGCAGCTGCGAGGACAACAACCATGTTTGTGATTGCTCGCCTGTTGCAAGGATGTGCGACGGCCATGGTTGCTGTTGCAGGACTGGCACTCCTCACGGACTCCGTCCCTCTCGATAACCTGGGACAGACAATTGGGTACCAGGGCTCTGCCATTGCGCTGGGATTTCTGCTTGGTCCGTTGCTCGGTGGGATTATCTATGACAGGGCCGGATACCAGAATGTTTTCCGGATGGCGTTTGCGCTTGTAGGTGTGGATTTGATCATGAGGGTTGCCATGATCGAGAAGAGCGTTGCTGCTAAGTGGACTGATGAGAATCCTTCCGCTCGGTCTTCTACAGGGCCTATTCTGTCTACCCCGGGAGATGACAGATATCGAACCTTTGCAGATGTCCAAGGGACAGAGGCGGAGTCTGATGAGTCTGCACTCACAGATGGGCAATCTCAAAGCCGCGACCATGGACAAGAGGACAGCAAGCCGCCGACGCTCTTCCAAATAGCGAAGCAACCCCGAGTCGTCATCTCCTCATTTGGTCTTCTCGTTCAAGGCCTTCTATTCTCCGCTTTCGATGCCGTAAGTTGCCCTCCATCCATAGAAGCCCTTCGAGATCCGCGGACTAACCCCAACGCAACCAGACAATCCCCATCTTCGTCGAAAGAACCTTTAACTGGACACCCTTGGGCGCAGGACTTGCCTTCCTACCATCAGCCCTAACAGCTCTGCTGGAGCCGTTTTTCGGTATGCCGCTTCCCTCTTTCTCAACCCTAGTCCCAATCCAACCTCTCCACCCGAGGCTTCTAGTACTAACGCAACAAAAGGCTACATCTCCGACACCCAAGGCCCCCGCCTCCCAACGTTCACCTCATTTTTCATCCTCCCCTTCCCCCTCCTCTCCCTTGCCTTCGTCACCACAAACTCCCCCTTCATGATTTCGCTGCTCCTAACCCTCCTAGCCCTAATCGGCCTGCTCATAAACCTCGCAACGCCAGCCCTCTTCGTCGAAACGCAAGACGTCCTCGTGCGCCTCCAAACCGCTACCCCTACACCCTTCCCCGCTCCGCAAGACCAAGACGAAGACCTACCACACCCCGCGAACCCCCAAAACAAACAAAGTCCAGCTTCAAGCCAAAAACATGTTAAAGGCATAGCGCAGGCCTTCGGCATCCAAACAATGGCGCAGTTCCAGGGTATGTTTCTGGGTTCATTGTGGGGCGGGTTCGTGGAGTGGCGGTTTGGCTGGAAGGCTATGGTCTATTCCTTGGGGGTGCTGTGTTTTGTTACGAGCTGGATTATGTTGGGGCTTGGGGAGGATGCGGGGGGTGATCGGTCGAAGGGTGCGGATGGGGGTGGAGAGGGGAGGAGGTCTTGGGTTAAGAGGTTGGGTTTGGGAATGGGGTTAATGTGGAAGGAGAAGAGGAGGAAGCGGCGAAGTGCCGCATCGGGGATTGAGGAAGGTGGTAGAGACGGGCCTGGGGATATTGAAAGAGAGGGGCTTTTGGCTGGTAGTGGGAGGGTGTAGTAAGGGGAGTATAGGTACGAGGTGAGTGCCTGGGTCATACATAGAGATTGTCTCCTATATTCCCTGCACCTTGGAAGTTCTGAGAGAGTATGTGTCACAAAGTCCAAAGAGACAAAAATGAAACAGGGTAAATTAATGGAATGAAGAGTGGTGTATTTGCTTCTATACTTTTCAGCCGTACGCAAATAGACAGACGAACTGATAGAAATCAGCACAAGTCAGGGCCAATATCAGACCTGGAAACCATGTACATGTAGGCTCTGTTTTCAAAATTCTTTCGCACAAAAAGGGAAGCGCCAACGGTGAGAAACAAGGGAATCAATCGCAGCAGGAAATGAATGAAAGCTTGGTCCAAGCATAGCACCGCAGTAAAATAGCGACTGAACGAGGCTAAATGATTCGAACGCCCCAAAATGCCCAGCTGAAAACGCCCAATCCCGGTCCAGCCAGTCGAACTCCCGTCATGAAGTTATTTTATATCGATAAAGACTCATTTCAACCCGTAATACTTCAGTAGAACAAGAAAGCGATGGAGCTTGAATAGACAGACCATCACAGACTCAGCTGGTCAATGCTCCCAACCCTCCCACTGCCCCCTAATCGTCCACCCCCCTTGGTGACCATTCCCAGCCGGTAAAACCGCTCCTCTCCCGCGGCAGTTTTCCCCCCAATATACCATTTCTCGGGGCCAAGTGCATCCCGGAAACCACCTGAGCCGCTCGAACTGTCGCTTCCGCGGCGCTGGCGGTCCCGGTCTGGGGTGTTTCTGATGGGTATAGGGGTTGAGGAAGTAGGCGGAGAAGACGGTGATGCATAGGAGTCGGTTGCAGCGTTGTTTGGGTGTGAGTTCAGCGGGGCGCGGGAGTGAGAGTGCGTTCTTGTAGGCTGGTGGTGATGGTGGTAGTGGTGCGTTGAAGTTGAATGCGTCTCAGAGGCTGCCGAAGAATTGGTACCGGTACCTGTAGACGGCGAAGCGGAAGCAGACGATGTTGAAGACGAAGATGATGTGGCCTTTGTAGCTATTGCCCGGGCGCCTTGCGAGATCTGAGAGGGGGATAGCGATGTACCAGTGGCGGACTGAGAGCTGGCTGTTGATGCTTTGTAGGTTGACTGGGCGCGAAATGCAGCTAGAAAGTTCGCCAGGAAGGGGCGGTTGGTAGACATTCTGCCCTGATTGTGTCTATGGACTCTGGGAGCGAGGAAGATGATGGTGCTTGAACCCGGCCGTCGGTGTGGATGTGTTGGTCGATCACAGGCGGCTCGGGATTGGGAAGTTATCGGGGACGGGAATAACTGGTGGCGGAGATTGGTAGTTGTTATTGGAGACAGCTGCCGATGCCGACAGGGACTGGGGAGAGTGAGGCAAAGGAGAGAGGCAGGGTTGTATAGCAGAAAGACGATGACTGGGAGTTGGAAGGAGTTGTAGAAGTTACCGTGAGCCCCCGATTCAACCCGTGGGCAACGACCAATCAGAGGCTGCTGATATCGTGGTGCGGCGGTGACGTCTCTGAGACCCCACGTTGACTCCAGACTCCAGTTTAGGTCTCCAGGTTGAATGGTTCCATCTCCATGTTCGCAGTAGACGCCGGCCTGGTATTTATTCTTAGGTCTCCCCACCGAACGGATGAGGGGTCGCTGCGGCAAAGGGAATTATCGGGTCTCGGATGAAGGGCGCTCAGCAATAGTGCATCCAGCTATGGCTATAGATTAATGACTCGTATGACAGATCTATAAATGTATTTCTTATTCTCTCGGATTTTGCTCTATATTCTAGCTTTTGGTCTTCTTGGCTTTTTCCATCAGAGCCCTGTCGGAACTGCAAACAGGACCGTAAAATGAAATAACAGACGTATCGAAGCTCGAGCTGACCGGCGTGCACATCAGGACAGAGCAAACAAATGACAAACTGCAGCTCTGTCGAATTTCGCACAGCCGGCCGTAGACATATGTAATCAGTGGAAAGACAGAGACCGTAAAAAATAAAGATACAGACAAACACCGGCATGTAACGGGCGCAGCAGAAACAGAAAACAGGAATTCTCCGAGGCCACAAGCTGTCCAGAACATACAGACCTACTTTCATCGTTATGAACGGAGAAAAAGATGCAGGAGGAAACGGCCGTGAGTTTATGCAAATGGAACCCGAAAACCTGTGAGTCGGGATCGATAGTCGACAGAAGCCTTCCGCGAGGGAAGATCCTTAGGTCGTATTGGAAGTAAAAAAAAACGAGAGGAACCAGAACCGCAAACACAATAACATGCCCGAGTCTATAGTTGGACGCCGGATAAACCACACCCCATGCCGTCGGCCACTCATAATACCGCACTCGCCGTTGGAAAATGCTGAAACGATTTTTGACAAGTTGAAAAATAGAAACGAACTTGACCAGATACCAGCAGAGAAATCGTTTTCGTAAATGAAGAAGCTGGAAATCGAAGGAAATATCATGTGGAGAGTATGCATGCAGGATCAACCCCGTTGAGTAATTCGACTTCTTCGTAACGTATTCGAAAATCGCAGCGTCTTTGGTTGTAAGAACAGGAAAGCGTAAATCTATTTTTGACGAATATGATCTCAAGCGGAGTAAAATACAGGACACGCGGTTACTTTCCGAATGTCGATTCAATTCGCATCTATTGCCTAGCAGGCTGAACGGCCGCTGTGAGATAAATTAGCCACTAGTCGCTTGAGTTACTTGAAAATGTAGGCTTGTAACTTACCGTCGTTACTCATGGTAGGAGCCATGTACATGCCGTTCAATCCATTTTCCTGCGCACCAGAGGTAGTGGCGGGGTAGTACTTTCGCTCGCTTTCGACATGAGCGTGGATCGGCTCTTGGCCACTGGACATGGACTGGGAGAACACGGGGTTCATGTAGCCCTCTTGGGCTTGAGCTTGGAACATCGAGGTCCAGTCGAGTTCAGGGTGGCCGGGATGTCCTGGCATCATGGGACGCTTGGCGTCTTGAACGACCGGTTGTTTTACCTGTTCGAGGGGACGGTCAATATTCAGCTGCTGGCCAGAGGGGTCAGCACCCGGCTGCACGAGATACGGGCTCTGCTTGGGAGCTTGTGGCCAGGGGGCTCCTTGATGCGGCCGGCCACCGGGATACGCGTCTTCATGCTGACCACGGCCCATCCCATTGACGGATGGCATTGGGTAGCCCATGTTCTGGTGATCCGCGAACCCTGGCCGGACCGGAGCCAATCCATTGCCGTTAACGGCTCCCTCGCCGTAAGTCGTGCCCGGGATGCCATTGGGAGGCGGGACGGTACTACTGACTTCATCCTGGACAGGTTTTACAGGATTTGCCGCAGCTTGCTGTTGGGACTTCCTCACATGCGCGTTGGGATGCGACAAGTGAGTTGCTCCGGTGGGGTTACCACGCCTGATTGAGCACTTTTGGAAGTGACGCTTCAAGATATCACTGCGAGAGAAAGTGTCCTTGCAAAGAACACACATGTACGGGCGGTCACCGGTGTCTGCGACGGCGAAAATTAGCAACTATGATCTTGACTCAAAATACATACGGCAATACTCACGGCGCAGAAGATGGCGCTTCAGATGTTTGGCGTGGAGATAGGTCTTGTTACAGTTCGGGCAAGGAAACTTGCCATCCGCATCCTTGGCCGGAATGGTAGTGTTCTTGCCAGTGCCGTTGACGCCATTCGTGACCGGAGTGGCGCGGTTCGGCACGCTCGGAAGGATACCGCGTCGGCCTTGAGAGCCAACAACCTGAGTCCGTGGGGAATCCTTGCCGGGATATGCGGCAGCACCATTCGCAGCAACTGGGTCCCAACCTTGAGGCTTCCCATCCGAAAAGCTGAATGCACCTGAAGGAAGGCCATTGTTGAAGTCTGCACGGCGGTCTCGCGGGGGCGCCGGCGCGATGGGCTGCGGGTACGACTGAGCGCTGGATGCAGGTGGCAGGACACTATGAGGGGGAGGATAGTGCGGCGACGGCTGCTGCTGCGCCTGCGGATTGGGATGAGAGAGGAAGGAAGTCGGAGGCAGGCTGCCCACGGTAGTGTGGGGCATTATCGGCGCAGCAGAAGACGCGTAAACATCGTGGCTTGATGCGGGGTACCTGTTCAGGTCAGGGCGGTACGGCGGCTGGCCCATGTAGGAGTGCGGTGCAGGCGACTGGCTGTGATGGGGCTGCAGAGGAGGCAGGGTGTGCGACTGCGAGACTGGGTACTGGTGCTGCATCGTGTATTGAGGCATGGGCATGCTCGAGATGGGAGCAGAGGGAAGAGGCGTCGATCCTTGGGGCAGACTGGTCGACGGAGGGCGAGAGGGATGGTTTCTAGGATCCATCACGAGGCGGAGAACGTGTTTGACAAGGGTGGAAAAATGGGGGAAGAGATGACAGGGTCTGGGGGCTAGCGAGGGGAAACTTTCACGGTATCCCGATCATTGATCGCAAAACGTGAAAATTTTCTTCTTTTCGGGTGTCTTTTCGACGCGAAAGCACTCGATCAAAGTGCGAAAGAGCTTGTGTAGTCGATGGCTTTCACTGATCGCGTCCTCGAAGAAATTTTCCCACAAGTGTTATCCTTGGTCCTTCGTTCTCAATTTCTTTTCCCAAATTCTTGCCTTCCGACGCGACTTCGCTCGAATTGACCGGGGCGGGCAGACGAAAACGACAGACAGGGAGACGCTGAATCAAGTGCTATTGACAGGCAGCGAGTGTTGTTCTCGGCGTGCTCGGGCAATGGCGACGACGTTGTTGTACAGGATCAAAGCGACTCCACTGGAAAGAAGAAAGTCAGGACAGGTTGAGATGCTTAATCTGAGGTCCCCACGGTCACCCACCAGGAAAATCACAGCGTGTGGGAACTTCTTTTTATCCGCACGTTGTCAAAACAGAAGATGGTTATGATCCACCACGAAAAGCCGGCGTTTAAGTGGGTCTTGAGGAGCAGCAGACAAGGAGGATTGCTAGCCAATTTCTGCTTCGCGTCAACAATGCGCGATATCGACTAGGATAATTTGTTTGATGGTGCAAATCTAGCCAGGGACAGGCGCGTATAGGTGCGGAGCTCAGGAAGGAGGAGTGAAGGAAAGGCTGGGAGGGAAAAGAAACTGACCTCTTGCGAAGAGAAAAAAAGTAATTTTCCTATTTTGCGAAAAACAAAAACAGGAAAGAAAAAAAAAAATTCAAGGCAAATTCGGCAGGCAGAAATCCCAAGGAAAGCTAGCGAGACTTCCACGGGAATGGAGGGAGGGGAGGCAAGGACGGAGGGCGGCGGAGCAGTCAAGCAGCAAGTCAGGGAGTCGGGAACTGGAATTAAAAGTACAGAGAAGAAGAGAGGAAAGACTGGGAAGAGACTAAGAGAGGGAGGGCAGTGGGCACAGCGAAAAGTGAGTAGTGTGAAAGATCGAGCGGTGACGATCCCAGGTCTCGGGGAGGCGAAAATGGGATTTCTGATTTATTTTCAGATTATTTCCAGATGATGATATCGAGCATTACTCATGGATTCGTGCCTCACCCAAGCATCCCTCGGCTCAATTGGTTTCTAAGCAGTCCCCGTAGTGTGTCTACAGTCTCATGGAATCTAAATATCTGTCTCGCTCTGAGAATACGGGTGTTTCGCCTGATACGAGAACGTACGATGGGTTTGGCGCCAGCAAGGCTTGACTCGCTGGAACGAACCAAGGCCGAATATCGCCCGGCAGCGCGGGAATTTGGTTGGCAGCAGCGGCAAACAGGGGGGAAAATAGTAGTATGATGCGGTCTGCACAGCACGCTTAGACTCGCTTGGTTGGCTCGCTTTATTGGACTATCACAATCCCGGAATAAGCACCTGGAAGAACATCTCCAAGTCCTTCCTTTCTTCTGTATAGCCTTCGGTGGCTGGTGCTGGTCGGACGTGTGCCGAGAACGGCGGTGATGCTTCACCAGGCCCGCATCCAGCAGGAGCAAAGCCAATCCGAGGTTCTGGGTTGTGTTCGTGAATCAATTGATTTGTGTTTACTGATGCAAGCGGACTTGGAGAACGCATCTCTTTTTTCTGATTTCTCGTGCTAAGAATGGGGTTGAAATCTCTCAGTTGATGCAATTCCCGAAGTCGTCACGATCTTACGACAGGCGCAATTATAGTCAGGCTCACCAAGGATGAGAGCAGCTGCCCATTGGCCTTGGCCCATGCAGCCAGGCAGCCGAATCAGTAATGGACACCAGGGTGGCAGCAAATTCGAGCTTCCGAGTGGACGTCTCTCTGAATGTGAATGAAGCCTTTCCACCTGCAATCTGCCTGCATTCCTGAAGGATCTCAACGCCAGGGCGCCTCTGTCCTTTTCTCCTCAGATTCCAAACTCTTAGATACCAGCATGCAGAATCCTTCACCCCATCGTCCCATAGGGCTCGGATTCATGCACCATTAATCCATTTCTCCGCAGTTGACGGTCTCCGCAGGCCGAATATTGGTCCATCAACCTCATGGCACATCCACATTTCCACAGCTCCAGGTAGGGGTGTCAACCTTATCAGAGTTATCAGTGGAGAGATCCTGAGCTGAAGAAATCTCAAGTCCAAAGCACATCATGCCCACTTGACTCCACGAGTCCACGGCAGGATCAATCTGCCATCTGGAGATCCAGGCACAGTTTGCTCGACTATGGGGTGCTGTGGATACATTCAGATAAGCTTAATCCGTCTCCAGCGCAGAATCAACTATGAAATTTCAACCCTCTGGTGTTCATTTTCTGGCGCTGGAATCTGGCTTTTACCTGTGGGAATTTAGTGGTCGCATACGCCTCAAATCAGACGGCTTACTCGATTCAGGTATTCCATCTCGGAATCTAACAGTGTCACACCTCTAACGGCTATGCATAAGACGAATCCTCAGAAATATATCTTGGTACTGTATCTCTGGACTGTGGTATCGCCGACCTGTTTAAAATGAACCATGTTCTGCGAGCCATGGCAGCAAACGGAATCTCCGAGCATTCCACGCAGGCGCCCTTCATTTCAATCGCTAAACGCGCGAAATAACCTTTCCATGTTTGATGACGGGATGTGGCAAATCCAGTCCGGTTAGCAAGCCATGCTGCCACGCACTGTACTGATGAGTCTAACCTTGGACGACAATAGACTGGTCCTCCATAGTCAGAACAGAGTTATAGTCTAGCTATGGTTCGGGGAAACTCTGCGACGCCCAAATATCACGTATACAACGCCGGAAGGTGTGACTGGCCCTTGTGCAGAAAAGAGTTGGCGGCTGAGCTCCACATGCGATTATCGCTGAGCTTCTCCCTCGCGGGTGGACCTTACCACTGTGGTGGACTCGACAGCTCTGAGCTGATATGGCGGTTCTATAATTCTGCTTACTACTGCACAACCTGGAAGTAAAACATTATTCTGTCATCCTAGAACAAGCCCCAACATTCAAGACAGCATTTGAGGTTTTTTTTTTTTTTTGCATATTTTAAGACATCATCAAACGATGCGACCTCCCGGCAAGGCGCGGATCGACTTGTCTCAGGGAGGAAGGTTTCCCCGGAAGACATCGGGTTGTTGTCAGCCACGCGGTCAGACGGAGAAGTCGACATCGCTGTTGGACTTGGAATTCAGTTCCAGGTCAAAGAGCTCTCGCTTTCTGACTCGCACGTCACAAGACCATCATCATAGCATTTCATGGCATCGTGATCCTTCGAATCCTCGTTCGAATTTGGAGTCCTGACCTCTTGCAGCCTGCAGAACCTCGCTCTACTTGCCACTTGTGAGCGCTTCCAAGGAACATCTTCACTCTTGGAGTTAGCCCAACTCTCAAACCCCAACTAGCGAGCCCATCCCTGCACCACGCCCAATGTGGCGGTCCGATCACGGCAAGTCCACTCCACCAGAAGCCGAAGGCCCGCTCATGGAATCTTCCACGGGAGAAGCCCGTCCAGGCGGTGTCCCCTGTCTAACCGAGACGGTGCGCTGCGCTGTGCTCATCGCCGCATCGCGCTTAACGGATCATCCCCTTGAGACAGAAGCAGCAAATACGGGGTCCAGGAAAGCTTCCTTGTTCCCACTCTGCAGCGTGAAGAATTGTCCGGGTGGATCATTATTTGCGCTCTTGAAGCTTGGCCCCAGGTCTTATAGTCGCTCCCTACAAATATGCGCTTTGTCTTCCACGAGATACCTTTCCTGGGATACTAAACGAGCACACAAATCGCCTTGGGATGCTACGTAACCAGACCAGCTTATGCACTCACCAATTACAGACTCACAAATATCTCATACGTGGCATAGGATAAGGGACACAGTGGCTGGTGAGGTCGATATCGGAGGGTTTCCTCAGCTGCTGCCGGCCTCGCCGGACACATCCGCCGCCCTCCTCCCACCTACCTGCTTGGGCATGGCGCGGCTGGTACCTTCGACTACTGCACGGCCTGCCTCAAGCCTGCAGATCGCCTTTGTTCCAGCAAGAATCGGGACGGCCAACCACAGCAAAAAGAGGCATCAAAATGTAGCCTGCCTCGGCACTTTTTCAACTTTTGATCTCCCGGCGACGGTTTTTCCGGGCTAGGACGGAGGAAGACCGAAGCCAAGTCTGGTTGGATCCAATCTCAGGGGAGCTGGAAGCCAATGATACCGCCGCCGTAAACGCCACCCACCTCATCTGCATGCATGTCCGTGTGAGCGACTGAGCGTGGTCTGAGCCAGACTTCGACCTTTGAGTTGGCGGTTTACTTAGGTCCATGATTGGTCTACCAATAATGTGAGGCAAGGATGCAATACTCAACAGTTCAACAAAATACGGCCTGATTGATTTCGCAACATTCGCCCTGTCGTGGGCTCGCTGGGCAAGGCGAGCGGTAACGAAGAGACCGAATCACGGTATACCGTACTCTGTACAGCGTAGTATCGGCAAGTTTCGATATTTGCAGGCCGTGTCGATGAAACCCTCTGCGAGTCACCAGGCTTTCTATTAATAATAGGAGTCTAGATCCTTGGGCTCTATAGGCCTGTCAATGTCATCCTGTAAGCCATCTCATCAACAATGCATGTCACTGGTTGTGCTACACTGCGGTTACTCGGTCGTAACTCGATATCTAACGGTTCATCGGCTATCAAATTGTCCACTACCGTAGTCTAGCGCATAACAGAACGTTTCCGGCTAACAATAATGCCAGCAACCACAGTACAAAGCTGGCCATAGCCTCCAACAATCTGTTGTCATCGCAGTTGCAACTTGCAGCAACTTGCAACCCCTTCTCTTTCACCCCTGATACAGCTGCGCGATTTTTCTACAAGATCAGGACTCCACGGGCGACCGAACAAATTGAGAAGGTCTACCCCTATCCCGAAGCTCCTGCTCAAGACAAGGCAAGGCGTCTGACAATCCTTCGCGGTTTCAGCTGATGAAGTCACGAAGCAACTGCTTATGCTGGTGGCTAAGTTGGAGTAAACTACTGACTCCCGACATTCGGAACTGCGTGGTCAACGCTCGGCGCTCCCACCGCTTGGTGCTTATCCTCGAGGCGAGTAATGATGTAGGATTTCTGATGCCAAATAGGCTGCCATATTCACGGACATGCTGAGGGCAAACCAATACATCTTAGCTCTTTAGGTACCTTGCTGGTCAGGTACCGTAGCGTAAATACTTGCACTCTCAAGGGGTCTTGAAGAAATAATACCACTATTTACTCCGTGATGTAGATAGTGCTGTCGTTTCTAGTCCACTCTCCGGAGCTTCCCCGGAATGGCAAAAGGTCGGTATCCATCCTTCTCAGTAGTTACTCCGCCTCAAGAGCCCCTTTCCCCTCCTCTAATCTCACCGCCACGTTTTGACGTTTGAGGGGCTCGGAGACTACTAAGGAGTCGAAAGCATGACCGGCTACACTGGTTCAACAGCCCTATAGATGGCATTCGCCGGACCAATGTGCATATGACGTCCGTGCCTGCATTATGGGACGCACGTCTAAATCCTGTGCTCGAGGCTGTGCACAACGAGTACTGTATACCCCTCCAGCTCCTTACTCCGATGTCCGATCAACCAACAATACCATTGTTTTGGGGCTATACTTAGACACGGCAGGCTGTGCTGACTAGTCAGTAGTCACCGTTAAGCCCCAACCCCCGTCAGCTTGAAACAGGCTATAGATACCCCGAGAACGAGACAACAGGTGTGGAGCTTCTAGAAGCTGTTCTAGCGCGTCGCATTATCAATTTACGAGCGGAGTACTAGTATAACTGTGAGGCTGGTTGAGGCCAGAGAGATGTTTCGTTCTCGGCTTCTCATTCCAGGCTTAGGAGATGAAGGCAGATCGTTCGCAGGGTGTCGTGCCCCTATAACAGGTTTCACTTGTAGATAGAGGTCCTTCCCAGAGCAGAAATGGTAGAGTGACTCTTCCAGTTATGTACTACTCCGGTGTAGTTGTAGTAGCGGTAGAGGTCACTCCCATGTCAATTTTGGCGCTGGTTCAAGTTTCTGGCGTGCAATGTGTATTCTCCTTCGTGTCCGGGCGCTTATACTTTAACGAAGATGACTGCACATAGTATATCTCTACATTCTTTTGATTTCATTTCTCGGAATGACCGAGAGTTCTGCTGGAGAGTGTGTTGGTGTTGCTGTTAGGGCTAGTCTCACTGACATCTGGATCACTAAGAACAATTGTGTGATGGAGCGAGTATCGGTGCCAGTAAACAGCTTGGCTGCTGTGTTGAGTCCCGGCCATAATGCTATGCTCAGTTAAATGCCTTCGTGAGATCTCTCTCAAATTGGACTACTCGATAATGGGCTGCAGCCACCGCATCGGGCGTCTGGAGTATCAGCTGTGAAACGGCAATCCTCAGAGCATCCTGCAGTGTCAGCTTGCCCCCTCAGCACTTTAGGGCTAGCCAGGCATACCATCAGATTGCGATAGTATGAAGTTTGAGCAGCGCATGCATGTTAATTGTTGGGAGTATCCCTCAGTCGGCATCCTGTGCCCTACCCCGTATCATCATTTCCTATGATTATGAGCTGATCGCCTGGAGCATGATCGTGAATGCACTCCGCGCTGACATAGTTTGTTCTCGAGTTCCATGTTAGCGACTTGTGAGCTAGAACTTTCAGAATGTTCTTTAGTCAAGCGAAGACGAAGGTAATGCCACCGGCAAAATTGCAGAGGATATGGATCCGCGTAGCCAATGGCTAGGATGTCTGAAGCAGTTCATGAGAAAGTCTGACTGAGCGTTTGGATTCAGTATCCGAGCAGCAGTCGCCTTGAGGTGTTGGGCATGGCCGGTTTGAAGCTTGTTGTCCTTTAATTCAGCTTCTTCGGAACAGACGGAGAAACCGGCCGGCAGCGCCTTCGCAACGTTTCTTTTCTCACAGTATTATTGACGCTTGTGGATCAGAAGAAAGTGCGGTCTCCGACAACAGTGCCAGAGAGTTGGCGTCAGGGAAGGCATCGCATTGGATATAGATATATGGCTGGCTCATCAGCCACCAGCAGAGGGTTCAAGAGCCTGAACAGCGGCTCAAGGCTACTCCGTACTCGGTGCCTTTAGGATCGTGCTAAGTCTGATCAATTGACGAGTGGCGAGAGTGGTGAGTGGCAGGAGGAGCTGCAGGAGGGCTTGGCTTTGTACAACGCTGCCTGCAAGGAACTTTCCTTCGCTCAGCTGGAGTCCTCGGATTTATGCCTCCTTCATCACCCGCACCAGAAAATTTGGGAACTCCAGGTTTGAAGTTGAAGAGCTGCGCTGCAAAATGAATCCATGACTGACAGATACTCTTATCTCGTGCTTATCTTCTCCATGCGCCATGTCTGATAAGCATCAAGCTTTCCCCGGCCATTCCCCAAGCCTCCGCCTGAACCTGCCTACTTCGGCATGGTATGAAGTGCCTGCGTTGACGGCGGGGTGCTAGACTGCTAGTCTCTCTATCGCCCAGCCCTTAGAGGCCCTGCATTCGATATCTAGGTTATCATCGAGATGATCACGACCGCTCGTCCTATCGGCGCCTCCGTCATCCTGCAGCAGCAATGAGCGCCCGTGCTGACTGCATATATATGCATCTGGTGTTACCCGAAGCAGGTCCTCGGTCACCTTCGTCATCCCTTGCAAGATCGACTCCGTTCTGAGTGTCGTGGCCCGTGGTCCCTGGAGTTTGCCTGGTCGACTTGACATCAAGCGAATGCGACCGCAACTAAACACCTACCATGTCCGTCTCAGGCAAAGCAACAGCCGCGTCTAATGCACAGGCCTATCATGAATTTGACCATGAGCCTGTTACCTCCGCCCTACCCAATGGTGACGTCCCTGAGTTCGATGACTCGATGGACGCCGACGAGCGGGTTATCACCGCGCTTGGGTACAAACAGGAATTCAAGCGGGAGTTCTCGCTATGGACGACCTTCTGCGTCAGCTTCGCGGTGCTAGGGCTTCTCCCGTCGTTTGCAAGCACAATGACATATGGTACATGCCGCGGTTTCATGGAGATACGCAGCAGGGCTGACTCGTGGTTTCAGGTATGGGATATGCAGGGACAGCTGGAATGGTCTGGGGCTGGATTATAGCCATGATATTTATTCAATGCGTGGCAATGTCTATGGCAGAGCTATGTTCCGCCATGCCCACGAGGTAAGCACCCCAGAGTCCCAGACCACCCTGCGGGACATCTCACCCATGCTGACTCGTGCAGCGGAGGGTTGTACTATGCCGCTGCGGTGCTTGCGCCTCCAGGGTACGGTCCCTTTGCGGCTTGGATTACAGGATGGTCCAACTGGATCGGTCAGATTACTGCAGCTCCATCTGTGGACTACGCTTTGGCCGCAATGATCCTTGCTGCAGGATCCATCCAGAATCCAGAGTACACTCCTACACAATGGCAAACCTATCTCTTGACCACACTCATCATGATAGTGCACAGTGCAATCAGCAGTATGCCAACAAAATGGGTGGCGGTGTTTAACTCCTGGGGCTCGACTTTCAACATGCTTGCACTAGTCGCTGTCATCATCGCCATTCCTGCTGGGACTACGAACTCGCCTAAATTCACGCCATCCAAAGAGGTTTGGGGAAATATCACCAACATGACGGACTATCCTGATGGAGTTGCCGTGCTAATGACGTTTGTCGCGGTTATCTGGACCATGTCCGGCTACGACTCTCCGTTTCATCTGAGTGAGGAGTGTTCCAATGCGAATATTGCCTCCCCAAGGGCCATCGTTATTACCTCCGGAGTAGGGGGCCTCATGGGTTGGTTTCTACAGCTCGTCGTCGCCTACACCGTGCTAGACATTGATGCAGTGCTCAACTCGGACCTTGGGCAGCCTTGGGCGTCCTATCTCTTCCAGGTTATGTCCCGCAAAGGTGCGCTTGCCATCCTTGCACTCACCATTATCTGCGGGTTTTCGATGGGCCAAGGATGCATGGTAGCTGCATCTCGAGTCACATACGCCTACGCTCGCGACGACTGTTTCCCTTTCTCGAGATTCTGGAAGCGCATCAACAACACCACTCAGACCCCGGTTAATGCAGTCGTCCTAAACTCCATCCTCGGGATCCTGATGTGTCTTCTACTATTCGCCGGTGACGTCGCCATAGGTGCTCTGTTCTCCATTGGGGCCATTGCACAGTTCGTCGCCTTTACCATCCCCATTACTATCCGCGTTTTCTTCGTCGGTGACCGTTTCCGCAGAGGGCCATGGCATCTAGGTCCTTTCGGACCCTGGATAGGAGGTCTTGGTGTTGGCTTCGTCTTGCTGATGGTGCCTATCCTCTGCCTTCCCGCTGACACTGGCTCCAATCTTACCCCTGACCTGATGAACTGGACTTGTTTGGTCTGGGGAGGACCGATGCTCGCAGTGACCATTTGGTGGGTGGTCGATGCACACAAATGGTTCAAGGGTCCCAAGGTCAACCTGGAGCATGTTATCCATGGCAATGTGATCAACGGCATAGAAGGAAGCCAGGAGCAGACGGCTGCTGTGGTGCTCGATGCAGATGCGTCGGCGGATGTTTCGCCTCGGTCATCGCCAAAGCTTTAGTCATCTGTCCTCAATACTCTAAAGGTCTGATAAGACTATATATTTTATAGCCTTTGTTTGAGTGTGATATCTTTCGCGAACCAATACACTGATTGACACACTGGACCCTACTTGGTCTCACAAGATTTATTGCTCTGCGCTTATGCCTCCTTGCTTTATCTTAGTGCCTGTGATAACCTAGCATCGCAGTACCTGTTTGATAGTGAAAGACATGACTAGCTAATCCTAAGGGGACATTGCGAATCCAGTCTCTACCAGACATTGTCCGGAGGAACAGTGGCCCAACTCAAAAATATATATCAATGCAGGGGCATGCACTCCCAACACTGATGATATCAAGGTAAGAGTTCTCTGAAACCGCAGACTAAACGACCTCAGCCAACTTCTCTACGAATTTTCAAGATACAGGCGATATTGCAGGCTGAGCGCATTACTTGGCTTAAACCAACAAGACCAGACAAAGTCTATGTGCTAAAAATCTCATTGCTATTCTACACAGTGCAACACCACTCTGCTTCCCATCTATCTATCTATGCTCCGACGTAGCGCACATAGAGAGCAGGAAACCGCAGAAGATCAGATAGTCGGAGAAAGCGGGACGCGAGGAAAACAAACGAGTCGTTTAGAAAGGCTGCACGGTGAATCATCAGGTCAGCAAACCATTCCATTTAGAATCGGAATGATAAACCGCAAGAGAGGAGAGATCACAGGGCGACGTACGTTGTCCTCAGGAGCGATAGTGCGGTCAAGGTAGGTGTCGAAGAAGGGGAGCTTCTGGAGGATATCCTGGCGGACGCGGGGGACCTCGCCGAAGAAGAAGACAGCGAAGACACCGGCGCTGACGCCGAAGGTGGCGGCGATGCCACCGCTGTTTGAACTGCGTTAGCTTGCCCGGAACTCGTACTCGTGTGGGCGTCCTGCTGCGCAGCGGACGGAGTGTGCCACTCACAACTTGGTCGCGTCGTTGAGGGTGAAGCCGCCGACGTGGGGGGAGGGAGTGAACCTAGTGAGAACGGCGGAGTTAGCTGGGGTATTTCAATTGCGTTTGGTGCTGGGCTGGTTCCGGGTGTCGAGGTGCGGTGACGAGCTTGCTGTGCTTTGCTCCGTGTCCAATGGCTGTGCTCTGGGTAGAGCGCACTGCACACGGGGTATCCGATCCAATTCACGGCGGTATACATCACGTCGGACGTAGATAGGTGGGTAGCAGGGACGGAGAGCATGTAGACGGTATGCAGGTATATCATCGGGGGTTCTCACCTTCCGGCAAGAGGAGAAGACCGGGCAGACTGAGCTGCGGCACGGCGGAGAGTCTGGGAGAACTGTTTCCGAGCGGCAACGTTAGCAATTGGCCGTCAATAACAGAGCACTGTGCAGCGGTATACGCACCATTTTGTGTGGTTCTTGTGGTATGGAACTTGCCAGCAATGGACGTCAGACAATCAAGGTTGAGCGGATTCGCGACCCTCGACGAAAACCGGACCGGAGACTGTGCCGCCCGACAGCCAATCAGCGGCGCGGAGATTATAAGCACGTGATCTTCAGGTGTTTGACAAGCTGCCCTATCCATACAACTTTAGATGAAGGAAATCATGCTATGAACAGAAGAATATTCAAATTTTTCGCTTTCATTCAATAAAGGACTAAGCTAAGTTTATTCAAGTATTATCAAGAAAAAAACAAAAGTAGAAGAAAAAAAAACCTAAATATAGGGTACTCAAAGTAGCGTAACTGTACAATCTTTACATTCCATCAGTCCACCTTGCCGGTTGAGCCTCCGTTGAGAAGCCCTTCCTTGCCGTCGAGCTGGAGGAAGCCGCCAGCATTGCCAGCAATGCCGAGGATTCCGCCACGGACTCCGCGCTTGAGCGCTCTCCCCCGGGCAACATATGTCACAGCGGCAATCGAGATTATAAGGAGGATGACGAAAAGAATCGGGTGACCGGTGATGAAAGCGTGAGACACAAAGAAGATAGACTCAAAGGTACCGATTGTAGACTTGGGTGTTATCTTGGGAGGGTTGGCGATGACGAGAGGGATGGTTTCGAGAATGGAGGTTCGGGAAGCCATGATGGAAGCGCCACTGGAAGCGGTATCCCAGTAACGCCGGTTGTCCTGGTCGTTGATAATAACACGCTCACCCTTGCCCACATCGATGCCGTAAGTAGTCCTCAGCCAGCGCTCCCAAAAGTCACCATCAACCCAGGCGAATCTCACTTGCTTCTTGTCGTCCTCACGAATGGAGACGTGCATATTCTTTGCTGCGCGCAAAGCACGCTGGTCATTGCGATCCTCTGCCTCCTCGATTCGAAGCTGTTTAGCGTCTCGGAGCTCTTGCCGTTCCAACTTGAACAGTTGCACTTGCTTATCCATCCACTCGAGAGCAGCGTTCTTAAGCTCGCGCTTCGATTCCACAAACTCATTGGCACGGCTGCGACTCAGGATACCAAGCACGACAAACTTGCCGGCCATAAGCTCGCGGGCATTGGATGCCGTGAGCTCGGGGACAATGGGAAGCCAAACGGTCTGCATCCAGTTGAGAATTTGTCGGATATCCCTCATATCCTTCGGAGCGATGGGATTGTAGTAGTTCGCACGTCCACTTCGCGAGACAAGAAGGCGAGGCCAGGTAGAGATCCCAAACCTTTCGGCAAGTGCAGCGCTGTCTGTTTTAACCAATTTCGCATGTCCGATCAGGGGAAGGGTAAGCCGTTCCAGAGCCTCAAAATCCTCGGAAACGGTTGCATGGTCATAGAAGTACAAAAAGATCACCTCTTCTGTCTCTTCCAAGGCCTTGAAAGACTCGGCATCAACATCCTGGATACCATTCCGGATGGCAACAGCCTTTTTGGCGTAGCTAACCAGATCGCCAAGGCCCCGAAGACCGTCGTATTCCACTTTTTCGGTACCGCGGAAGAAGTACATGGTGGGAAACGCGGTAACGTGGGCATCTTTACAGAGCCTGCGTTCAACTTCACAGTTCACTTCGCCAATATTGAGGGTGTGTTGCATTTCCTTGGACATTTGCGCCCAGTTAGGGGCTAATGCCTGGCAGTGGTGACACCAGGGCGCGTAGAATTTGATGAACCAAGGTTCGTCGGATGGAGTGACAAGTTTCTGAAAGCTCTCCGCGGTGAGAGGAAGGGATATTCCCTGAGGGTTCACCGGCGCCTTTGCCTTCGGTTTCTGCTTCGGGGTAGAGTCTCGTTCGGAGGCCGGGTTTTCGGCAGCTTCCTGAGCAGCCTGCTGAGCAGCCTTCTCATTGTGCTTTTCACCGGCCTTGACACCCGCCTCAGGGTCCTTGTCTTTAGAAGCAGCGGCTTCGGGCTCTGCCTTCGTATCAACTCCCTTATCACCTGGTGCTGGTAGTTTGAGACCTTTTGCAGGACGTGACCCGGGTTGGATAGCTTCCAGCTTCTCCTCAATGTATTCGCTAAAAGCTTCCATGGATTTCTTTCCTTCATATTGTTCGACTTGCTTTCCGTCATGGTAGAATGAAAAAGTCGGGAAGTAACCGACCTCGAGTTTCTTGCACAGATCGCCATACGCCAGACAGTTCATTGCAGCAAAGTGAAAGTTGTAAAAGCCCTCAAACGAGTTCAAAGATCGTGTTTCGGATTGTTTCGTGGAGGCTGCGGAGAGCGGATTCGAGGTCTATTCCCTGTCAGATCAAGACACGCAAATGCACAAATCAAGTGATTCTCACGTAGTAGAACTCGTATAAAGTCTGCCACGTGGGCGCAACCGCTTTACAGTGAGGGCATGCCGGAGAGTACTGCTTGATAAACCTATCGAGATAAGTTAGGTTATAGATTGCACAAGGAGAATCTGCAAGTCGAAAATGGCGACGCACCAATAGCCATCCTTAACTGTTTCCTCAAAGTTATCGGGGGTCAGCTCCTTCATAGGCGGAACCTCGATTCCATTGAAAACGGTGGACGTCGACGAGTCGCTCGGGTCAGTCCTTTTCACGAGCCGTGGGTTCGCGACAATCTGATCAGAGGGAGCGGCAAAAGTCGGGAGTGCGAAGAGCGAAAGTAACGACCAAGTCAAGAAAGATGTGCGCATTTTGGCGAAAATCAAGGCTCAAGGCCTCGGTGTTGTCTAATAATAACGAGAGTTCGAATCAGGGGACGCAGCTCGGATTAAATCAAAGGTGGCACATTGGGGGGACAAAGGCGGGTTGATTGAGAGGGATGCGCCGTACAACCACAACGGCGAGAACTTATAGTGAGTTCAAAGAGCTGATAATGTCAAGAAATATGCGGAGTCACCCGCACGCCTTCAGACAAAAGACTGAAAAGAATGTCTGGGATGAACGAGGAGGGTGAGGCTGATCTCTGGATCTCCTTTGCTGGGATCCAGAAGCCGTGGTCATGGCTGCCTCAGGCTCAGGAACGCTAGTTTCTCCGCCTACCGATGGCACCTCAACCTTGTACCGGTTAACGACGTACTCTATCCCGTGCGCAAGAGAGACCCTCATTCGGCTTCCCTTTCGGGTCAATTCCTTTTCTGTTCCGTATACACCCTAGATCACAATGCGATCTACCCTCCGGCTGCTGGCCAGCGTCAAACCGGCCCGGTACTTGGAGCCTTTCGCTCCGACCGGTTTGACTGGTCTGAACACACACCCAAGCCCTCGTCCCACCTTGATCTACCTCTACACATCTACGCTGGAGAAACTGAAGGCTTTTCCCGAGTCCTCCGCCTACCGCCAGTCTACCGAGGCATTGACCCGCCACCGACTGCGGATCGTCGAGTCTACGAAGCCGGCTGGATATGAAGCTTGGTTGGAACGCGTAAAGAAGGCCGTCGCGACCGAACCCGAGCGATTTGCTTCGCTTCGACTGGCGGATGGATCTTACGCTGGAATTCAACGTTCCGACAACAGCGACAACCCCCGCGGAGAGGAGTGGGACGGAGAAAAGTTGGAACCTACCACGGAGGGCCCTGCTCGTACGCCGGAACAACAGGCCCGTTGGGAGAAGGATATGGAGGAGGGTACATCCTCTGCCGCGGAGTCCGAGTCGGACTTTCACACCCTGCAGATGAAATGGGAGAATGAACCCGCCCTGGACGCTGACCAGTATGTTGACATGCTTTGTCGTAGTTGTGTGCATACTGACGGACTGCCTGTAGGATCGCCGAGATCGAGCAGCAGATTGGAGCTGGCCTCATTGAAGAAGTCATCCAAGTGGCCGAGGGTGAAATGAAACTGGTGGATGAGCTGTACAGGTCCAAGTCGTAAGTTTCCATTACCTCTCTTGGCCGGGGACCCTTCAATTTGATTGACATACTCGCAGCTGGGAGGAACTCGAAGAGAAGCCTAAGCCCGGACAGTGGACTTACTTCGAACGCAAAACGGAATAGAAGGGCTTTGCTACGGAATGATTGTTAGAAACCCAAATTACTTGTACTTATTAGCCGACGTTGTCCTTCGGTTGGACTCGCATGTGACAATTATATCTTGTATGGTCACTTAGATTCCTTATTTTATTCTAAATTTGTGTTGGCTCTTGTCCGGCCCACGGGTTGCTCAGTCTATACTTTCCCATAGGTGCTCGGGTGCCAGGGAGCCCGGGTCGTGCAATTGACTTTGCGCCTTACATATGAGTATTACCGCAGCCAGGGCCATTGGGTCAACATGATAAATCCGAGTCTTCATAGTCATGGCTGCTGTTTGCTATACACATAAGTGCTGGAATTATAGAAGACCAGAACCGTAGGCGGTGAGGGGAGCATCGCTAGTCCACTGCGGATGCGGGATTATTGCCGTCTCCTTGTGGACACATTGCTGGACTCCCGTTCACGTTCTACAAGGCCATTGCTTTTGGCTGCTTTCTTTTGTGCTTATACCTTGCCATTGAACTCTACTTCCACCGGAAGTCCTCTGCAATTCCGGGCTGGGCTGATAAAACGGCTCGTGGCCTGGTTCCCCTCCCTGATTGATCACCTCCGACGCCGCACATAGTCGCGATTCCCCTTTCTCCCCACACAACATGAGGTTGGATATAAAGGTACGGCATATGACTCGGATATCGTGCTTGAATGGACGAAATAATGGACAGCCCATATTCCGCGCATATTGCCTGTAATGGGGAGATCTTGCTGACCAGGGGAACTGAATACAGAGACAACTCTTTGCTCGCTCGGAGCGAGTAAAGGGTATTGACTTCCACCCGACAGAGCCATGGGTAAGTTCTTACTAGATAATTAATGGTTTTGCACTAGCTAATGAGAGTATAGATCCTGACAACATTATACAGCGGTGCGTGGTCGTTGGCAGCATAATAAGTGGTTGTTGTATATACTAATCCGTCTGTAGGTCACGTATACATCTGGTCTTATGAAACTCAGGTGAGTCTGCTACTTCAGGTCAACCCCCTGGTTCAAAAACTGATCAATGAATTCTCTAGTCAATCATTAAAACCTTCGAACTCACCGATGTTCCCGTCCGAGCTGGGCGATTCATCGCTCGCAAGAATTGGATTGTCTGTGGTTCAGACGACTTCCAGCTTCGCATCTACAATTACAATACCTCCGAGAAGATTGCTTCATTTGAGGCGCATCCAGATTACATCCGCTCCATCGCAGTTCACCCAACGCAGCCGTTCGTGCTTACAGCTTCCGATGACATGACCATTAAGTTATGGGACTGGGAGAAGGGATGGAAGTGCGTGCAGGTGTACGAGGGTCACAGTCATTATGTTATGGGACTCTCAATTAACCCTAAGGATACGAACACATTTGCGTCGGCATGTCTGGACCGGACTGTCAAGATTTGGAGTTTAGGCTCCCCGCACGCCAATTTCACACTCGAGGCCCACGAAACGAAAGGCGTCAACCATGTCGACTATTATCCGCAGGCTGACAAGCCCTATCTTCTCACAACTTCCGATGATAAGACTGTGAAGGTTTGGGATTACACCACAAAGGCTCTCATTGCGACTTTGGAAGGACACACGAGTAATGTCTCTTTCGCCTGCTACCACCCCGAATTACCGGTTATCATCTCTGGATCTGAGGATGGAACGATCAAGATATGGCACGCCAACACATACAGACTGGAGCAATCCCTGAGTTACGGCCTCGAAAGAGCCTGGTGTGTTTCATATCAACGGGGCAGGCAAGGTGTTGCACTCGGTTTTGATGATGGTGCTGTGGTAGTGAAGATGGGTAGAGAAGAACCAGCGGTCTCCATGGATGGTTCAGGAAAGATCGTGTGGGCGCGGCATAACGAGGTCGTTTCCACCGTCATCAAGGGTGGTGATGCTAGTGTCAAGGATGGAGCGCCGATTTCCCTTCCAACCAAGGATCTCGGCTCATGTGAAGTGTATCCTCAAACTCTGTCACATTCGCCCAATGGGCGCTTTGTTTCCGTCTGTGGAGATGGCGAATACATTATCTACACCGCCCTTGCTTGGAGAAACAAGGCTTTCGGGCAAGCTCTAGACTTCGCTTGGGGCTCAAAAGACAACAGTAACGACTACGCCATTCGGGAGTCGGGTACTAGTGTCAAAATCTTCAAGAACTTCAAGGAAGTGAGCGGCGGCCTCGATGTTGGCTTCCAGGCCGAAGGTCTCACCGGGGGTGTTCTGCTCGGTGTTCGAGGACAGGGAGGGATTGGCATGTTTGATTGGGAATCTGGAAACTTAGTCCGACGTATCGAGGTTGAGCCGCGGAACGTAAGTGGATTTTGGAGTCGCTCTACACATATCTTTCCAGCTAATTTTTCTGATTAGGTCTATTGGTCGGAGTCTGGGGAGTTGGTCACCCTTGCTTGTGATGACGCATTCTACGTTCTACGATTCTCCCGAGAAAACTATGTCAATGGGCTGAATGCGGGTGAGGCTGATGAGGACGGCGTTGAGTCGGCGTTCGAAGTTGTCACCGATGTCAATGAGTCTGTCAGGACAGGCCAATGGGTTGGGGACTGCTTCATCTATACGAATTCTACAAACCGTCTAAACTACCTTGTCGGCGATCAAACATACACGGTTTCACACTTTGATCAGCCGATGTACGTTCTGGGATACCTGCCCCGTGATGGTCGTGTTTACGTTGCCGACAAGGATGTCAACGCGGTATCATTTGCTTTGTCTCTCAGCATGGTAGAATATCAGACTGTCGTGCTGCGTGGGGACATGGATCTTGCGGCAGAGCTGCTCCAGGATATTCCGCAGGATCAGATGAACAAAGTGGCGCGGTTCCTCGAAGGTCAGGGCTATAAGGAGATGGCTTTGGAAGTTGCAACTGATCAGGAGCATCGTTTCGAGCTCGCCCTTGCTCTCAATAATCTCGACATTGCCCTTGAAATTGCCCGCGAAGCAAATGTCGAGCACAAGTGGAAGATTGTTGGTGATGCTGCCTTGTCAGGATGGAATCTGTCCTTGGCACAAGAATGCTTCATCAACGCCAAAGATGTCGGCTCCCTCCTGCTCTTGCATACTGCTAGCGGCAACAAGGAAGGCCTCCGAGCGCTTGCAACGCAGGCATCGGGTGCCGGCCTTCACAATGTTGCGTTCTCTACATTCTGGTCCCTCGGAGATGTTGATGGGTGTATTGATCTCCTTGTTCAAACCAACCGCCTTGCGGAATCCGTCCTTTTTGCTCAAACTTACAAGCCCTCTCGAGCACCCGAGCTTGTGGTTAAGTGGAAGGAATCCTTGGAACAAAACGGAAAGGCCAAGATCTCTCGGCTCATTGGTGTTCCGCCCGGTGTAACGGATGTGCCAGCGGACGATGATCTGTTCCCGGAGTGGGATGAATATCTCCGTCTCGAGAAGGAGGGTGTTGTTGCTGAGCCAGCCTCGTCAGGTTCCCTGATCGATGTTGATGGAGAGGATTCTGAGCCCGAGCCCGAGCCTGAGACGAACGGTTCCCAGGAGGTAGAGGCGGAGGCATGAACTTGAATACGTTACCCGGGTAAGACTTAATGTGGGCATGATTTTTTTACATGGTTCTGTAGTGCCAGTCGGATTGCAGGCAGCTTCAAGGAGACGAGGTATTTACCACGTGGCATTTTGAATTGTTAATACTCAGCTATAAAATTCGCTTCGGGGAGCGCGTGTTTTCTGTATCGGATATCTGGTTGTTTAGCTTCTTCCCCTTACTCTTATATCCATGTGTCTTAAATTAGAGTCCTTGTGTGCTACTTGAAACGTGCCTGCTTACCCTGCTTACCCGATGCCCGTGGCAACTCTTCTGACATTCTAGCTCTAGGGTCGTCTCCTGCTTGTTTTCCACCTCACTCCTGGTCCACAGCCATGTGGTTGATCACGGACGGTTGATGGCTGTCCTTAATGAACATGAAAGCTTCTGTTGCACAGTCCATCTCATCTTTTATAATTCTCAACGCCGCGCCTCTTCAAAGACGTGGATCAACCACCAGGGCTTTCGATGCGCCCTTATGAGCAATCCATTAAACATTACTTATGACGCACTAGATGTCGGATCAAGTTTGCTTCAAGGAAGCATGTCGTCCAAAGGGATATCGTTGTAACAGATCTAGGACACGCTTACTGTGATATTCATTGGCTGAGGCTGCATGCCAAACTGCGTCTGTGACGAGGATTTCATCTCCTTGACCAAGTAAGAGGGAAAGCGTGTCACCCCTTCCATTTCGGGCAGCCGCGATGAGTACCCTCTCAGTAATTGGGAAGTCGAAGGCATATCGGTCCAGGAGGAGGGATAAGGTCTCGGACGTTCCCCATCTGTTTCCTGCTGCCGCACATACAATATCCTCTGAGATTGCGCCTTCCTTTCGGTCTTGATGCTGGAGAAGAAAGGCCATTGCCTCCTTTTCATCTGCATATGCCGCTGCCTCGAGAGCTCTTTCAAACGTCGGCACTGTCATTTGCCTTTTGCTCAGGAGCAGACCCAAGACGTCTTTAGCATGCAGACAGTTTGTTGCGGCTGCTGAAACAACGTCGTCGGTAATCACCACCTGACTGCCGTGGGTGGAGAGAAGCAAGGAAACAAGTTCCAGGTCGAACAACTGGCAGACCGTGACTACTGCTTCTTGTTGTACCCGTACCAGGATTTGCTCAGAACTGAGCAGCATGGTGAACACATCCTTCCCGTTTGCCGCTGCAGCTACCCTGGCTAAGTCCGGAGTTATTTGAAGTGTGGTGCCTGCGCAGTGTTCTAAAAGCAGCTTGATAATCTCCCTGCCACTCTGATGGTTTGCGAGGGCTGTCTTGACCACTTCGACGTTGAGAAATCTCTGCCGGCAACGACAAAGAAGCAAATGCATCAAATCCCTCCCTTTGCGATGATTCATTGCAGCTGTCTTGAGGACTCTTTCAGATACGAGAAGACCGTTTCCCTCCCAGTCTAAGAGCACTTCCATCACGTCACTGCCCTGATATTCGTTTGCCGCAGCTGCTACAAACATGGCCTCGGATAGCTGGACATGGCCTTGAAAACTATGCAGAAGTAACAACATCACATTCCTGGCATCGACCTCGTTGCTTGCCGCGAGTTGGATGGCTTCTTCGGCTGGCTGGGGATTTCCATACTTGTCGAGCATCATGGCAATTGTTACCGCGTTAGAGTGCGTATAGGCAATGTCGGTATCCGGCGACACAGCCTCAAACATCTTTACAAGGTCATCCTCGGTAAATATACGTGACGAAATACTGATGTGGCTGTGAAGTAGCGCAATCATCTCCAAATCACCCGCAAAGATGTCGAATATTGCAGCAATCGTTTCGTGGTCCAATTGAATATTGTGATCGTACTTGCGGAGAAGCACCCTCATGACCTCTTTGCTGTACAAGAAGTTCTGGGCTGCAGCATAAACCAGTGACTTGGAAAATGCAATCTCCGGAAGCTGGTCAACGACATCAGCATCGAAAAGACGACAAATCATGGCGACCAACTCCGGCTTGATAGGCGTGAGACCAGCTTGGTGGATGATTGCGCTCATCACGTCTTTTCCATATTGCTTATTGAGAGAGATAGCATTTATTAAATCGGCAGTCACCTTCAAACCGTTCTGCTTCCGCAACAAGAGCTCAACAATCTTAGAATCAAATAGTTTGCAGATCATGTTGACCAGACCCAGCGTCATGGACGACCCGCCGAATTGCTCAAGCAATGCCGTCATTATCTCCTTCCTCTCTCCGTTCATGTGGATGCTTGCAACCAGGTCGTATGTGGCATGGATATTTTTCTGGTGGTCAAATAGAACATGCACGACATCGGTGTCGAAAGTTTGGCAGATCAGCGATATCTCCTGTTCTCCTGGTCTCGATAATTGAGGAAGGAGCAGTATTGTCATCATCACAGATTTGGCATTATTCTCCTTCCCTGCTATTGCCCTAATGATCTTCGTCGACAATCGAACAGGATTGAACTTGTCTAGCAATTTCCGAACAACATTTGGACCGAAGCGTGTGCACGTCGCAAGGACAACATCATCCAAGTCTCGAATTTGGCATCGGTCAAGCATAACACTCATCACTTCTTCGCCTTGTTTATTGAAAGATGCCGTCATCACGCTTGCCCCTGTTAGAACCAATTGGGCCCTCTGTCCGTCAAAGAACTGATTGATGACACGAGGGCTTACACGGCCACATATATCGACCATAATGTCCTGGCTTGACATTCCCTGCGCATAGCACATATCAAAGAGGATGCTTAACACTTTGTCAGCTTCGGTACTGTTGCGCAGAGCGGCGAGTATTAAGTCTTTTGTTAGGGGAATTCGTTCTGCGTTCTGGTTTAAGAAGAGCTGGACGACGCTCGGCTCAAGATTTGCGCACATATCTTCGACAATGCCATCACTCAGTCGCATCCCAGGACCTAACCTGTTCAGTAAATCTGTCATGATGGCCGTTCCGCTCTCGCGGTTCTTCACTGCAGCCCTGATCACCTCCTCGGAAATTTGGGGCGCGCTGAGGTGAGGTGCCAGTGTCAACAGCTTTCGGAGTCGGGCGTATATCGTCTCTGGCGCGGCCCAAATTCCCATTTCTCGTGTAACTGGCATGCCCCATGCCTGATCTAGCAACATCGACATTATTGCTCCGCCACGAGAACGATTGCTAGCAGCAGCGATGAATACCGACTCATCTATCTGGACTTTATGATCGAGAAGAAGAGCCACCATCTGTTCTCCACAATCCTCATTCGTTGCCGCTGCTTCAGCTACCTCAGCAGCTATTTCTACATGTTCAGCCTTCCTGTCTAGGAGTAGACTCATCACCTCAATATGCCCGGTTTCCGCGGCTACCTGTAAAGGCGTTCTGTCACGACTGTCGGCAAATCTAGAATCTTCATATCGTGGCTGATACTTGAGTTCTCTTCCGTGTACACGCTCATGTCGCATCTCCTCGAATGCAAAGTCGACCAATGCGTTGATACCGAAGAGGGCTGCGACATGCAAAACAGAAAAACCCTCGGGATCGTTGGGCAAATTCAAAGGATACTCTAGTTCCCTGACCCATATGTCTCTTTCACTTGACTTTGCTCGAAAAAACTTCTCGTGTTGTCGCAGGACGTGGAATTCTGAAGAAGCATAATGGGCGTGAACGCCCCAGTATTTGCCGGCATACAGGAGGAACTCAATGTCGACAAGCGGCTTCCATGGTTCATTCATGGACAAAGCCTCGTAATTCTTCATCCAGATATCTAGACAACGATAAGCGAGTGCCGCATGTGCCTTCGCGTCGTCTACAAGATGCTGATTATCTTCTCCCTTGCGAAGCAAGAAATCCTTTACGGACTTGTGTAGTAGACGAACGACACCACTCTGTACGACCACCATCAAGCGGCACAACTCGATATCCTCGCATGTAAAAATCAGACGGCTCTCTTCATCCTCGTTTGGATAGAGGTTGCAAGCTACCGACAACTCAGCTACACTTAGGGGCTGCTGAGCAATGGCCACGACGCTCATCATCTGCAGGAGCATGTGGTTGTCCTCACCACTATGCGTTAGTGCCGTATCCAAGAGGTTGCGGTAAAGAGAGTCCAATCCTCGGGGCATCTTTCGCAGAGTCTTGACGGCATCTCTGGATCGGACGGATGCCAACTCGGTGCATGCTATTCCAACCCAGAGAAAGGTTCCTTCCGCCTTGTCTTCGAGAGTTTCAGATACCTCTGCCGCGACCTTTTTTGAGTATCCGTTCCTCTCACTCAACTCGGCAACCTTCGACCGGATCAAAAGGTTGAGGTCTGTGGCAACTTGCGGATACTGCGATAAGTTTTGATGATTGAAGTGGCTCAAATAGCGTCCGATCTCCGGATACGGTCGACTGGTGAGAAGAATATGAAGACCGAGATGGTTTTCTGAGGCAGGATTCCTGAATGTTTGGTTTATTTGCGCCAACAGCATTTCCTGGGACTCTGGCTCGCACTCGTCGATGGCGTCAATGATGCAGTATTTATCTCCACTGGCCGCATCTGTCCCTATGCTCATAAGTACCGACCACAACGCATCGAACGAAGTGAAAAGAGCGTCTTTCCTCTCCATATATTTGGAATATAGGAGTTCAATCAGCTCAGGCCTTTCCTTGACGAGCTGATACAACAGACCTCTAAGGATTGAAACAGCCGTGCGTCGGTTCGCCGAACTCGAGTCACAGAAGAAATATGCCAGAGTCTTTGCATTGTCGAAGTAGGGCTTCTTTGGCAATTCCTCGGCCATTGTGACAACAATTGTGGATTTTCCTGTTCCAGGATTACCATATAGCCAGAAGATATTCGATCTGACGTCCGCATGGCCCTTAATGAATCCTAGGCTGCTTCTAGGGACGCCATTATCAAAACCGAGCCATTTTTGCAGCGCGTTGGTGTCAAGAATCCATCTACAGGTGTCCGGCGCACGATCTCCCCTTCGACGCTTCAATGCGTTCTTGTCTTCCTCGGGGTCTGAAAGAAATAGGCTTGCCAAACATGCTTTCTTCTCTGCGGTGATTTCTCCTTTATCTACTCACTTCATTAGCAAGTTTATTTTGATGACGAATCATGATTTGGCTTACTCAAACTCCTGATATGGTTCACAGTCCTGGGCTTTAGCGTCGACAGCAGCACCTTGGAATACGCGGCCGCTGTCAGTGCAGCATATCCCTGCCAATTCTTATTCTTGTGCGAGTCGGAATAGTCACAGATACCACGAACCACCAAACACGGAATCTGGTTCATAAGGCCGGCTGCCTCCATCTCGAAACATATAACACCGAGTTCCTGAGCCAGACGGTCTCTTGTCTCGGAGTCCTTTATCACTTTGTCTCCCGAAGCAATCAAACCGTAGTGGACGTGGGGTTCCATGGAAATGCGAGCGTTGCGCAGCACCGCATGCCTGGGATCGCAGTGCATACACGCACCGTCTGAGCCCACATCAGAACGATGAGGGTACTCTGACTTGAACAAAATATCCTTATCAGGGCCAGGACACCCAAAATCCTCGTTCAGCTGCGGATGCCGGTTCAACACAGTCTGAACCAGAGAATAAATGCGTTCGTCTTCAGAATCAACCATGGTCGCCTGCAACAGAGACATATGTGTCAGGAGCAGCTGCGGCGGATGATTCAAGCTCCCCGTCTGCTGAAACCCACCACCCTGCAACGCCTTCCCAAGATCATACTGTACAACGCCACTGTACACCCCCGTCGGCCTGCTTACCACCACATCGCCCAGGCGGATATCGTTGCTCTCACTCGGTACACCACCGCCAATCCCAACCATCATTCCGAACTTGATCTGCGGGAATGTAGAAACCATCTGAGCTACCACCGTAGCCGCCGAAACAGTCCCGTAGATGCCGGACGGCAGGCAAGCGATCACAACGCCATGGCCTGCGATTGACCCCAGCGCGTATGCGTTATGGTCTGTCTCGGGATATGGCAGCTGTGGGTGTGTCTCATCCAGCATTGTTATCGCGGCTGTCATTTCGAGCGGGAGGGCACACACCCATCCCACTGTGTAATCGTCGTGCGAGCGCATGGTTTCGAGCGCGTGGGAACATTATTCTTCTCAGTTGTTCGTTTGTTGAGTGCCTTGACTCAAGGGATTTATGCTGTAGCCTGTCGATGTCGAAAGCAACATGCTGGTCATTTGATCCACGGGGTCGTGTTCATTTCAGCCCCATCGCCGAGAGCCCGGGCAGTGCACGGCGAGGCTGATGACCAGCGACGTATAGCGTTATCCGGAGCGGTTGCTCTTGATTGGCGCTGGAGCCAAGGCTAAGCTTAGTGGTCGATGGACTGGTTACTCCGTACACTCGAATATGCCTTTGGTGATTTGGATAAATCAATTACCCGGTAGCTAGAGCCGGATATTTCGTGTACTTAGTATCTCGGCCTTCAAAAGGCAAGGGTATCTCTCAGTCATCACGCGCGTCCAGCCTTGAACGACCACGCTTGTGTTCTTTGGAACCGGAACCTACGAGATGCGAAGCTGACTTGAATGATATAAACAACTCATTGTTGGTCTATGAACCGGCCATTTAAGGAAACACCCATACTTTCCGCAAATTGCTTGAGCCCTCCTAGTGCGCTTGAAATCCCGCCTGGGGAAATCGAAAAGGCAAAAAACAAGGCAACGAAGGATGAAAAGGAAACAAGACCGCAGGAAACGGGGTAGGAACAAAGAGACCATGCTCTGGATGAATATGGACCATCCCATCCGTTGAAAGGTGGTGAATCGACTCCGTCTGCAAGCAGCCCAAGTGGAAGCCTTTTTCGAAGCGAGTGTGGTTCGGTTAGGAGACCGGGTTTGATGGATCAGACCAGCAGATCGAAGGAAAGAAGGCACGACTAGTTTGGTCGAGCAGCCGAGACAACAAGGAATGAGACGACAAAGATCGATATGTAAGACGACACGTGCCGCCCTTGCAACGTTACGAGACTGAAACCAGGAACTGACGCAGAGCTCAAGGATAGACACATGTGCAGAAGGTATGGGAGAAGTGAATGCGTAGGATCCTGCCTGGATGTAACTTCGATGCAAGGATAAACAAATGAAGAAAAGACACAACTCGCTCGAACTGAGATCACTGCCACGCACTAATCCAATGAGAAAAGGTATCCGGAAATAAGCGAGAACCGGACGCGAGAGAGAACAAGACGAAAAAAAGTGGCAGGATATGCAAAGGGTAGATTGAAAGGCTCTTCTGCGAGCCTGTTATGGGCGGTTGGCTAAGCAAGTCCGTCACTTGACATCTAAAATCGGGAATCCTCAGGGATACTGGCGAATGATGGATCCTTGACGCTGCCACCAGCGTCGCCGAGACCCGCAACGGGGCGGTTGTAAGACCATCCCTCAAACTGCTGTTGCTGAGTCGAAGACAGCATGGGTCCGTCTACATATGAGTCTTTCGGAGCTTCGGAGGTGAACTCGACGTCGAAGTTCTTGGTGTCGCGGGCATCCGACTATACATTCATTAGCAATTATGTATTTTGTCTTGCCGAGCTGTATCTGGCTACATACCACATTTGGTCGGAAGCTTGGCTCATACTTCCTCTGGAGCAGCTTACGCCAGTCAATGTTGGCGAAGAAGTGGTGAGACTTGATCTCCGCGGCACCATTGGCACCAAGTCGGCGATGAGGATCACGGTCAAGGAGTCGAGTAAGAAGATCCCGCGCAGCCGGGGGTACGATGTCGCTGCTTGGGAAAGTCAAAGGCTCCTGTAGGATCTTTCGGTACATATCATTTGTGTTCTCGTCATAGAAAGGCGGAAGACCAGTCAGCATCTCATAGAGAAGCACACCAAGAGTCCACCAGTCGACGGTCTTGGTATACCCTTGACCAAGGAGAAGCTCGGGGGCTAGATACTCTGGAGTTCCGCAGAACGCTGTAGCACGTTAGTTACCAGGAAGGTAGAAAGTAGATGTGTGCCATACTGTTTGTTCGATCTTCGTCTTTCATGTCCAATTTGCACAAACCAAAGTCGCACAGAGCAATATGTCCGGTGTAGTCAAGGAGAATGTTCTCGGGTTTCAGGTCGCGGTAGATAACCTTGAAACCATGCAGACACTCAAGGGCACAAAGCAACTCGGCGGTGTAGAAACGGGCTCGGTTGACATCGAATCGCTGTTCCCGCTGAAGGTGGTGGAACAGCTCTCCACCATTCACGAAAGCCAGGACGAAGTACAGCTTCTCCGGGGACTGGAAGGAGAACTTAAGAGGTACGATGAAAGGATTGTTGATCTGAGCGAGTACGGATCTTTCGGCGAGCGTATGCGTGACTTCCGACCGCGAGATGATGTGTGCTTTACGAATGGTCTTGAGAGCATAGATACGGCCCGTGTCCTTCTTCCTGTGCATGGGTTAGTGGATGTGGACTTGGCGACTAAGGTAGACTTGGTGAGCACGTACATAACCTGCATGACCTTTCCAAAGCTGCCCTTGCCGACGACCTTGAGCAAGTTGAAATCCTCTAGTTTCAGGCTGCGGTGCTTGCTCTCAACGAAAGATACGCTGATTTTGAGGGATCCGGAACCGAACTGAAGGTCAAGCCATTCGGCACCTACTTGTCCTAGGGCGCGTTCCTGTTCGGCGTGGGCCGCGGCAGCCTTCTGGTTGTCCTTCTTGCTCAACTTTGGGTCGTCAACGTAGGGGTGAGTTTCCTCTTCAAATCGAGGATGGACTTTGACGGCACCCAAGAAGATATCATCATTCCGGCCGACACCTTGCCGAGCGGCGGGGTTGCGAAGGTATAGTTGGACGTTCAGATCGGTCTTACGAGACACGTCAAACTTGAACGCTGTGTTGTCACCTGCCCAAAGGGGGTTTTCTGGAGATCCCGAAACTGCATCGACGAAAACTTGATTCTTATCGAAGTCTAAAAGGGCGTAAGGAAGGTACTTAGTTGAGTACCGACCGTGAATAGTCGGGGCCGCGTTGATGCCCGAGCTCGTTGATTGGGGACGGTTGCTTTGCACAAATGAGCTCGACTGAGACTGCGTAGAGTGAGAGGACGAAGAGCTAGGGCGCATCGCATAGCCATTCTGAACGTGTGAACTGAAGACCTGCTGATAATGCTGCGGAAGAGCGAAGCTGCGACCTTCATGAAGGGTGACGATCAGGATTCCAGGCTTGACGGGGGCCACAGGAGGGGAGACGAGCGATTCCGAAGCAGCTTTGTAGAACGTTAGATACCCCGGATTTAGGATGGGGACACGGGACATACCGATTCCGTTGGATGCACTTGAGGAAATGGTCGGAGTCTGTGCGGCGACCGGTGTTTCTTCTCCGGATTCACCTTTGATAGTAGATGTGGAGGAGGATCGTGTAAACGTTTGTGTTAAAGGAGCAAGGTGCGTCTCCTTGAGTTCTGATAAAAAGCAACTGGGTTAGTTTCGAGTTCTGGAAGGGGGGAGGGAGCGAGGGGAGATATGGGAGACCAACTAAACATACTTTTGGTGATTTTCCAGGACATTGTGAAGGCGGCGGTCTGGTTTATCAAGGGAGGAGGGGTTTGATCCTGGAGAGACAAATTCAAGGCGACCCGGAAACTCAATCACAGACCTCGGGGTGAGGAGGACAGCGAGAAGAGAGCGGAGATAGGCAGCTGGAAAAGAGAAAGAAGAGAAAGATAAAGATCAAAAGCAGAGACCTCTTCAGCGCTGACAATCAAAGGAGAAATGAGGAGATGCACGACCGCCACAGCCACAGCAGTCAGCAGGAGCAACGACAGGGACGATCAGGAACTGGTACGAGCAATTGAGGCCCAACAACGAGGATAGAGAAAGACGAGTCCGATTAGTGGACAGGGAGGATGACTCGGAGATGTATGAAGTCTAGAGTGGCATATCTAGACCTGGGGGGGAGGGCAAGAGAACTGAAGGAACGAAACACAGGGACTGATCAATTCAAGAGGGAGAGTTGAGAACAATTGTGATGGAGGCTGAAGAGGGGAAATCGACGGCTTTCCCGATGGGAGCGAGCAAAGAGGGGGGAAAGCGGGTGAGGGACGCCACTGATTGGGTCTCCCATGGGATGCCTGAGCCTGGAGGCGATACTGGCCTTGTTCCCTAGGCATCTAACGCCACAGGGGCTGTACTTGACTTGCCAAGAAATGTGAACTGGAGCACAGCCACCGCCTATGAGACGTCTCCCGCCAGGATTCAGGGCTGAACACTGGTTGGGAGACAGGACAAATAATCAGTTTATCAACATTGCTATCCAAAGCCACCAGCACCACAACAATCCAAGTCACCAAGACCGAGATCCGGAATTCTATTTCGGCGATCCGCCCCAGCCCTACGAACCGGTGTCAAATCGCTGGCCTGCTGCATATCCACTTAGTCAGCTGCGGAGACATCAAGCATCCCTTTATCTCGACAACACCTGCGGTCGTTGACTACAATATTGCCTCGAGCTCGCCTAAACCGCCCTCTATCCTTACTGGAGGGCGCGTTCATCTCGTCGAAACGGGTCCGGGTATCGCGGAGGATGAAAGGCCCCCGGGAGCGATGGGTGTAATAAGAAAGAAGACCGCTACACGCGGTACAGAAGCCGGCACCAAATATCACTGCGACATCTGCTCTGTGGATGTCACCTCAACTGTAAGACACCTGATCTGTATGGCACAAACCAACCTTTGTTTCGTCTCCACCTTTGTTCCATCCCTTTTGGCCAGTCTTTATTGTTGACCCCGTCGTGCGTTAGGTTCGCATATCATGCGCCCACCCGTCCTGTCCAGAATATGATCTTTGTGTGCCATGCTTCGCCGCCGGAGAGAAAACAAAGAATCATGATCCTTCTACGCATCCGTTCCAAGTTATAGAACAGAATTCCGTGCCCATCTTCCAAGAGGATTGGGGTGCCGACGAGGAGTTACTGTTGCTGGAAGGCGCCGAGATCTATGGGCTAGGGTCATGGGCTGACATTGCGGACCATATAGGTGGCTATCGGACAAAAGAGGAAGTGCGCGATCACTATTTGAACACGTACATTGACAGCCACCACTTTCCTCTGCCAGAGCGTGCCGATCCGGATGACACGCGCCTCCAAGATTCGATCTCCAAGGAAGAATTCCAGTCTCGGAAGAAACGGCGCATCGAGGAGCGCAAAGATGCGGCTAAGGCTGCCCCTCCTACTACGCCCAAGCAGAAGCCTACGGCTAGTGTTCCCGCTTGCCACGAAGTCCAGGGTTACATGCCGGGGCGACTGGAGTTCGAGTCGGAATTCATGAACGATGCCGAAGAAGCCGTACAGCATATGACGTTCGAGCCCGGTGCGGGTGAGACGCCTAATGGCGAGACCGACGCCGAGATGGAACTGAAGATGACCGTTGTGGACATATATAACACGCGCCTCACGGCGCGAACTGAGCGCAAGAAGATATTATTCGAGCATAACCTCCTCGAGTACCGTAAGAATACAGCACTGGAGAAGAAGCGCACGAAAGAGGAACGAGATCTACTGAACAAGGCAAAGCCATTTGCACGGATGATGAATCATGACGACTTTGAAGAATTCAACAAGGGCCTAGAATACGAGCACAACCTTCGGCTGGCCATATCACAACTTCAAGAATGGCGGCAAATGGGAATCGGCGATCTCAAAGGAGGCGAGAAATACGAGCAAGAAAAGCAACAACGAGCTCAGCGGCTCATGCCGCAAGGGTCCTTTGACCGCTTCGCCAGCACACGGCCCAAGCAAAATCAACAACCCGAACAGCCGACTTCAGCCAATCAGCTAACGACACCAGAGCTTCCATTACGACTGCAGAAGGCTACTGGCACACCTTCCAAGGTGTCGGAGCCCAACGTCCCCATGAATGATTTCGACCGCATGTTTGCCGCGAACGGCGACGGAGCGGCTACGCCTCAACCTGCGAAAACCAAGTTTGTCGTCCAACCGCTGAACGGAGTCATTCCATGGAAGCTCGAAAACGAAGGCGCGCCAGATCTCCACCTGCTTACAAAAGAGGAGGTAGAGCTCTGCGATGTCCTTCATGTCCAGCCGAAGCCGTACCTAGTGATCAAGGAGACACTATTGAAGGAATCAATGAAGGCTGGAGGAAGCTTAAAGAAGAAGGATGCGCGGGCTCTTTGCAAGGTATGTTTGATCTCTTTAAAATAAAGACTGTGCATCACTAACCGCTTACTGGGGTAGATCGACGGCAACAAATCAAGTCGGATATTCGATTTCATGGTGCACAGCGGGTGGATCAACAAGGGGTGATGTCTTCTGTGCTTCATGCGGCTTTTGTTTAATGTTTAAAGTAGTTCTATCTGGTTCTATAGTACATTGTATATACAGCGCCGGGGAGATGAAGGAGTGGGGAGTTGCAGGCGTTGAGACACGAATGGTTACGAATCTTGAGTATACATAGAGGCTAGGTTATGTAGCCTCCCAATATATCGATCAAATACATCAGTATAGCCTTGATAATCAACAAAGAATCAAGGCCAGCCGAACCCAAGTATTCCGTAAAAATGGATCCTCGGACTGTTCTCCGCAACAATGATCCCCAAAGAACCTCGGCAACTCCAGCTCCCCTCCGCATAAGAACTACCTACATGCACACCACATCTAGAGTACAGTGATCCTACTCTATCCTTCTTAAGCAATACACCAAAGCAAAACCTATCAGATCCGTCAAATTATTGAAAGCCCACAACATGCCCCCAGCATTCCAAACGCCCCCGCCGACCCCCAAATACAGCACCCTCTCCTTCCCCACACCAACAATCATCCTCGTCACGCTCTCGCGCCCAAAGGACCTCAATTGCATCAACTCAACCGGTCACGCCGAGCTCCATGGTATCTGGGAATGGATGGACGAGGAGCCTTCTCTCCGCGTTGGGGTTATCACCGGCGAGGGGAGGGCGTTCTGTGCGGGGGCTGATTTGAAGGGTACATTACACACCATCCCACACCATCCGTCCTCATCTACTTGATCTCGGATATTTGGATTCGATACGAAAAGGCTACGCTAACATGTATACTCGGTAGAATGGAACGCTAGCACGCAGTCCTCGAAACCCCGGAACCCGATGCCCCCCAGCGGCTTCGGGGGCCTCTCGCGGCGGAGCGGGAAGAAGCCTATTATCGCTGCCGTGAATGGACTATGTCTAGGCGGGGGCTGTGAGATGGTCACGAATACGGATATAGTGATTGCATCTGAAAAAGCGTTCTTTGGGTTTCCGGAGGTGCAGCGTGGGGTTGTTGCTTGGGCCGGCGCGCTGCCGCGGATTGTGAGGACGGTGGGCAGACAGCGGGCAATGGAGATGGTGCTTACGGGGCGGAGGGTGGAGGCGAAGGAAGCGGAGAAGTGGGGATTTGTGAATGAAGTTGTTGCTGCTGAAAAGGTGCTTGAGAGGGCAGTTGAGGTTGCGGCGCAGATTTCGGCGAACAGTCCTGATGCGGTGATTGTGAGTAGAGAAGGGGTGAAGATTGGATGGGATGGGATTGGTGCTGAGGAAGGGACCCGGTTGCTCGTTGAGAACTGGGAGAAAAAACTGAATGCTGGCGAGAATATCAAGGAGGGTCTGAGGGCTTTTGTGGAAAAAAGGAAGCCAGAATGGAAGGAGAGTAAGTTATAGACAGAAATTTACGAAGTGGAAGTTGACTTGATATCATGACCATCATTCATTAGCTTAGTGCTCTGCATCTAAGCGATTACATACAAATCATAACGCTAAACCGAAATTCCATAGTGCATGAAAACCCATGCCGAGACCATATTCGCCGTATCCCATGCACATTCAAGTTCCGTCCTGCGGCCAGACATATTCAACGTCGTTTGGAGAAGAAACTCGCCCGGGGACCTTCATATCCGTGATCGAGTCGGCGCCCTTCATGGCAGGTAAGTTTGTGTCCGAAACGAGATAAGAAAGGGTCATGTTGAGACAACGAGGAGCTGAGACAACTTTGCTGGGGTGTTGATCCTACTTGGACTCTTGCTGAACGGTCCTGACACGTTCAAGCACGTGGGAGTACAGAGGGTGGTCCTCCTTGAGCTCGGTCAAGTGGCTGGTGGCTTCCTCAGCGGACTTCTCCTTGAGAATCTGGGCGAGCTCCTTGCTCTCTTCGTCACCCTCGACGTTTTGGAAGCGAAGCGCTTGCTCAATAGCCCCAAGCAGAGCATCAAACTTCAGACCGCGCTCAGCAAGCTGGGAGGCAGGTCCGATAAAGCGCTCTTCGCGGGAGAGCTTGCGCAGTGGAGCCCGACCCACACGCTCAACGCCGTCCTCGAGGTAGGGGTTGGAGATACGGCTGACGATCTTGTCGACATATTCTTTCTGTTCCTTCTCGGAAATACCGTGCTTGTTGATGATCAAAGAGGCAGTCTCGTCGAGGACTTTGTGGACAGTCTCACGGATCTGAGTGTCCTGGAGCGCATCTGCGATTGTCTTCTTGCCAGCAAGGTGGCCGTAGTAGGCGGTCGTGGCGTGTCCGGTGTTGACAGTGAACAGCTTGCGTTCAATGTAGGGGTCGAGCTTGTCAACCCAGTGGATGGCAGAGACGTTGGGGGGTGCAACGCCCTTCTTCTCGAAGGGAGTCCGCTCAACAACCCATTCCCAGTACTTCTCAATGCGGACGTTGAGGCCATTGTTGGGAGGCTGGTTAGGGACGATACGGTCAATAGCGCAGTTGGCGAAGACGGCGCGCTCAGAAATGGACTCGGGCTTGGCCTTCTTTTCGATGTGGCCGCGGAGGGTGTCGGTGGCATTGATAGCGTTCTCGCAAGCAATGACAGTTAGAGGATGTGATACGCTGCGGGAGTCGAGACCCTTGGCAATGACGGGAGCGATGAACTGAAGAATTCGGGGTCCAACAGCACAGGTCACGATGTCAGCGGTCGAAATCTCCTGGACGACGTCGGCTTCTTGAGTCTTGGAGCTGAGGGCGCGGTAGTTGGTGATCGTCTTCTTCTTCTCGCCGTCTTCGCTGATCTCAGTGATCTCGTATGAGGGGGTCTTCTGAATGGAAGCAATGAGGTCGTCGACAACGTCGACAAAGACGACTTCATAGCCGGCCTCGTGGAGGAACTCTCCAACGAAGCCACGGCCGATGTTACCGCCACCAAAGTGAATAGCCTTGCCCATTGTGAGAGATTGTGTTGTGCAGGTGTTGAGAGTCGATGTGTTGAAGTAAGTTTAGGAAGGTTAGGTGGTAGAGAGAGGAGGATTGAAGCGGTATTGGTTGGTTGTGTTATGAGGAGGAATGTGAAGATGAGGAGGCAAATAGGCTGGGCGGGGGAGGGGTTATATAGACAAGAAGCAGGAGGCAGCCAAACAAGGAACCGACGATGGAAGAATAGAGAAGGAGCGTTTAGAGTGGACCGGTGAGTCGAAACAGCAGTGCGACTGAGACCAATGATGACAGCGATGCAGCTTGAGCAGCCTGAGTTTACGGTCTACCTAAGAACTGGGGTGGTCATAGCCATACTCCCGGGTGGAGCCGGTCGTTTTTCATTGCATCAGGACGGAGCACCGGCCATTCACACGGCCTCTGATTAGCTCCAATATAGACTGTAGATCTGGGGTCCATGAAAACAGGATTCCCCCTTGCTGCGACTACCGTTATCACTGCCGTCAATATTGACTGCGAACGGGTTGAGTCTGCAACTGGACTGATGCCCAGTCAGTCACACCCGCCGTTTGTGCAACATGATATGCTGTGCTGCCCGACGAGCTCCTGGTTGTGTCGGAAATTGCAACCGTCTAGCCGGAACAAAGAGCCCGCTGCGGATTCGAGGCTGCTATAGCGCTATATAGCGCTCCCTGATATCGCCTACTACTACTCTAAAATCTGTATACTCCGTAGGCTGCAGAGCATCGACTCACAGTCATCGAATCCACCTGCACCGCCAGATCAATGACGCTCGTGCCTGGCTATCCTTCACGAGCCAGACCCACCGGTTGAGGCTGCCTTGTTCTCCTTTCACAGACACCATCGAGACTGAAGTCATAAAATGTTTGCTATAGTCGAGACTCAGGCCGGTGTCGTCATCGGCCGGCCGAGGCGGTTCCACATGTGACATAATTGGTGCCTGAGGCTGCTGTTGATATCACAGCCATTTGGACTCCCTGTCAGCATTCTGACCATCCTTAGCATCTTGCAGCCAAAGTTGCAGTTCCTCTTCTCTCGCTATGGCCCCCTGCAAAAAGCGCGAAACCCCTCAGAGTCTTTCAGCTGCTCGAATCATTCCAGCACGCACGCTCTTTGGCGTGTATTCGGAGGTCTTCTGTGGGTCTGTTTCTCTCACAATTGCAGCCAATCCCGAAACACTTTCGACTCTCTTCAGGCCACTGTAACGGGCCCGTCCGCGGCCGTTCACAATGGTCTCCATAGAGCATTCGACCTCAAGTCTAAGACAAATTCTTTTTTCTTCCTTTCCGTTCGCCGCCCTTCGTTTTGTATGGTCCCATAGCCTGGCTTTATCTCGACTCTTCTACCCTACGAATCTCTTCTCGCAGACCGCAAGTTGCCCTTATGCTGCCGCTCACCGAGGTACCATCAGCCAATCCCATCGCGAGGCGGAGTACCTCCCGAAACCACCCGCTGCCGGTGATAGCCTCACCCATCGTGGCTTTCTCACGCTTTGATAATCCGGAATTGTCCCCATTAGTGCCTTTATCACGGCTGACTCCGCTCCGTCTGGTTCAACCTCGTCCAACCCAACGAATGGACTGCCGTCTCTGGTCCCGACATTGGTCCGCCAGGCACCACTAGCCACAAGGAAACGAGCTCGACCCCCGTCTTTGGATTAGTTTCTAGGAGGACGAAAACCCCTCTTCGTCTACAGTTGGCTACCCGGAAGGCAGTGCTACCATTCCAGGCCGGCGCCTGAAAATGTCTTCGACTCGCACCGGAGCAGTAACGGCCGGGTCCAATAACTGAGTTGAGGAAATGCGGCATTTTGGTGGATTGGCTGTTGTCCCAGTATACTAGGGTCGGGGAACGCCCTCATACTGGACTGCGAGATGAAAAAGGCCTTTTCTGGGACCATTATTTGCATCGGCAGTGTCGGAGCGGTTTCTTGAGGCATTTCCAGCTTCAGAACCTATTCGTCTTCTCAGAATTGACCATATGGTGAGCGGCAAAAGCCGCTTTGTGTCTTGAGTTTGCCTGGCATCAAAGCAAAGTTAGGCGGGCTTATCAACATCAAGGCCGAGGAAGAAACTCCTCAATCTCTCGTCTGATTCATTATATCCGCCTGATAATCGATTGCTTGACCCTCATGCAGTGGGCTAATGCTTGGTCGTGGACTGTCAAAGCCCAACCGCCATTGCCTATGTCGCTCATCTCTGCTGTCACCAATGACGGCCCAAATGCCTCACTGCCAGGAACGACTCGAGCCATCTGCATGTTTACGATGCCCAGTAATATTCAGGTCGTTATCCACTAACAAATGATCCCCTTTGCTATCAACATATTTGATATAGAACCGTTCTCGGGTGTCTGCTAAACTTGGATTAGATTGCGCAAAGTCCGGAATCTGAGACCTCAGAATGCAAAAACAAGGTTAGCATTCACGGTAAACCGCGTAAAGAGTTGCCCATCAGCAATGAGAGCCATATTCTGCTTCACTGAACAAAGCACAATACTCCAAAGCTGTAGCAAGCGGCCCCATCGGACTCAAAACACGGAAGCAGAAATCATTGGCCGTGAAAGCGATAGGCCTGGGAGAAGAGACCCAGCCTGGGAAAATGGATAGCGGTGCAGCTCTATGAGGATACCTGCCAGTCCATTCCACACTTTCTCTTTATCCTCATCATCTACAAACAGCTTCCCACGCGGCCCTTGCATGTATCAAGCCCTACCATGCAGTTCTTCCATCAGGATATACCTGATGCCAACCTTATTATCCTCGTCGCTGGCAATGCCGCACCCGAGTACCCGCGGTGCAGGCACATTAGTGACCTCGGGAAATTTGAGCGTGGCGTATTCGCGCGAACGAGATAGTCGATGAGCGGTTGTGGAATGCCACAGTCCATTCGAGGCACTCGGATGAGCCAACTTTCGTTCCCATCGAGATTGCTATCTGCATCGGTGAAGTGAAATCGCGCATGATTGTTGGCACCGCCCATAAGGGCCCTGCGTCCCCACGGCGGAGGATGTTGGACCCTGCAGTTCCGACCGCCGTTTAACTCTGAAGGGCGCTTGCAGAGTGCCCGCTCGTTGTTTCTGGCGAGAATGGCTTGGACTTCGCTGTGGACAGCTGCTTCGAATTCTTCATCCGAGAGAGGCTGTGGATGTTAGCTCGGAGTCGGATGGTAGAGGATAAACACTTCTGGGGGAGACCTACCGCATTTTCGCACGCATGAATAGGGGAGGAAGATGTCCTGCGCGGACTCGACGTTCGCATCGCTCGCAGGAGACGATATCACAGGTAATGGACCTATCAATCATGGGCATCGAGGTCATGGTGAGTACAGATGGGTGAGTGAGTCAAGTACAGGGCGGTGCTCAGGATATGTATGCCTCGGCCCTTGATCCGTAGCATCTTTCAAGAATGCTTACTTTAAGAGACCAGCCAATGCCCACTCTTATTTCTGAGTGTTGATGGCCTAGTCCTATATCTACGTAGCCCCCACCCTACAGGCTACCCCAGACCAGGGCTCATAATCGCGTGCGATCGCACCCACTCTGCTCCACCGATAAACATCACCCCTGCTAGCGATCCTACCTTAATTTGAGCCTCTCAACAACAAGTTTTCGCCCGACAAGGGTCCTGAGCCTTGACGTCAAACCAATTACTCCTCCGTAGGGCACTATTTCAGCAATCATCCGTCCATGGAAACGTGGAAACTACGCGGTTTAGTCCCTCACTTCTACAACCTACCAACGCCTCTTTTCTGAGCGCGACCGAAACTGGGTAATAATAGCGGTATATTGTAGATTGTAATCAAATAGAGGGTGATTAGGTATTATTGTTTAAAGAAGATACTCTGTAGCTATACTCAGCTAGTAATTGGTGAGCAGACTCATAGCGCGGACGAAGTACAGATATATATTTCCGCCAGCCCGCTAAAATCTGACCGACTTCTAGAATACCTGGTAGAATAAAACATCACGATACGCACGGCACATCAATATAATTCGAAATATTATTACGACCGCGGTATAGATTCTCAAATGGGAAGTGAAATATAGGCAAAGTTGAGCCAGACATTTCTCCGTATTAATCGAGTTGAGTTGTCTCGTGGAGACAATTCCAGATGCTTGATGGCATGGAGAAGATTGAGCCTTGTAACCACATATTATGATCCTATATGTACTACGAAAAAGGTCTACGCCTTGGTATAGATGCCATGATACCGTCTGCCAGATCGCGGCTTCGAGCCGCTCTGTATACAAGGGAACATGGATGACAGGGTATGAATGCATCTAGGAGACAGTAGGATTCAAGCGACGGTGTCCGCTACCGACTCGCCGAATTTTATCGCCGTCGAGGTGCCGTAGAAGAGGAGCTGACGACTCGCTTTAAAGGAGGGCAAAGGCCCAGCGCGCACGCTTCGAACCGGCCACTTATGGGTATCTGGACACCAAGGCTGCCAAACTCAGCTTTTGAGAAAAGCTTTCTGTGGGCCATGGATCAATTGCAGGGCTTTTCGCAGCGTCTGCACTCGAGCAACTGGAAGACAAATTGCCCAGAGCTAGCAAGAGTGCTGGAGACAGGCCAAGCTCAAATAATGACAGCAAGGTCCGCTCCGGATAGCGGTTGCTTCATTTCAGTCTGCCCCGTGCGGGCTTCATACGCAGCTCATGAGTACCTGGACGTCTTCGGGAATAGGTCAAAGCGTGAGTGGTCCGTACCTGACGGGTGGGAGTCGGTAGACGACTGTATACGCACAAGAGTACCACGTTCAGGAGTTGTATACATATCGAACGGTGTAGATAATGCACCGTCGTGAGATTCTGATGACGTTTTGCCAGCTGGCAGCTTTTTTGGAGGTTTTGTGTGCAAGTGCTCAGAATTTTGAAGCAGATGAATTGCAGTGGAGCAGCGTATACAGTGGGGCATCCCCGCCATTTTTTGTTGGAGTCAGGCTTTCTGACTCCGGCTTTTCGTCCTAGACAGGGAATATCGACGATGAAACCGTTGAAGCTTATGTCAGTGGCTTGGGGATATTTTGTATGTCTAGGTAGAGTAGTAGACCGCTACTTAGCCAGCCCCGTACTATACATAGTGATGAGAGTCATGACTAAAGACTGGGGAAATCACCCCATGCTCACAGACTTGTATCCTCTGTTGTGAATGCCGGAGCAGGACTAGAAAGTTGTGTAGGTCTTTTTCACACTTGCCGGTCAATACGGTCGAGGGTTCGGAGCTGCCATAATGGCTCCATCTTCTAGAGCAGTTTGCGCTATGATGTATGTTGTAGCTGTCTGTCGCCGCTGCGCTGGGTCCATACTGGAATTTTCTTGACACGCACACGACCTGGCGGATCGTCGATGTTCCTGTCGATACTTGCTGTTCTGGATTCCTCTTATTCGGGATGCCGACGGAGTATAGTAGGCATCATGTAGGCGTGCCATACCGGTATACTCCTGCACTGACACAAGAACATCAAGTCCAGCTTGAGAAAACTCGGATTGAGTAGAAATCTGTCTATCTAAAAAATAACATCATATGGCCTACCTTGGACAGAATTCCTCCACTACTCCAGTTTTCGGTCTGCCGTCTCCAGTCTCCAACTCCAGTCTCCCCACCCGTCCCCGTACCATCGGCATCACTCCGATGTCTGCACACCACGCGAGTGACGCGACCCGTCTCGCGTCCTCTGTGCTTGGACTTGGAGCCCGACTGCCCGAGTCTGGAGTATTCCTCCGGAGTCCGGAAACGACCGGACCCGAATAATACGAGTCGGATGTTGGCTTGGCTGATTGACTCTGGTTCAATTCGGGAATCCGACCGCCAATACATCGGGGGAAAACCGGAAAATGTGATATCATCAGATGGCTTGCAGACTGCAGTAGTGCACACCGTAAGATGTACCTAGATGTCTCTTGGCATGAGATGGATGAACTGATTCGAGTCCTTGGCAACTGGGCGACAAGGAGCTTGGCCGGTCTGGCAGTGGCCTAGTTGATGCACAGACAATATCCTGCTATGTCGTAAGCGGCCAAATATTCTCGGCCGTGGGTAACAGATCTATGAACGGTTTCCCGCGGGTGCCAGGCTGCGTGAGGGGGAGTATCTACTCCGTAGTATATTGACATACGTTGCTTTGCTGTCAAAGTAGGCCGTGACCAGGCTAGATCAAGCCACAAGTGTGCTTAGCACAGAGAAGGATCCGGCGCACGGCTGCAGGCGTAACCTGCTTACGAGCTTGTCGAGGTTTGAATCCTTCATGGCCGAGCCAAGTACATTGTGAATCCTTCGGGCCCAAGCTGGAAGCCAACTCCCCGGCACGTCTAATGGATGTGACGCTTGGTTCTCCGACATGAGTTGATGCCGGTGGTCAAAGCAATGAGTAATCGTCATATAAACCGGTTCTCTCTGCGCGCATGGCAGCATTATTGTACAACACGGTTGTACATACGTACATAGCAGTAGACGGCTAAAAGGCCTTGAATGGAATGGGGTTTTTGGTCTAGTCACCGTCCACACTCCACGGTCCCGCCAAAACGGTTATTTTTTCATCCGGCCGGGGAGGACTTGAATCGTCATGGCCATGACAGCCTCCAGGTTTTTGGACGCTAATGCAAGTTCAGTCCTGGATAGGCTCGAACTCCGGAGAAAACAGGTGCTCAGGCCTAAAGCACAGTCATTAATAATGGACGAAAATGATGTAGACACTACTCACAGGTAATATAATCCTGCAGGCGAACATCCCATCATCTACCCCACTGCTTGGCCTCAAGAAGTGCGACTTCAGAATCTCGGGGTATTGCCGAGGGGATTGGGGAATTCGGGGAATTCGGGGAACCCTGCCTAACCCAACTAGTCATGCACTCCACACCCCACATTCTCCGTATACACCAGTGAGTCGCAGTGACCATGGCGACCGTGGTTACTGGAGTAGTTGCCTCATGCCGGCTTCAACAATGGACTTACCCCAGTCAGGCCATACTCCCGTCGATCAATGTCACCGCGGAGCCCCAATGTCCATCGTGGGTAAATGTCGGGTAAACCTCTGGGCCAGAAAATTACTCAGTGCAGCAGTCTTTACCGCCGTCCTCCTCCATCTGCGAGCTTGCCTTTGTTCTCATTCGCCTGCCCCTCCGCTTTTCGTCCGTCCCCATACCCCACAGAGAGTGGGTTGAGTTGGGAACTTGGGGTGGACAGCTAGGGAGAGTTTGCTTGGTAATGTGACTGTCGTAGACCCGTAGTGTATAGGAGGTGCTGGGGCATGACCTCATGCGAGTGAAGGAACCGGTACGCCACGGAAAGGGGTGGTAGTGCGAGAGTGCGGAGTAGAAGCTGGAAGAACAGTCCGACATGCCGTAGAGTCGGCTTGCCATGCTGGGCCGCACCTGCCGAAGAAAAGCTATAAGTAAAACCGGCCGATCACTGGCGAAACTTATTTTTTTCACAACAGCAGCTCTGAGCTTGGTCAATCGCGCAGCTGGGAAATGACGATCAAGGCGAGCACTTCTCAACTTCTTACCTGGGGTCTGTTGGCTGCCTCTGGCGCCCAGGCCCAAAACTATGGCGGTGGCTCTCGGAGTGACGACGCCTTCAGCTATGTCCAGCCCAAGAACACAACCATCCTAGGTGCTTATGGACACTCTCCTGCGGTGTACCCCTCGCGTAAGGCTCTTCCTCCATGAACTGTTCATCTCGGAGACCATTTGCTGACGTTGATAATAGCCAATGCTACTGGCTCCGGTGGTTGGGAGACAGCCCTCGCGCAAGCGCAGGACTTTGTTGCCCAGTTGACCCTGGAGGAGAAGGCCGACATGGTCACTGGACAGCCTGGGCCATGTGTGGGAAACATCATTGGCATCCCCCGCCTCAACTTCAGCGGTTTATGTTTGCAGGACGGTCCGCTGGCCATCCGCGTGACAGACATGGCCAGCGTCTTCACCGCGGGTGTCACCGCGGCAGCCTCCTGGGATAGACAAATTCTGTATGAGCGCGGTCTTGCCATGGGTCAGGAGTTCAAGGATAAGGGTGCTCACGTTGCCCTTGGTCCCGTCGCTGGCCCCCTGGGACGCTCTGCCTACTCGGGCCGAAACTGGGAGGGCTTCGCTGCCGACCCCTATCTCACCGGTGTTGCCATGGAGGAGACCATCAAGGGTTACCAGGATGCTGGTGTCCAGGCGTGCGCCAAACACTTTATTGGCAACGAGCAAGAGACCATGCGTAACCCCACCTTCAACAACAGTGCACCTGTCGGAACCGTCATCCAGGAGGCTGTCTCTTCCAACATTGACGACCGAACCATCCACGAGCTTTACCTGTGGCCGTTTGCCAACGCGGTCCGCGCCAAGGCGGCCAGTTTCATGTGTTCTTACCAGCGTATCAACGGTTCTTATGGATGTGAGAACTCTAAGACTCTCAATGGATTGCTGAAGGGCGAGCTTGGCTTCCAGGGCTATGTCATGTCCGACTGGGGTGCCACCCACTCCGGTGTGGCCGGTATCGAGAGCGGACAGGACATGGACATGCCCGGTGGTCTCGGTTCGTACGGCCAGACCTTCATCCACGGCTCCTTCTTCGGCGGAAATGTGACGAATGCGGTCAACAACGGTACACTCGAGGAATCTCGCATTGATGACATGATCGTTCGTATCATGACCCCCTACTACTGGCTTGGCCAGGACAAGGACTTCCCTTCGGTCGACCCAGCCGCTGCTGACTACAACACCTTCTCGCCTCCCGACACCTGGTACCAAGACTTCGATCTCTCCGGCGAGCGAAGCCGTGATGTTCGTGGCAACCACGGCGCGCTCATTCGCAAGCAGGCAGCTGAAGCGACTGTTCTGCTCAAGAACAAGAACAATGCCCTTCCCCTCAAGGCGCCCAAGACTCTCGCCGTTTTCGGCAACGACGCAAGCGACCCGACCAATGGCCCGTACAACGATGCCACTTACGAGTTTGGAACCCTTGCTGCTGGCGGTGGCTCGGGAACTGGCCGCTTCACCTATGTGGTCTCTCCATTGACAGCCATCAACGCCCGTGCCCAGAAGGACAACACCAGTCTCGTCCAGTTCTGGATCAACAACACCCAGATCGCGACCTCAGATGTTCAGGCTGATCTCCTCCGGGTCCCTACGCCCCCGTCAGCCTGCCTTGTTTTCGTCAAGACCTGGGCTGAGGAGGGCGCTGACCGCGAACACCTGAAGCTCGACTATAACGGTACTGAGGTAGTTCAAAACGTCGCAGCAGCCTGTAACAACACCATCGTTGTCACCCACTCCTCCGGCATCAACGAGCTCCCCTTCGCCAACCACCCCAACGTCACTGCCATCCTTGCCGCCCACTTCCCCGGCCAGGAATCCGGAAATTCCATTGTTGATGTTCTGTACGGCGATGTCAACCCCTCTGGACGTCTCCCATACACCATCGCCCGCAACGGAAGCGACTACAACGCCCCTCCCACCACCGAGATCACCACCAGCGGACAGGACGACTGGCAGTCCTGGTTCGACGAGAAGCTCGAAATCGACTACCGCTACTTCGACGCGCATAACATCCCCGTCCTGTACGAGTTCGGTTTCGGCCTGTCGTACACAAACTTCAACATTTCCGACATCTCCGCCACCCGAGTCGTCGACTCTATCACCTCGGCCCCCGAGGACTCGCCCATCCAGCCAGGTGGTAACCCTGAGCTCTGGGAGACCATCTACAACGTCACCGTGTCTGTCACCAACACCGGAGACGTCGACGGCGCCACTGTGCCCCAGCTGTACGTGACCTTCCCTGACAGCACGCCGGAGGGAACCCCACCCAAGCAGCTCCGTGGCTTTGACAAGGTCTATCTGGAGGCCGGTGAGTCGAGCAAGGTGACCTTCGAGCTGATGCGGAGAGACCTGAGCTACTGGGACATTGTGTCTCAGCAATGGCTCATTCCTGAGGGAGAGTTCACTATCCGTGTTGGATTCAGCAGCAGGAATCTCAAGGAGGTGACGAAGATTACTCCCGTCTCACAATAAAGGAGGAAGGAAGATAAGCCATGTCCGACTAAGCAAACATAACGAGAACACGCCAATGTATATAGTTTCAATAATGAATATTTGTTCAGCTGAATAATGATCTCACTTTGTTTCAGGCAGAGTAGAAGTTGGAAGTAGAACTTAGAACTTCCACTGGCACTACCTGTCTTGGCGATTGCAGATCAAATTGATGACACTGATCGACCGGTTATAGTGATAGATCCGCTAAATCCGCGTCGGCTTACGAGGCTGACGCAAAGAACCTTTCGTACAACGCGATTAATTGCAATCGATAATGGGGCCTATCATGTTGGAACGATAACTGAATGGTGGACCGCGGTGGGGTGTTGGTGAGGGGTACTTGAATAGATACGCATACGGAGTACGCCCATGATGCCATCGCGATGCACTACTTAAGGATTAGCAGCCCTACGCTGGCTGACAGAAAAATTGATGCTCGCAACGGAATTCATACCACCTAGTTCATCTACTCAATCATGCCTAAGGTACTGTTGACAGGTAGGTGTTTTTTCTACCCAGGAAGAACTCGACTGCCGAGTATAGCCGGGAGATTTGTTAGCTAACGGGGCTGAACTCGTCCAGGAGGCAGCGGATTCATTGCTGCTCATGTTCTTGATCAGTTGCTGGAGCGCGGGTGAGTGTTTCTGTCTTCGCCCATAACATCCGGCCGCCGTTGGAGACCTAGGTAGCTGACTGCAGTTCTTCCGCAGCTTCGATGTCGTGACCACAGTCCGATCTGAAGAGAAGGGCGATAAGATCCTGGCTGCGCATCCGAATACGCCAAAGGAGAAGCTCTCCTATGTCATTGTCAAGGATGTTGCGCAGGATGGCGCTTTTGATGATGTATGGATTTATTCCCTTCGCTTCGGTTCAATCTCTATATGGTCGTATTTGCTGATAAACGAGAAGGCTGTCAAGTCCGACCCGCCATTCGACTATGTCCTCCACACAGCGTCCCCCTTCCATTTCAATGTCCAGGACCCCGTAAAAGATTTCCTAGACCCTGCAATCAAGGGAACAACGGGCATCCTGAAAGCTATCAAGGCCTACGCACCTACTGTGAAGAGGGTGACAATCACTTCGTCCTTCGCAGCGATTATCAACCCGAAGAACCACGAAAAGGTCTACAGTGAGAAGAACTGGAACCCTGTGACCTGGGAAGAGGGTTTGGACTCCTCCAACACATACCGAGCAAGCAAGGTACCAATGACCCGCTTCCGCTAGATCCACCCATCGGGCCTCAAGCTGACAATGAACGTCCATCAGACACTTGCAGAGAAAGCCGCTTGGGACTTTGTAGAGAAGGAGAAGCCCAACTTCGACCTTGCGACCATCAATCCGCCTTTGGTCCTCGGTCCCGTCGTGCACTACCTAAGCTCGCTTGATGCTATCAATACCTCGAACGCGCGGATCAGTGGTCTTGTGCGAGGATTCAACAAAGATGCGATCCCACCCACGGGCACCTTCCTTTGGGTCGACGTTCGTGATGTTGCACTGGCCCATGTCAGAACCATCGAGGTATCGGAGGCTGGGGCGCAGCGGTTCTTCATCACGGCTGGTCACTATTCGAACAAGGATATTATCGACATTATCCGGGACGCGTATCCTGAGTTGGACGATAGACTGCCACCGAAGGATGCCCCGGGCGACGTCCCTAAAGATGTGTATGGTTACGACAACTCGAAATCAACGCAGGTCTTGGGTCTCAAGTACCGCGGGCTGAAGGAGTCAGTAGTTGACACGGTTAAGACGCTGCTGGAGAATGGTGCTTAGGAGATTTAGAGCGAGGTACCAATATAAGACTAAATGAAGAACAAAGCATCCAGATTGTTTCAATCAAAAAAGATGTTATTGGTTTGTCCGTAGCTCGTGGGCTGGGGATGTTGGGGTACGATACCTACCGTAGGACTTGCGTTTTGTGTGCTTCCGCTCACCGTAGGATTCTTTGGTTCTGGCAACTCCAGGGCCCGAACCCAAAATTCTTCCGCGTGTCGAGTGTTGAAGCGATTGTACTCGAAAACCATGGTGTCAGCAGCAAGGCTATCGCCGACAGCAAAGCTGCTGCGGAACTCTCGTCTCTTTGCACTTCCGCAGGCTCTTACCCCTGTGGCGCCGCCTACCTCGAGAAGTTATGCCGAATCCGACAGCGCAACCCTCCCTCACCCCATCCGAGCATCCATCGTCACACCGGCTGCGTCGTTATCCAGAGGAGATTGGGGTCTCAAGAGACCACTTCCTGCTAAGTCGACATCCGAAAAGACTTCGAGGCCTGTCGTGAGGATCAATGAGTTGGATACCTTCGAACATGTCACAGACTTCGATTCCGCATCGGACCACACGGTGACCTTGGAGAAGTTCCAAGAACTCAATATGCCGATTTCTGTCCTTACAAAGATCAACTTCGGGGGAAGCTTATTACCGAAACATCAGAGTGTCTTTGAACAGGACGTCGACAACACGGAGGCGAGCGAGAATCTCAACCAACCCGACATGAAACGATTCAGACATACTGGTCCCTGGCTTGCAGGTCTCACGGATGCGGAGTTCGCTGCTTTTCTGAAAAAGGTACAGAAGAAGAAGCCTCAACTGCTGTCCCAACTTGAAGAGCGCTTCTTCGAGAAACGATTCGCCGAGATCAAGAACGAGGCTCAAGACAAGGGCGAAGATTTGGACAATTTGCCGGCGCCTACTCGGGAAGAATTCGACAACTACCTAAAGAAACTACGTACGGATCCATTTGCGCTAGGTCCTGTGGTATATGATCTGTTGGATCTTCCTGCCACTGCTCCGGTGCCCGCTGAGCGGATGGCCAAGAAGTACTACCAGACTCCCCCGACTAAAATGGCTTCTCCGGAGTACGCGACCGCCGGGCCTCCCATAACGCATCCTTCAGCTGGCCTGTATTATGCTAGGTCGCATGCTTCGCTTTACAATCACCCGACGTATGGTCCTCAGGCGAACCAACGGCCAGTCGAGGCACGTATTTTGAGACCTAGGGGCAAAGTCAAGAACAGGGGTGGCAGGGCCGTCATCGGTATCGGTGGTATTGCGCTAGACGACATGACTTCTTTGACCTTCTCGGAATCATATGGCCCCGCAGGTCTGTCGGCCTTCGACCCATCCTTACCCGGTGGTGCCAAGTATTATGTCACACCTGGCAGAGCCTTCATCAGCTCGACTGGGCGAATCATTCTTACAAGCTCCCGCGCTACCACGAACTCTAAGGCACCATACGGATTGCAAGATTACAGAAGTAGCACCTCCCCACCTCGACGATACACCTCGGCTGAGCACAAGCGCGCCGGCAGTCGGAATGTCGATAGGTTGGACCAGCCTCGCGTTCGCGCGCGGCCTGCTCCGGGCGTCGCGCAACAGGATAGATCCTCTCGGGACGTTGCAAATAGCGTTATGAGGGGTCTCCAGTCTCGATAAAGATTCGTTGGTGTTGCTGTATTTTAATGTTTTAAATCTGTCTGCTTGCTGCCTCTCAGTTACTGTACGATTAGCTTGGGTTTCGAATGTATAGCCTTTATCTCATGTTATTTTAGATCTATATGACATGCAATGGGCTACAAATCTTATTCTATTGTGTATACGGAGTACATTTAGGGTGGGAATGATGATAGGGCAGTTTGCACTGGAACCCCCAGTTTGCACAAGATCGTGCTACAGAGACACGTGCGAATATCTGACTCAGCGAATGAACAGTCACGTGGGCGGTGCGCTAGGGCAAGGGCCAGCACAACAGACGACATACCCGATTAGACCGACCACAATCTCAAATTCCAGCTCGCAAACCGTCAATCAACCAGCCAGCCAACAACCGCCAAAATGGGTCGTGTCAGGACTAAGGTGAGTTCCAAATGATTGAATATGAAGCAACAGGGATTCAGATTCTAATGGACGACTTTTTCGCGAGAAATTTAGACCGTCAAGCGCTCCGCCAAGGTCGTCATCGAGCGTTACTACCCCAAGCTCACCCTCGACTTCGAGACCAACAAGCGTGTCTGCGATGAGATCGCTATCATCCCCTCCAAGCGTCTTCGCAACAAGGTTAGTGGAATTCCGAAGAGGCAGCCAGAAGAGCGACCGAAATAGAAGCAGGGACTAATTTGGTCTAGATCGCTGGTTACACCACCCACCTTATGAAGCGTATCCAGCGTGGTCCCGTCCGCGGTATCTCCTTCAAGCTCCAGGAGGAGGAGCGTGAGCGCAAGGACCAGTACGTCCCTGAGATCTCCGCCCTCGACGTCTCCCAGACCGAGTCCGGCCAGCTCGACGTCGACACCGACACCAAGGACCTCCTCAAGTCCCTCGGCGTAAGTTTGCCTTTACGAAGCGATACAAGAACACCAACCCCCTAACTTGATATCTAGTTCGACAACCTCAAGGTCAACGTTGTTGCTGTTACCCAGCAGCAGCCCGAGCGCCCTCGCCGTTTCCGCGCTTAGAGGACAATCGGAGAAAAGTTTAATGATCTTATGCGGCTGTTCTGTGGTCTGGTCTGTGACTGTCCGACTTTGTTTTATAATTCCCTGGCTGGCGTGCCGGATTCGGTACTTTTTTTAGGAACAGCATATGAGAAATGGAACATGGTTGCTGCTGAGAAAGGTGTCGCCGATTCCTTCGGGATGACGCTTGATTGCCAATATTTCTCCCGTGTCTTTTGGGTCTTCTACGGAAGACACGTAGGTGGTGGAAATTGTGTGATTGCTGCTGGGCTGGAGCCGGCGTGCTTCACATCCCATCATTATTTCTGTGTGGCTCCGATTTTCTACAGGAAAATGCGTAGATGTCCGACGCCGTGAACTTGCCGCTGGCCTGCTAGCTGGCGAGTATGCTTACAAGTTTTCGCACTGAGTGATCCATTATTGAGGAGGTATGTATGATGCGCCTATATATCATTGGGTATCCGCCTGTAGAACGCCTTATCGTAAAAAATGAACAAACGCCATCAAATAACCTCAAGATTCATTCGGCATATATCCTTCGATTGAGCCACCTCTTTCGTCTCCAGCTCGCATCTCTGGTGCGGTGACTTGTCCAACATTCGTCTTCTCTTGGATGTTAACATTCACTCTACCACCTTGGAGTGCTGGGTTTTGGTCGCCACGTTCCATGGCGAGCTCTCGCGAGCGAGCATCGTCCCTGACCGAGAGTCTCGAAATCTCGTCGGCCACTGCACTCGGTTCCGGCGTGGTATCCATGTGAAGGTTGTCCAGCTGACCAAGGACTTCTTGGACACTCGTTGGATCCCTCATTGCGCTCTTCCCTTTCCCTGATCTGCCTTCCTCAAGCAAGAGGAGCTCTTCTCCTCGGAGGTCGTCTGCCCGTCTCTCCCATACTGGTTCCGCCGCAAGCTGGACTCGGATGTACATGGCTCTCTCAGCACACTCATCCGAGCACCACATCTCATACTGCTCTTTAGGGACTATGTTCATCTCCCGTCCACGGCCTCTAGGTCCGCTGCCTCTCGCGCCCCATGTTATCCGAAACGCGCCCCTTGAGTTCTCCTGGCGATGCTCGTGCGGGCAGAGCCCATAGCCACAAAGACCTTCGATATTTCTTTCCTGTATAAGATTGTCGTAATCTGCAGGCTGGAAGGGAACTAGGGCAGCTTTGAATTTATGTGCATCTTCAGCGGAGGGGGCGGCAGGGTCGGCGGATGGAGAAGATGGGATGGTGAGCAGTTCGAGGATGCGGTCTAGGATAAGATCTTGCGCATTTTTCTGCGCTTGAATGCGATGGGCATGGTGGAGAGCGATTGCCAAATGACGAGGATCCGTCTGGGGTTTCGAGGGCTTCTGCTTGGGTTTTAGTGGCGAGCGTCGGGCACTGCTGGGTTTTGACGTGGGTGGGCTTGTGTTTGATTGTCGAGCGGATGCTGCATGCATCGAAGGAATGGAGGTCTTCAAAATGGGTTTAGCGGATGACATGGTTCGGAGCTGATGGTGCTGTTAGAGTAGATAGATGAGAGGAAGCTGAAGATTAATTTCAGGAGTGGAGGTTGGAACGGGTTGGAACAGGCACGAAGGGGGGAACAGACGGTCGGGTCGGCAGAAGGCGAAACCCCGGATTGCAGCTGTAGAAGCTCAATCCATGACGACGAGGCACAGAGTTTGAGCCAACGCTCTGAAACAGCTAGCTCGCTCCATCTGCGAGACTGCGACTCGCCTGTTACACCACGTTGCTGTTTCCTACAAATCGTGGCAGTGTCCTCATTTCTGCCTGCTCACTTCGTCATATTAGCCGCCGATCGTGCCGTTGGTGGAGCAGAAGCAGGCGGTCTTTACGCTTTACTCTTTCCTCCCTCCGTCTCGCTCTCACTCCATCCCTCCTGCCACTCTTCTTTATTGTCCCTGTTTACTCCCAACCTTGGCATTTGCCCTTGAGATCGACTGTGTGGCAGCTCATAGTTGCCTGCGATTCTGTAAGTAGAGCATGCTTTGGTTCTTGAGCCGCTGCTCTCTCCCTGTCACATTCCCACCTCTCACATCCGCACACCAACCCCACGACGCAGCCATGCCCGACATACGTCAACCCGTCTGACATGCTATTCCTCCTTTCCCTCTGATCGTCCGTGAAGCATCGCTTCTTGCATGAGCTCCCGTCTATCCGATCTCTCTTGGATCTACAGCTAGCTAATGCCAGTGTCGCACCGCTTTTCTAGCTACCTAACGTGAAGCCCCCTCCTCCACTCAGCTCCATTGCGGTCCGCACCTCCCCTGTCCCAACTTCCCCCGTGTGAGGGACGGCTTCCCCAATGTCTAGCTCGCCGTTTACGGTCAAGGCGGTTTTCGAATATGCTTCGGACCACGAGGACGACCTTAATTTTGCCATCGGTCAAATCATAACAGTTACTGCTGTGGAGGACGATGAGTGGTACTTTGGCGAGTATATCAGTGAGTCCGGGAGCAAGGTAGAGGGTATTTTCCCCAAAAATTTCGTGGAGAGATATGAACCCCCTGCTCCTCCGCGGCCCACGCGCCCCAGCAGGCCAAGGAAGGAACCCGAAGCTGTTGCGCCCCCTGAGCCTGCCACGGTCGAATCGCCTGTAGCGGAGGCTCGTCCGTTTGACCCCGAGGAAGAGGTGACACCCCCGCCGCCGGAAACGAGAGCTGTACCTCCGCCTCCTCAGTCTCCGCCCGTCGCTGTGGAACAGTCGCCCATCCTTGAGTCCGCACCTCCAAAGCCGGCACCGGCCCCCGCTCCAGCAGCTCCCGCAGTTCAGAGTCCTGCAGAAGAGCTCAGTGAACATGCTCCTGCTCCTGCTCCTGCTCCCAAATTTGCATCAAAGCCACCGCCTCCTGCTGTAGCGGAGAAGCCCACTGGCTCCTCATTCAAAGATCGCATTGCCGCTTTCAATAAAACTGCTGCGCCACCAATCGCGCCGTTCAAACCGGGCGGTTACTCTTCCCAGTCGTTCATCAAAAAACCATTCGTTGCGCCGCCTCCGAGCAAGAATGCTTATGTTCCGCCGCCTCGTGAGACACCTGCAGTGCCCTATAAGCGGGAAGAGGACCCTGAAGTACGGGATCGACCCGCACCCGAGCCACCTGTTTCTGAGAGTCGACCTGCGCCCGCTGAGAGTGCTGAGGAAGGAGCCGAGGATCAGCCCAAGCCAACAAGCTTGAAGGAACGGATTGCTCTTCTGCAAAAGCAACAGATGGAGCAAGCTGCTCGTCACGCTGAAGCTGCCCAGAAGAAAGAAAAGCCTAAACGACCTTTGAAGCAGCGCTCAGAAACTCAGGAAGAGGGATTGACTACAGCGGAATTAGCGCCTGAAGCTCCCGGGTCCCCAGAGCCCGGTCGGGACCATAGCGTGGAAACGTTAAAAGGCGCAAATGCTCCTGCTGTGCCAGCAGCGCATCCTGCTATTCAAGATCTCACGAGTGATACAAATGACGCAGATGATTCTGCTGCTGCAGATACCGAGGATGCCGATGAGGCATCTACAGGAAGAGAAGACTCAGATGATCGTTCTCGCGCCCAGGTTCAGCGTGAGCCTCCAGCCCAAAACCTGACGGAAGAGCATGAAGGCCGGGAGGGTGCGAAGGAGCATAATCAGCACGAATCTGAAGAGGAAGAGGAGGACGCGGAGGAAGATATAGACCCCGAGGTCAGGCGGAAAATGGAACTCCGCGAGAGAATGGCCAAGATGAGCGGCGGTATGGGTATGATGGGCTTCTTTGGCCCCCCTGGTGGAATGCCAACATCTGGGGCTGCATCTCGAAAGCCTAAAGCCCCTGCTCAGGCTGAGCGAGAATCTGGTGAAACGGAGACCGCCGCGACGCCAAGTGCACCACCCGTTCCTGTAATGGCTCTACCAGGAATGAACGCCGTAAGGTCACCATTGGCTTCTCCAACTTTTGAGAAAACCGAGGAGCCACGATTGATTGCTTCGGTTGAACAACATGGTGCATCCGGAGTTCCAGATTCTGTGCAAGAGTCCGAAGATGAGTCTGAGGAGACCCCTCGTCGATCCGTTGACAGGCCGCTTCCCACGCCTCACGGTATGCTGGAATTGGTTTAGTGTCTGCTTTTCATACAGTTGCTAATAGCCCTGTTTTTCAGATCGTCCCGTGCCTCCCCCACTTCCCCCGATGGATTCGCGCCCTACTCCGCCGTCTAGCTCTCACGGCTTACCATCATCCCCTCCTCCAGTGCCGGGAGGTAAGTAATCTATCTTGACAGCCTTTCCTAGTTATCCTCACTAAACCTATTCGTAGGTCGTCCCATGCCCCCTCCCCCTCCATTGAGGAGCCCTACATCTGGCGGGGAGGATTCCGATGACGAGCTTTCCGTACATACAAAGACCCTGTCTTTGAGCGCTGCAGCTACGGATTTATCTTCGGAGCCGGCACATCCAGTGCTGGATCATATCGACTCCCGTCGTTCATCGACCTATGATATGACTTCCCCAAAATCGCCAACCTTTTCTTCCGAGAAGAGACTGAGCCGACCTCCTCCGCCCGTTCCACAAACCAACCCACCTGTTCCTGCTCAAACTCGGCAGCCTCCACCGCCCCCTCCAGAGGCTATCCGGCGTAGTTCCACCGCTGATAGCCGGACCAGTATTCCACACCCTCGACAGGCTGGAGAGGATGTTGAAGGTGAAGTCACGGAATATGATGGTGATTATGATACCGATATTGCCTCTGGTGCGAAATTCAAGGATGCATTAAAAGCACATGGCCGGGACTCTAGCCTTGATGAAGGCATTGTCACCGATGATCAGTCTCTTCAGTCTCCTCGCAGTCCGCCCGAGAACCGTCCACCACCGCCTCCACTCTCTGCTCCAAGGGGAGTTCCGCCTCCTCCGCCTTCTCAACCGCCAAAGAGTTCTGGCTCCGGCAGGGTCTCTATAGACGCGCCCAGGGCCCCGCCTCCCCAGCCGCTGAGGGGTTCTGGTTCCGGTAGGGCTTCTATAGACGCACCCAGGGCCCCACCTCCCCCTCCACCTCAGCCTCTGAGAGAACCTTCTTACGATGACGATGATGAGTATGACCCCTACCGTTATACATCGCCGCAGCATGGACTGCCTGCACCCAAGGCGGCCCCTGTGTCGACCGGACGACCAGATCTGCCCCCTCCACCAGCTCCTCCTATCCAAGAGGATGACTCAGACGATCTGTATGACGAATTCCCCGCACAGGCAGCTACAGAAGCCTCGGCTCCGCCTCCGCATAGCCAACCCCCAGCAGTAATCCCACCGCCAACTCCGCTGAGTAACCGTGCATCTTTGGACGTCCCGAGGGCGCAACCTGCCGTGCGAAGGTCTATGGATGTGGGCCGTCCATCCATTGATCAAGGCTTCATCGCCATGGATCTCGATCTAGCCGAGGGCACGCTGTGGTGGGCTCAGTCGAACGTCCCGCCTCCCGTACTCCAGAATCGTCAGGATATCCTTCTAGAATTTGAAGAGTCTAGTTCTTCAAAGCGAGGCGGTAAGACCACAGTCACGAAAGACGTGTACGTTCTATTTCGCGACTACTCTCAGACCGTGATTACTGTGAGCTTCGACGCCCGCAATCCAGCTGATGCGGTTCTGGAGCAACGCCATGAGCAACCTCCTCTACCACCTCGCCAAGATCAACTCGAAAATGCCCATGTTCAAGTAGGCACCCGCGTTTCTGAGGGTGTCAACGCTATCCAGAACACTACTGTAGCAGATGGCACACCTTTCGGGCTCGTTAAACACTTGTTGGACCCGTTGTCAGATGCGCTTCGCCCAGTCGGCAACCGTGCGTACGGTGCTTTGGTTTACTCCAACATGGCCAATGCCTCGGTGCAGCAACATGATGAGATCCGCCCTGGCGATATCGTCAGCTTCCGGAATGCGCGCTTCCAGGGACATCGCGGAACAATGCATCAAAAGTACAGCGCGGAGGTTGGCAAACCCGACCACGTCGGTATTGTGGTTGACTGGGATGGAAAGAAAAAGAAGATCCGTGCTTGGGAGCAGGGTCGCGAAAGCAAGAAGGTCAAGATGGAAAGCTTCAAACTCGACGACCTTCGCAGCGGCGAGTGCAAGGTCTGGCGTGTGATGCCGCGCAGCTGGATCGGATGGGACAACTAAGAAGATAACCACAGACCCGTAACCTATTAATGCTTGATGACGACCTTGACGTGGGCTAAGCTTCCCAAATCGAACCCACAATGACAACCTGATGATTGATTTACTCTGGGCGGGATTCAATATGCGCCTCGTTCACTTCTCCCTATTTGCTACACTACGAGCTCGACATACCGAATAGGAGAGTGGATGGATAGATGATTCGTTTCTGGTACATCTTAATTTCGCGTGGCACATGAATTAATACGACTTTTCAGCCCGACCCTGTATTGTTCGCCGTCGATTCCGTTCTGTGATCGCCTCGATCTCTTCTCGAATATAGCATTTGTTCCATGTACCTATTGACCCTGTCATTGTTTTCATGTAGCCTTTGCACAATATATTTCTGTTTGTTTTTACTGCCGCCTGAAGGATAGTACTAATATGTTTATGTCCAACTACGAGCGTTCTAATAGCTCCAGTCTTAATTCTAATCAAACTTTGCTGCTCTGCGTTCCAACTTCCTCCGATTCCTAGTCTAACAGGACAAGATCACTAACTCTCTTATTATCTTAGACACCAGCAGGTTAAGGTTGGGCTGGACACTATGAAGCTTCCGAAACCAATGCACCGGAAAATATATCAACGGGTGATCTGCATGATGAGCCAAGGCATCTGAATATTAAGCTTGTAGATTATTAGGTTGCGCAAGCCCAAGGCACAAGATCTTAACTTGCACATGCTGTGGGGATAAGGTAGAGTCACTTGATGGTACATCCAATATCATTATCGAGCAAAGCCAAAAGAGCACGGTACAAGTTGGCTGGTGTGACACTTGACGAGGCGAGAATATGCGGTCCCTGATGTTGTGCATGCCAGATATGTTCTTTGGTCACCAGTGCCTGCTCAATCCTGAAGCCCAGAGCGTAAGTTGCTCTCTAGTAAGTGCAGTCTTTTCCTTTAGGGTTGTAGCTCATCGAGAAGTTTTGCAGTGACTACAGTCGCAATTCGAGTCCTTAGTGCTCAGATTCGATTTGAAAAAAAAAAAAGCCAAAAGAGTTGTTGAATTTGGGTGCATTTATTTGAGAATGAATAGCGTGAACTTAATTGGACATTGACAGGATAGGTTATTTTAAATACAACGAGCCTGAGTTCGGCGGCCGTTTTGTGTCCTCGCCTCGAAGTCATATGGTCCGCGATGATGTATACAATTGAATCAGTATGCCGTTCAATTGTTCAGAAACGAATTTAGAAAAGTTTGCAGTCCATGATATTTTCACGAAGAGGGTCAATATCCAGGTCGAAATAGCGATGGTCAAAAGGTATGAACTCCAAAGCAAACCTGAGTACGAACTACCGTCACTTTTTGGTTATGAGCTTGGCCGTTTACGCTGTTGATGTGATCCGCTCTACCACTATTTGAGTCTAAAACTTTTCAGCACACAATCTTGTTGAAGTGTTCCTCCGATGGCCTCCCAAGCGACAAGAAGAAGATCGTTGGCTGTACTCTCAAATGCTGGATTTCAGAAGCGATAATCCAGTATCGAGCAATGATGAACACTGATGCGGTTATTGCGTTGCCGTAGCTGAAATCTCAGAGTTCCAAGTAAGGAATATAGTGGTGGCCTCGTGACAGCTTGCTTCTTCATTTGAGCCGGCATAGCTCGCTAGTCTTCAGGGCTTCCATTACCAGGAGACTTGACCGTTTTCGGGGCGTCAATCTCTCCGTTCTGGGCAGAAGGAGATAATATCTGGAGGTACCCATGAAACATTCTCGTTCCGACCTTGAAGCTGGAGGTCCTTGCGAATATTATGGTGGCTGTCTCAGTTCCAGTATGCTTTCCAATTTGGTTCAGCATCTGGTGATGCTTAATGCAAGCCAAAGCATCATGCCTTTCCCGTGACTGCCAGCCAGAACTTTGTAACTTGCGTAAAGGGGTGGGGTATGCCCTTTGTAGGATCGTCACCCAACGTCTCTCCAGAATCCAACCCTTCGTTCACATCCAGCTCCCACGGCTGCCAGCCACGGCCTTGTAACTTGCGTAAAGGGGTGGGGTACGACCTTTGCAGGGTCGTTACTGAACCTTTAGCAAGTGTTTGGCGCCTGTTCGCCTAGATGACCAGTGTCGGGCTTGTCCATTACGGAACAGTTGTCTCGGAGAGCGGCCTGAAGCTCAAATAAAGGAAGTCGAGCTGTCTGTGAAGATCTTTGCTCCTCTGCTTCTCAAAGGAAGGAGACGTCATCGCAACAGACCTTGCTGCCAGATCGAATCTAATGGTCAACCTAGCAGGTCATCGCTCTTCTGCTTCGACGAAGGAAACCATTGTAGGGTTTCTGCGGCCGACTGAGCTGTGGCAGCGCCATTACGAGAGTTTTTGTTATTCTTTCTTTCTTTGCAAAGAGAAATCGTTGCAGTAACCGAGACCCTTCTGTCGAGCCATTAACAGTCAACGAGTTCCACTTCCTGATAAAGGACAGCCGCATGTGCTTGGTGATGGCTATGCTAGGGAGACCAGATCAGCAAATTCAATACTCCAGAAGTCTCTGAGTCACCACGGCATCATAAACGCACTTGGAGGTTTTAACTGCAATGGATGACCTTGCATCCTTCTCCGGAGCGGATGACAGCGTCGTCTGCGAATGGCGCGTTTGGTTAGAAAGTGTCGAGGAATTCTCGTCCTTGGCCAGCATCAGCAAGAAATAAATGGCTCACAGTCTCACACCGACTCGGAACGGCAAGTTTGACTAACGACGACTGTTAGGGACAGGAAAACAGGATGGAGGAGATAGTATGCCTTGCGTTCATTGATTGTCAGATACAGTATTGGCAGCTGGCGTGGTCTGTTGAGGCGACCCGATGTGTCAAGTAAGCTGGAGAGCAGACAGACTTGCCATGGACAGAGAAATCAGTTGTATCATGCATAACACAGAGGTGGAAAGAGCAGTTGGATGTGAGAACGGTAAGGGTAATACTGGGTAGGTAAGGCAGATACTTATGCCTCAGGCAACATTGGCCCGTGCGTGACACGAGCGGAACGCAACTCCAGGCCTTCTGACCTTCAGGCCCCAAGCCGCCTCCCCTTCTGTCTCACATTCTCACTCTTCGCCTCGACTCTCTCCGCTCATGCTCCCGTCGTCATCTTGAATGCCCAAGAGGCTGCCGTCAGATGTCCCCTCTAGGGAGAGGTATCAAGAATGGCGCAAGCGTTTCCCCTCACGGACGTCATCCAGAGGCTCTTTACCGAGTTGAAGTCTAAGAATGAGGATACGCGGATTCGAGCTGCTTATGAGCTTCACGAAAATGTGTTGGCCCTCTCAAGAGGTATCCCAAGCTTCCCCACAATTATCCCCTGATTAAGTGCTGACGTTCGGACTCCATACTAGATTGGCCCCCCGAGAAGTTCGTTGACATTCATAACGCCATTAGTCAACGCATTGCGCAGCTCATTGTCACCGGCAGTGATGCCCATGAACGAATTGGTGGTATTCTTGCGCTTGATCGGTTAATAGATTTCGAGGGGGTGGATAATGCACAGAAGACAACCAGATTCGCGAGTTATCTGCGGAGCGCGCTCCGCAGCAATGATAATGCCGTACTTGTGTACGCTGCGCGGGCACTCGGTCGCTTGGCCAAGCCTGGTGGTGCCCTTACTGCGGAACTGGTTGAAAGTGAGATACAGTCGGCATTGGAATGGCTTCAGTCTGAACGACAAGAAGGCCGGCGGTTCGCTGCCGTTCTGGTTATTCGAGAGCTCGCAAAGGGCTCCCCCACTCTCCTCTACGGGTTTGTTTCCCAGGTTTTCGAACTTATCTGGGTTGCTCTCAGGGACCCCAAGGTGCTTATCCGAGAAACTGCTGCGGAAGCCGTGAGCGAATGCTTCGAAATCATTGCCGCGAGAGATATGCAGGTCCGGCAGCTATGGTTTGCGAGGATATATGAGGAAGCGCTTCAAGGCTTGAAGTCAAATAATATGGACTGGATCCACGGCTCGCTCTTGATACTTAAAGAGCTTCTCCTCAAAGGAGCTATGTTCATGAATGAGCACTATCGGAATGCTTGTGAAATCGTGCTTCGTCTCAAGGACCACCGGGATCCCAAAATTCGGACCCAGGTTGTTCTCACAATTCCCATTCTCGCCTCCTATGCTCCCGTTGACTTCACCGAAACATATCTGCACAGATTCATGGTGTATCTTCAAGCTCAGTTGAAGAGGGAAAAGGAGCGAAATGCCGCTTTTGTAGCCATTGGAAAGATTGCCAATGCGGTTGGTGTGGCCATCGCACAATACCTCGACGGTATCATTGTATACATCCGCGAAGGACTGGCCATGAAGGCGTAAGTGCAGCTTCCCGTACTGTGCTTGTATGGTCTTATGCTAATAAGCTGAAGGCGGAATCGCGCTGCTATAAATGAAGCCCCCATGTTTGAATGCATCAGTATGCTATCGCTAGCTGTGGGGCAGGCTCTCAGCAAATATATGGAATCACTTCTCGATCCCATTTTTGCCTGTGGCTTAAGCGAATCCCTTACCCAGGCTCTTGTTGACATGGCCCATTACGTACCACCAATAAAATCGACAATTCAAGTAAAGCTACTGGACATGCTAAGCCTCATCCTGGATGGCACGCCTTTCCGACCTCTGGGTTGTCCTGAAAGCAGGCTGCCTCCGCTGCCATCGTTTGCTAAAGACTTCACCCTGCAGGAGCTACATTCTGATACTGAGATTGCCTTAGCCCTGCATACTCTGGGAAGCTTTGACTTCTCTGGACATATTTTGAATGAGTTTGTGCGCGATGTCGCTATCCACTACGTCGAGAACGACAACCCTGAGATTCGGAAAGCTGCTGCCCTTACATGCTGCCAACTATTCGTGCACGACCCCATCATCAATCAAACAAGCAGCCACTCGATTCAAGTTGTGAGCGAAGTCATTGATAAACTATTGACGGTCGGCGTTGGTGATCCGGACGCCGAAATCCGACGCACTGTCCTATGGTCCCTCGATCGCAAATTTGACCGGCACCTTGCGCGGCCAGAGAACATCCGATGTCTCTTTTTAGCAGTCAATGACGAGGTTTTTGCCGTCAGAGAGGCGGCTATTTGCATCATTGGGCGTCTTTCCAGTGTTAATCCGGCCTATGTCTTCCCACCTCTGCGAAAATTGCTGGTGAACTTGCTGACCGGGCTCGGGTTTGCAAGCACTGGCCGCCAGAAGGAAGAAAGTGCCCAGCTTATTAGCCTGTTTGTTTCGAATGCCACGAAACTGATACGGTCGTATGTTGACCCTATGGTTACAACACTGTTACCGAAAGCAACCGATGCCAACCATGGTGTTGCTTCCACTACGCTAAAAGCTGTTGGCGAACTTGCAAGCGTTGGGGGAAGCGATATGAAAGTTTATCTGCCCAAGCTTATGCCGATTATCCTGGATGCACTGCAGGACCTTTCTTCTCATGCGAAGAGAGAAGCGGCTTTGCGAACGCTAGGCCAAATAGCCAGCAACTCTGGCTATGTCATCGACCCGTACACCGAACATCCTCATCTTCTAGCGGTACTCATCGGCATCATAAAGACGGAGCAGACAGGATCACTTCGCAAAGAGACAATAAAGGTTTTGGGAGTCCTTGGTGCTCTGGATCCCTACAAATACCAGCAAATAAGCGAGACTGCACCGGATGTCCACCACATTAACGAGGTGCAGACAGTGTCTGATGTCAGTCTCATCATGCAGGGTCTTGCTCCGTCCAATGAAGAGTATTATCCAACTGTTGTTATACACACCCTCATGCAGAACATACTCCGCGAAAATTCCCTTCAACAACACCATTCTTCTGTTATCGATGCGATAGTCACGATATTCAAGACGCTTGGCGTGAAGTGTGTCCCCTTCCTCGGCCAGATTCTTCCTGGCTTTATTTCCGTCATCCGCAGTTCGCAGCCAAGTCGGCTTGAAACTTATTTTAACCAAATGGCAATCCTTGTCAATATTGTGAAACAGCACATCAGGGCCTTTCTCCCTGAGATTATTGAGGTTGTTCAGGAGTACTGGGACGTCTCATATCAGGTTCAAACAACCATTCTCTCGCTTGTGGATGCGATAGCCAAGTCTCTCGAGGGCGAATTCAAAAAATACTTGGCCAATCTCATTCCTCCAATGCTGGACACACTGGAGAATGATAGCTCGTCGCGGCGCCAGGCTTCAGAAAGAATCCTGCACAGCTTTCTGATCTTCGGCTCCAGCGGGGAAGAGTACATGCATTTGATTGTGCCCTCTATCGTCCGTCTATTCGATAGAGTTCAAAACCCGGCCAGTATCAGAAAGTCAGCTATTGACAGCCTGACAAAACTGTCGCGGCAGGTAAACGTTTCCGACTTTGCGTCCTTGATTGTACACTCTCTATCACGCGTCGTTGCCGGCAACGATCGCACGTTACGGCAGGCTGCCATGGACTGCATCTGCTCTCTGATATTCCAGCTTGGTCAAGACTTTAACCATTATATCCATCTGCTGAACAAGGTTCTTAAGCAGCATCAAGTCACTCATGTTAATTACCAGATTCTTGTGACAAAGCTCCAAAAAGGAGATCCACTTCCACAGGATCTGAACCCTGATGAGAGCTATGCACAGTTGGCAGATGATGCCATCTATGCTGAGGTTGGTCAAAAGAAGATAGTAGTCAATCAACAGCATCTGAAGAATGCTTGGGACGCATCGCAGAAGTCAACACGTGAGGATTGGCAAGAATGGATCCGACGTTTCAGCGTGGAGTTATTGAAGGAGTCACCTTCACCGGCTCTGCGCGCTTGCGCCAGTTTGGCCGGTATTTATCAACCGCTCGCCAGAGACCTGTTCAACGCTGCCTTCGTCTCTTGCTGGACAGAACTGTATGATCAGTATCAGGAGGAGCTTGTCCGGTCAATTGAGAAGGCGCTCACTTCACCGAACATTCCACCTGAGATCCTCCAGATTCTTCTCAACCTTGCAGAGTTTATGGAGCACGACGACAAGGCGCTACCAATCGACATCCGCACTCTAGGCAAATACGCCGCCAAGTGTCACGCGTTTGCCAAAGCTCTTCACTACAAGGAACTCGAGTTTGAACAAGACCAGAATTCTGGAGCAGTAGAAGCCCTGATCACTATCAATAATCAACTTCAGCAGTCCGATGCTGCTATTGGTATTCTTCGAAAGGCCCAGGCTTATCGGGACGTTGAGCTGAAGGAGACCTGGTTTGAGAAACTTCAGCGCTGGGAAGAAGCTCTTGCGGCCTACAAGCGTCGCGAAAGGATTGACCCCGACTCTTTCGGTATTACAATGGGAAAGATGCGCTGTCTACACGCTCTTGGAGAGTGGAAAGTCCTGTCTGACCTGGCTCAGGAGAAATGGAATCAGGCTTCTCTGGAACATCGTAAATCAATTGCTCCATTAGCCGCGGCAGCTGCATGGGGTCGTGGCCAGTGGGAATTGATGGACTCGTATCTTGGAGTCATGAAAGAACAATCCCCTGACCGTTCTTTCTTTGGAGCTATTCTGGCGATCCACCGCAATCAATTTGATGAAGCCGCCATGTACATCGAGAAAGCTCGGAATGGGCTTGACACGGAGCTCTCAGCACTGCTCGGAGAGTCATATAACCGCGCCTACAATGTTGTTGTCCGCGTTCAGATGCTAGCTGAACTCGAGGAGATTATCACCTACAAACAGAACGTTGGTGACCCAGAGAGGCAAGATGCGATGCGCCAGACTTGGAACAGGCGACTTCTCGGCTGCCAGCAGAATGTGGAGGTATGGCAACGTATGCTGAAGGTTAGAGCACTTGTTACAACTCCGAGAGAGAATCTAGACATGTGGATCAAGTTTGCCAACTTGTGCCGCAAATCTAATCGGATGGGTCTGGCTGAACGCTCTCTTGCATCGCTGGAGACAGTCATGTCTGACGGTAGCGGTGGTACACGAATTATCTCGCCTCCAGAAGTCACTTATGCTCGTCTAAAATTTAGCTGGGCAACTGGCCGTCAACGCGAGGCTCTCCAAATGCTGAGGGAGTTTACCGGCAATCTTACGGAAGACTTTACTCGTTTCAATGCTCTTGTGGCTTCGCAATCCGACCATAATGGTACCAACGGTGTCAATGGTATCACAGAAGGAAATCATACGGATATCATGGGTCTAAGAGAGCGCGTTGGTGATGTCAACAAGTTCAGAAAGCTCCTTGCTAAGAGTTATTTGAGACTTGGAGAATGGCAAACCGCCCTACAACGAGGAGATTGGCGGCCCGAGCATGTGCGTGAAGTCCTTAACGCATACTCAGCGGCCACCAGATACAACCGTGATTCCTACAAAGCCTGGCACTCATGGGCCCTGGCGAACTTTGAGGTTGTGACAACGATTGCTAGTCAAGCAAGCAAGGATGGCGGAAACCTGGCACTGGTTCCAGGGCATATTGTAACAGAACATGTGATCCCTGCTATCCGTGGATTCCTAAGGTCTATTGCTCTTTCGTCAACATCTTCTTTGCAAGACACCCTGCGACTGCTTACCCTCTGGTTCAATCATGGTGGCGACCAGGAAGTCAACTCAGTTGTTACAGAAAGCTTTACCGCTGTGAATATTGACACATGGCTTGCTGTGACACCCCAGCTTATCGCCCGTATCAACCAGCCCAACTTCCGGGTTCGCAGCGCTGTTCATCGCTTGCTGGCCGAGGTTGGCAAGACCCATCCTCAAGCTCTCGTGTACCCACTTACAGTTGCGATGAAATCGAATGTTGCTCGACGATCACAGTCTGCAAGTAATATTATGGAGAGCATGCGGACGCATAGTGCAAACTTGGTTGAGCAAGCGGATCTTGTAAGTCACGAGCTGATCAGAGTCGCTGTTCTTTGGCACGAGCTCTGGCACGAAGGACTAGAAGAAGCCTCACGACTCTACTTTGGTGACCATAACGTCGAGGGAATGTTCTCAACACTTGCCCCGCTTCATGAGTTGCTTGACAAGGGTGCTGAAACGCTGCGTGAGGTATCATTTGCTCAAGCATTTGGACGCGACCTTGCCGAGGCCAAGCATTACTGCATGCTGTTCCGTGAAACTGAAGAAATCGGTGATCTAAACCAGGCCTGGGACCTGTATTACACCGTCTTCCGAAAGATCAGCAGACAGCTACCACAGCTCTCAACCCTAGACCTGAAATATGTCTCACCCAAGCTCAAAGACTGCGTGGATCTTGATCTAGCTGTTCCTGGAACTTACCAGAGCGGCAGGCCGATCATCCGCATCATCAGTTTCGATCCTATCCTCCACGTTCTTCAAACCAAGAAACGGCCACGAAGGATGACATTGAAGGGCAGTGATGGCAGCTCCTACATGTACGTGGTCAAGGGTCACGAAGATATCCGACAAGATGAGAGAGTCATGCAATTGTTCGGCTTGGTCAACACTCTGCTTGATAATGACAGTGAGAGTTTCAAGAGACATCTGACGGTGCAGCGATTCCCCGCCATTCCACTGTCTCAAAACTCTGGTATCATTGGCTGGGTCACCAACAGTGACACCTTGCACGCCTTGATCAAGGAATACCGAGAGACTCGACGCATTCTTCTCAACATCGAACACAGGATCATGTTGCAAATGGCACCGGACTATGACAACCTAACGCTCATGCAAAAGGTTGAAGTCTTTGGCTACGCCATGGACAATACGACTGGAAAGGACTTGTACCGGGTTTTGTGGCTGAAGAGTAAGAGCTCCGAGGCCTGGCTTGAGCGGCGAACCAACTACACTCGGTCTCTTGGTGTCATGTCCATGGTCGGCTACATCCTTGGTCTGGGTGACCGCCACCCTTCCAATCTTCTCTTGGACCGGGGGACCGGAAAGGTGGTCCACATCGATTTTGGTGACTGCTTCGAAGTAGCAATGCATCGTGAGAAGTATCCGGAGCGGGTGCCATTCCGCCTCACGCGTATGTTGACCTTTGCAATGGAAGTCAGCAATATTGAAGGAAGCTACCGAATCACTTGTGAAGCGGTTATGCGAGTGATACGTGAGAACAAGGACTCGTTGATGGCTGTTCTGGAGGCTGTAAGTCATTCCCTTCATTCGATCTGCCCATTGCTAATATGATACAGTTCATTCACGACCCTCTGATCAACTGGCGTCTTGGAATCCGGGAGTCTCCTGACAGGATGCCATTCAACGCGGAACGTCGCCAATCGATTGTTTCGAATGTGAACCTCGAACACGGCGTTCAGCCCAGTAACTTCTCCCGCCATCGACGGCCTTCGATTCTTGAAGGCGGTATCCTCGACGCTCAAGAAGGCGTTCCCAACGAGGCTCGCGAGGCGCAAAACGCAAGAGCCTTACAGGTGCTGGCGCGGGTGCGCGAGAAACTGACCGGTCGGGACTTCAAGCCCAGCGACGAGCTCAATGTGAGCGATCAAGTTGACAAGCTTCTCGCGCAGGCAACTAGCGTGGAGAACATATGCCAACATTGGATTGGATGGTGCAGTTTCTGGTGATTGTTTTGTTTTCTTTGTGGATATTTTGTATTCAGGGTCTCTTGATGGCGATGACGGTTTTGCATGGGATGCGTTTCACGAGTTCGGCCGTAGCATAATGTTCTTCTGCTATGTCTTCTGCTTCTGAGAGATGCTCGGGGATTATGATTTAATCGTTCTAGATGGCATTCTACCACTATTGAGTATATAATACGGAGATGTTCACATGCTCGCTCTCAACTGCGTAGACAGCTGACTGCCAGTGCAGGTGCTGGTAATAGAGCTCAAATTCAGGAAATCGAACAGTTTCAAGCGAAGTAAAGGCAATTCGATTGATTCATGGACCTTGTCTGTTTGTCCTGTTACGCCACAGTCTTGAAGCCCGAACCGAGGTCACGGGCAGCAATCAGCGGACCTGCAACTCCTCATCACTTCGTCCTCCCCTCCATCTCTCCAAGTTCGCATCCCATCACTTAACCACCGTTAAGCGGCCTTAAATGACAGGAGCACCATGCCGCCCGCTTCGCAACCCAATCCTGGGGTGAATCCGTTCGTTCGCAACGCGCTGGCGATCTCAGTGAGCGCCAAAGAGTACAGATTCCTCCACAGCCACGCCCAGCAGTATCCCTCAATACATGGACGACTTATCTCGCCAGACAAGTTTGAAGCGATTACCCGGTCTAAAAACAAATACAATGAAGCTGCTGTGCGGGCAGCCCTGCGGGTGTTTCTGGGTTCGGGGGCCTCGCTGAAGCTCCTCAATTTCATTATCGGTCGCATATCAAAGGCTCCAGCGCAGTAAGAATGCCAACTCTGTCCTAATGCGTCACGAATAGGAGAGGAAAAGAAGATTGCTAACTGATGATTGATGGTATAGAGAAAAAGTCCGCACCTCCCTCCTCCGCTCTCCGATCCTCCGTCTCTCTGCTGCGCTGTCGTTGATGGTGTTGCTGCACCGACTTCTCCATCGCTTTTTTGTCAAACTACGCGCGAACCTGCGCACTGATGAAGCCGGGCCCTTTCGTGAGCGGAATCCGCGGATCTCAAAAGCGCTGACGTCGCGATATGCGCCCGCGGTAGGCGCGAGTCTGGCGGGTCTTGCCATGGGAATCTGCACGGTAGACCAGCTTCGGATATCCCTTGCCCTCTACACAATTACTCGGGGATTGGAGGCGCTCTATAATGTCATGGACGAAAAGGGATGGCTGAAGAACAAGCCGTCGTGGTTTGGGGGCTGGCTGTTGATGCCGGTGTCACTCGCGCAGCTGTTCCACGCGTTCGTGTTTGATCGCGAGTTTACGCCTACGGTTCGTAAACCGCTCCTTGAATTGAGCTGGAAACGGTGACTAACTGCCAACAGTGGATGGCCAGGCTGATTTTGAGGCTATCTCCGACTTATATCCATGCCCGGCCGGATACTCTGCCAGCGGAGTTTCACTGGCCGGAGAAGACCGAGATTGTGGACTCAATTGCAGCAATTGCTAAGCTTCGATGGCCGTAAGTACCTCCCTCATCTTGATGGAAGGCAAGGCAATTGTTGACATATGTAGGGCGTTTGTTTCGCCTATACTTCACCCAGCAAGTTCCGTCTTGCCTCCTGGATTGCAGTCCATCTCACCCATAACTGGACCAGCACATCCATCCATCCCTCATCTATCCTGTGCCTTGCTCCATCCTAATAGCCCAAGCTGCGGCACAGCTCTCGCGCACCACCTTCTCAATTCCGCTTCCACTTTGGGACGGTTCTTCACGTCGGTGGCATTTACATGGTCGGCGCTGAATGTGAAACGATGGCTATCTGAGCCGATCTCGATGATAAACGGTCTTTCGCGGTCAATAATCACAATCACGGGAGTCATTTCATCATCCATCGGCTGGGCGTGGGGGAGTGTGTGCCTGTGGAACGCGTTGCTGCCGCGGTCGGTTTTGCCGACGCAGCGGTTCTATCTGAGCGGTGCGCTCGCGGGGTTGCCGTTCGCGTTTCTAGGAATAGGAAGTCACGGCCGCCATACCCCGGTGTTTTTGTCCATTTTCCGGTCGGCGGTGGATTCGGCGTGGAAGGCGGGGGTGAAGCGGGGACTGTGGAAAGGGTGGAGAGGCGGAGAGCTCTGGCTCTTTGTGCTCGGCTGGGCCACCCTGGGGTGCGTTCTCGACGCCCGACCGAACGCACTGCAGGGCCCTGGCACCAGGAAGCTGCTGGCCTGGACGAGGGGCGAGGGTTGGACCGATATGCTGGAGAAGCGGAGGCGACGGTGATTTTATTTTTTATTGTTGTAATGATCTTCTCCTACGTAAATGGCTGTACTCAGGAAGGGCAGTTTTCCCCGCATTTACAGATCGGAATCCTTTTCTCCTCTGGAAGCCCTTTTCCGTGCTGCACCTCGATCGGACATTGTTGCTCTAGCCTCTCGGACTTGCTCCTACGCGATGCTTTGCTGGAAATCAGACCGACTTTTGTTTGCACTGGGCAAGACTTAAATTCGTGGCTCGCTGTTGTAGCTTCCCATTCTCTTCCTCCTCATCTCTCTTCCCCACGCATCCCTTCCACTCAATTGCTTTCTTCGACACTCAATTGATTTCTTTCGACCTTTGCCTCCTCTCTTCTCGCCTCAACCTTCACATCACAATGACCGCCCAAAGACTCAAGATCGGCTGCGCCGGCCTCGGCCGCATGGGCAAGCGCCACGCCCTCAACTTCCTCGAGCGCACTCCCCGCGCCGAGCTGGTCGCCGCCAGCACCCCGGACGACTCCGAGATCGAATGGGCCAAGGTCCACCTCGCTCCCTATGGCGTCAAAATCTACAAGAACTACGACGACATGCTGAAGCACGAGGGCCTCGAAGCAGTCGTCGTTGCGTCTGCTACGGCCGTACACGCCGAGCAAGCCATCAAAGCCATTGAGGCCGAGAAGCACGTCCTCTGCGAAAAGCCGCTCAGCACAAGCGTCGAGATCTCCCAGTCCGTCCTGGACGCCGCGAACGCAAAGCCCCATCTCAAGGTCATGTGCGGGTTCTCGCGCCGCTTCGATGCGTCCTACCGCGATGCATACAACAAGATCTCCTCCGGTGCGCTGGGGACGCCGAGCGTCATCCGCAGCCAGACCTGTGACAAACTCGACCCGACGGGATTCTTCGTCGCGTACGCCGAGTTCTCCGGCGGTATCTTCGTCGACTGCTCCATCCACGACATCGACCTCACACTCTGGTTCTTCGGACAAGACTCCAAGGTCCGCTCTGTCTCCGCCGTTGGCATCACAGCCGTTGAGCCCGATCTCCGCAAGCACAACGACCGCGACAACGCCGTCGGCCTGGTCGAGTTCTACGACGGCAAGATGGCGTATTTCTACGCGAGTCGTATGATGGCCGCGGGCCAGGAAGATACCTCCGAGTTCATCGGGACCAAGGGCAAGGTTACCGTGAACGCGCAGCCACAGCTGAACCTTGTCCAGACGTTCGACGCCGGCGGTATCAAGAAGGAGATCCCGCAGCACTACTACGACCGCTTTGAGTATGCGTTTGTCACGGAGGCGAATGAGTTTACGGCGTCTGTGTTGGAGGATAAGCCCGTGCCGCTGAAGCTTGAAGGTGCGGTGCAGGCGGTGCGCATTGGCGCGGCGCTCCAGGAGAGTCTGATTACGGGCGAGAAGATCTTCTTTGATGAGAGTGGGCAGCGGGTGCAGAAGAACAAGCTTTAGATGAGTTTTGTTATGTTATGAGTACATGTTTGTTTTCGTTGGATGGATAGACCTAGATTGCCAATAGATTCATACCCTACAATCTCCGTATCGAATCTCTTGTCCGACCTAGGAGCGCTGCACTTTCTCTTAGCTGTAACTAGGCAGCTAGAATGCTTTCCAATTATCTCCTGCAGCCAGAGTATCGGATGGCCTGTTTAAGCCCCTTAGGTTGCCCAGTAGTTGGCTTGGAGTACTCCGCATGGGGAAGGCCCACGTATCTGCGGATGCAGTATAGAGAGTGGGAAACTCCAATGATACTGGAGTATAGTAGAGACTACAGGTGGGTATGCAAAGGGCCCATGAAAAGGTTTGAAATACCAGGCCCAAAGGATCCAAACCTAGTACGGCTCTTATATCACTAGAGTCCAAGGAAATAACACTCAAATCAGATATATAGCTAATCGTAACTCGTAACATTACCAGAACCATATCAAAACACAATCCAACTTCCTTAAGAGGCAGATAAAATCAGAGTCTACCACTTGATCTCCCTATTGGGGAAAAACTCATCAATCAGCTCGAGATAGTACGGCTTCAGCTCCTCCACACTCGGCACATCATCACTCTTACTGTAAAGATCGTACGGGTTAAACGCCTTCACAGCCTTGAGCATCGCCTCGTCCTTCTCGTTCATCAGGTGCCGGTACGCACCCGCATTGTGCCAGGGGTAGAAAGAGTGGTAGCGGATCATGGCCAGCGCCTCGGCAGGCAGCGTGCTCTGATCCTTGACAACATGGTACAGGTACTCATCGTGGCCCCACGAGAGCATCACGTTGTCAAGCCCACAGCCGGGACTGTAGATCCCGTTTTCCGTAGAGTAGATCGGGTGGTTGAAGTCCTCGTTGTCCGTGAACGACTCGGCCCCGTAGATGATGCGCTCGTCGAACGCGCAGCCGACGGGGAATGTATCGCCCACGACGTCCCATTGCCCGCGGGCATCGTAGAAGAAGAGGAGCTTGCCCAGGTCGTGGATCAGGCCGGTCAGCTGCATCCAGCGGGGCTTGCCATCGCGGCGGATCGCCTCGGCGCTTTGCAGGAGGTGCTCGATCTGGCTGAGGGAGGTGTCTGGGTCGCTTTCGTCGATGAGGGTGTTTAGTTTCTCCATGGCGTCCCAGATGGACATCACGGCGCGGGTCTTGGAGTGGAAGTCGTTGCGGGCCTTGAGGTTGTAGGCGACGGTCTGCTTGGTGTGCTGCTCCTTGTAGAAGTTCTTGACGCGGTCGCAGGCATCCTCGTACTGGCGGAACTGGGTCTTGTCTTTTTCCTTGTCGAACTCGGACTCTTCGTAAAGGCCCTTTTCGGCGGCTTGGATCTCGGATTGGGACTTGAGGGTTTGCTTTAGGACGTTGACGGTGTCGATTGCGTCGGAGGTCTCTTCGAGGGCGGCGCCGTTGGCGTTGGCGTGGGGGCTCATCTTTGCGGGGTTTTTCTTGGGATTTGGTTTAGTAAAGTGAGAGAGATGTTTGGTTGATGATGAGCAGGCTCGGATAGAGCCAAACAGGTATATAAGAAGGGCATTGTGGCGATCTCTTGAAGTGGTTTCCGAAGTAGGGCAAGCTGAGGCTGTCGCGGATTCTGGAATCCGCAGAAGTCATGGAATCCAGTTTCCGACCTGCGTCATGGCCCTCTTCCCCAGTCTTCCCCATACGGCTCTTTTACTGGCAATCTGATTGGCAGCTAATTAGGGACGACACCAGGAATCGGAACTCCTCCGGTTGATGGAATTACTTCAGCTGTCCCCGGGGCAATTCGCCCCGATGCCATGCCCCTCCCCCTCATCCATCAGTCCTGCGGGCCCGGGGTATATCACTCCGCGTGTCTCGCCAACCTTCTCTTTTTCTCTCTCTCCCTTTCTTCCAATTTCCCTCTCTCATCCTAGCAACCGCCTCCAAGACCTCCAAAATGTCCCTCGCAGACACCACCTACAAGCTCAACACCGGCGCCGACATCCCCGCGCTCGGTCTCGGTACGTCCCCTACCCCAACACCCACTTAGAGAACCCCAACCAACAAGGACCAAGGAACATGGCAATCCGCCCCCGGCGAAGTCAGCGCAGCCGTCTACCACGCCCTCAAATCCGGGTACCGCCACATCGACGCCGCGCAATGCTACGGCAACGAAGCCGAAGTGGGCGAGGGCATCAACCGCGCACTATCCGAGGGCCTCGTGCAGCGCTCGCAGATCTTCGTGACCACAAAACTCTGGTGCACGTACCACAGCCGCATCGAGACAGCGCTGAACCTGTCGCTCCAAAAACTCGGCCTCGACTACGTGGACCTGTATCTGGTGCACTGGCCGCTGGCCATGAACCCCGACGGCAACCACGAGCTCTTCCCCAAGCTGCCGGATGGGAGCCGCGATCTGGTGCGCAGCCACAGCCACGTTACGACGTGGAAGGGCATGGAGGAGCTCATTGCAAAGAATCCCGAGAAGGTCAAGGCCATCGGGGTGTCGAACTACTCGAAGCGGTATCTGGAGGAGCTGCTGCCGCAGGTGAAGATTGTTCCGGCCGTTAACCAGATCGAGAACCACCCTGCGCTGCCGCAGCAGGAGATTGTGGATCTGTGTAAGGAGAGGGGTATCCTGGTTACGGCGTATAGTCCGCTGGGCAGCACGGGGAGTCCGCTGTTTAAGGAGGAGGCTATCGTCAGTGTTGCGGAGAGGAGGGGCGTTACGCCTGCGACGGTTTTGTTGAGCTGGCACTGTACGTCTTTCTCTCTCTTTATCTTATTTTGTTGCTTTCGGTGTGAGTGTGGAATGATGCTAATATTTGTCTGCAGTGGCCCGTGGTTCCTCCGTCCTCGCCAAGTCCGTGACGCCCTCGCGCATCGAAGAGAACAGGAAGCTGGTGAAACTGGAGCCCGAGGACGTTGAGCTGATTGGCAAGTACTCAGCTGAGTTGGCCGCGAAGAATGCGTTCCAGCGCTACGTCTACCCGCCGTTTGGAGTGGATTTTGGGTTCCCCGACAAGTCGTGACTCCATGGGTCGAGGCTGTAGATACTGATACCCACGGGATGGGCTTGGATAGAGTGTACATAAAAGAATCAAACAAGGAAACGACCTATGATTATTATGGCCTTCTTCAATTAGTACATTTAGAAACATTTCAGAAACAAAACGTAACGCGGAGAGGAGATGAAAAGACAAGTAAGAGATACTCTGTACATAGGGTGTGAACATGCCGTCTCATCCAAATCAGTGCTTGCTTCATAACATCTGTCAGGAAATCCTCCACCAAACCAAGGGACTTAATCATCAGAGTTGTCAGTCAGAGAATAAGATGTCAACATCCAAGTCGATCACTCGACGGCAGTCAAAACGTCCAGGGCAGATGAACTAATACTCAAACCCAGCCCACTCTCTCTCAAGCGCAATTTCAACCTCCAAGGTGTCGCCCTCATCATCAGCCCAATCACCGCCGCCGCCAACAAACTTGCTAGTATAGGACTCGCGGTAGCACAGCTCTTTAAGGTCATCGGGCAGATGCACAACAATTGCAGTCGCAGTCTCGGTTTCGGTTTCCTTTGCGTTGCCGTTTACGTTGCCGGCTTCTTTCGCTTGCTTGGCCGCCTTGCGCGCTTTGCCCTTGGGTCTACCTTGCTTCGCAGTGGCAGTAGTAGTGGCAGTGGTGTTGGTTAGGGTCACGGCACCGGCAGCGGCCCCTTGGCCGGGATGAGCAACACCAGTGAAGACAGTAACAGTGTCACCCTTCCGCTTTGAGTTCGACGCAAGCAAGTGGGCAGCATAGTTCTTCAAAGCCTGAACACGGCGCGCCTCACGCTCTTCAACAATCGCCTTCGCAAGGGTCTGGGTCATCAAGCCGCGGCCCGACATCATGTCGAAAGTGAACTTGAGTTCGTGGAAGGGAAGGGCGAGGAGGACAGCGGACGGGACAAGGATATCTTCGCCGATACCACCAGCAGTAGGGGTCGTAGATGTTCTGCCCCGGGGAGTGGGTGTATCGGGTGTGTGTCTAGCCGCAGACTGCTCCCGCGCCTTTTTCTCCATCTCTTCCCTGTTCCGCTGATTAAGGCTGGGCAGGGAGCCGAACTGCATACTTGCAAGGCGTGGATCATTGGTTTCCGGCGCAGAAGGAGGAGTTGTAACGGGGCTGGTTGCGGTAACAGGGACATTCTGGCTGTCTTTCTCTTTGACGGGTGTAGTTGGTGTGGCAGACGCGGGTGTTTTGGGAGTAGTCCTCAAGAAATCTGGGACACGGTCAGGAAGAAGCTTTGACTGCGCGGTGCTGTAGAGCTTGAAGTCCGACTTGATGTTGTCGGCAAGGAAGCTCAGTGCAGTCGCGATAATGCGACGTGACCAGTCTGCTTGGATGAGACCGACTGGGTAGGGTGGTGCAGGAACTCCGTTTTTCTCAGAGTCCTGGTTGGCGGTGTTACTCGACTGAGGACTGGTGCTCTTAGATCCTGCATCAGCAGCTCTGCTCTCAATCGCTTCGGCATCATCGCCTTGTGCGTTGTTGTCGGACGCAGATTCAGACTTCTGATGCCAAGGGAGGTGAGGAAGAGTAACACAGAACCGATCGGTGCGAAGCCCAAAGACGAGAAGCTGCTCAAGAGTCTCCCAGCTCAACAAATCAAGAGCAAGACGGAATCCTCTGTCCGTAACCCTGGTAATGTAGAAGAATGCTCCCGAAACGGCATATGCAAGCGCCATGTCGACCATCGCCTGCTTGAGCGAGAACGGGTAGTCGGGATCGTAACTGGGGAAAGGATCATAGCCTAATCCTCCAAGGGTAATCGGCTTGAGCGTATCCAGGGTAAGCAGATCCCTACCGTAGAGATAATGCACGGCCTGTTCCCACCCCTTCAGTATTTGGAATTGCTCGCCAGCATAGACGTGGATCTCGACGCAGTTGGGATCGTTCTTCAGGATGTTGGTGACGAGGGGACTGCGCGCCAACACACACTTATGAGCGGTCATCGTGACTTTCCAGAACTCGTCGTAGGCTGAGTGCAGGGTGACTTTTATGTCGCTCATGTGGCCGCACTCCATCATGGAGATCAGCTCGGTAGACAGCTCGACAGCAGCCTGCTGGGCGAGAGTCTGTTCGTCTTCGGCACCTCGCATTTTCTGGACAGGATCGGTGATCTTATCAGCAATAGGAGAGGGAGGAGTAACCACGAGTTTGACGCCAGAGGAGTTTGTGGGGGTAGCTGCTGAGGCAGGGACGGTGGTTGTGTTGTGTTCAGGTTGAGGTTGAGCTTCAGGTTCAGGTTCAGGTTCAGGTTCAGGTTCAGGTTCAGGTTGAGCTTCAGGTTGAGCTTCAGGTTCAGGTTCAGGTTGAGCTTCAGGTTSAGCTTCAGGTTGAGCTTCAGGTTGAGSTTCAGGTTGAGCTTCAGGTTGAGCTTCAGGTTGAGCTTCAGGTTGAGCTTCAGGAAGAGATTCAGGAAGAGATTCAGGAAGAGGATCAGGTTCGAGGTCGGAGTCGGGAGGAGTGGCGGGGGGAGAGCGAGACGCGACTGAGACAGTTTTCGACCCTTCGACTTCCTCAATAACTTGCTCTTCAACCGCAGGCTCCTCCGCGGCAACCGACACGCCTTGACAGTAGCAGCAATCGCCAGCGTGGTGAACGCAGCAGCACGACCACCGAGGAGGACAGCGGCAGCCAATGTCAGCCTTGTGGACACAGCAGACCGGATTGAACTGGCACAGAGGACGGTAGTGGACGTGGCAGACGAGGTTGTCCTGCTGGTGGTGATCGTGCTCGTCCTGCTCCTGCTCCTGCTGTTCCCGAGGCGCCTCCATTTCCAGCTCATGAGCAATTTCCGGCTCTGGCTCTGGCTCAGGCTCAGGCGCCTTAACACCGCGGTCTCCATGGACAATCAACACGCCTCCCACTCGAGACATCCCAGGCCCTTCCGACGGCTGAAGACGCGAAGCTTCTCGTTCTCCCGCAGCTGAGCCTTCACCTCCATATCCAGTAACACTCTTCTGCTCTTCCACCTGCACTTGCACACCATCTCCGTTCTGACTATTGCTATCCACATTTGCAGCGCTCTTCTTCTTCTCCTTTTCCTTCTCCTTCTTCTTCTTCGCTGAGCTCTTCTTCTTCTTCTTCGCTTTGCGTGCCGCGCTGGTCCCGTCCACCTGCGGCAACACGAGATCCTCCATAATATCGTTCAGCTCAGGACCGAACTCCGACGAGGTCATCTTTCCGACGCTACAAGCACGCCTTAGCGGTGGGGTCCAAGTTATCGGAGAATCAGATGGCTCAGGGAGGCTAGGATGGGGGCGGCCGATGCCAAAGTAGGCGTCGAGATCGCGGACGGCAGCAGGGAGATCGGAGGTGCAGTATGTGTTGCGTCTTACCATGCTTTCTTGTCTTTGGGTGGGCTCATTGGGTCTGGATGGTTGGAATGGTTGTTCTGAATGATTGTGGTTGGAATGTGTGGATGGATATGAAGGTGGATGGAGGGGTGGTGTTGAAGAAGAGGATATGGGGGGAAGAGAGGAGAGGGCAGACTTTTCTCTTTCACATTATGTCTCACTTACATCGCCCCGGCGATGAAAGCCTTCATGTTGTTGTGGCTCCAGTTCTTTGCTGCCTGGCCCTGTGTGGCTCAGGATGTTTGTACTAGATGCATGGAAAACAAGCTGGTTTGCTCAGTCACATATATCTTAGTCCTGCTAGGTACTCCCAGGCCTGTATTGGGAATGTTATGTGCAGCAGACAAAACATGACGCCTTTCAGAATCTTTGTATAGGGCTTCTCTTCCACGTGACTTGGTCTCACCCCTATTCACAGGAAAACATCTTGCTTTGAAGGAGAAGTTGGACTTCTTCATTTTCTTTGAACTGCAAAAGAAAACAGAATCGATCTCTCTATCCCATAGCCCTAAAAGGAGATGCAACCAGGTGGCCGCAGCCACAATCTCGGACAGTCTTTTTCCCAGCGCAGCGGACTCCCAGGCAGCCGGCCGAGTCTCCTTTCCTTATTTCAATGTTCTACTGAATCCGGAGGACTATGAGACTTTCCAGATCCCATATCTTCTGAAGTCCAGGATAGTCCCGTTTGCAAACTTGTATTTTGCGAACGCCCCGTCCATTATCCTTGCTCATTGGCCTTGCTCATCGCGACCTAATCCTTCTTTGCTCGCCAACAAAACCAGCGGCTTTTCCACGCCCCAAACACTCAAGCAAACTTATACCCTCTGGCACAAATCAGCTTCAGTCCCTTTTACACTTAATTCAAGGCTTTCGATTAGCCGATGTCCAACTTGGGGAAGGCCGCTCCGCTCACAATTCCGCTCCTTGTCCTGTGCGAGAACCAGGTACATAACAGAGACCAGCGCAAAGCAACTGGGAATCAAGGATTAGTCTCGTATGGTGCTGGGGGGAGAAGGCATCGCTGTGGGTTTGGGTAATCAATCCATGGCCGGCAGAGGCAGGAAGATAGAAGACCAGAGTACGGATGGCTCTCGTCGGTAAAATCATATAGACATTACAAGGTCTAATGCAATGCAATGAATGATAGAAAATAATATATTATCATATAACTAACACGAAAGCCCACCGCTAAAACACAATGGTATCTCTCATCAGACTAACAGTTCAGGTATCTTAGTACATACATACACATCAAGTAAACAAGAATAAAGGAAATTGTCAAGGATTGACATAAGTTAATCAGAACATGCCGCCATCCATAGGGATGCGAGGCTGGTAAGGTGTAGGAGACGGCGATGTGATCGCGCTAGGCGCCATACTCTGTCGAGCCATAGCAGCAGCAGCAGCGTTCAATTCACCCTGCTCGCTAGAGACCTTGCGCAAGCGGTTGCGCGGCCTCGAGCGGGACCGCGAGCGCTTCTGGCCTTCATTATCATCAAAGGTGCTGCGTTCTCGGCCCTCGTAAGGCTCGTACTCAGGCTGCGACTTGAACGCGCCGAGAATAGTTTGCGTGGTTGTTTGGCGGCGGCGGCGTGGGTTCATTGGAGGGAGAGGAGGGGTTTCCATGCCGTTGCTCAGGCTTGCGCCGGGAGGAAGACCGACGGTGGGGACGTTGGAGGTGCAAGAGATGAAGGTGGGTTCGGAGATTTTCGATTTGTCAATGGGGCGCTTCTGAAGGCCGTTGTGACCTGCAGCGCGCTGGGGGAGGATTTGAGGAAGAGTGGTTGTGGATGCGGCTGGAGAGTCGCTGTTCGCATCGTACAAAGGAGGTGTTGCGTTGGCCGAGAAGGGTGGTGCGGCGGGCGAGGGGCGCGGAGCTCCAATGATAGGTGAGTTGCCTATAGGAGCAGCAAACGGTCGGTCAATCGGGGTTGCGGACCGGCTTTCTTGGAAGTATGCTCCTGATGCAGCAGATGGTGCCCTTTCATACGCTAGGCGGTCGTAGTTCTCCAAAGAGGGACGAGCTGATGAAGTAACAGAGGTGACACGGCGACGTCCTTGGGTGAAGCTGTTGTCAGAACTAATCTCATCTTCCTCCAAGGGGGTGAGATTGTCTCGGTCGCGACGAGAGCGGCTCTTCGAACGGCTGGATGCGTTCGAGCTTGAACGTTCTCTACGAGACCGGAAGCTTGAGTGAGGAGACGCGCCACGGCTACGGCTCGAGTCGCGAGATTCTTCTTGGCTGTGGCGGCCGAAACTTGCAATTCTGGAACGCATGGACCGTTCTCCTACATGAGGAGAGCTGGAGTTGCCGTGCCTGCCCATATGGGGGAAGGGAGCCCTGTCCTCCTCTCCCCAAGGGTCATCCGAGACCAAGGCCGGTGTGGATGCATTTCCAAACGCAAGGCCTTTTGCCCCACGAGGCTCGCCCCGGCTAAAGAGATGGTGCTTGCCGGGCTTGTTCTTCAGAAGAGCAAAGGCGTTTCCAGGTTTGGGCTGACCAAGATCTGGCGTCTGGCGGCCGGAGACAGGGCTTGCTGCACGGCTTTCATCGGCAAAATCGCGAAGCTTCTCCTGCACGCGTCTTCGCCTCTCCGCCAGTTCTTGGGCGAATTCTTCTCGTTCTCTCTGCGTCTCCGTGCTTCCCTGGCGCTGGTGTCGGCTGATACCCAGTTCGTCTCGCCAATCTGGAATTGGATCTGGAACTACTGGAACAGGGGGCGGCGCAGTCGTCGGAGGTCGAGTCGGGAACTCAAACTTAGGCTGCTCCATGGGAAGTTCCCGGGGAGCCGGAGATTCGATGACTGGAGGGAAGCGAGGCGATGGAGGAGGCAAGATGGAAGATTTGTCACTATCTTGCCGAAGATGGGTACGCACAAGACCACTGAGGCCAAGTCCCGCGGGTATTGTTGGAGAATCAGGCTTCTCGGGGCTCCCAGGGGTGTTGGCCAGTTCGGAAAGGCTTTCTCGGTGCTCTGCAATAGGCTTTAAGTCGCCCAGGTCCGAGTATCGCACTTCAGGGAGAGTTATATGGCTTTCATCGTTAGTTGGCGTTGTTGGTCTTGATGGAGTCTGAGAGCGGAAGGCTGGGTGGTTGCTATGAATGGAGTAGTCGTCGCGCGAAACTAGCCCATATCCTTCGTCCTCCGTCTCGCTCGGGCTTGAGTTGTCAAAGAAAGTAGCAACCTGTCCTGGTCTGGCAGGAGACGCATATACACTCTTACCGGTGGACCGGCTGCCGGGGCGATGAGCCTCACTGTAGTGAGAGGACCCAGCGGAGTTCGACCGCGACTGGCGACTAGCGTTTGAAAAACCCCGTTGGCGCGCCTGGGGGTCTTGAGGAACAGGTACTTGGGGTTGTTGCCGTAGAGGCGGCGGCGTGTTTCTACCCTGGAACATTTGAACCTGGCGGTGGGAGAACTGGCTCTCGTCGTAGGCAGTTCGGGGCTTATTGAACATGCCCATGGCTGTTGCCTTCCCACGATCTTCTGGTTGCAAAGCAGCCATGAGAGTTACCTCTTCATTTTCGCTGACTGGAGGGCTCAGTGGAGGCTGTCCGAAACTGGGAGGTTTGAGTTCAGACTCAATCGGTGGTCGTGAAGGTGAGGTAGCGGATGATGGAGGGCTTGTAGGTCGAGATGCAGCTGGCGACGGCTCGGCAGTGGTCAGTCTCTGCAGTCCATTGCGCAGGTTTGCTGCACTTCGGGAGTAGTTTCGGTTGAGAGAAGGCATTTCTGGAGTGCCTGCGCGCTGGCGGCTCAAGCTCTCTAGTCGATGTAGGGCAGATGCTTGCTGGCTGTGAACCGATTGCTCCAAAGCCTGACCATACAGACGGCGAGTTCGAACAGATCCTCGCTCAGCAGCCGATCCGGGGCGCATCGGCTTCAGTATAACAGAGTCCGAGTTACTATTGTGTGTCTGGGCAGGAGACGTCACCAATGACTGCTCGTCCACAGAAGTTGCGGCGGTTGATATGCGGGCATTGCCCATTGGCCCTGAAGCTGTCGAAGAGTATGTAGTTCGGTTGTGAGAAGACACTCTGGACAGCGCATCTTCGGATTCCTGCGGAGAGTAGACGGTGTACTCCTCCCCATCTTGTTCCCTTACACTGGGTTTCCGTCGAAAGTGCGAATTGTCGACATCATGTTCGTAGACTGCCCGACCGCCGCGACCAGACCCTGAAGATGCGATTTTATAGACCTTTTGCCGTCCCCCGAACAGGTTGTTTCCCTCTGTACGGCGGGCCCTACTCATAATGCTACCTTGGTGCGAATCATCGTCCCCATTATACCCATCGCTCCCCGACGCATATGAGCCTCGCTCGAGGTTGAAGGACGGCCGACCAGCAGAAGAGACTTCGTCGATGTCGGCAAGCAGGCCGGGGTTATGACCGAAGAGATTCAACCTTGAGGCGCGCCTAGGAAATAAAACGCTGTCGTCGCTAGCCTTTCCGATAAGCGACTCGGGATCGTCCTGTTCTCTGAGCATACTAAATCGTGCTGACAGCTTCGGCATGAGCAGACTAGTTCGGAAATCATCGGTAGACGGCAATGCGCTTGAGAGATCGAGGTCAAGTTCGGGCTTCGGCTCGGGTTCTTTTTTGTTTTTCTTCAGGATCGCGCCGAATGTAGTAGGGGGCACACTGGTTTCGGTAACCACAACCTCGTCCTTCACCTTTTCCCTCTTGGGCTCCTTCTTCGATTTGCGGAACCGGTTCATGATGGCGATTATTCCACCAGGGACAATTATCGCGCGGAGTAAAAATGTCGCTCAAGCCAGTCTTACGAGTTAGAACCAATCGCTCAGGCGATACTGTGGGGTTGAGGCGACATGAGGGTGACCTACTGAGCGAAAGCGAAAGAGAGAAAGGCAAAGCCTTCAGTAGATAACGACAGAGGACAGAAAAGGAGAGCTCAGTAGTATATAGCGAATGTGAGCATCAGATACCCCTGGGGCAGATTCCGGAACCGGTCCGTGGCCGATCTGTCGTGCAGTGGATGCGACGTGTAGGACGACAAAAGTACCGCGGGTGAGAGGTGTCGCAAACAATGGCTGATGTTGAGCTGGAGGATTAATCGGTTGATAAACTGGTCAATCGGCTCGAGGTGGACGGATCGATGAGGGGGTTGGCGGGAGGAATGTGGCTGCTGCGGAGGCAACGATAGAGTATGCCAGTATAGAGTTCTAAGGAATGGACTGGGACCTAGACTGAGGCAGGTCCGAAAGGAGAGACAAGTCGAGTAATTGAGTAGAGAGAGCAAGAGATTGGAGAAAGAGTGACTGGGAGGAAAGAAAGAGAGAGACACTTAGAGACAGACAAGAGTCAGAGAAAGCGAGGACAAGGAGAGGAGGGATCTCGATCGACGATTTAATTTTTTATCCCAGTCGGGGAGTGCAGTTCGAGAATCTGAGGAAATAATCAAATAATTTAATTAATTGTGATTATTACTCGAAGAATCAGTAAAGTCTGGCCAGACTCTTGTCAGCTCCAGCCAGTTTTTTGGTTCGATCAACACTCATTTACTTACTCCGCGCACAGTACACAGTCCACACACCGGGTGCACTGGTAGCTCAAACAATGGCTGAATCTCTCAAGCAGTGGATGTCTGGTCTCTGCTGATCCTGTATAATTATCCCTATAGTCCCTATAGTTCCTACTCTCTTGCATTATGCGTAGGTTGCGGCTATCTCGCATTGTCTAAACCGCGGTTAACTGGCTGTGTCTACTCTGTATGACTCCATCCGTGAAATAAAGGTGTACGGAGCCATGGGACATGCTGCGTTACTGTAAGGTACAGCCCCACCCTTGTCGCCCAATCAGCCCCTCAAGAATGCCGGGAAGGCTTTCCTCTAAACTCCAGCCAGCATCAAAGTCTCCAAAGCCCCGGAGCCGAAGGAACAACGATGAACAGGTTGAATCTCGGGATAACTTGGAAGAGCCCATGATCTCATCAAGACATCAACCGCTTTTCGTACATCTTTCTTGTTTCCGTGACAAGGGACAGACCAGCCTCGATAGCCCGGACTCCTGCATTTCTGTCGAGTAATTCGGATTCGATAGTCCTCACACTATGGCAAGAATGCATCAGCTGAGCCGTATGCGACCTGTCTTCCTAAGACTTGCCCCCTCCTGTCGGATGTTTCACCAACAATTCTACGCGGCTATTCGTCGCATCTGCGGAGGATCTCCCTTGACCCCAATCTTTAGAACTGAGCAATCACCTTGTGGTACCGCAGTCTAGCAGGAGACTGCAGAACCCGAATTGGCGGCATAGCGCCGTGCAATGTGGCATGTGCACTGCTTCTGTCACTGCATGCTCATGGCGACCGGCGCTCTCCTGCATCTCGCAGGTTTTTCGGGGGAGATCAAGATCAGAATTTTCAACCGTGCTGCCCCGCGGCTTCGCTGTCCGAGCTTAATCTTATATTAATATTAACCAGGATATAGGCACTGGATCCAGAAGGTTTTGATTTCTAAGACCGGTATTTTTTGACAGCCGTTGGGTTGGAGACACTGCCGCGGTGCCGACCACGGCGACCAGAGTTGACTCGCGCGCGTGGCGTAATAATGTGGGTATTACAGCAGCGTAATACCAGAACTTTGTCACAGGCACCTGCCTGCCCCTGGCTAGGCCTCTTCGGGGAAGGCTTGTCGCTCCAACTCCGGCTTGTCCGTTCAATAGTATTCCTCCTTGGCGGATAGCGAGGAGTAGCGCTGTGCGATGGATTCGTCGGAGTGGCAGAGGCAGAGCCCTAGCTAGGCTCCGAAGTAGTCAGCTAATTGTATCAAATAATGAGGAGGGGGCAATTGAGGGTGAATTAGGTATCAAGATCACAAGCTCAGAAGCCTCAGATCCGTCGTTCTTCACTTTTCGTCTGAGCTCCTAAACCAAGCCAGCTCCTGCAATAAAAACGCAGAGCTCGATCTGAATCAGATCTCGAGGGCGGAGCAGCGAGCATCCCCCTTCAATTTCATCGGCCAGGGCCCCAAAAGCCGTTCCCCCCTCCAGGGCCACCAGTGGGTGATGCGCACTCGCAGACCACCGGTGTTTCAGGCTTTCAGCTGCCTGCAGCCAACCAACTGCGCCTTGTTGGGGCTGTCCAGTGTGCTCCCAGGCTCCTCACCGAGTCACCGTTGAATCGACGACGGCGTCAGATTCTTCTAAAGCAGCGCTAGAAGGCCAAAGAACTGTTGGTCTTTGGATTATCTCGGGTGGAACTTCCCAACGTCATCGGCTCGGAGTTTCCTCTTGCGTTCTGGAGTCTGGGCTGTCGTTCTGGGGCTTCGGGCAGCAAACGGACAGGGCAAGCCCAATGCTCAACATCAGAATAATGAACTCCAACTCGGACCTCCGTCTGAAAAGAAATATCGAAGCCCTTGCGGCTGTTGCACTTGCATATGGCCTTGAGTGACTTGCATTCATCGATTCCGGGAATGGCAAAACGAAAACATCCCCTGCCCGGTCCCCGGCCCCCAGACTGAACTCTCCTCGATGACGTTGTTGTCTTAGATTATTAATCGCAGAGCACTCCCCGCATCACGCAAGAACTGCTTCAAGAACTTGAAATCAATCTCGCACATAACCAGAACTGACTTGTACAACTAACCAAACCAGAGACAATCACAACCTCAACATCTCAACCAAACTAACATCCAAGACAAACATGTCCAACCTAAACGTCCTCCTCCTCGGCGGCCACGGCAAGGTCGCCCTCCATCTAACCCCCCTCCTCCTCGCCCGCTCCTGGAACGTCACCAGCGTGATCCGCAACCCAGCCCACGAGTCCGAGATCCTCGCGCTCGCAGACCCCTCCAAGGCCCGCGGAAAGCTCAACGTCCTTGTCTCCAGCCTCGACGATATAAAAACGTCCGCCGACGCCGCAAAGATCATCAGCCAGGTTGATCCGGATTACGTCGTTTGGTCCGCCGGTGCGTCCGCCCCAAATACCAGAGGGAAAGGAAACAAGGATGAGAATGGCGAATGCTAATACATATATGTATGTACAGGCGCCGGCGGCAAAGGCGGCCCCGAACGCACCATCGCCGTCGACGAAGTCGCAGCCAAAGCCTTCATCGACGCATCATACCTACACCCGCGCGTGCGGAAATTCCTCCTCGTCTCATGGATCGGATCCCGGCGCAACAAGCCCTCCTGGTTCACCGACGCAGACTGGAGCCACAGCCGCAACACATTCGACAACGTCCTGCCCACATACGCGAAGGCGAAACTTGAGGCCGACGAGTACCTGACTGCTCATGCGGCAGCGCGCACAAGGAAAACTGCGAGCGGGAAGATGGGCGTGCTGGATGCGATTTGTCTTAGGCCGGGGCTTTTGACTGATGAGCCGGCAACGGGGAAGGTTACCCTGGGCAAGACGAAGAGTGAGGGCAAGGTCTCGCGTGAGGACGTGGCCAGGGTTGCGGACGCGCTTTTGGCGAAGGATGGGGCCAAAGGTTGGTTTGATCTGCTGGGTGGCGAGGACGAGGTTGCGGATGCGGTTGAGAGGGTTGTAAGGGACAAGGTTGATGTTGTGGAGGGCGAGGACGTGGATGGTATGGTCAAGCGGTTTGGATTGGATGGTTAAATGATCTGAACTGAAAGACTATATAATCAAATTATATGAACTAATGTTGTGAAATGAATATAATGATGTATGTATATATATTTCTGGAAGATTAGCACCTGGTAATATACATATTCCAATCTATACATGCACCGCTGACAGGATATATCGTATCACATCAAGACAAATCTACTCTATGATGACTACAGCTTCGCCTTCGGAGCAGCCGTCTCATCCTGCGCTTTCTTCTTGAGCAATCTTCGTAAAATCTTCCCCGACACACTCTTCGGGATCTCATCAACAAAGCGCACACCACCACGCAGACGCTTATGGTGCGCAACCTTTCCCTCCAGCCATTTAGCAATATTGGTTGCTTCTTCTGCCGCCGAAACCCCGGCATCCTTGCTCTTCACGCTTCGCACTACAAAAGCAACAGGCACCTCTGTGCCATGCTCGGCACTCTCGATGCCGATGACGGCGACATCATCAATCGAATCATTGTCCACAAGAATACCCTCGAGCTCAGCAGGAGCAACCTGGAAGCCTTTGTACTTGATGAGTTCCTTAACGCGGTCGGTAATAAAGAAGTCGCCCTTGGGGTCTTGGTAGCCGACATCGCCAGTGCGAAACCACCCATCTGGGGATATGGAGTCCGCTGTCGCGGCTGGGTTGTTGTGGTAGCCTTGGAAGACGTTGGGCCCACGGAGATAGAGCTCGCCGACTTCACCAGTGGGCACTTCGGCGGGTTCTGAACCGTCCTCGGGCATGGTCATGTATTTGGCTTCCATGTTGGGGAGGAGCTTGCCGACTGAGCCGACACTTTCGCGCCATTCGCTCCAAGGCTGTGTGTGGGTGGTAGGGCTAGTTTCGCTCAGACCGTATCCCTGCTTAATACCGACGCGGAGGCGCTTGTAGACGGCTTCCACCAGTTCCTGGGTGAGCGGGGCAGCACCGGAATTCATCATGCGCAGGCTGGAAAGATCGTACTTCTCAACAACGGGGTGTTTGCCCAGCAGAAGAACGACCGGAGGAACCACGTAACTGAATGTGATACGGTAGTTCTGAACATGCTGGCACCACTTCTCAAGATCGAACTTGGCCATGACAAAGAGCTCATACCCCTGGTAAATTGTTTGGTGCACCAGACATGTCAGGCCTAGTGACTATTAGTTTAGGGCCTGCCTGACAAGTGTAGAGAACATACCGTAAATATGGAAGAATGGAAGGAAGGCGAGCACACGATCGCCCTTGCCGTCTGCGCCACCATTCCATTTGAGATTGCCGCCATCACCTGAGGCCAGCTGAAGACTGTTGGCGACGATGTTGCGATGGCTGAGCATGACACCTTTGGGAACACCGGTGGTACCAGAGCTGTAAACAAGAAACGAGAGATCCTTTTCTGGATTGATCTTTGAGCGACGGAAGCGAGTGGCTCCAGAGATGTTGCGGATGGAAGTGAAGTGTTTGAACCTAGCCTCGGGGTCTCGCTGGTCGCCAACCAGGATAATGCGGTCGTCAGGGATACCGACCTGTTTCGCGGCGGCTCGCGCGACGGAGAGAACAGGCAATTGGGTGGCAACGGCCTTTGCACCGGAGTCTCTCAGTTGAAACGCGAGTTCCTCAACGGTATATGCTGGATTGGATGGGGAAACGACCCCGCCAGCCCAGAGCGTGCCGTACATGACAGCCGGGGTATCAATGCTGTTGGGAGTGTAGAGAGCGAGGACATCGCCTTTACGCCAGTCGAAGATAGACTTCAGGCCCTGGCCGAACGCGATAGCGGATTGTTTAACATCGTTGAAAGTATAGGAGCGTCGGGTGTCCGCATCCGTATAGATAACTACCGCGATTTAGTAAATGCTAGGGAAGAGAACGTGCGATAGGCTCACCCTTGTCATCGGGAAATTCCCTATCTTTTCGCTCAAAAAGGAATGTCCACAGGTCGATATTGGGGATATTGACCGAGGGGTACTGTGAAGAGACTGGCATTTCGAGGTAGAGGATAAGCCGGAGATGAGGATGGAGACGGCTTGGCAATGGAGAAAATGCGGGGAAAGCGAACGAGAGGAAGACGGGGAAGCCGCGAAAGAGAGACAGAGAGGTGTAGGGGAGAAGATGTGAGTGTAGACAAGCCACAAGAACTTGAATATTGGAGAAACGATTATTAAAGAAGCACCCATGGCTCCGGCTATCCCAGGGTTGCTGGTACACTGCTCGGCCCTCGGCATGTCGTCACCTGACTTGACCCCAGATTTCCCCATCCGGAAGGTGCCAACGTTCGCCCCGCCTCGGGGCCCGCCGCAACGGTCGCTACCTAATAGTAATGACAGTTCGGGATCTTGCGGACTGCAAGTAAGTCAAAGGTTGAAGAACTTTATGATCTCCTTCGTCAAATATCCCAGAGTTATGTATACCGTATATGTAAAGCGAACGGACAACGCGCCGGCATTTGGCAGATCCCTCCGGAGTCCGCTGTACCCGCTCGGCATTCCGATAGCGGGACTTGTATCGGCCGACATTCGCGTACTCTGAGGCGAATAATATACACTCAAATGTCATCTATATCTATCATATTCTACATCAAACTCGTTCGTCCTCCGACCTCCCGCCCCCCTTCTCCATTCGGCATTTCACCGTTTCGGCCCTCCACAAACTCCCGGTAGATGCCCAGCAGCCGTCTCCGTTCGGCTTCGCTAAGTGAGCTGCGCGTTGTGTTCAAGGACCGCTCCATGTGCTCCCATCGTACTATGATCTCTTCACGACTCTCATCCGGCCCTGGCTCATGAGAATTGGCTGTCGCGCTTGTTGATACCGAGTTAAGACCGCCTTGCTCGAGTTGCCGTTGTCGGCGTCGTGCATTCTTCAGCGCGTCAAGCTTGGATGCCACTACTGCCGGCGCCGGCATTGCCACTGACCCAGCTCGCTGCTCCAGATCAGAATAAAGGAATTGAATGAACGAGCGACTGCTTGTGCTGGGGTTGGATGACTTCGCGGTTTTCGCTGGAGGCTTATCGCCTGAGCGATCTCCTAACGCATCATGTACCGCCTCTAGATGTGCATTGTAGACCACTGCCTGTAGATCAGCGCCGGAAAATCCTGCTGTGCGCGCTGCTATCTCATCTAGCCTGGCCACTACCTCCTCGCTCATCAAAAGCTTCTTGCTAACGGCTTGGATGATGTCGGCTCGGTCAACATGGTTTGGCATATCACAAAGTAGCGATTTATCCAAACGACCAGGACGAAGCAGCGCGGGGTCAATCAGATCCGGTCGAGATGTGGCCGCGAGGACGTATACCCCCGAAAGACCCTCAGCTCCATCCATCTGAGTGAGAAGCTGGTTGACTACTCGATCTGTCACTCCAGTCGAGTCATGCCCACGCTTAGGCGCAATACTGTCGAACTCATCAAAGAAGAGGATACACGGCCGAGCTGCCTGCGCTCGTTCGAACAAATCTCTTACACTCTTTTCGCTAGCACCAATGTACTTGTTGAGAATCTCAGGTCCCTTCACGCTGATAAAATTGAGGCCACACTCGCCTGCCACCGCACTAGCCAGTAGAGTTTTACCACACCCAGGAAATCCGTAGAGAAGCAGACCAGACCGTAGCCGCAGCGGGCACTGCGCAAAAATAGGGGCATACTTGGTCGGGTATTGTAGGGTCTCCAGTAGCATCTTTCGAGTCTCGTGCAGCCCACCAATAGCGGAGAAGGTAGTAGTAGATGAAGTGAGGGTCACATTGCGGAGCGAGGCCGGGGTAAATCCTTTGATGGCGTTATCAAAGTCTGCTGATCCTAGCACGATTGCCTTGGACTCATCCGATGTCTCGGTGACAGACCGAATGAGAGCTTCATTGCGTGCGCGAGCAACCAGCAATACCAAGTCCCCGGGCATAAATCCGTCAGTCTTCCCAGCCAAGTCGAGAAAGTCGACATCCCGCCCAAGGATAAAACCATCACCATCAGAAGACGTAGGTCGACTATCGGGATTTGAAGGGTCTAGCCATGAATCATTAGTAGACGTACTGACCGACCTGGCGTGGCCATTGGTGGCATTCGATGGTCCGGCCTCTGTCGTGGCACTGGGAGCCCCACGATCCTGACTTGTAAGATACTCAAGGACTTTGCGTCTTCCTTCTTTGTCGGGAGCTCTCAGATGTATAACTTCTCGGACCACGTGCCCACCCACGATAACATTGTTCAACGACTCCTTGGACTGCGCCGTTGCAAGGAGCACAACGCCCGAGTTCATGGAGCAAAACTCGCGAACCATGGAGCAGATTACCTCACTATTTTGGCGGCTACGGCCATTGTCCCCTCCCACTTGCAACTCAGTTTCAACCGGGCACAACTTGTCAAGGTCGTCCAAAATTACAGCCGATTGCCCGCCAAGGCGAGCGCACCATGCGGCGGACATGAACAGGCGACTCAGGGTCTCTTTGATGTTGGAAATACGAGTCTCATCCGTCACAAGTTTTCGACACGAGAAGTACTTCACATTGAAGAGGGATTCCTTCTGCAACCGATGCGCCAAGAGCTGACCCAGCGCAGTCTTTCCAGATCCAAGCCCACCAGTCACCAGAACGGAACAAGATTTGTTGAGATTGTCCAAGGTTTGGGATATAACTTGGTCGATCCCAACCATGGGAGGAGCAGTGACCGGAATCGGATCCTCCATTGCTAGATTCAGTGCACTCTGTTGCGCTGGTCTTGGTATTTCAGCTTGAACTTCGAAGGCTAGCTTTGTGTCAGACCCTAACAGCCACCCAAACACCGACTTGGATGCATCGGAGCTACTCTTTAGTGGTGGATCAAACCGAATGACAGCCCCGTCAAACGCAGACACTGTTCCCTGGTTCTCGGATTTTGGAAGGACCATACCATCTGTTATTGGACCTGCAAGTAGCCCTTTGCCCGAGCCCGTACTGCCATATAGGACCTTGATACGCTCCACTAGTGCATCCCTTGCTGCAATGGTATCAGCGCCGAACTTCAACCCATCTTTTCGCTTCGTGGCGTCCGTGAGAAATGGGTAAACTTTGAGTGCTCTAGTAGCGGACCGCTGTAGTGGTGGTGGTGCGGCCTCTACTCGAATAATACCGCCTACCATTCCTTCCGCGCCTATGGCCGAGCAAAGCACGGAGGATAGACCAGCATGTTGAGGATCGGGTGCATCAATCCAAGGAAGTAATTTCGCCACGAGTTTGGTGGTAGGGGTGCCAGCATCACTAGCTTTCTGTTCAGCTTGGCTCATTTGCTGCTGAGGATCAGGTGGTGCTTTCAACCCAGAAGGTTGGACAAGTGTGACGCATGCCCAGTCAGCACCCCGGAGTTCGTTTGATGCCAGAATATCGGGGTCAAGCCAGACACGGAAACCCTCATTACTGTCCTCTTCCGTCTCTTCATCAAAGTACTGGTCGGACCAATCCCGGTCAAGCCCTCTAAAGTAGAGAGCACCTCGGCTTGTTTCAGACTTGCTGCTTTTACCGCGTGCGGTGCTTCCCCCACTGCTTCTTCCTCCAGCACTTCTTTTACTGCTGCCGGTGACACTCCTGTTATCCCCGCGAGGCGCCCGTGTGTTTGCCTTCGGGCGCGTTTTAGGAGCAACAATGACCTCCGCATCAGGCGCAATTTTAGCAAAAGGAGATGTATTGGATGGAGCAGGGGTTAACGAAGTGATGACGATATTTGCTGTCGATGTGGGGGAGAGGTGTAGTGCTAAAGGATGCATGTGATCGGCCTGTTGTGTCGTATACGTAGGATTGGGTAGAGCGCGGATTTGCGACAAGAGATTGAGCTCTAGGAACGTCGCATGCAGCTCGATAACTGGGAATAGAATCAACATTTGAACGTGCGCACAAAGGAAAAGAGGTAACCATACTCTCCCAGTCTTCAGGTGTCAAAGGCTCAATGTTGATTGTATGAGCTACGGGAGGATCAAGGTGAATAAAAATACCAACCTAGAACATAATTAGAGAGCGCGGAGCAGCGATGATCATCAGGACAGGCTTACTCTTTGCCCTTCGCTGAGACCGAGGACCCTTCCAAACGTAGTGTCCAACTCGACAGTCGCCGCATCTTGTTCTCTTGTAGACGATGGATTGTTGATGCCATCCCTTCCCACAACAGGCGCAATTCTCCGCTTGCTCGGCATTCCCGTCCACCCCAGATAACATGAACGCGGGGTAGGGTTGCCGTTGCTGGCTCGACCGGTCGGGCGGAATTGTAACTCGACAATCACATTTTGTGCAGCCTAAATCGCAAGAAATGCTAATCAGCATACACAATTGTCAAGTCCAAGGGAGGTGGACGGGTATAGCTTACTGTATTGGCGTTGACCAGGAGAGAAACGAGCGAGGGCGGCAGATTCACGAGGCAGTTCTTCAGAGGAACCAAGGCGACTTCCGCCGTGGTGGAAGGCTTTCTAGGCGCCATTCTTTGGCGCACACGAGAAAGCTACTGCTTGGCAAGGAGAGTAGACGAAAGGTGAGTTAGAAGAACGCTGAAGGGAGCGAGAGCTGGGCTGAGGCATGGAGATGAAGTGCCAGCGCCGGCTCCAACCCCGGACTCCGCAAATGGTCGCCGAGCCGAAAGTCGATGCCTCGCGATCATCGGACCGAGACTTGTTCCGTTCCGAGGCACGTGCCTCTAAGCTTTTTTCCTTCCGTACTAGCGTCGCAGCCTTAAAGGTCAGGCTAAAGTTACATATACGCGTTTTCGCGACGCGACGTGCTTTGAGGCCTCAGGCTTCAAACTCCTTTGCCGGAGAAACGCAGAAAACTGCCTGGCGCCCAGCCCAGTCAAGTCAAGTCCACAACTTCCGCAACACCTGCGCCCCTCTTCTTGCAGAGCTTCCGGACACTCAATTGAACACGTTGTTCCTGTCGCGGTCGCTCCATTATGGCTTTGAATCAGTACCCTGCCCCAGTTGATTACAACGGGCAGCTCGAGGCCTTCAAGGATTTCCTCAAACATTTCAAAAGCTTTGAGTCAGCCTCTGCTTCGGCCGCAACAGAAGCTATCGAGGACCTCCACATTGACGAAGATGGCACTAGCGATGAATATGATTTTATGGACGACGCTGATGAGAGCGGAGCGCAAAGCAGAGGAGGGCGCCGCCGCAACAAGGAGCCCAAACTCAAGTACATGCAGATGCTACAGGACGTAGCCGACCGAGAACGCTCCGACGTTCTTATTGAGCTGGATGACTTGGTTACTGTAAGCGCTGACTTCTTCCGGTATTATACAAATAGTATCTAACGACGCCGCGGCTTAGTACGAGCGATCGCTCCCAGAAGAAGTCGACTTGAAGCTTGCCCTGTCCGTGCAGAGAAACACCAAGCGCTATATCGAGGTCATATCTCAGGCAGTGGATGCCGTTATGCCGAAAGAAACAAAAGAAGTCTCGTACGTTAGGCTGTGCGCTTCTAATGGAGCTGGAGCTGATTGCATATAGGTTCAAGGATGATGTCCTCGATGTGATCATGTCCCAGCGTGAGAAGCGTAACGATGCGATGATGATGGCTGCCGAAGCCGACCCCGAAGCCGCTATTGATCCCTCAATGTTCCCTCCGGAGCTTACTCGTCGATATGTCCTTAACTTCAAGCCCCTCACTCCCTCAGGGTCCAGTAGCGAACGTGCTTCAAAGGCGCTGGCTGTGCGCAATGTGCGCGCAGAGCATCTTGGTAGCCTTATTACAGTCCGCGGTATCACCACTCGAGTGTCGGACGTCAAACCAGCTGTTCAGATCAATGCTTACACTTGTGACCGTTGCGGAAACGAGGTGTTCCAGCCCGTTACGACAAAGCAGTTTACCCCCATGTCCGAGTGTCCTTCGAAGGAGTGCAAGGAGAACAACACCAAGGGTCAGCTCTTCCTCTCTACGAGGGCGTCAAAGTTCGTTCCTTTCCAAGAAGTCAAGATTCAAGAGATGGCGGATCAAGTACCTGTCGGCCACATCCCACGGACCATGACCGTTAACTGCACCGGAACCCTTACGCGGCAGCTCAACCCGGGTGATCTTGTGGATATCGCCGGTATCTTCCTTCCTACACCTTACACCGGTTTCAGAGCAATCCGCGCGGGGCTGCTCACAGACACATACCTCGAAGCCCAGCACATTACCCACCACAAGAAGTCTTATACCGACATTGGCATGGACAGCCGAACCCTGCGCAAGATTGAGCAGTACCAGCAATCCGGCAACATGTACGAATATCTTGCACGATCGATCGCACCTGAAATCTACGGCCATCTGGATGTCAAGAAGGCGCTGCTACTTCTCCTCATCGGCGGTGTCACAAAGGAGATGGGTGATGGTATGCACATTCGTGGTGATATCAACATCTGCCTGATGGGTGACCCTGGAGTCGCCAAATCGCAGTTACTCAAGTATATTGCCAAGGTTGCACCGCGAGGTGTGTACACAACAGGTCGTGGTAGCAGTGGTGTCGGTCTCACAGCCGCTGTTATGCGTGATCCTGTGACGGACGAAATGGTGCTTGAGGGTGGTGCTCTTGTGTTGGCAGACAACGGCATCTGCTGTATTGATGAGTTCGATAAGATGGAGGACGGAGACCGAACTGCCATTCATGAAGTCATGGAACAACAGACCATCTCTATTTCCAAGGCCGGAATTACTACTACCCTGAACGCTCGTACCTCAATCCTCGCCGCCGCCAACCCGTTGTACGGTCGGTACAACCCCCGACTCTCACCCGTCGAGAACATCAACCTGCCAGCAGCGCTGCTTTCTCGTTTCGATGTCATGTTCCTCATCCTCGACACTCCCTCCCGCGATGCAGACGAGGAGCTGGCCAGCCACGTCGCCTACGTCCACATGCACAACAAGCACCCTGAAAGTGAAGATGCAGGCATCATGTTCTCACCTCATGAGGTTCGCCAGTACATTGCCAAGGCACGAACGTACCGACCTGTCGTTCCCTCCAAGGTCTCGGACTACATGGTTCAAGCCTACGTGAATATGAGAAAGCGCCAGAAGCGCGACGAAGCAAACAAGAAGCAGTTCTCTCACATCACCCCGCGTACCCTTCTTGGAGTTGTCCGTGTTTCCCAGGCGCTTGCGCGACTTCGATTCAGTGAAGTTGTCGTTGAAGAGGATGTCGACGAGGCCCTGCGTCTGATTGAAGTCAGTAGGGCATCCTTGACCAACGACGGCCAGTCACACCTCGACCAGAGCCCCACATCCAAGATCTACAACCTCATCCGTGGCCTTCATGAGAGCGGCGCGGCTGCCGTGGGAGATGGCGAAGAGGGCGAGCTCAGCATGAGGAGAATCAGGGAGCGAGTCCTAGCCAAGGGCTTCACTGAGGATCAGCTCACGATGGCGATTGACGAGTATGAGAACTCTCACGTAAGTTTCCCCAGTCCCCATCTTTACCTACACTATCCGCTAACTACTTTCTCCAGGTCTGGCAAGTCATCGCCAATGGCACGCGTCTTGTCTTCCTTGACAACGTCGATGACATGGACATTTAAAGGACTACGGTCATATTGTCATGTCTTCCACCTAGACTTTTATTTTCTACATTATGCTATCTTGGATATGTCTTGGTTTCCGAATCTCAGAGAATAGTGCATGCATGAAGTGGGATGAATCGGGTCGGTGTTTCGGTGTATAGTATACTAGGCTAATATCTTTCTGATATTTCTGCTTTTTCGAATGATCTGAAATTTGACATTGTCTTGTGCCTTGATTGTCTGGCGAGTCCCGTATAACAATGGATTACAGAGTACACAACAAGTCCTTTCAACTGGTCCAGCGGGTTGGGGACATTGCCATGTCTATCTTTAGATCCTATGGCTCTCGGATAGAGTTCGGGGTTGATGAAAAGAGAGATGTCTTTGTAGACCTGCTCAAGGCAATGGAGCACTGTAACAAACCTTTGATATATATAATAACTAGATTTAGCGCTTGGTGCATATCGCAAAGTCGTATTGAGTGGAAACCCTACATAAATGATTCCAACAATTTACACCCTAGCAAGGGAACTATATATATTTAAGGAGTGGCACTATTACTAAATCATTAACAACATGACAAACAAGATCAAGACCATATTATATACCAACCCTCCCCATCAACCAACAGGCATATATAATACCAAGCACAGAGATAGACATTTCACCTCATGCCCTACGCTCCTAGCCCACAAACCTAAACAGACCAAAAACCCATCCCCCAAACCCGTCTAAACAGCACACTTGTTATAGAGAGGCACCTCCTTGCACAAGTTCGGTCCATAGCCGTACGGATTATCGCAAAGCGTGTCACACTTGGTGTACTCGGGGGTAAAGACCAAGAACTCGTAGTTCGGCATGGCCAGACGGAACTGCTTAGTGATGTCGTTGTTGTTCTTCGAGGCCTTGTAGCCCGCGCGACAGGCGCAGTGGAAGCGGGTGCCAGTGTTGATGCACGAGGTGGTGATGTCGCACCCGTTGACGCCGGAGATGGGATTGCAGGTGCCGCATTTGGGTGCCGGGGCTGGGGCTGGGGCGGGGGTTGCGAGGGTGAGGGTTGCGGTGGAGAGGAGGAGGAGAGTAGAGATGAGCTTCATTTTGGAATTGATTTGGTTGGTTGGGCCTTGCTTCTTGGTTCTGTTGTTTGGGAGTTTGAAGGAAGATGCTTGCTTGTTTGCTTGCTTGACGAGGAGGATGATGACGAGCTCCCGGGGAAAATCCAGGGTCTTTATATACCTCGATCTGAGGCTATTTCTGGAGTTCGAGCGAGGATATCGTCGAATTGAGAGAGTGAGGATATGCGATAGGTGCTGTAGTGTACGGATTTCGGATAGCCCGTGTGCACGCAGCCCTAAAATGAGACATGGAAAAGTCAAGATCCCAGCGCGACCCAATGAACCGTGCCCCCATGTCCCAAGATGCAGGACCACAACAAAGCAGGGTCCCGGATACTGAGACACATCCGTCCCAGGGCGCTGTGCTATGCACACTGCGTCGCTTAATGGCAGTTCCAAGCGGCTGAACCAGAAAGCCACGGGTGCTAGGGCTGAGAATACCGATTTGGATACGAGGTTTGCGTCACAATGAGATTCCAACCCAGGCCCCGGCTATGGTCTCCCTGTGGAGGAAACTAGAGTTCAAGAGATGTTGCTTTGACTAAAGTTGTCATTGTGATCTGATGCCAGTGCTGTACGAGGTGTTCGATGCTTGTTGCAGTGGGTGCCGTGGTCACTGGTCGAGTCCAGATCTGGGGATATTTCCCCGCTAGAGGGGTCTGCTGTCAGCAATGCGGTCCGATAATGACATGGCAGCACTTACCGCCAATCTTTGTTTGCTTTAGACATGGTTTGGCGAACTGGCTGTGCGAGGTGAGACATATTGAGAACGTGGGAGGAGTTTGGAACCTGGCAAATGATTGAATTTGGGGAACGAGATCTCCGCAGTCTGGCGTTCCGAGCATCCAAGCCACTGACCTGGTTCTTGCTATTTCAAGTGCATGCCGCATATTGGCTGGATCAGAGACCCAGTCTAATTGACTCGAATAGTTGCATGTTTTCCTGGCCTGGGCTGAAGTCAAGATCTAGAAAAGTGGGGAGCTACTAAAAGGCTAAGGATGGAAGATGGATTGGAAAAGAACGCATAGCGAAGAGGCGAGTCTATGGCGGAGTTCAGAATAATTCGTTAGACTGTATACTCCGTAAACTTGGTTAACAAATGCGGACATATAGTGGGCCGCTGGTGTTGCTTAGAGATGCTCGGGCACCTTTGATCCCTCGGGTTCGCCAATAAGCTCCAAGAAACTCTCGTGAACTTCGTCCGTGAGATCGCTAGCCTGCATGCTCCTCCCCTTTGCCTTGAAAGCGCGGCGGGAACATTCCCTCGTGATTGCAGCCCCCGCCCAAGCAGCAAGCAGCAGGGTTGTGGCTGGGGACATTCTCTTCTCCGACTCTAGCTCCGCCTGGACCTCCTCCTTGGTCTGCGCCTCCTTTTTGTTCTCCTTCTCACCCGAGTCCCAAAGTGCATCGTGGTAGGCCGCCCTCCAGCCCAACAGTGTCCCCAACGATCCGGTGAGAGTATCACCCTGACCGCCACTACGCTTCAGGCCCCCCGGGAGGTCAGAGACAATGCTCGTGATACCATTCGAAATCACATCGTGCATTCCCTTCTGAATGATTGTGACCCCTCCCAGAGCTTCCGAGAGCTTCTCGCAGGCTTCTGCTTCCCGGCTCGTCTTATCTGCATCGCTTCGGTTGGAAGAGATCTGAGCCAGATTAGGGACTTCGATCCCAAGCGCCTTGGCCAGGCGGCTGAACTCCATGACATTTGGCGTCAAGATACAATTCCTGTACCCTTTCACGAGTTCCGGATCCTCTGTAACCAAGAGTAGACCATCCGCATCCAAGACGAAGGGTATTGAACGGGACCGTGCCTCTTTCATAACCTCCTTGACCACCTTAAGAGTAACTCCATCTCGGCCTAGACCGGGACCGATGACAAGCGCATGAAGCCGTGAGAGCATTGCGATGATGGGGCTTGCTAAGGATGGGGCATCGATTGAGTTGGTGTCTTTGACTGAAGCGCTGCTTGGTAAGATCGGGTGCACCATTAGATTAGGTGAGTATGATTTGATGACCTAGATTCGAGATTAGCTGCGATCCGCCTGTGCATTCAGATAGAGTGGCCTACAGTAGCAGCCGAACTCTCACAAATGACATGACTCTAAAGAACCATTAGTACCACCCAGATATCAGTCAATTCGCTCGTACCATATCACATCCTGGCGCGTGGTTAGCAATCAAACATTCAAGGTCAGGATAAGCATAAGCTTAAATACCTAGTCTAGCTGACGCCATCGCAGAGAAGTATGGTGCACCTGTGTAGCTTGCTGGAATCAGCTCAATCCGTTCACCAGGCCCACAGAAACAACAGAACATACTCTAGCGAGCCTCCAATAACAGCAACTCGACCCTGCTGTCCTATACTTGAGTCAGCAATGTCGTTGCGTTTTTATGGCGGAAATGCCGGACTATCACCTACCCTTGTGGAATTTCTCTAGCATCGGGGGGACGAGCTTGCGGGCTTTCTGGAACAGCACCTTTGAAGGCACCGATATATGCTGAACGTTTGCCATGATCGCGAAGGTTCGTAATATGCGAGTAATGAGTCTAAAAGAGAAAATTGTAGGAAGGTGGTTAAGGCCCCGCGAAGCACTAAGAATGTCGAGGCTGATATGTTGCGCTGATGAGCCGGTGATGTCAGCGCCTAGTGGGGCTAATGCAATCAGGAACTACGCCTAAGTCTACGTAGGTAAAGGCCAAGCTGGGCGGAGTATTTCGTCCACAGGGAAAGAAGCAGTCTTTGTAGAGTTGTATTATGAAGATATCTACACCAGATCTACCCAAGCAAAGAATGGCAGCGCCCGCATAACCACAATGCAGAAAGAAAAGAAAAAGCCCGGAACGAGAACAGTGTTGTCCCCATCTATCAATACCTTAACGCTCACTGATGCTGAAAGAAGTAAGAAGTGGAAGAATGAGAACTGAATAAAAGAGAACAAGAGACAGACCAAGAGTAATAAAGAAAGCCATTTCTGCAATGCACCTCCGGGTATTCCACGCTGATGCTCCGTTTCCAAAGTTAGCAGTTGAACCATAATCGATAAGACGAGAAAGAGAAAGGTGAGGTAATGACGGTTTGGGCGAAAGGAACCCAGAGTCTCAGACTAGTGGCGCTTGGAAGCCAGCATGGTGAGCTTCTTGCGACGCTCCATTTTCTCCTTCTTGGCTGCAGCCTCTGCGCGTATGTCCTCTTCGTCTTCACGTCTAGCTGCGGCTAGGGCTGCCGCTTCCTCGGCCTCCACATCGTCCATGCCTGCCTCCATGTCCGATGATTCCGAGTAATAATCGTCATAGTCATCCGCGTAATCGCCCTCGTCCTCTTCATCTGTACCGAGATAATCGTCCATTCTGGATCGTTTGTTGGCCCTAGATTGAACTCTGCGAGCGCCATTTCGGCTTGGAAGGTTGGCTGTGCCACGATACTCCGGCTGTGAAGGAGTCTGCCTAGCGGTACCCTTGTAAGTCAATTCTTCGGGTTCGCGTTTGAGGGCGGCTTTCGCGCTTCCTGGTTTGACAGCTGCAGCCGTACTGGAAGAAGGACCAGGTTTCTTTGCCAACTTCGAATCTTTGTCCTTAGCCTGAGCCTCGATCATCCGCTTTTTGCGTTCCATCTTGCTCAACTTCTCCTTAGGCACAGACTGGTGCTTGAACATTCCGACCTGGGTGGGGGCTTTCTGTTGTGCAGCCTTTGCTTGTGCCATAATATCCGCAAAGGATCCTTTCGGCGCTGGCTTGGAGGGGGCCGGTGGGGTGTTTCGGGCTATGGGCGCATTGCTGCTCGTCGATGGTTTCGCGATTTTGGATGTTGCCGCTAGACGTTGACTAGAGGGAGCTAGCACGTTGGCAGATTTCGTTGCGGCTAGTTTTGCAGCAGCTGGCCTGGCAGGTATTTGCGATCCGGGCTTCTGTGTTCGTGGCAGCGGCTCTTCCGCTTTTCGCTTTGTTCCGGTCGGGACCCCATTATTTCGCTCAACGGTGGTCGGACGAGCAGTTGGAGTTGCCTTGCGACTTTCGGGTTTGGTATTGGACGATGAGATAGTAGGAGAGGGCGCGGGAGAGGATGTGGGAATCGGAGTTGGTTTGCCGCTCTCGATGGACGAGATAATGGAATCAAGAAACTAGACGTCGTTAGCAACGAGCTCAAAATGGCAAGGCAAGCACTCTTACACTCATTTTGTCGCCGAGTCTTGATCAATCTTGCACCGAGCGAGGGCGAGGGCGAGGTCAAGGTATTTATGCAAACAGGTTCACCGTCGGTGGTTGGTGCAAACAGGCAACTTCATGACTCCGTCAGTGGACACCACCGGCAAACCAGTAGCTCAACAGGTGATAAGCCTATTCACACAAGCGTGACGAGAAGGAGTCGGCTATTGAGTAGGCGTCCGGGAATAAATAAGCTTGAAAGACATTCACACGAGGATGTCTCGAGCTCGTGGAAGATAAAGGAGCACCTAATGATGCTTTGTCTTCTAGAAAGAACCAGTCACGTGGGAACTGGTTGGAGGGGCGCCACAAGACTCGCTTAGTCGGCATCAGCCACGGGCACTAGCCACAACGCACTTTTCCGCTAATTTGGTGATCTCGAACTTTTCGCTTCTTCTCTTCTTCACGACATCAACTCCTCCAGAACTCGACGTTTCAGTCTCCGCCCAACTCGCGGTTAAATCGATTGATTCTCTTGTTCTATAATCAGACCAAACAGTATGTCCGTTTCTGCATCGCCCTCGCAAGATACGTACTGACCACACTTTCGCGCTACAGTCCAAAATGAAGCACCTCGCAGCTTACCTCCTCCTCGCCCTTGCCGGCAACGAGTCCCCCTCCGCCTCCGACATCAAGGAGGTCCTCTCCTCCGTCGGCGTTGACGCTGATGATGAGCGCCTCGAGAAGCTGATTGCTGAGCTCCAGGGCAAGGACATCAACGAGGTTCGTTTTGCGGCATGCAACTGGAGTATATGGATGGTTGACTGACGAATTTCTCTTTACAGCTCATCGCTGAGGGTACCACCAAGCTGGCTTCCGTTCCCTCTGGTGGTGCTGGTGGCGCTGCTGCCCCCGCTGCCGCTGCCGGTGGTGCTGCCGCCGCTGAGGCCCCCGCTGCTGAGAAGGAGGAGGAGAAGGAGGAGTCCGACGAGGACATGGGCTTCGGTCTCTTCGACTAAGCGTATCGCCTTCTCTGGTCAAAAAATGATATATTCGTGTGGGAAGGTTTTCTGGCGACTAAGTTCAGTATTGCGAAGAAAAGTGCCGAAAGGAATTTTCGAGCCTGCTTTACCAAGGCTTGTCTAATGCTGCTACGAATCATGCATATGTGAGCTCGAAAGAGCCGCTAGTCAATACAGATTGTCTGACCATCTCGAAATCATCTTGTGTACCTTGTAACGTGAATTGTAGATGCACTTGTCCAAAAACTACAGACAGCCTGTAATGCGGCCCACTAAAAGACCAGAAAATTCATAGATCAAATCTACATTTCTAGTACATTTCTAGAACCACCTTGATAGGCCGAATAAAAAGCATTGATCAAGGCTCCAGTCTGAACTCCATCCATGGATTCAATGTATCCTCCCAAAAGGGACTAGCGTACTAGGGCTCGACCCTTCGCTTAGACGAGCCCTGCCCTGCGCCCACCTCACCCAGAAGCGGTAGAGTGAGAGCCCGCCGTTCAAACAGCGACACGCCATCCGACAACCATCGTCCTTTTCGCTTTTCGAGTTTCATTCGAGAAGCGACCTTGAGAGGAACAACCCGCCAAAATGTCTGACGTCGAATACGTGAGTTTTCCCGACCTCTTATAAAGTACTTGGGCTTGTAAAGGGAAGGATCGGTCGTGCTAACATTTTCTGCAGAACGCCGAGGAGGCTGCCGGTACGTTATATCTCGAACCATCCTTTACCCGTTACCCAGTACCCCGTGGATATGCGCTGCGAAGGATCTCGATGGACTGCGACGGGGCGGAAACATTCAATATGATCATGGAAAATTTGATGGGCGGTGGACGGATATATGAAGACTAGATGGAAAATGGACTTCGCAAACCCGCAGCCACGCCACCACACCCACACGAACAAGAACGCAGGATTATCAGAACAAGCGCGCTGACAGGTTATTCCCTCGACAGAGATCAAGAAGAGAAGACAGTTCCGCAAGTTTACCTACCGCGGAATCGACCTCGACCAGCTCCTCGACCTCTCCTCCGAACAGCTCCGCGATGTTGTGCACGCCCGTGCCCGCCGTAGGTTCAACCGCGGTCTGAAGCGCAAGCCCATGGGCTTGATCAAGAAGCTCCGCAAGGCCAAGCAGGAGGCCAAGCCCAACGAGAAGCCCGACCTCGTCAAGACTCACCTCCGTGACATGATCGTCGTCCCCGAGATGATCGGCTCCGTTATCGGTATCTACTCCGGTAAGGAGTTCAACCAGGTCGAGGTCAAGCCCGAGATGGTTGGCCACTACCTCGGTGAATTCTCTATCTCTTAGTACGTACCCTCGGCTCGATTCTAGGATTACAGGCTGGATTCATGGATTCTGACACACTCACAGCAAGCCCGTCAAGCACGGTCGTCCCGGTATCGGTGCCACCCACTCTTCTCGTTTCATTCCCCTCAAGTAAAGAAGAAAAGCTTTCCTTGGGTGTTGCGTGGAGGATTTGGGCGTACAGGAGAACAAAATTCAGAATACGAGAGGATCGGATGGATACCATTTGCGTTTCAGTGGGTTCATCTGCTTGTATGTCAAGTGCGGGTCAGCTTTTGCATCTCAATACAATGGTCTTGTCGGCATGAAAACCTACGATGTCCTGCACCACGGGATTTCTATACTCCTGTCCCGCTGGGTGGGAGGTAGGAGCCTTGGCTCTTTCTAGTGTAGAAAGGGTCTAATTTAACGAAATTTATCTTCATTATTTTCATATCTTGTGCTTGATCAAAAAATGAACTAGTAGTAGCTACTTGTGAATGCTTGGAAAAGCCAAGCTACAACCACGCAAGCGGGTCAAATAATGTTGGTGTCGCCGACATAACGCCAATGAATGTTATCGTGTCCTCCCTTCGGCCAATTATTAGTTAAAACATAGAAACGATCGTCTTCACGACCTTGTCCCACTCTTGTCTCGCCCTACCAAGCAAGTTGTTCACATCCACTCCGGGCTTGATGAACTCGGCTTGTATCTGCGCGAAGGCTTCTCGAATGATCATTCTGAATCCAGGAACTGTGCAATATTTCTCCTCCCGCTGGACAAGCGTGTTCAGCAGAGTGAAAGCAATCAAGCCATAGTTCACCTTGATGTTAGACGCAACGGACTTCTCCCAATACCTTTTGGCGATTTTTGGAGGCTGAAGCGGAGCGTCTGTCATGGACTGTGCATATAAATGCATTGCAGTCGAGGCCACAGACCAGATATGCAAGGCACGAAGTGGATTTGCTTCATGCGGATACACGTCTTTATCAAGATCATATCGGAAAACGTCACATACGAACGCATTCCCAGTCTTGCCAGCCGCCAAATCGGCCGCAACCAATTCGCCGAGTAGATAGGGGAAGGGCTGTTGCCTTACTGGCCAGTTGTTCTCAAGGAGAGCCTCAATGGTCGATAAAAGTGGCTGCCTTTTAGTCATGTCGGGAAGATTCTCATTGAGCTTGTTGGCAATGGACAACGCTTGCGCTTGCAAACCGACCTTCGCGTCCGGAGTTTTCTCGCGTGAGCATTTGCCGCATTGACACTGGAAATAGAATCTTTCGCGCAGCTCTTTTCGTCGTATATGCGCGGGATACGTGGTGTCGACATAGCAGATGAAAATCTGCTCGCCTTTGGCAATGGGACGGAGGGCTTTTATGTAAAGCTCAGGGCCATCGAATGCCACAACCGCATTGTAGTCGCAGTTGTGGTTGATCAGGGCGGCGTAAGGATGTGCATATACACCGATTCGGTCGTACCGAGAATTGGTTAGGTTGAAAGAGTTCAACTCAAGCTAGAATCCAACGTCATCAGAACTCATCCAGAGAGAAGAGAAGTGTACTTCATTTAGAGTTTTGGATGACTAACCTTGGCACAAAAAGCTGCTATCGATTCCTCCTCCAACTCTGTCCCCGAGTATTCCTTCACTGCTTTCGACGTGAGGGCAATGCGTTGCCATTGTTCCTTGTTTTCCTTACGTATGTCGGCAATGTGTGTCTCTAGAGAATGGAATAGCTGTAGTTCCTCCTTTGTGAAGGCGTTCTTCTTTGCGTTCGTGCGCAGCACCATCCGCAAGAGCGCCCTGGCATTGATTGGGAGAACTCTCGGTTTCAGTTTTTCGTAGATAGCGCATTCGTTAGAGTGTGAAAGCTTCCAATCCTTTGCTTGACATGTCTATACCAACACAAATTAGTCTAATCTTTTGAAATGAAGAGCCCATCCGATGCGAACCTTATCACAGTACTTAACGACATGGCATCCTGCACAGGCCTTCAATGTACGCTCGTTTTCCTTCTCGAAGGCAGTGATTTCTTCCTGCTTCTTACCAAAGCATCCGGAGCAGGTATAATCAAGTCGATCGGTTTCTAATACTGCGACGAATGGGTTCTCTACGTGTAGCACGTCATCGCAGGCGCGGAGATCAGTTGTTGCAAACAGGCCTCTCCCTAAACCGTTCGGAGCCGGCCCTGGAGTGGTTTTAGATAGGACTGATGGCAGAGGAGCTGAGTCGGACCTGGTCGTTGATTAATAATGGATACGTGTGGATGATGCTGGAACTTTACCGCATCCCTGTTCCGGGAACCGCAAGCTTGAGGATGGTCGTTTACTGGATGATGCTGGAACTCTATCGTATCGCTGTTCCGGGAACTGTAAGCTTGACGAAGACTTAATAATCCCCGAGCTCTTAGGAAGCTGACTCCCTGATTAGCAATCTTCTCTGAGTGGCGAAGGACCGGTCAAGGCTGATGTTGTTTGTTCTGTGTTGGACGTTAGCCTTCGGTCTTGGAACATGACTAGACGACAAACCGGATAGAATACGTTATATGATGAGGTGGTGATGAATGAGTGTCGCTGTTGGTTAATAGAGATATAGTAAGATAGATGTTGAGTAATCGATTATAGAAAGGCGAAAACGGGTTGTTGTCGGAATGAGAATTCTGGAGGGGAGTTGACGAAGGTTGTCGACCCTGGCCTGGAGCTCCTGCCGTCCAGAAGATTCTCGTTTAGGGTAATCAAGGAGATTACCTCCACAACGTAGAATTCAGTTCTCAGTTCCAGTAAGTTCATATTGAAAGTCGAGATTGGATATAATCACTATACTACAAATAAAAACATACACTGCCAATGCTGCCAATAAATCAAATCATTCGTAATATCCAGTTCAAAATCTTTTCTCGCTCACGCACAGCCTGCCTGTAAATACCAGCCGAATATAAGCAACTAAAGTAAGATAATCAAAGGACGTGATGTGGCCGCAACGCGTACACTCTGTCCTTCAAAGAAGAAACCGTTAGCCCATCTGCAGGGCTAAACAGGAAAAGGTCTATCGAGAGTGAATCTCATCCGCTACGCCGAACAAACACGGCGTTCCTGCCTGCCTGGAAACCAAAATGAACACAGTATAACACCGGGTAATTAAAGTATCCAGAAACTTTTAGTTTTTTGTAATTTACAGAAGCTTGCCGCCGACGAAGTTGGACCAGGTCCTGACTTCAGAGGGAATACCCTCAGCACGGGGGAGCTTCTGGTTCATAGCCTGAGCGAAGAGCTGGGCAGTCTGTCGAAGGGGTTAGTTGGAGTGTGTCAGCTTGGATTGGCATAGTTATCTTACCTTGGTCTCCATGAAGAGAGGAACACCGAAGTCAACAGCGTTTCGTCGCATAACGTAGTCCTCGTCGAGGAGGGTCTTGCCACGGGTCTTGGCAAGGTTGAAGCAGCCGCGAATGTCGTACTTCTGGAAGACCTCACGGAGGGCACGCTTGTCCTTCTTGGGGAACTCAATCACCTGGACTGGGGTGTTCTCCTTGGTAGCGGACTCGATGTGATCCTTAACCTCGGGGCTGGCAGCAAAGAACTTGAAGCCTAGAGGCTGGAGGTAGTCGACGATCTGGGCCAGAGCAGGGTTGGTGATATCACCGCCCAGCAGGATACCCTCACCAGGCTCAGGCACACGGAAGTTCATGGTGGACTGCAGGGAAGCCCAGTAGGCCTCGACAACGTCCTTACCGAAGCAAGCAATCTCACCAGTAGAGGCCATCTCGACGCCAAGGAAGGGGTCGGCTCCGGCTAGACGGGTCCAGGAGAACTGGGGAACCTTGGTAGCGAGGTAGTCACGCTTGACCTCCATAAGATCGACAGGCTCAGGAACGTCACGGCCAACGAGGGCCTTGGTGGCGACGTCAATGAAGTTGGTTCCGAGAACCTTGCTGACGAAGGGGAAAGAACGAGAAGCACGGAGGTTGCACTCGATGACCTTGAGCTCAGGCTTAGCACCTTCCTGGTCGGCCTTGATGATCTGCATGTTGAAGGGACCGGTGATGTTCCAGGCCTTGGCAACCTTCTCGGCGATCTCCTTGACACGGCTCATGACGGGCTTCTCAAGGGAAGCAGGGGGAAGGACGAGGGTGGCATCACCGGAGTGAACACCAGCAGGCTCAACGTGTTCACTGATGGCGTGCAGAAGGAGCTTTCCGTTGGAGGCAACAGCATCCACATCGATTTCCTGAGCGCCCTCAATGAACTTGGTAATAACAACGGGGTGGTCGGGAGAGACGGCGGAAGCGTTCAGGAGCTTCTCCTTGAGCTCATCCTGGCTGTGGATGACGCTCATGGCAGCTCCGGAGAGAACGTAACTGGGACGGACCAGGACGGGGTAGCCAACAGTCTCAGCGAAACGCTCAGCCTCCGAAACAGAGGTGAGCTCCTTCCAGGCAGGCTGGTCAACACCAATGCTGTCGAGGATCTGAGAGAACTTGTGACGGTCTTCAGCGTTATCAATGTCCTTGGGGTTAGTACCGAGAACGTGGGCACCGCCAGTCTCCTGGAGGCGGAGGGCAATGTTCTGAGGGAGCTGGCCACCGACAGAGACAACAACGCCGCTAGCGCTCTCGAGTTCATAAATATCCATGACACGCTCGTAGCTGAGCTCTTCGAAGTACAGCTTGTCGGCGGTGTCGAAGTCAGTGGAGTAAGTCTCAGGGTTGTAGTTAATCATGACAGTCTTCTTGCCCATGTTCCTCAGAGAGAGTGTAGCGTTGACAGCACACCAATCGAACTCGACGGAGCTGCCAATACGGTACACACCGCTTCCGAGAATGATGGTTCCATGGTCGTCGAAGGTAACATCGTGGGAAGTAGCGTTGTATGTGGTGTAGAGGTAGTTGGTGTCGGCAGGGAACTCGGCAGCCAAAGTGTCGATCTTCTTCACCCAGGGCCTGATACCGAATCCCTTCCTGCGGGCGCGGACATCATCTTCAGAGGCACCGACAAGCTGGGCAATCTGCTTGTCAGAGAAACCGAGCTTCTTGGACTTCAGCATCATCTCCTTGTTGATGCCAAACAGGCTGCCAATTTCCTTGAGTTCGTTGTGGTTGTCAACAATGTTCTGGAGCTTGTAGAGGAACCACTTGTCGATCTTGGTCAGCTCGTGGACCTTGTCAACGGAGTAGTTCTCGTGGAGCATAGCCTGGCCAACAGCCAACCAGCGGCGGTCGGTAGGGTTCTTAAGAACCTCATCCAGGTTCTCGAACTTGTCGCCCTGGAATCCAACGAAGCGAGGATCGACCTGACGAATCGCTTTCTGGAAAGACTCCTCAAAGGTACGACCAATAGCCATGACCTCACCGACAGACTTCATGGCACTGCCGATGTCACGGTTGACGTGCTGGAACTTGCTCAGATCCCAGCGGGGAATCTTGGTAACGATGTAATCCAAGCTAGGTTCGAAGTTGGCGGTGGTAGTCTTGGTGACGGCGTTGGGGAGCTCGGGGAGAGTGTGACCCAGGCCAATCTTCGCAGCGGTATACGCGAGAGGGTATCCAGTGGCCTTGGAGGCCAGAGCGGAGGAACGTGAGAGACGAGCGTTGACCTCGATAACACGGTAGTCAAGTCCATCAGGCTGCAGAGCATACTGGACGTTACATTCACCGACAACACCAAGGTGGCGGACGATCTTGATGGCAGCGGTACGGAGCATGTGGTACTCCTCATCAGACAGAGTCTGACTAGGCGCGACTACAATACTGTCACCAGTGTGGATACCCAGAGGATCGAAGTTCTCCATGTTGCAAACAGTAATGCAGTTGTTGGAAGCGTCACGGACGACTTCGTACTCGACCTCCTTCCAGCCGCGAAGAGATTTCTCGACCAGAATCTGAGGAGACAGAGTCAGGGAGCGAGAAGCCAAGTTCTTCAGCTCCTCGGGGTTGTTCGCGAAGCCGGAACCCAGACCACCGAGAGCGTAGGCGGAGCGAACAATGATGGGGTAGCCAACTTCCTCAGCGGCCTTCAGAGCTTCATCGACAGTACCGACGGCGATAGACTCGGCAATGGGAATGTTGATCTCGTTAAGTGCCTTGGCGAAAAGGTCACGGTCCTCACTGGTCTCCAGAGTCTTGATGCTGGTACCAAGCACCCGGACACCGTAACGCTCAAAGGTACCCATGCGGTTCATTTGCACACCGAGGTTCAGGGCGGTTTGACCACCGAAGGACAGGAAAATACCGTCAGGGCGCTCCCTCTCGATAACGTATGTCACGTACTCCGGAGTGACGGGCAGATAGTAAACCTCATCAGCGAGCTTGTGGTCGGTCTGAATCGTAGCGATGTTCGGGTTGATCAGAACCGACTGGACACCGGCTTCCTTGAGAGCCTTGAGGGCCTGGGAACCTGAATTAAGAGCATAAGCGTCAGCAGGCGGTTCCGTCATTCCTTTAGCTCGTCCGGCTACTGATCTGATACAAGCAGCTGCGCTGTTTCTACTTGTTTAGAATAAAACCGCGAAAACGAATTGACCTACCAGAGTAATCGAACTCTCCGGCCTGACCAATGCTCAGACCACCACTACCAATGACCAGCACCTTCTTGACATCGACCAGGTTGGCACCGGGGTTGACAAGTCCGCTGGAGAACAAGCTGTCACCGGTGGAGGACGACTCGGCAGCCAGGCGGCAGAGAGCGCTGGAGAAGTTGCGCAGCTGCTGCGATCGCCATGGCGAAGGGGTCTTCTGTTGCAATCGGAGTGCCGATGCTGTGGAACGAGTGGTGCTCTGGGAAGTGAAAGAGCGCAGAGCCAGCGCAGAGCGACGGGTCTCAGCGAGGCATCGTTGACGCAGGAGGGCGGACGTAGCCTGCCCGCACCGAGCAGCGAGAACCATTGCGCGGTGCACTACTCGAGAGGTAGGCGAGGTAGAGTAAAGCGAAGAGCAAACAGTCGAATTGAGCTGTGACTACGCTCTACTCCGTCGATAGACTCGGCGATGGAGGGATGGACGCTCGCACCGCTATAGCTCCGAGGGTTTCTTTGTTCCTTCTCGCTCGGCCTAGATTAAGCCCTGCCGTCGTCCCGCCTTCTGCCGCACGCCCAAGACTGAGGGAGGGAGGAGGATGAGGGGGATTGGAGGAATTGGCTTTGAGGATGTGGGTGAGTCAAAGAGAGGAGGACGGTGAAAGCAGCGGAGCGGAGGGACACAGAAAAATTTATTGGAGGTAAAAGGCGGCGAATGAGTCAACGGAACGGAACCGGAGGAGACAATCAGCGGGAGAGAAACTGGAATAGCGCCAATTCAACGAATATCGCTCTCAAGAAGAAGAGGCCTTGAATTCAGGGCCGATAAGACGCCGGTGTGTGGACACTGGGGACTGTGAGCCAGAAAAAAAGATCCCTGCTCCGTAAGTCGGACCCAGCCAAGTGCACGGCCAACAAAGCCCGCCCCTCACCGCCTGCCGCCCTGAGCAGAAATGTGGCTGACATCAGCTGCATCCTGGCTTCCCATTCGTCGGGCCAGTGATCCTGAGTCTTTTTCCTTTTCTGGCATCGCGTCTTATCAGCGGCCGCCCCAGAGCTGATCAGATGAAATTATTCAATGCATCGGTCAATTCCCGGGATAACTCATATGGGCCCTGGTCCATGGTGCGTTGTGCTTGAATCTAGCAGGGTGCCATGGATACATCATAACATCAATGCTTTATTGCCTGGGAGTTTGCAGTGAGCTGCTTCCCTGTCTGAAGTCCAACTCGACTCCTCATGCCGTTCTCTCATGTCGCACAGAAAAACAAGTTGTCCACTCGAATGATGTCTACCTTAATGCGCGCATCTCACGAACTAATCGTAGAACTTCTTGGGGGACACGAGACCAGAAGGGAACTCTACGCTGACTCGGGTCCCTTGTACTATGGCACACCCGGATCGAGTCTTCACCAAAATGGATTGACAAGGGATATATCTCGATAGCAGGAAGCATGGAAATCAATCTAATACACGTTGCTAAAAAGACCATCGAAACCTTCACTAACTTCCTCAAACACCTCCTTCTAACAGTACTGCTCTAACCATTCCATCATTTCTCCAATAGTCGGACACTCCAGGAAGAGGGAGCTCTTGACCTCCAGACCAAGCTCAGCTCTGAACTTCTCTGAGAGCACCAGTGACATGAGCGAGTCGACTCCTAGCTGCACGAAAGTTGCATCCGGCGTCAGGTCACTCACGTCCTGACCCGTTTCGCTGGCGATCAACTGCAAGCATTGACCTACTACGCCGGTGACTTCCGGCTGGGAGGTAGTCCCATTGGGACCTTCAGCGTCGGCTTTGCTAGGGTTTTCTGCTTCTGGCGTCTTGACACCGTTCATCGCGGGCTCCGAAGGCTTTTGTGGCTGAGGAGGGCTGGTGCTCTCCGCTTGGCCGTTGGGAAGTGATGCAGTTGTTGTTTCAGCTTGGGCCGGCGCTGCTGGTGCCGATTTGACCACAGGGACCGGTGCAGGTTTGGGTGCAGCTTTAGGGGTAGAAGCCGTCACTGATTGTTTCGCGGCTGCTGCCGGCGAGAAGAATCGATCCATGAGCAGACGCGGCACCTGGCGGAATTGGAAATGTCCAACCATGCCGACGATTTGATTATCCTTGAGGATATACAGATCACCACCGTACATGTTAGCCTCTGGCAGCGGGAACATGCGCACATAACTTTGGTACTTGACATCCGGGTCTAGCTTTTCCAGCAGACGGAAGCTGTCATAACCGGGAGTGACGAAGAAGTAATCGCGAGTGTTTGAGGCAGCGCTTCCGTTCATGACAAGACCTGCGAGGTGGGAGACACTATCGATCCAGTGTGGCGGCGTGTGCCAGACGCCTCGACGTTCTGGAACAAGCGTTATGTCGCAGAACGCTTCATAGTCGTGCATTATCACGCGTTCCATACCGCGGTAATGATCCGCATAATCGACCACGTTCTTGAAGAGCGCATATGATAACGCTTTGGATAGCTGGCTTGCCTGTCCTTCTTTGGCCATGCGCTCTAGTGCCTCAATTCGGCCAAGTACCAAATGCGTCATCCGTTCCCACTCAGTCTTCCATTTTTCCACGTCGCTCTCAAACCGTACAGAGGCAGTGGCGTAAGACTCGGCGGCCTTGTTGCCAGTTGCAGGATCGACATTGAACCAAGCGAATGACATCCGCTGCGTTGGAAGGTCTAGGTGGGCGTCAAGGTACAGGTTCTGCGTGCAGTTTTTGGCAGGATTGGCCACCGTCGCATGCAAGACCTCAAGCTCGCCCACGTTCATATGTACCTTTGCCCCGGGTGCAAGTTTGTTATACAGGTATTCAGCAACAGTCAACATCATGTCAGTCCAGATTGACTGAGCGCTATCATTAGCACACATTCGCCGGCAAGAAGAAAACCAGCCAAACTTACCGAGGTTGCTACACCGCAATTATTCATTCGGTGTCCATGAACTGCCTCGAGAAAATCGGGGTGTTGTACGTCAGAGACGATACTGATCGTGGCTGATTCCTCGCCAATAGTCTCTTCGGTTATTTCGTGGATCAAAGATGTCCGCAATGCCGAAGACGACGGTTTAGTCTTTGGCGGTCCATTTGTTCCAGTATACTTTAGGTGGGCTTTGTCCAACGTCCAGGTGCCGATATACTGGATCCAGTAGTTGACATCGTTCCAGGCATACTTGGGCAAGGTAAGCAATGAGTATGCCTTTTCGTTGGCACGGAAGTACTCGTCCCAGACAGGAGTGCAACCAGCCAGGTGCAACGCGACAAGATTCTTCGCCATTGTGGCGTAGTTATCTTCGTTCCGCCGGCATGACGAGGCGACGCGCGCCTTGGGGATCAAACTGCGCACGAAACCAGCGCAGATTGGATGCGGCCCGACATCAACCCAAACTGTCTTTTCATTCACCATGCCCAGATCCTGTGCGGCTTCCAAGGCTCCAGCGAAATGAACGGGCTCGCGTGTAGCCCGTGTCAAGTAAGTGGAGTTTATCGTCTTGCCGTCAAATACCACACTTCTCAACAAAGGCGATATGATGGGAATACTTGGGGCCTTGAAGTGCACTGTCTCTGCAATTCGAGCTAGGTGGTCTAGTACTGGATCGACTTGTTCAGTGTGGAATGCGAAAGGCACGTCTACCGGCACGCACTTGATGTTGCTGGATTCGAGGGTTTGCCGGGCAGCATCCAAATCGGCCTTTGTACCGCCGATTACAGTGTCGTTGAGAGTATTCTGGCACGACATCTCGTATTTGGCATCTCCTAGAAGCTTGCTGACTTCAGATACTGACGCGCGAACCGACAACATCGCATGGCTGCCAGGAGTACAGCACTTTTCAATCAGCTGGGCACGTCGTCCGGCGAGGAAAATGCCGTCCGCGGTCGACAACACACCCGCAATGACCAGTGCAGCATACTCGCCTAGGCTATGACCGATGACAGCGCTAGGTTGCATACCAAGCAGTAGGATCCAGAGGCGGGCAAGGGCAATCTCGATCACGACGATGCTCAGCTGGGACATGGTTGCTGATGGATTCTCTCCGACGCTTCCATCGATCACGGGCACGATTGAATGGAAACCAAGTCGTTGGGCAACATGGTCAAGCTGTAGGACTTCCTCACGGAAGTAAGGGAATGTCTCGAACAGCTCCTGGGCAATGCCCTGGTAGAAGGCGCCCTGGCCGGTGAAGGCGAAAACGACCGGGGGAACATCCCCTGGAGTAGGGCGAACCTCAGCGAGGGACTCTTTCTCTCCAGCTTTGCGCAGCGAATCCCGCAGCCCGGCGATGCTCGACACTGCAAATCCAACGCGCAAGGTGTAATGGATGCGACGCGCGCAGGTTGTGTAAGACAAATCGGCCAAGTCGATATCAGGATGCTTCTCTAAATGCAGGGCTAGGTTCGCAATGTTGGCTTGTAGAGACTTCTTGGATTTGGCAGATATCAAGACGGTATGAGTCGAGCGATCGTCTTTCGCGATGTCCTTCTTTCGCTCGGGGCCATCTTCCAGCAGCACGGTTGTGTTTCCGCCATGCGCCCCAAATGAGTTGACCATTGCAATCCGTTTCTTGCCCTCTTGACGTGGCCAGGGCGTGTTCTCCTGGGTCAAGCGGACACGACGCTGTTCAAGGTCCTTGGGAATGGTGGGGTTGATGATCGTATGGATGCCAATATGCGCAGGGATCGTGTTCTTCTGGTACATCAACAGCACTTTAAGGAACGACGCAATGCCTGCTGCAGCTTCACCATGTCCGATGTTACTTTTGACTGCGCCTAATTGCAACAATTGATCTGGTCGTCGAGGCGGGGATCGGGGCGCGAATACGTCAAGCACAGACTCGGACTCCACGGCGTCTCCAGCTTGGGTTCCCGTGCCGTGGAGTTCAACGAAACTCACGTCCAACGGGTTGACCGCAGCCAAATCGACTACCTGGCGGTAGTTATCTTTCTGATTTCCAGCATGAGGATGGGTAATGGAGATGGCCTCAGCTGAGTGGTTCGTGGCCGCGGCAAGTACAACAGCAATGATGTTATCATTATCTGCCTCGGCATCCTCTAACCGTTTGATGACGACTGAACCGATGCCATCAGCACGACAGTAGCCGTCTGCAGTTTCATCCCAAACTTTGCACTGCCCCGTCTTGGAGAGGAAATGGCCGCATCCCAGACCTGCATAATTGTCGGGGTCGGTGATGATGTTCAGACCACCCGCAAGCGCAGTATCAGCCTCCCCTGCCCAGAGTGCCGAACAAGCAACCTGAACAGCAGCTAAACCGCTGGAGCAGGCAGTATCGACGTTGAATGAGGGCCCAGGGAACTTGAAATAGTAGTTGATACGCCCGTTGCCAAAGGCACGGACACCACCCGTTACTGCATAAGTGCCAATATTCTGGGACGCGTTCAGTTCTCGCCAGTCGTCACTCGCCTGCCCATAGTAAGCGCCGATGCGTTTAGGGTTCGACGATGCAGTTCGACCAGGGACGAGACCAGCCATTTCCAGCGCTTCATACGCAGTGACGAGCGCCAGTCGTTGCATAGGATCAGTTTGTTCCGCCTGCAGCTGTCAGCATCTTCTATCTTGCGCGGTTACCTTTAGGTAATGATGGAAGACATACTTCTTTCGGTGACATGTTGAAGAACCCGGCGTCGAACAAACCCGGCTTATCAACAAAGTTACCGTATGGAGTCGTTGCAGCATTATCGGTCTTGCCACTAGGATCGTAATGGGTGGACAAGTCGAAACGGTCTGCCGGCACGGTTGTGTGGACATCGCGTCCCTGCTCGAGAATCTCCCAGAAAAGCTCCGTGTCATTGCCACCACCCGGCATACGACAGGCCATGCCAACAACAGCCAGCTTCGACTGCGCAAATGAACGAGGCTGGTGGGTACCATAGTCCTTCAGGGCCCAAGGGACCAAATCTGTTATCTTGATCTCCAGATCTGAGAACTCGGCCTCGAGAGCCGCTCGTATGCTCTTGAATACTATCGATGTGCGAAACGTTTCAACATGAAGGCTAGTCGGGTTGAAGTCACCAATCCGCTTCATGATACCGTCGGTGATGTTGTCGAGGTAGATGGTACCGGTCAGCAACTCTGTACCGATAGCCTGGAATAGCTCGAGGGCAGTAGCGGCTGGGAAAGGCTGACCAGTGTTGGAAGAGTGAAGAGAAAGTCGCACCGGGCGAGAGACAGGGATGACGGACTCCGCACTGTTGATAACTGTGTTGATTGAGTTCTCATTGTACAGATGCGACGCATGGCATAGCCCGTCATATACCGGCAGGGCGAAAGATTTGGAATACCGCAAGAGATGCGAGCTGCTGAAGCAGGCTTTCATGCGTGAAGGTGGCCCACTCACACTGACGGAGGTCTTATCGGCGGCGCTAATGAAGGCCTTGAGAAGCTCTGGTGTGCCCGATTCCGAGTTGTATTTTGACAATTCGTCTTGGATGGCGGGCTTTGTCTCTCCGGTGACAACGTGAGCCCAGCTCAATAACGCGCCGTCCGCCTGGGGTGCCTCGAGCTTCCGAGAGATCTCGCTGACGTATACCCCTAATCGAAAAGATACGCGGACACATTCTGCTCCGTTCTGTGCGACCTCTGCTAGRTTGGTGGACAGGGCCACGCCGGCACCAGCTAACAGACCGATACTCAGACCAGCGAGGGTGGTGTTGTGTTCAAATAAGTCCCAGTCGCGGCCTTCGGCCTCATAATGCCTATGTATACAATCAGCTGTGCCCAAGGGGAAAGGAAGCTTTGTCGGTACCCTATGAACATGCCAAGTTCCAGTATGGTCAGAAGCGCACTCTCCATAGCAGCCCCTAGAGGGCCCTGACGGAAATCACCAAGCTCGGCGAGAGGCAACACCGTATGAAAGTGCGGCACAAGATCCCTCAGTGGCTGGGGCAGCGCAGCAACCTCTTTCTTGAGGATTAAAGTCGACTCCTCCAGGAAGGCCGCCAGCTGGCGAAACCTGCGGTCCTTGCTGAGCCGCAGCAGGCAGCGGAACAGCCCTTTGAGATCATCGTTGGGAAACTCATTCCCAAAGAAGATTAGGGTTGTGCTATGCGTGTTGTCTTTCATTGTCAGTTCTCTGCTTGTTGAGCTCAAGCGCTCATTACGTTGAGAGCAGAGCAGAGCAGAAGTACCGACGGTGTCATTCGCACAGCGACACTTGGGGCTGATACATTCGGGGTTTTGATGTTATTGTTCGCTGCGGGCAAAATGCCCGTACGGGAATTTTCGAGAATCGCGATGGGCATTACCATCAGTGATGGGACCCTGTGTAAAATGCCATACGGGGACTTTTGGTGCAGCGACTGGTCCGGCCTCTCATGATAGTTGGCCCTGGCTCGAGTTCGCACTGACTCGGGTCTTATTTCCCGTCTTCTGTGAATTATGAAATATGCCCGATTAAAATCCCGTCACAAGGCGATGAGACCGAAGCGCAGAACCTCTGCCGATATTACAGACTGTGTGCACATTCATTTGCCTCATTCGGCATCTCTATAGCAACTTTTGGTGCCCAGCATGGCATTCAGAATTCCGTTTCCTCAGGACTTCTGGCAAGAATACCTTTCCGGCCGGGAAAACACCATACCCAACCTGCCTGTCGTGACGGACATCACCAAGCGAGTCATCCGGATCCTGGGTGGAAATGCTGGTCCAATGCGACTGCAGGGGACGAACACGTATCTTGTTGGAACAGGCAGATCTCGTATCCTCGTGGACACCGGTCAGGTACGTCGTTTTTGTACACCAAACTTGCGCGTGAAGCCAAACCGCTCACATAACCGACCTGTGTCAGGGCATGCCCTCATGGATCCGAGATATCACCAAAGTCCTCGAGGAGCGCGATATCGACGTCTCCCATGTCCTCCTCACCCACTGGCATGGCGATCATACAGGCGGCGTCCCCGATCTCATAGCCTACAATCCAGCATTCTCCACCCGCATATACAAGAACCGACCCGACACCGGACAGAAGGATATTCTCGACGGCCAGGTCTTCCGCGTTGAGGGCGCCACTCTCCGCGCCGTGCACACACCAGGCCACGCCGCCGACCACATGTGCTTTCTATTCGAGGAAGAAAACGCCCTCTTCACGGGCGACAACGTGCTCGGGCATGGCTACTCGGTCGTGGAAGACCTGGGACAATACATGGAGAGCATGGAGCAGATGGCCAATTTGAAGCTCCCGCTCGGCTACCCAGCGCACGGGGCAGTGATCGATGATCTTCCTGCTACAATGCGTGAGTACATCAAGCACAGGGAGTTCCGGGTGCAGCAGGTTTTCGCGATACTCGAGGAGAGCAGAGCCGCAGGGCAGGGACGGGGACGGGGCGGCTTGACGCTACACGAGATCATCTTCGCGATGTACGGGGAGACGTCGGACGAGGTTGAGAAGGCTCTTGCGCCGTTCTTGAGTCAGGTCTTGTGGAAGCTTGCTGAGGATCGGAAGGTGGGATTTGAGCCGGGGAGTGCTGCGAAACGGCGGTGGTATGTTAGTTCACGCCGGCCGAATTGATGGGGTGTGCTTTTGCCATCTGTCATGTAGTCATTAGATTGCTTCCATTTATGCAAACGTCGTTCCTATTGCCATAACTCAATCCTGTCAAGGCCTAAGAACAAACTACTCCCGCATCTTCTGCTTCTCCGCAATCTCAACCCACTCACTAATCGGCCGATGAAGTTGATAAAACCTCTGTTTCGACCTCCTCACAGCATCAGTGCACCGTCTCCAAGACTTGTCATAATACTTCTTAATCGCCGCCTGCATATCCTCCTTAGATCTGGCCCAGATGCCTTGCAGTAACTTCGCCAACTCAATCCCGTCGAGAATCGCATGATTTCCGCCCTCCCCGCCAAAAATCGGCATCGCATGCCACGAGTCACCTACAAAGACGACTCCCCTCCGCGAGCAAGAATCCACATCGCTCCTCTCCATCGACACACACCTTATCAACCAATTGAACACCCTATGCCCACGCATCGCCTCTCCGTTCACGAACAGCGACCACGGCACTCCCAATTGTTTTGCATTGATCTCCTCAATCAGCGCTTCAGGAATGACTTTCGCTTCCTCGGACGTGATTTCTGGGTTAAAGAGCGGGTCATTTTCTACACTGGGTCGCGAGTACGACCAGTCCATGTGCACCGTTGTCGACGTGATATTGCAGACCGTCAGCGGGGTATTGAACCCGTCGCCGACGCCCCCGAGAATCGTTGATTCCCCCGCGTGAGGCCGGACGACGCGCTCGTAATCGTCCCGGCTGAGCTTGAAGTCACCGTGGTAGACAAGGACAGGTAGGATCTCGGGTTTTGCGCTCGGCACGAGTAGCGTGCGGACGGTCGAGTGGACGCCGTCCGCGGCGATGAGGAGAGAGCCTGTGTACGTGGCGCCATTTGCGAACTCGGCCGTTACCAAGTCCCCATCCTCACCGTCTCCGCGCAGTTTCACACCCACAAGCCGATGCCCATACCGCACATCAACCTCCTCCTCGCCCCCGGCATCCGCATCCGCAATCCACTGCCTCAGAGCATCGCGGTTCGCGCGCAGGATGGACGGCTTGTCCTTCGACTCTCTCGGCGGCATCATGATGATTTCTCCCGTCTGGTTATTGCGCCATGACTGGTCGAGCCAGCCCCAGCCGCCGATGTGGCGGTCCGGTGCGACGCCGCGCGTGAGACTAGACAAGGGGAGGTTGCCGAGGGCTTTGAGGAGGGTATTGAAGCCCCAGTCGCGGAGAGATATGGCGTACCCTTGTGTGCGGGAGGGAGGGGAGGCTTCGAAGACGATGCAGGGGATTCCGGCGTTTGTGAGGAGGCGGGCGGTTGTTAGGCCTGACAGGCCGGCGCCGATGATTAGAATGGGTGGCGTCATTGCGTTCAGCTTGATTGTTGTGTTGAGATCCAGGGATGCTGGTGTCTGGATAGGGTTGTATTGGGAAGGGAAGACCCCGTAGTAGGATTCGGGGTATTGGAGATTGTTTATCACAAGACAAGATGGATACCTAGACCATGGGTTAAAACCCGAGCGGCAGGTTTGTATCTCGGGTCTTAAGTAGGTACCAGGTACCTTGGGGTAGCTAACGTAGGATTCCCAAAGCCGCTATAATTATCCGGGATGTTCAGGAGGTTTCCATGGTGAGTTGCCCACGAATATTGACAACTAATATCAGAAGCCAATGGTGGAAATCCAGACGTTCCTCTTGTGGCATATAGCTTGATGGTCACACAAAACCCTCCTAATGAATCACGCCATAAGACGCAACATGCGTCTATCGGCTTACGGTACAACAGACCGTTAGCTAGGCCATCAACCCGGCGTGACTTCGGGAAACAAGCCGTGCTAAGAAGATTACCACATACCGCCCCAAATAGTTTGCAGGGGGGTGTTGAAGGCGAATTCTTCAAGGTCCTCAGGTTTGCCGTTTGATTCGAGGGAAGCTTGTGCGCAGCTGGGGCCATGGAATGTGCGGCAGTCGTCGGTGGTCATCAGGATTCTATAACGGATTTGACTGAGACGATATGTAGCCCTAGGGTGACAATTGAAGCAACCGAGGGACCGAGCTCTAAGTATGTGCTCTATATATGTGGACGCCATCACGAGACATATTCTTGCAAGTAGAGTGCTGTATTGAGGGTGGGCCGTTGTTCCTAGTCCGCGACTCCAACCATGCCGTTCAAGCGCGACCACGGCCCTTTTGAACGCTTTTCAGCCCGAGCCAGTCTGGCCGAGGACCTAGTGGCCCGAGCTTCATGCGCCCATATATCGCTGTTTTTCTGATCCTGCTCACCTTCGAGAGCTTCCTCTAGGTCCTGGTTAAGCAGGCTATAGACTTTCTGTAGCTCCTGTTCGGCACGGTCTGCACGTTCATTGCCATCTTCAACCTTTTGTTCCACGTAGTCCTTCTCGCCGGACCCGGCCGCCGAGGATGCAAACGCCCATGCCTCGGCCATGTTCACAATTTCGTCCTGCTTTGCGGGGTCTGCTTGGCTGGCAGCATTTCGGTTGTTGAGTGCTGCTGTCGCGTGCTTGAAGCGAGGTTGACGAGCAAGAATCGGATATTCAGGAAGAAGGTGGCTTTCATCACTCAAGCGATTGAGCATACGCATCGCGGTGCTTTTTTCCTTAGCAAGCATGCCAGACAGGTAGAATTTTTGTAGGGCTAGTGCCCGCTGAGCTTTAGAAACAGGGTGGAGAACATCGCTAGCATAAGACTGAACTTGCAAAGGTTCTATCGGTGGCGCCTCTTCTGAAGAAGATGGGCGATGATCCAGAGTTCGCGGTGAAGGCTTGGTGGAGGCTGTCGAAACCGGCTGACATGCTCGAGCAGCTGCTTCTAGTAGGCGCTTGCGAGTTTCAGTGTAAATTGCATACTGCTGTATAATGCGCACCCTCTGTTCTTCGAGGATACGAGCAGACTCCTCGATCTCTTCAGCAGGCAGTTCCCGCATAGGAGGTTCTTCACTGTTCCCACTTCCGACAAGCTTATCCTCTACCCATTGTATAAGCTCATCTCGGGTTTTCTGGAGAGCCACAGCCTTCACAGATGGGACGGGTTCTTCTGTCCTGCTACCTTCGGTCACGGCCCGAGCTTTTAATTCTGCATATAACCTCTTCTCCTGGTCTAGTTGAGATTTAGCGCGGATGACTGCCCTCTCCAGTTTATGCACAAGCTCCTCGACATCACCGGGTACAGCGCCGTTGCCTTCATTCTCGACTTCGAACTCTTCAAGCAATGCGGTTTGGTTTCGGCCATCCTGATTCTCAAAATCTTCGAGTCGGAGGCTATTGCGGTTTTGTAGCTCGTGGAGATAATGTTCAAAGACTTGGAGCTTCGCGTGTCGTCGCCGATCACGGACGAGTCGAAGGTAAGCCTGCAACTCTGAGGAGCTGTCTGGAAAGGGTCTCCCTGTCCCAGTTCCTCCAGAGCGCTGCGCAGACACTTTATCGGCTATTGATTGCCTCTGCTTCCTTGCGGCCACATTCGCTTGTAGCGCCTCTAAGTATTCCTTCCTCAATCCCGTAAACTCCGTTGGTATCCGCTTCACGTCCGACACCGCATTGTCCGAGACACATAGCGCGAGGTGGGATTGGGAGAGATAATCCGGATGCTCGGGGTCATTATCGACGAAGGTTATGTGTGAGCGGAGATATCTTGTCAATGCTTGTCGAATGCGAAGAGCTTCCTGGCGACTCTTGATGTAAGGAGCGAGAGGCTTTGCGAAGGGAGGAATGTCGGAGGTGTCCGTAGCTGGTGCAGGTTCGTTATGAGGGGCCATGAGGGGCGGGAAAGAGGTCAGGAGCTCTAATCAGCTGGAAAGAGCTGGAACTGAGCTCTGACGCAAAGCACCCTCAATCTGAAACGCCAATTATGCCGCGATTCACCATCAATTCCCTCTTCAGATGATCACTGTTTGGTTGACGGTGTAGATCCTGATTACTAAGCTGGCTCGGCTCACGTGGTGCCCTCCCTCCCTCCGTTGCAGCGGGGTTTTGGTCGAGGAACTCTCGTATCTACTCCGTACACTGATAGCTACGATAGCTGATGGTTGATCTTAATTCAGATTACTCATGGCTCTGCAATATATATGCGAGGTTACCTAAGATGCAAGTGCTCCTGGCCAACGGCTTCAAGACATTCATCCCCACCTCCGCATGGGCCTTGTCCTGCATATGGAGTAGCTATGCGATGCGATGGTCGTAACATAGCAGGCTCTAGACTGCTGGAGCCTGACGATAAGTCCATGCTTCTCTCTGCGGATGCTGCAGCAGGGAGGCATGCATTATCTACATAAGAAACCACGGCTGTCGGCCATGTCCCTGATGATCCTCCCGATATAAATATCTTACCGAGTGCTAACTGCTGAATACTGACATGATGGTCTATCCAACGGAACGTAAGAGATGTCGACTCTGATAAGGTCCAATACTAACCGGGGGAGATATCTTTGTTTGAACGAGACTTAAACGATTGTGCATGGAATATGGATGCAGAACAAAGCCAACCATTGAAGATTGCTGACAGGTCTTGTGCATTCCCTTTGTTCTCTTTTCTGTCCCTGGCATGTTCCCAGTGTTAAATTCTATCAAGGGGCTGCCTGCAGGGCTCTTGTCCGACTCATCATGGGCTATCATCCCTCTATTCATGATCCCCCTTGAACCCCGAGCATAGATTGAGCTGCCTACTTGCTCGTCATATTTCACTTAACCATCTTCCTTCTACCCTGTTCCGCAGTCGTCGCTAGAATGTCTCCAAAAATCGTCCAAGACACTTTCTCACATCCCAGAGTAAGACCACGTGCAGCGACAGACATGAACAAACCAGCCAGGACATCGCCCCTATCGTCTCGACAATCGTCGCAAGCAACGAGTCCTCTGGTTTCAGGATGTCGAAGCCCAGATTCAGGGAGCCAAGCCGGTGCTACCTTCCATGCGCGCGCAAGAGCAACATCCGGTAGTACTTCGGAGCATGCTCTCCGCAGACGCATTTCACTAATATCACTGCACAGGGCCCCTACGCCAGCCAAAACCCCTCTCACCCTCTGAAATCCATTCAATACTAGAACAGGAACAGGAGGCAATGGTGAGATACAAACCGCATCCCTTGAAACCCCTTGTTTAATCCCCCGTTATTAGGTCAACCGTCTGTCAAGAGAGCTCTCGCTCCTCCGCCATCAAACATCCTCCGTCGCCTCAACAGCCTCGTCCACCTCGACCACGGTCAACGAACCGGTCGATACACTCCACGGGTCGACCTACATAGCCGGACCTATATACCCTACAGCATCACGGCGCCACCGGTCATCCTCAAGCTTGAGCGCCTCACACTTCCCAGTGATTCAAGGGTCAAGGACTAATGGGCGGAGCCGGCGGCCGTCTCTTGTGTCTCCTCGGTCCCAGAGCCTCATATCAATAGCATCCCAACCTCAAGAAAGAAAACGTGATGTATCAACACATGTTGCGAACACCTCACGCTTGTATACGCGTCGAGACTCATTCTCACAGCGACGAACCCCATCTGGGCCAACCGTGCGTCGTTCAGACGAGTTGGCTCCACGAGGAGATGTGGACTCTCTTATTCAGGAAAACGAGGTATTGCGGCAGCGCATTCGAGATCTTGAGCTCGAACTCAGCATCCAGAAAAACAAACCAGATCCTTCGGAGGATTGACGTGGTCTTGTTCCGCTATCCGAGTTCCGAACATCAGCCACAATAATGCACTGCGTTCAATGCATCCCGATAACTGATAAGGACAGTGTGGCACGACCTTCATTGGAACATTATTTGTTCTCTCGTTTTCTCTCCTCTTCCCCCCTTGATTAGACAAACTATTTTTATCAATTCTACTGCCTTCTGGCCCTTGTCTCTCACAATCTAAAATGTATCAACCTGACGCGTTTTCACATGAAAGGCTGGCTGCCCCACTGGCCGTGGCTGTGCTCCAAGCCCACGTCATAGATATTCGTGGCGTCATGATGGAATAAATACCCCGCGACCACTCTGTTCCTGTTCCTGTTCACCACACGTTTTCTTCGATCCGCAACCACTTGGTCCACCTGTCCAGTTTCTCATCTACATCTACGTCTACGTCTACATCCCCAAATCAGCTTTTCATCATCAAAATGTCTGACCGTACCACCGTCCACGTCTCGAACATCGACCCCTCCACCTCGGAGAAGGAGGTCCAGGACTTCTTCAGCTTCTGGTATGCAGCCAAGCCCCCTTCAGTCAGGAGAGTTCTTCTAACGACCCCAACAGCGGCAAGATTGTCAACATCTCCGTCACTCCCACTTCCGGCGAGCCAGGCTCTCTCAAGTCGGCAACCGTGACATTCGAGAAGGATGCGTAAGTCTACCCCGCACCACCTCCACTGCATGCCGTCTTTAATTAACATGCAACAGTGCCTCCAAGACCGCCCTTCTCCTCGACCAGACCCAGCTCGGCCCTTCTGTCGTGACCGTCAAGGCCGCTCAGACCCTGGACGAAATTGCCGGAGAGCACAGCGCTACCGCGGGTGAAGCCAAGGATGAGAACAACAACGACCTCGAGCAGGAAGACAAGCCCCGCTCCCGCATTCTCGCAGAATACCTTGCCCACGGCTACACCATCAGCGACCACGCTATCCAGAAGGCCATTTCCATCGACCAGAAGCATGGCTTCACTTCTCGCTTCACCAGCGTCCTGAACAACTTCGACAAGAAGACCGGTGCTACTGACCGCGCCAAGGGCCTCGACGAGAGCTACAAGATCAGCGACAAGGCTGCCAGCAGCTGGCGAGGCCTGCACAGCTACTTCGAGAAGGCTGTCAACACTCCCACTGGCCAGAAGCTGCGTGCGTTTTACTCTCAAACCGACAAGCAGGTTCGCGATATCCACGCTGAGGCGAGGAGACTTGCGGATCTCAAGGCAGGCAAGACCGAGGAGAAGAAGGCTGAGGGCGAGAGCGCTCCTACCACTGAAACTGCTCCTGCTCCCATTCCTGGCGTTGAGCCTGCTCCTGCCACGACCGAGAAGGCGTAAGGGAGATATACCCAGCTTGATCTATTGTATTCAACATTCAACCATGGCCCATGTCACGTTATCATGACCTTCGCGATTGTGTTTCTAGCTAGCATGACGTCACTTATTATCTGTTCATGTTCATACTCTATTCCCCTTCGTTGGCTGTCTGGAAGAGAAGCTTCTAAATTGAGCTTAATGACATTTTCATGATTTACCTGCCATATATTCTCCCAAAGTTTTCTTTCTCTTGTAATACTCTCAAAATCATTGCTATAAAAGTTGCAACAATACGATACGACTCTTCCTTTTACGGCCACCTCCTCTTAATCAAGACCAGTGTGTTTATCAGCTACTTTATATATACGGTCATGACCATTAGCACGAATACTAATATGAATGCACTTTTAACTATAATAGAGCAGATGTACTCTGCGAACGTTGCTAAGAAATCCTTCTTCGAACATATCCACCACAAACTCACAACCCAATGATCTCCCTCCCTACTCTATAGTCCTCCTACATCAACATCTACACAGAGCCCAAGAATAAATAAAAAGAGCATCCATTATCTCAACCCACACACAAAACAGGTAGTAGTACAAATCAAATCATGACATCATCACTAGAAAACCCCGCTTAGTTCCCCGTCCCCTTCGTGTACTTCGCGTTCTCAATATCCTCAAGGATATGCTTGGGGTTACTGCTCAGGCCCGCAGTCTGGCTTTCCTGAGCGGACCCCTGCGCCTCCGCAGTCTTGGGCGCGTACTCGGGCGGGGGAGCGAACTTGGGGTCTGTGCGGCCGGAGCCGGGGGGCGAGTTCTCCTGGGCGCCGGTCTGACGCTCGGGGGGCGGGGATTGGCGGCCGGAGAACTGGGCGGACATTTTGGTTGAGGTGGTTTTGAAGTTGAAGAGGTTTGAAGTTGGTGGTGGTGGTGGTGGACTGGTTGGTTGGTTAGATTGGTGCGTTGGGTGAGTTGGCTATGGTTATGGGTTTACCTTGGAGGAATGGTTGGTGGTTGTAAGAGGGTAGTCTGTGTAGATGTGATATGGTCTGATAGACTGGGCAATGCAGGGGAGAAGAGGTTTATATATGAGGATGGACTGGAGAACCGATGTCAGTGTAGACTGGTCGTCATCATCATGACGTTGCGGGTCTAGTATCGCAAACTATGGAAGAGCAGCAAGAGCTTCTCCACAAGAGCTGTACTGTTGCATAATGGCGGATCACAGTGCCCCTGGGCTTCTCCGAAAAGAAACAGCCGGTGTATGATTGACAAAGGCTCGGAAGTATGACGCGTGGTACCCTTCACTGTTTGAAGTATCTCGATCTATATACGTCACGTGACGCTAAGTATCAGGGCTCCAGCGTACGAAGTGGTTATTTCCATGCTTATGCTTCGTCCACTGTCGTCTTCTCTCTGTTTGACCAAGGAGATAGAATTGAAGATTATATTGCTCATGATCATGCCATGGTATATGGTGGAAAAAAGTGAATTGGTTCATTAACTTGGGGGTCGGGGGTCGGGGGTCGGGTCGGAGGATAGGTGGTGAGACAGGGCAAAGGGACTTTTGACAAGATTCGTAACCAATAACGCATGTGTCATGAGGGTAAATGGCAAGGAAATGGGAGATAAAAAAAAGTAAATCTCGCGACAACATTCTAAACAGAAAAGAAAACAACAGGCATAGGTCGCGTTATGGCAGCGCCAATGCAGTGGCCGCTTGACAGTCGACACAAACCAAAGAGCATGTGCCCAAAAAATCGAGACGCCGAAGAGGCATGACATAAACATTGCATCCTTTATATCATAGACTATGTTTTGCTTCCAGAGCCAACATGACTATAGCGTCGGCTACCGGTTGCTGTTCATCAACGTCAGGATCTATTGATTCCCATTGGCTTGAAGGGCAGCTGCTTTGGCGGCCTCTTCGTTGGCCGCGGCCAGGGCCTTTGCGTCGGCTTCGTGGAACACGGACTCAATGATCTTCTTTTCTTCGTCGTTAAGAATATTCGTCAGGTTTTCGTAGAGCTGGGGTTGTTGTTGTTGGAGGTCTAATACCCAATTAGTTCGTGTCTCATACAGGATTAAAGTGGTACATACTCATGAACACCTGCTTGAAAAGCCCATATGGTTCGACCTTATCTAGAGGAGTCTCGAGTAAGCTTTCCTCGTCAAGCTCGTCATCATCGTCGTCTCCGGCGAAAGAGCCAAACTTCTGTGCCTAGCGGTATGTTAGTTACGAATTTGAAAAAATGAACGAGTTTTACTCACCTCCTTGTTCAGGAAGTCTAGATACGCAGCACTCTCGTCAGGAATGTCACCCTCCGGGCCGCCCTCGTCTTCGCCCTCAGCCCACTCAACTTCACCCTCCCAGTCGTTACCCTCGTCATCCTCGTCCTCTTCTTCGTACTGGAAGTCCGACTCCTTGGTCGCCTCTTGTCGGTCTGCAAGATGTTAGTTTCAGTATTGATAGCGAAATGAGAGATACATACTCTGGATAGCGGCGGGCAAAGTGTGGAACAGCCTAGTCACTCCCTGAAGCAATCTAGGCCATCCCTGCTGGACGCTTGTAGGAACATCGGCAGGATTCAGGGTGAGCAGGGAAGTGATAGCGACAATGGACAGTGTCTTGTCGTGGACACGTCTGAAGCCGTCGATAGTAGAGAACCAAGCGCTGAAGAACTTGTTGGTCCAGCCCTTGGCCTCAAGGACTTGGAGAGTGAGAACGGGGTTGTAGTAGATGGCATTGATGACCATCTCCATCAAATGGAGACGGTAGGATTTCGTACGCGCCTCTCCAGCATCGATGACACGCATCGCAAGCTCGATGAAGACAGGGATGTACTGGTCGACGTAGCCGCGCAAGTTCAGCATAACAGTCTCGGCAAGCTTGCAACCGCAGATCCGGTCAACACCGCCGACCTTCTCGTCACGGAAGATGTCCTCAACCATACCGACAATCGCGGCAAGGTATGCAGGGTTCTGAACAAGCGTCTGGGAGCCGTACGCCACGTAGTTATCGAGCGCAGGCAGCATGTCCTCCAGGTAGAGCTCAGCTCCGGCCTTGAACGTCTTGTGGATGAGCTCAAAGGCTTGCCACATTGTCGGAGAGATTGATTTCGAGGCGAATGTGCAGCTGTCAATAATCTCAAACACTTCGTTGTAGAGGTCGTAGAGCTTGTTCTCGAGAGTGATGCTGATGACGGGCATAAGGACGGTTTCAAGGTGCATAAGTACGTCAGGTGTGCTCTCCAGAGTAAGGATCAATGTGCCGATAGTCTGCAAGACACCAAGAGCTGTGATACTCTTGTCGTCTAAGAAATCACCATATTGGTCCTCCTCGCCCTTGGCAGCGTTCCTTTCCAGGAGCTCGCCAACGATACGCATGTAGGTATCACGCAGCTGCTCACTCAGAGCAACGGCGAAAGGCGTCAACTCAGCGGAGAAGACCTCAACGAAGTCCTCCATAACATTAGCCAAAGCGTCAACATCAACTTCGTTGGCGAGCTTGAGAAGCTGCTGCATAATCTGCGGGATGTTCTGCTGCATAGAGGTACGGATGACATCGTGTCGAATGAGAGGCTGGAGAGCAAGAGCGGCCTCCACACGGACAGGCAGCTCAGAGTCTGTCATGGATTCGAGGATGTTCCGGTAGATAATCATCAGGTTGTTAGGATCCTGGAAGTCGAGCGCTTCAAACTTCTCCAATGTGTCGCAGGCACGCGCACGGAGGAAACCGTGGGGGCTACGGAACTCGGGGAAAACGTGACGGACGAAGAAGTATTCAACCTGGTCCGCGATGGGGCTCTTCTTGCCCAGAATGACAGAAGCCAGAGATCCGATCATGCGCAGGGCACCTTCCTTCTCCCTCGGCAGCTTTTGGTCATCCGGAGCAGCCTCGTACTTGCTAACGACACCGTTGACAAAGGTAAGGATGGAGAAAGTCTGCTTCTTGCGGTTCTTGGTGAGGGTTATCAGGAAGTTTGTAGCGGCAACATCGGGCGCGGAGACCTCCTCGTAGTAGTTCAGCTTTCGGTGAAGGTATTCGGATGGGTCTGTCTCGAACAGCTCGATGTCCTCGTCGCTCTGGCACAGAATAGGGAAGACGAAGTGGGCAATCAGGTTCTCCATGTGCGGCTTCAGGTGATCCCACATTGACTTGGGCTTGACGCACTCTTCGAAAAAGATCATAGTGTACGAAAGTGCCGGGTTGCTCAGCCACTGGCCCTTGGAAACGTATTTATCAATCTCCTGCAGGTATCCCTTGAGGATCTCCGGTGCGAATGTTGTAATGAACGACTTGGCAAACTGGGAGTAGTCTGGGGTGCTGGACTTCGTCATAGTCGTGGGGTTTCCGTATCTGAGCATCACTGTTAGGAGAACTTGATTTACCACAGGCAAAACTGGTATACACACCTGATGAAGAGGCGGTTAAGGTTGGCATATGCCCACTTCTTGCACTTCCACCAGTGGGCCAATTCTCTCTCCTCCTTGGATTCCATCATGGCGTTCGCTGGAGGCTCCTTGGCGATAATTCGCAGGAAAAGAGTACACCAGTCGACTGTCGCCTGATGCGATTGCAGATGCGGTGAGAGCTCGAACTATCCATTTGTCAGTTCACCCATCCCGTGCACGTATCGACTATCCAAATGACCCACGTAAATAGCATGCTTGTATGATTTCACCACGATGCGGAGCATCTCCGCCGCCTCCAAACTCTCCTCATCCACTAGTTTCGATCCGATGTTGAGTAACTGAGGGAACGAGTGCTCAATGATCTTGTCAAATTCCTCCCGTTTGTCCCCGGCCTTGAAGCGGTATACACGGCAGATGGCTAGCAAGCACTGCAGACCGGCGTAGACAGAACCGGCATCATTCGTGCCAAGCAGTTGCATCGTGATATCCAGGAACCCAGGCCATTGTTCGGGGAAGTCATGTTGAAGGATCTTCTGGAGCAGAGGGACGAGCTGAGCGCGAACGTTCGGAGGCGTAGAGGCCAAGGCTGGAATCAGCCTCTCGCGGAAACCGGGCTTCTCCTCCTCGGCAATCGGTGCACGTAACGGGCTATCCTCAATAGCTGACCATCCTCGGTTGATACGGTTCTTCAGGTAAACACCCGCTGCCGGTACCTTCCAGTTAGTAAAGGCGGGGTCCAAAATAGGGACTAGCGGGGTAAGGCAGCAGAGTCCAAAAGCTCCAGTCCGTAGACCCCAGGGGAGGGATGTGTCGACACAACGTACCCGACAGCTGAACGGCGTTGACCTGCTCCCCCTGCAGGATATCCAAAAGAGCATTTATGAAACCTGGCTGCGTCTCGGCCTATGAACGGAAGAGGGATGGTCAGCAAGCATAGCACAGACGTGTCTCCGCAACAAAGCACATACATATTTCAGGTCAATTTCCGCCTGCCGTCTGATATCGGCATTGGCATCTAGTGTGGACTGGATGCGGTTCCGCAGGGCTGCAACATCCATCTCGCTCCGGCAACGACCCCCTGGTTGCAGAAATCAAGAGTCAGAAGAAAAAGAAAAGCCCCGTTACAAAGTGATGAGATACGCGGGAGTCAGAGGCCACGAAGAGGGGGAGATAAGAGGAGGGATCAATAAGATTGAGGAGACCTCAAGCACTTTTGGTTTTCTTTCTCTCGTGGATTTTCAGGCGGTGTTGGCCCCGCGTCTAGGGCAGCGAATCAGACCGCCTGCCGCCCCGCGCGGTAAGAGAATTTTTGTCAAAGGCGATTGCGCCAGCAGAGTTTACGGCTGCTTGGTTTTTCTAACAAAGCCGATGATCATCCCATGTGGTTATCTTAGTAATGCTCCTCGCATGATCTGTGATTTACATTGTTCTGCGGTCTACTAGCGTGGTGGTGCCTGATCCCTGCAGTCTTGCAGTCACGAATTCTTCTGGCAGAAAAAAAAATAAAGACCGGCGTTGCCCACGTGGTTTTCCGACACAAGGGAACCATATCTATTCGGCACAAATATTACATACAGGTAGGTCTCTTGATAGCATCTACATATACAGAGACGCTGCGAAGATCACATCCCTCTTGATCTTCTCCTGCGCCTCTTGCATCTTCGCATACAACGTTGGGTCTCCAACCAGCTTCGCCGCATTCTTCACCTCGCGGCAGGTCTCATCCAGTCGGGTAATCGTCCTCACAATAGTGCCCTCCATGACATCCGTGAGGTCCGTGATTCGATTGAACGACATTCCCTTGGCCCACTCGTAGACGACCTCTGCCAATCCAAATCGCGGTTGGCTGGCGAAGTCGTTGATGTCCTCGGTAGACTGAAGGACCTGGTGCTGAATCTGCACGTCGTTTACCTTCTCCGAAATCCTAACAATGGCCTCCTTGCCCTTCTCCAGGCGAGGGGTCAGCGTGGGAACGTTTTCTGTCTTCTCTTGGAACACAAAGGCGGACAGCAGCGCGACTATCTCCTCAGGCTCGTATTCAGCGAGGACATTTTCCAAGATAAGCTCCGTCAAAACGAGCTCGTCCGCGGAATGAATCTAGGGAATGTCTTAGTACATATTCGTAAAATGATTTGCTCAAATACTTACCTCACAAGCTACCTTCCCTTTCAGCTGCACACGGGACTGTTCGTCAACGAAGCCTAGGTCCTTCAATACTTGGATACGCTGCTCGTAGTCGGGAAGGAGCTGAAGGTTCTGATCCGACATGAGTTGCTTCAGTTGCGAAATGTTCTCCTTGATTTGCCACTCATCGCGTTGCATCTCGAACTAGAGGCCTGTCAGTGTGGACCGTCTCGCCAGGGGAGTTTTATGGACATACGTGTTTCAGGAAGTTGGGACATTTCAAGCAGTCGCATGACTGGGCGATACTAGCTTGATCGCGACGCTTATCCAGTATGTCCCTCAGCTGGAGCTCTTTGATTCGAGCCCAATCTAGCTCGTCCCAGACCGGTGTGGTCCATGAAGAGCATAACTTAGAGAGCTCCTTGTCTGCAAATCGCATCGCCTCTACAACGAAGGTCAGCCACATCCCTTTACCAGATACGTTCCAACCAAACCTTTTTTGATGTTGAGGTACCACGTTGGGCCACTAAGCTTGACTATCGTATTGGTAACACATTCGATATCCGTAATCGGGATCTTGAAGACTTTGAGCGTCATATCAGCAGCACGGGTTGGGAGAGGGTTCAAGAATCCCCGGAACGCTGGTAGGAATGGGAGAATCTCGCTGGGATGACGCTTGCTGGTCAGTTTGCCGATCTCGAGGATTTGTATGACCGGGTTGGCGCCTCCTCCGACCTCTCGGACAATAACACCTGCCGTTCGGTATCCATCCTGCACAATGGTTAGCAATTGAGCTGGTTTATTGTGGAGGATCGTCCAATCACCTTCTGGTAGACAACCAAACGCTTCGGCATAAGAAGGCGTTTGCCGACAGGCGACGAGAGGAGGTTAAGATGCAGCTCGCTTGTCAGCTTTGCGTACTCGATGGAAGCGTCATGAGAAGTTGCGATATCAACATCGCAAATCTCGCACGGCTCTCGTTTGATCTTTTCCAAACTAGCTTCTGAGAGTTGCACCTGTTTCTCGTGTTCTGGGAGCAAGGCCTGCGTAGCATTCTCGCTGAAACTTCTCTTGATCATCTCTTCAATTTTCAGCGCCTCTACACGCAGCAGGTTCAGAATCATGTTGTATGTAAGCCTGAACTGAGATCGAAGTTTAGTTGGGTCACCAAGAATCATCTTCCTTAGTGCACCAGCAGGTGGTGCCTCGTCCCTGCCGGAGTTGACGACAATCACATAGCCGACGTTGTCAAGACCTCTGCGGCCAGCACGTCCCGCCATTTGGGTATATTCACCAGGCAGGAGATCCCTAAAACTCTTACCATCGTGCTTACGGAATCCAGAGAAGACGACCGTACGAGTAGGCAGGTTCAGGCCCATGGCAAATGTTTCTGTAGCAAAGAGGACTTTGACCAGGGTCTTTGCGAACAAGATCTCGACAATCTCCTTCATGATCGGTAAGAGTCCACCGTGGTGGACAGCAATTCCTCGGCTCAGCAATTCGCGAAGTCGAAGAATCTGAGGCAATGTCCTGTCCTCCGCCTTGAGCCGGGTAAGGGACTTCTCAATGGTCATGTGGATAAGACTCTTCTCAGCAGCATTGCAAAAGTCTTGATTGGACAATGAGTCGGCATTCTGCTCGCATCTTTTCTTGGAAAAGACGAAGATACAGGCCGGCAGCAAGTTCTCCTTGCGCAAATGTTGCACGACTTGTACCCAGACAGTCCTGTCCTGTGCAGCTGTTGTGCGTCCACCGCCTCTCCCGGTACGAGCAATGTTTCCTGTTCCTCGGTTTGCTGGCTGGCCCCTGCCTCGTTGTCCTCCTCCGCGTTGCGCGCCTCCGCCTCCGCCTCCTCTCGGGCCACCACGGCCAGGCGCTTGTCCCCGGCCTCGCCCCTGGGGACCACCTCTGCTTGCTTGAGATTGCGCCTGGGCTTCTGCAGCCTTTTGAGCTTTGAGCTTGTCCTTTCCGGAGATAATATCGTCTGCTTGTTTCCAGCCATTTTCGAGGAATCGTTTGTTGGAGTCGACAATCTTGAATTTGTCCTTTCCTGCCCATAGGTAGTGCTCAAGAGGAACAGGTCTCTTGGCCGTCGAAATGACATAGATGTCCTTCTTCTTCGTTCGGCCCACCCACGACGCAAATTCTTGAGTGTTAGGTACTGTAGCAGATAGAAGAATAAGCGTGACATGCTCCGGGAGCATAATGATAACTTCCTCCCATACGACACCACGCTCAAGATCGTTTACGTAGTGGACCTCGTCGAAGATCACAAATTCGACATCTCTGATGAGGTCCGCTCCACGATAGAGCATACTCCTCAAAATCTCAGTAGTCATAATCAGACAACTTGCTTCGGGGTTGATCTGAACATCACCCGTCAAGATGCCGACGTCGTCGAACTCATTCTTAAAGTCGCGAAACTTCTGGTTGCTCAGCGCTTTGATCGGCGAGGTATAAATCGCCTTTGTCATATGCTTAGCAGCTAATGCAATAGCATACTCTGCAACGACTGTTTTACCGGCTGAAGTATGTGCAGCCACGAAGACTGAGTCCCCATTCTCGAGATGATAGACAGCTTCTTTCTGGAAAGTGTCCAGCTCAAATGGCCACTCGCGGGCCATATCTGGAACAAGTTCGTGGAAATTCGTAATCTCCTTATTGACGTCCACAAGGTGTGCCCATTCCTTGCCTGCTTTTTTCTGGAGGGCTGAGAGGAGCGGAGCTCGCGGCTCTAGGGACGGGAATTCAACCGGTAGCAGGGAGTCGATGTCCTCCTCTTCCTCATCCTCATCGGCAGATTCTTCGTCATCTATTTTCACCCCTCCCACGTCGGATGAAGTTTCATCCTGATCAGGATTGATATTGCTTTCCTCTTGCTGGAGGGTGTTTTCAACTTCCTCGTCCTCTTCTGCGGCTTCTTTCGACTTCGTTTCTTCAAACTTCAGTCCGCGCGAGAATCCAGGGGCGACCTCTAACAATCCGCCCTCGGTTCCAAAATTAATAATCCGGTCCAGTCCTGCCTGCTTCCCAGCAGCTCCTGAAGGTCCGGCCGTCTGAATCTCAGTCTCCATTTCCGCAATCGCCTCAACCCCATCCAAGCCACCAGGGGCAAACGGGAAGAATCCCGCTGCGCCCCTAACAAAATCAGCCCGGCCTGCAGGTCGGCGAAGCAAAGACGTCGAGTTCTTTGCATTGGCGCTGTTGGCGGGGACTGTCACTTCGTGATATCCAGTGACACGGCCCTCAAGACCTTCGCGGTCGAATCGGACAATCGTCCTCGTTTGTGTCCCAGCCACTTCAAAGAGGTCGTTATAGTCCGTTGACACATCCCATCTCCTGATCTTAGAGTTAGCACCCATTGCGCTTAACATCCCAAGATAAAATAAACCCACCTCTGAAGACGGTTCAACCATTCGGAGCTAAATCGAGGCGACGGAGTAAGAAACTCATTCTCCAAATCGCGTCTCACTTGAGCGGCTGATGGGCGCGGTCTGCGCCTAGGTGCGTGATTCTGGTAAGTCCCGTTCTCTTCTTCGGCGATAAGCTCATCAAATGTCTTCCCCCCGATGCCCTGCGAACCCAGGTCGAGATCGGCTAAGGCCGAGCTAAGTGTCTCCATATTAGGTCGAGTTTCGACTAGCGATAGCTTTCCTCAAAAGTCTGATCAACGGCAAGAATGCGCCTCGGCCCAGTCGCTGGTTCTAAGACACCTCCGAAAGTGAGTGCGGTACCTGAACAAGCTGTGAATGGCCGGGGGCGGAAGAGTCCCAGCGATTATACAAGAATTACTCCGAATTATATGGTTCGGAATGGAGGAACTTGAGCTTTCGAAGCAAGGCGCATACCCAAGTCAGAAGCGCGGGCGTATTGGCGGGGTGAAGGTTCAAAGAACAAGAGCTTTCCGCGGCAGCGGAAAGTGACGTTGTGGCCGCGCCTGGTGGAGCCGTTTGCTTGAAGCCCGCCGAATCTATACAGCGAAGCCCGAAGTGAATAATTAACAGATAGCACATGTGCAACTGGTGAATATGGAGGTCATGGTCTAATCTGTATTCTCCGTGAACAATATAAGTTGAATATTTTAGTAACTCGAGACTGATTCCTAGACGCCTCGTATGAGTGCAATAAAAACGGTAAGAACTAGCAACTGTACAATCTACAGCAGTCGCAACACGCGCCTTGTGATTTTGAAAGCACATCGAAATATACACAGTTAGAAGGATTATGATAATAAGGTATCATCAATAACTTTAACCAGCAAGGAGCCTCCCGTCCTCGCGGCAACACCAAACCTGAATTTTTTCCGAAAAACACCGAGTCGTTAGTTGCACCAACTGCTTTTTACGGCCCCGGAGCACCTGATACGGGCAGTCCTCTGCTAGGGGTTAGACCAGACGGGTCTCAAGTCCTTCGGTTACCTGTACGTAATCACTGGGAACGTCTTTCGGTCCATGATGTTAATTTGATATTCAAAAATCCCAGTCACGGTTGCGATATACCTATATGTCGGATTAGTCGGCTCCTATCGGCGTAGACACGGTACGTCTACTTACAGCGATCTCCCATCGACGCCAAACCCAAGTCCGGCGGAGCTGCTTGGATCCGAATCTCGGCGTGCCATGCCGTAGCTACGCTCTGGAGGATCGTTGATGACACTTCGAATCCAACGTGAGGAGCGGCTTTGATCAAATCCAAACGAGGATTGTTGGTTATAGCGCTGCTCACGCAGGCTGTTTCGGCTTAATGCCTCTGCTTCGTTAATAAGTCGCTGTCGTCGAAGCCGCTCCACGGCTAGTATATTCGCTCTCAGATTGTGGGGAACGTCCAAGCTGTTATCTTGCCTTTCAGAGCGTCTATGAACAGAACGAGATCGCTGGTGATTTCTCCCTGGCAGTAAAGGTATACTGCTGGAGTAGTCAAAATTCACCGACGGTCGGGTTATGGTCCCGCGATGCCGACCAGAATTTCCACTCTCATTACTGGAGCCACTTTGGTCACTTGAACTTGAGTCCGTAGTATGAGTTGGATTAGCCAACGTGGCCGACTCTAGCTCCCCTGGCGAAGCAGTCCAGCTTAATGTGATACTCGGTTGTGGATCGGGCGTTGAACTGTCCATGTCCGCGCTTGTGTTTCTCGCGTCAAGATTGCTCTGTGAGAGTATGACAGGCCGAGGTGAAGTAGGACGGGGTGCCCTATTAGCTCCGCTTGTGGGACCTTGATGCCTTGCGCGAGATCCAGAATGTGGATGCGAATTGACATTGCCTCTAGCCAGCCGGTCAGTCAGGCCATCTTCGAACCTCGACGTCCAGCGCGCCGTGTTCAGAAATTCCATGACCAACCTCTCTCTTTCCGTCAAATCCTGTATCATGCTCTCTTGCAGCGTCGATGCATCAGATTCACCTCGCCGATTGACTGCGTGCCCCTCAATTGAGTCAAGAATAGCCCGTGCGTCAAGGTCATGCTGCGATTCGGGAGGTGTTTCGATATCGAGATCAAACCCCAGCCCCGTAGATTCATCAACAATTGGCTCCGTTTCGACTTCTTCAATAGCAGGTTCGTTCATGTCCAGCTGAAGGATTTGCCTGCGGACAAAAGCCTGGCGCACATCCGCAATCCCAGCACGTCCTCTATCTTCGAGCCAAACAAGGAGATCCCAAGGTTCAGGTGCAAAGCTCATACAGCGCACAGCCCCGCCACTGGAGGGAGGTCTTGATGAGTTGAAATAACAGACAATTGGACTCTCATCAGAAGGGCCCATAGAGCGTCCTTGAATGACCCTAACATCGAAGACAGAGATCACTCCAGATTGCGACCCGATAGCGCACAGTCTATTAGATTGAGAAAAGGCAATGGTGAAACAACATCGGTCTTCGATCCTCGGGCCAATCTCCATCTCAATGCAGAGAAGAAGGTCCAAAGCCCAGCCACTCAACTTTCCACCGGCTTCAGCCGAAACCACGGTAGAAAAGTCGCGGGTAAGGCCATAAAAGTATGCGTTAGCTTCATCACCAACCGCAGCTAAGATACTGGAGTCCGGCGAGATAATCGCATAATTCATACACGCCGGGTGGCAGATCTTCTTCAAGACCTTTGAGCGCGTGATCGAATATATCGTCACAGTCTTGTCATTGTTGCTGCATACATCATTAGCAAACTCTGGCCCAACGATGGATATTCATCGTAATACCTAAGCACCGCAACATCTTCGTCCATGAACCCCGTCTCATCACCAGGTAAACGGTGAATGGTCACCGAGTTCACGATGGTACCACCAAATTTATGCAGTTGGACCTCCGGTAGTGGCCTATCACCAGGGCTTGGGTTTATTGTTTCAGCTTCTACGGATGCCCTTGGAGGGCTTCTTTGAGAAGCCACTAGATCGATTGGCAGAGCACTGTCCACATCTGCCGCTTGAGCAGCTGGTGTCTCTCGGAATTCACTCCCGTTGCAATCTGAAAGCTTCACAAAGGCGCACTCGCCATTGGTGGTTCCTCCAATCCCGATCCAGCCATATCCAGCAGCAAGGCACTTGGGCTCGAATGGAATAACAGCGACAGTCTCCCGTTTCCGTGATGAGATATGAATTGAGTAGACTACTCGATCAACGACGACGTATATCCGATCCTGATCGGCGGTACTAATATAATGGCGAAGTTGTTGATGGCTATAGGATGTTAGCCCATGGGGCAGTTCTGATCGAGCCAAGAGTGGGACAGACTAGTTGGGTATTCTGAATGGGAAGAAACGTCGTTTTGTCGGAAGAACGAGGGATTCCGTTGGCTGATACCTAGGTTGGATTAGGCGGCGTCAGCACAGAACAGCAATTCGGGAGGGGTTGTAGGTAGGACTGAGAACTGACGACAGGGTACTATCCGTAGTCATGATGAGAGTCGGTCAAAGCCACACATTGTTGTTGGCAGCTAGAAAGAAGCGCCGCTGTTGTCGACGCAGTGGTAACAAAGCAACAAGACGACAGCAATAACAGTAAGCTTTGAACTCTAGGACGGCGATAGTCTCGTTCTAGAAGAACGGATGATTGGCGTGTGGTGGACCTCAGGAAGTCAAGATACCTGGAGATAGGCACGGGCCAGCTCACCACCTGCAGCTATGTTATTAGCGTAGGGTTTGATTTTTCCTGTTGCTTCCCACTTTTTCCCTGGTTGCAGGTGAATATAGGAAATGATGAAAGAGAGATGAGAAACGGAACCCATTCCCTGATTGTCCTCACAAGACATTTCTTGTTAGAGAACGGGCTCAGAGCCTAGGAGCGAAGGCCATGGTCGGGGGATGACGTAAGACATCTGGGGAAGGTCGAGTAGGGTCTCGAGTCCCGTTCATTGGTGCCCAGCGTGGTGTGATCTCTTCAAGTCGGCTTGAAGTCTGTTCTATAGGTCCACGAGCCTCGTCACCTGGCAATTGGTGATTTAAAATGTAGAAAACAGTAACTACTATACAGATTTCCTGCAGGGCAACCTCGGAGGCCAAACAAGAGGAATATGGTCCAGTGGTCAACCTGCAAATACTGCCATAAACATGGAAGGTGTATCCATTTTAGATTATATCTATCGTACCATGTTATGTTTCGCTCTCTAACTATGTACTTTACGGGGAAAGGATGATGTCTTCAACCCACGTTGGATATATATATCAAGCGCGGAGTGTAGGCAGAATACGGGGATAGAGAATTAAATAAAAATGCAATGCAAGCTCGGCGATTCAGGCCACAGTCCTTAACCCAACTATTAATGGAAATTGCCAGACACTGCTCTACGGAGCAGAGCATTTTTGCCTATTGAGAGCGGCCTGTAGTGGCAAGTGAGGCTGTTCTTTGATGTCTACCGGCTATAACGGAGCAAAGGCAAGGCCAAGCCTCGGCCAAACCACCTCTGAGTCACGTGGACACAGACTTTGCCCTTGATATCGAGAAATAGACCATGGTCTTGATGCTCGAATGAGTTATATGCATATAGTATACCTCACAATAGACAACCATCGCCCAGATATAGGGGAGGAGGCCGGCATCGCGTGCCTTGAGACCTTCTTGGAAGCTGCTAGTATCTACTCCGTACTTTGAGAAGTTGTGGAGCTGGCAAGATCGGCTGCCAGGCGGTCTAGATGTATATACTCTCATTGGCTAAACGGTCTGATCATTTCTATGAGTTTCCTCTGGCTTCGCCCTATTCAGGCCTAGTTCAAAAGGTCTTCGACCACGGCCCGAAGCTCTCCGGTAGCTCTTCTTTTCTTGCCGTCCATCTCCCTTCCTCTAGCCAGAAAAATCTTCCTCGTCTCTACTATCTCTCTCCATCATACCCCCATCCTATCCATCCTTTCTTCCCTCCCGATTGAATCGATTGGAGTGTGTCCTATAGCCGTTTAATTTCTGTATTATTTTATTTTTTGTTCTTTCTGCTCATATTCCCATCACAATGCTCTCATCTCGTCTCTCACGCGCGGTATGCTCTCATCCCGGCACACCTGCAAACCACGACTTCGAAACTAACTTTCCTTCCAGCTCCCGCGCACTGCTCCTTTCGCCCGTGCCCCCGCTTTCAGACTCCCCAGCGCCGCTACTCGGAGATGGAACTCAACGGAAGAGAAGGTGAAGGGCCAGGTCATCGGTATTGACTTGGGTACCACCAACTCTGCCGTTGCTGTTATGGAGGGCAAGACCCCCAAGATCATTGAGAACGCCGAAGGTAAGTCCCCAGTTTCCGCAGCTCTGCGCGGTGAACCTATCTAATCAGCGAAAAGGTGCTCGCACGACACCCTCCGTTGTCGCTTTCGCCCAGGACGGCGAGCGTCTCGTCGGTATCGCCGCTAAGCGTCAGGCTGTTGTCAACCCCGAGAACACTCTGTTCGCCACCAAGCGTCTCATCGGTCGCAAGTTCACCGACGCTGAGGTCCAGCGTGATATCAAGGAGGTCCCCTACAAGATTGTCCAGCACACCAACGGTGACGCCTGGGTTGAGGCTCGCGGCGAGAAGTACTCTCCTGCTCAGATTGGAGGGTTTGTTCTCAACAAGATGAAGGAGACCGCTGAGAACTATCTCAGCAAGCCCGTCAAGAACGCTGTCGTTACCGTCCCTGCCTACTTCAACGACTCCCAGCGTCAGGCCACTAAGGATGCCGGTCAGATTGCTGGTCTCAACGTCCTTCGTGTCGTCAACGAGCCCACCGCCGCTGCTCTTGCCTACGGTCTTGAGAAGGAGGCTGACCGCGTTGTCGCCGTCTACGATCTTGGTGGTGGTACCTTCGATATCTCCGTTCTCGAGATCCAAAAGGGTGTCTTCGAGGTCAAGTCGACCAACGGTGACACCCACCTTGGTGGTGAGGACTTTGACATCAGCCTTGTGCGCCACATTGTCCAGCAGTTCAAGAAGGAGTCTGGCCTCGACCTCTCCGGCGACCGCATGGCTATCCAGCGTATCCGTGAGGCTGCTGAGAAGGCTAAGATCGAGCTGTCCTCTTCCCTCCAGACCGAGATCAACCTTCCTTTCATCACTGCTGATGCCAGCGGTGCTAAGCACATCAACCTCAAGATGACTCGCTCTCAGCTTGAGTCTCTTGTCGACCCTCTCATCAGCCGCACTGTTGACCCCGTGCGCAAGGCCCTCAAGGACGCAAACCTGCAGTCCAGCGAGATCCAGGACATCATCCTTGTCGGTGGTATGACCCGTATGCCCAAGGTCACCGAGTCCGTCAAGTCCCTGTTCGGTCGTGAGCCCGCCAAGTCCGTCAACCCCGACGAGGCTGTCGCCATCGGTGCTGCTATTCAGGGTGCTGTCCTCGCTGGTGAGGTCACTGACGTTCTGCTCCTTGATGTCACCCCTCTTTCTCTCGGTATTGAGACCCTCGGTGGTGTCTTCACTCGTCTGATCAACCGCAACACCACTATCCCCACCAAGAAGTCGCAGACCTTCTCCACCGCTGCTGACTTCCAGACTGCTGTCGAGATCAAGGTCTTCCAGGGTGAGCGTGAGCTCGTCAAGGACAACAAGCTGCTTGGTAACTTCCAGCTTGTTGGCATCCCCCCTGCCCACCGTGGTGTTCCTCAGATCGAGGTCACCTTCGACATTGACGCCGACTCCATTGTCCACGTCCACGCCAAGGACAAGTCCACCAACAAGGACCAGTCCATCACCATTGCCTCTGGCTCCGGTCTCTCTGACTCTGAGATCCAGTCCATGGTTGACGATGCTGAGAAGTACGGTGCTCAGGACAAGGAGCGCAAGGCCGCTATTGAGGCCGCCAACCGTGCTGACAGCGTCCTGAACGACACTGAGAAGGCTCTCAAGGAGTTCGAGGACCGTCTCGACAAGGCCGAGGCTGAGCAGATCCGCGAGAAGATCAACACTCTCCGCGAGTTCGTTGCCAAGAACCAGTCTGGCGAGCTTGCTGCCACCGCCGACGAGCTCAAGCAGAAGACCGATGAGCTCCAGACCGCCAGCCTGACCCTCTTCGACAAGATGCACAAGGCTCAGAACGAGCAGCAGCAGCAGCAGCAGCAGTCTCAGGGCGAGAACCAGGGTGAGAACAAGCCCTAAATGTACCATCATGTTGATCGACCGCCATGCGCCTTGTATGGACGGGCTCTTGTATTTTTTACTATTTCCCCTACTGTTTTTCTAGATATGATCTCCTTTTATTTCTTGCATTATGTGTATACATACTGATAGGGTTGTTTGCGTGCCCTTGTCTCGGTGTACGGGTGTTTGTTTTTTTCTCTTTTTCAATCTCCCGCCTGGCTTCATACCCTTTGATCGGGCAAGCATACTGATTTATTCGGGGAGCAACCATTGGATGGGACTGCGGGTTTGCCTACAATTTGTAACTTAATGACATTACGGCTTTGGGACCACAAAAGCAAGCATGATGTGGTGGGCTTGGAGCATGTGAGATAATAGAATAGGAAATTCTCCTCTCGATTCAAACAACCTGGACTCGAATGCTTTGAAACCGTAGGCGTGGGATGGTCAGCCATGGAGAAAATCCAGCGAAGATGCTCGAGCCTCGGCGCCTCACCATCCTGGCATCCACAGCAGCGTTTCGAGTCAACGAGTTGGAACTTGGTTCATGCCTAACCAGGCGTCTCCATATCTCGAACCAACTGGAGCTTGCGCAGAGTCGCAAGCAGGCCGTCAGCTCAGCCGCCCCGGATACATCTAGACTGGTGCGTTGAGTTGGCTTGCCAGCTGTCCGACCCAGCTCCAACACCAACACCAGGGGGCTCATGCTCGAGTTCCTGGGGATAGTTTAGTGCCGAACGCAGGATCAACCACTCCCGTTCGATTGCCGCTGGAATGTGCACCGCAGCCTATGAGGGTTGGCGTCGGACAATGCCCGGGTAAAGGGGGCTGGCGGGAGCGAATGCGATGCAATCGCTGCATTAGGGTTGTACAATTTACCGTAAAGAATAATTCCTTACCCAAAATCGCTGACCAAGGTTTATTCATTACTAACAAAGTAATAAATCACGTGATATAAAAGTGGGTCTAAACTAACTAATTAAAGTGTAGCTTAGCGCTTAGCTTTTTTACTAGTTAATTAAATGCAGGGATTTTTAACCACTTGCATAAAAAAAATACTAAAGGCCTATATTTATAATTTACACCTTGTATAAAATATATATTTTTAAACATTAAAACTTTATTACCCCTATTAAAAAATTAAAAAACTTTACTAATATGGTTAGGTCATAAAATCCTTTGCTAAAAAAGAATTTTATATACACCACTATTATTAAAAAGGTATTTTTATATTTTTATAATTTTTTTTAGATTTTTTAACGCGTTTTAAAAACCTTTTTTTAAATTATAACTATTAAATATAAATATTGCACCTAGACACGCGCTAAAAACTCCACTTAATAAAAAACCCATCTT